TACCTAAGTACTTAAGTATCCATTGATATGATTCCCCCCTTCACAACTGAGCAGAGTTGCCGCGGTAAGAGACTTGCGAGAGCTGAGTACCGTTGGGAGCCAATATACTAAACTAGTATGAACCGAAAACCTTGAGGCTTTGCAGGTGGACATCCGTTACTCTATGAGTCATCAATATACTAGTAGTAGTCACCATATCGCAATATTTACAATTGCATAACTGTAACCCGCGGTTTCGTAGCTCTTTTTCCAAGTAGTTCGCGAAGCTATTTGCTAACGATCAGGGCTAAGAAAGCCCAAATAACCACTGGTATTCTATCAGAAATAATTCACTGGGCATCGCATTTTTTGCGCAATATGACATAAATGCGTGCACCAGTACGAACAGTATTTGCTGTTATGAGCATGCGCAAGTTGCTGCAACACGGTATAATATCATCCTCAACGAGATGTTTACACGAACTGCATTTATTGTTTTGGTAAGATGTCTCTATTTCCAAACTACATTAATTCTGGGATAGCAGTAAAGCTGCAAGCGCAGCCCAAATCCGATCATTTGAAGCCGATCAGATGAAGCCTCCCGTTAAAGTTGGATTTTAACTATTTAGAAGGTTCTAGACTCAGAAATTAAGATACAGAAATTGATGAAGGTGAAGATCTCACATCAGAATCTCTTACTCAACCCGAAAAGCCCAATCTCGCTCAACTCGAACGCGGCTCATTCCCGAGTTTGCAGGATCCGTGGACGAAGGACCTGTAGAGGAGGTTGGAGCGGTTGGTATTCCGCAAGGCTATCCTATTGCTTCTTTGTTACTTTAATAGGACTGGGTACTTGGCTTCACATAACATTGGTCTATTGAAGATAACCTATTTTATCTAAAGCTATTATGGATGCATGGAAACCAAATGACAATTTTATTTTAGGAAATGCACCATCTCCTGGGTCCGTTGAGCTTACACTTCGTTCTATCGCGAAAAAGCTGGGTTATGTCGGCGGAAGGGCAGATGCAAAACAATAGTGGAGAAGCTTAGACCCTTGTATTTTGTTGAGTCCTCAAGACGACCAACGAATAAAGTTGCTTCAATATTAGTGCAGAATAACATACAAGTTGTATAGTTGTAGTGAATTCCAGGTCCAGCTTGGTGTCACCGTAGCATAACCCAAGTGCGTCAGCAGCACCGATTGATGACAATGGATGATCTCTTCGAATGATTACTCTCGACGCTGAGGTGGCTTACCGCGTAAACAGGTCGAGCAGTTGCGTGGCTCGACTGAAATGTCCAGTCGAGCTACATGAGGATTTAGTAGGCTCAAGTGCAAGTTTATTCTGTTTGTTCACTTCTTCGAGCAGCAGCTGCCTTCTAGTAGCTTTTAGAAGCTGCTTCTCTCGTTAGGAGGCTGGTGAGGCCACGGGCTGGTTACCATCAGACACAGTGCCTCACCCCCTTCACTTTCGATTCTTCCTAGCAATACACAGAGCCCTACTTCCGTGCGGGTTGGCCCCCGCATCATTGTGTGTTGTGTTGCTTGGAACCCGGAAATACTACAATAGTGCAAAAAGTATAACCGCCAAGCACTACTATTTTATATAGTATTTTTGTAGGTAACACGCTACCTACGTGTACTATTTGTAGTATTACTATAGTTCCAAATTTGACTTGAAATTTGTATGGACGTACCAGTACTATATTTCTATACAGTCACACCTCTATAAATGACACCCAGTTCGCTCGGTCTAGGACGCTGTTTCAGTTAAAGAATTGAGCAGATAAAGAAATGGCTACACTTCTAATGGCTACATTTTCATAAAACATTGTTAGGTGCACAAGGGCTTTCTTTACCTGGTACCCCTCCAGCATTTTCGTACTCTTGTTTTGTTTCGTCTTCACACAGACAGAACTAACGGTAGGCGCGATATTGTCTGTTCCTACTCCTTCTTCACATTGGTATTAGCAGAGTCGCATCCCCTCAGGTTGTACGTGAGTTTCAATACAGTGAGGTTATAGGAATATTTGTTGTCCCGATATCCTGCCACCATGCCTGCAGTTTTATCTTTTGCTTGGTATCTACTGCATAGCCCCTAGTTGTCTCGACATCATAATATTTTAGTTTTTCGTAAAATATATATGTACGCTGCGCTGATTGTAAAATACTGTGGCTAGCTTATTTATCAGTATTTAGTTGCTGCAAACTCTTTGTTCCAACTTAGCATCCCAAATAAAATTTCTCTATTCGCTCGATTTGCTGTGGCGGGAGTAGTGGTAGCAATGGCATACGTGAGAGGAGGCAGGCAAGTGATTGAGAAAAATATATGAGTTTGGATCTATTACTGCGGCGTCAATTTAGAGGGTTGAAGCGCCAACAATGGCGACCATTTAGAGAATAAAGAGGTTTTTGATCAGTTATAGAACACCTATAGTGAAATCCATATAATCCCGTTTGCAGTCGAGGAATCCTAACCAGATAGGGAACACATGGTCAGTTAGAGGGGTTCATTTAGGGAATTGTCACTGTACCTGCGTCAGTGAATTCAGACAAACTGTCACAATCATTTTGTCAAATCTCAGTGAAAATCACTGATTTATGGAAATTCCTCCAAAAATAAGCTGAGATTTGGTGCTCTCGCGGTATACTATTGGCTGCTCAAAAACAGCAGGAATAAGGGAAATATAACAATTTTCGTAAGCCCGATTTTAGATAGCATTAGTTTGTTTTGCGAAATGGCTACAATTATTGGCGATAATACACCAAAATGGTACCATTGGAAAGCTTGGTTAGCTGTCGGTATAGTGCCGTGCAGTTCGCTGTCGTAGAACGCGTGCGGAAGGCGTGATATTCTTTAATATTTTGAGGTTTTTTTAAAGTAATTTCGTGAGCTTGCACACAAATCAAACTTCATACCTAATCATATGGCTGAGACCATATATTTAGCGAATCAGGTGAGATCGCAAAAAATGAGGTTAAATTGAATTGTCGATTCTTAAGTGAGCCAGAGAAGTAAATAAGGCGGAATGTCACCGTGCAAATCGGCATTCCTAGCTATTAGAGCAAAATAATGATAGCTCTGTAGGTGTCAATGTGAGCCACCAGCTTTGATAGCATGCAATATGTAAGGTGGCAAAGTATTTCGAGATAGTGTACTAGATAGTCAACCCGGTCAGACGCTGATTGGCATGAAAGACTCCAATCTCCGGTCTGTACTAGTCCTAAGATGTCTTGGTAGCTCTTAGCCACCGTCGCTAAATTAGACAGAGTCCCACCTGCTTGTCCAAGCAGGATTACTCACTCCTATTTGCTAATCGCTTAGGCTTTGTAGCTAGGTTTATCCTTATGTACGGATATTCAAATCCGATTAAGATAAATGTGTTAGCTAATAAGGTGTGGACATTTCAACCGCGTTTTACAATACGTAGGTATCCTTTCAGAGTTTTTAAAATATGTCGCAAATTTACAGGATCTCGACTACAACAAGGTATTCTTATTGTGGTTGGAGTGTTTTCTTAGCGAGTTATCTGCATCAAGGAAAATATGCTGCTTTTTGGACCGCCGACCAGTTTACCGCAGCAAAACATCTCGTTGTTTGTATAGGCGAAACATCCCCCTTAGCCATTGTGGTAAAACGAATACACACTTTGGTGAAAAATAGTACGCATGTTGGCTTTTCCTGCAACGCATTGCAGATTTTCTGGCGCTGTCCTCCAACGAGTAGGATGCAGTTTCATTGGCTACAATTCTCTGAATTGCTCTTCACGCAGGAGTAGAAAAAAAGCTTTAGACAGCAAATATGGCCGATAAAAGCTCGCCAGATGCTACGTCCCCATCGGCCGATGCAAAGGCCATCCGGGACGCTTGCATTTCGAAGGCCAGAAGGATGAAGTTAGCGGAGAACACCAACGGGATCAAGAAAGGGATTTGTGAGTAGCTTTCCAAGGAGGATCTCAATACTGTGCTTTTATCGTCTCTATTCATGGCCTGAACCTCCACGAGTTCACGCCTGTCTTCTTTGAGCGATTTTTGGTGTACAAGCGGGATAAAGCCAAAGCAGTAACGCTTAGTGGGTATCGGAGCGCGATTAAAGATCTGTATCGCTCCAAGAGCGTTAATTAAAGTGCCTGTGGAGTATGGCGACGAAATGAAACAGCTTTTCTCTGGAAACAAGCGCCTCGGGGTGAGCAAAATCAGACTAGTTCGCCTAAAACCTCTGGCAAATAGCCCTTGGTATGTTCGTTTTGTAAGTCGTTGTATAAATCTACTATCATCCACAATGGCAGTAGGGTTTCTCTTCGCACGATGTAATGAAATTCAATTTGCAGGTCTGCATCTGTCCAAACTCTCCAGGCCCAGACCATATTGAACATGGATGACAGTGTTGGCGCTTTTTTTTTAAGACAAAGACTTACCAAGACGGTTATGGCCCGCGTAACCCGCGCCATCTCTATGTAAACCCGTTTAATTCTTAAACGTGTTAGGTGAGTGCACTGGGTATGTATCTGGCCTGCAACCCGCGCAAAAAAATCGGGACCGTTGTACCCAGGTTCCGACCCCAAAACTCGATTCGGCAAGGCGATGGGCGGTCGTCTGAAAAAAGCAGGACTGGTAAAAGCTATGGAACTCACTCAGTGAGAAAGGGAGTCTGTATATTTGTGTGTGGTGGAAGCACGCGGGGGGGGGGGGGGGGTCTATTGTGAGTGTCTGCCTACGTTGTGGTTGGTCTCTTGGTGGAGTACTGGATTGGAGATCGGGTTTTAGGACGCGTGGTTGCTGATCTACCTGCAAATGCTTCTAAGTTCGCTGGGCTGACTCCGCATTTTATTGATAATTCTGATGACGTGGCAAATCGGTGTCTCGCCTCGCTCGTTCACCAGGCCGATTTTCTGCTTGATTGTCTTCCCATCAACCACCCACTCCTGGTTTCTACGATTTTAACGAACCCATCCGTTCTTGATGATCTACGAGAACATGGAGACTCGAAGTGGATGGAAGGAACCGGAATACCTCCGCACATTGAGCTCTACAAAAACTGCATAATCAGCAAAAGGAGATTGACGCGCTTCCGGGCATTCTTGAGCAGCGTATGGAAAAAGTACTGGAAAGAAAGGTGTAGCTGCTAGCGATACTACACATGAACTTCTACGAGAGGAGATTAAATATATCTCATTGGGCTAGGACGTACACAGCAATCCGAGCTGGCAGCTTCTTCCAGCAGATTGCGTCAATATTGTTTATGGGGTGGGTGCTTTCACAAACTGCCTGGAGATTTTAATTTTCCTAGCATTAACCCACTTGAAGCTTCTCGGTTGTGGTGGCCAGCATGACTTCCCGCCATACAGAAGTATTTCGTCTGATGACCTGGGCACATAAAAAAATAAAGCAACTCTATTAGAATAGTCGATAACGATGAGGCATTTAATCAACGACATCGAAGCAGAGCTAGTCTCACCCATGCCAAGTATCCGTGATGAAGCTCACACTCGTGCGCTGTTCAAATGGGCTACGAGGAGTTGTAATTTTAAGTGCAGAGCTAGCAAGTGCAAGCGTAGAACGACACATCTCTAGTTAACCACCGTGTTGAGACTGGTACGCGAAACAGAGCCCCCGCGGGCACGCACCCTTCCTCTCAAGGATCGAAAGCGCTCTGAAGTTGCTCACGGCAACACATCATCAGGCTCTCCAATTGGCGAGTAGTCCCAATGGAACCACAAGCTACACTTGTGTCTGCGACATGTACTCCCCAAGGACATGGCATATAGCACGATCGCCCGCGCTACTGCCCACGTCATCGTCCGTATTGCAGGAGGTATCTTTACCGTCGTCCGTGGCTGTGCTGCAACCACCGCCTCCACAGCAGACAACAACTCGGCTCACTCATGGTGCAGCGTCTCCTCCAGGCCTGCAACTCAACCCGCCACTAGCAGCGCTTGCGCTTCAAGCGTTTGGGCAGTCAAGAAAAGAGAACCGTCAGTACCATCCTTCGCATAGATAACTATGCAACATCGATTAGTAGCAGCAAGCTTAGTAGCACTAAGCCTATCGAGTTGTGTTTCGAACTCGCGTATCAAGCGCGGTGGTGGAGAGCTATTGACAAATCGCTAAGTGCCCTTGCTTGACCTTGACCCAAGGATCGATCTTTATCCAATGAGAGGCGGCGCCTAGCCACCGTGAGCGCAGCGACTTCGTCACGTCTAAGTTTATGGGCACAACGGTAAGTGATCCCCACCACGTATACTAGACACCGTAAACATCCGTACATGTATAATATATGTATACGTGGCGTGTATACACAACAAAAACACAAAGTCCTGCTAGCCGCTCGGCACAGCCCCTTATTCGCAAAGACATATCGTAGCCCATAAGTCCCCGCCTAACCCACGCTTTCCCCAGAGCCTCGATGGCATCGTGCGAGTATGACGTCCGCTCCGGGGCGAAGGCGTTCACATTCCATAGGTATGCATCACGGAGGTGGCAACTCTTACGTAGTGCATTGTCGTGTAGGAAAACACGAGTTTACGAGCCCTCGCCCTATCAACCGAAGTCTTAAGGACGAGCCCTACCAACAACACACGCCGTCTCGGAAGAGTCGGCGATAGATTGTCGGGATAATAAACCTGAAGACCAGGTCCGATCCCTTATACGGGCTGGAATGTGTCTCCCTGTGTGTTGCAGGTCAGGTAGGTTTACCCTTCGTTAAAATGAAAGAGCACCCTCAGCCACGAGCTACGACCGGGATGCAATGTGTAATGTGTGCTTTCGCACTAAACCTCTGTGATCCCTCAGAAAGGAAGGGTACCAGGCCAATCGAAGCCACTTACAGGGGCGCCGGGGCGAAGCCTCGGCTAGAAGTCAAATACACTGGGGGGTCCTTGCCTCACACACAGTCAAACGTACAACTGTACATAGAGGTCTCTAATACCTCCCAACACTCGGCCTCCTACTCACTCTTGGCCTTACCAGGATGAACACTCGGTCAATACACCTTATGCTCGCCGGCAGACATACCCCGTGCAGCCGAGTGTATCCAGACCCTACGCTAAGTTTAGTGACTTACCGTAGACGGACTTGACCCTTGTGTGGCTTGGGGAAAAAAATCTGCTCTCTGTTAATGGTTTAGAGGCCGTCGGGCCTCGCCCATAACCAATCCCTAATGTCTATTCAAATATCTAGTGTGGACCGAGCTTTCGAGCTGATCCCACAACCGGACGAAACTTCGTCCTAAATCCGAACTCCTACTGGGCATAAAGTGTACCCAATATGAAACTTCGGAGGCCTCGGCAGGCGGTTTTTTTTGATCCGCCGAGACCCTCCTGTCACTCCGTGGTCTCTATCAATCTTCTGGGCACTAAAGCGCGGGGAATGGGACCGACCAATCAGAGCCCTCGGTCAGCCGTCACTCGCAAGCTCAAGCAGTTAGACCTCGGCCGGAACTCGCCCATCCGCAGTCATTTCCCGATCTCACAGCATGCGTGCCGGCCTCATCGCATCGGAGCGGGCGTGCCACAAGTGCGACAACGTCATGGTACTTTCTGGCGCACGTTGGCGCTGCTCGAAGTTGAGCTGTAGGGTGGAGAGGAGCGTGCGGACGGGCTAGTTCTTCGCCCGCTCCACCGTCCCCATCTCCAAGCTTCTGAAGGCGCTCTACTTTTGGGCAAGCGAGACACACGTCATGGAGGCCGGCCAGCACGCCAAGGTGACGGCGAAGACTGCGGGGAAATGGTACGCGTACACGCGTGGTATCTGCTCCGCGGAGATGTTACGCTGCGATTTGAAGATGAATGCATTTATTTTGATCGAAACTTTGCGTTGTGTAGCTTTACAATTATTGTTACGATATGTAGATCGATGAAGAAGGACACGTGGTAACAATTGACGAAACCAGTATGAAGAAAAAGTAGAAATACAACCGCGGAAAAATGTATGTAGACTGCTGAGGTTTTGGAGGTGTGGATCGGACTACGAAAAAGTGGTTCATTAAGGTTGTCTACGATGACCGAACCAAGCGCAACTTGTCCCAGTTTATCAAAACGTACATCAAACCCGGGTATGTGTATTTTTAAATGTTGCGGTACGATGCTATTCATGCTAACTTTAATTGCAAAGAACCCTTTAAATGTCTGACCAGTTTAAGTCCTATGTGACTGAGTGTTGAACGGTCGCACGAAGGACACGCTCTACACGCTCGAGAACAACATGTTCCTTGCTTGCATGCGGTACACGCACCAGTAGGTTAACCACTCCAAAACGTTTGTGGATCCATCCACCGGTGCGTTTATCAACCGCACCGAAGGAATCTGGGGGGGAGGGGGTAACCAAGGCCCAGATGGAAAGCGAGCGCGGAATGAAGAAGGTCGATGTGCCCAGCTACTAAGATCCGTGCCTATGGCGCACCTGGTATTTCGATCACGTCAAGAAGCCCAAGCCTAGCGACTACTTCCATGGCCTGGTGGCCCCGGCCGGACTGCGAGAAATTGCGAGGCGGGGTGAGGGGAGTTGCCTTTCGATGCCTCGCAGCTGATCTTCGCAGAGGCAATCCGGAAAATGAAATTCGCCCAGGCCGGACTGCGTCTACCACCACGCCAACCCGAACCTCAAGAAGTCCTACATCTACCCCCAAAATTTGTCCGAGACTCTAGAGCTCATTGCGTGGCACCCACAGAAGTCATGGACAGTTTGCACCTCAGCCGAAGACGCGATCAACGAGTCGAAGGGGTTTGCCCGTTGCCCGTTGACTCAAGGTGAGAGGTTCGTTCGATATCAACAATTTGAAGATTGCTGCCGTTTCGCCTCGCATATAACCGTGAAAGTAGGGACACCATTAGGGCATTGGCTTCGGTTGCCATTCCCGTGGAACCGGCTGACTGGGATTCGGTTGAGTCGGATTTTGTGTGCCACGGCTATCCAGGTATTGATGACAGAACCGTAAAAACACACAAGAAAAAGGTTTACCACACAGATTATGTGATATCACATAGAAATGGTAGCCCTCACACTAATTTTACGCTTAACCACACTAAATTAGCGAGTGACACACGTCGAGATGTAAGAACACATCAAATGCCGAGGAAGTTGGAGGTAGGAGGAGGAGGGTGGGGTGGGGGTGGGGGGCTTCGAGTATTGTGAAGTGAATCCGCCCAGCGCCCTACACGATCACGAAGAGACCATCATGATTGGTTGAAACTACACCTAAATCCTGACCATGATTCGCTATAAATTGACTGGTGTGCGGCCACCGTCTCAAGATGCCTCCAAGCTACACGTGGACTACGATCTGTAGTGACATGGCTCGCGAGGATTCCCAGCTGCTGATGGAGGACATGAAGTTCTTCATCATCGTGAAAAGCCAACTGGTTCCCTGCGTTGTGTGCGCGCTGACAAGGCCAGATAAGATGCGCTACCAGCTGCTACGCTGCTCCTCGGAAACATGCCGGGCTGCGACGCCGTATGAACCATGCCCATGGATGGGGAAGGTGTTGACCTGTCAAGAGCTCCATCGGGTGACGATCATGGAAGTCGGTGCCCATGAGACGCTCGTCAGAGACCCACAGAGGCCCAAGATGACACCTCGACTGAAAGACTACAGCCGCCAAATGGCGACGCAAGGGTTGAAGCCAGCTCGAATCCGCATGGGCATCGCTCGGCGTTTTGGCTTGTCGGAGACCGACTTGCCGACCCTCAACCAAGTGCAATGGTTCGCTGCCGCGTACACCAAGGCTAATGAGGCGAGGCGGGTGAACGCCTTGATCGTCCAGGTGTATAGCGCACTATGCTGGACCGAATCGGTTCGGAGTACCAGAGATATCCGCTGCAATCCGATAGTCCTCGGAGCACAGGATGTGAACCGGGGGCCGGGAGGATCGCTTGGACTTGGCGTGTGTCCTTGTGTCAACCCCTATAGGTATCGTTTACCTTTGGCGGACCGGACTTCACCGAGTGAGTTGTTGTAAATACAGAATCGAGTCTGCTGGGTGTGTTCCTGAAACAAACTACACCGAATGAACAGAAAGTCAGACCGAATCGAAGGGACCACAGTCAGATCCACAATTCAGTATAACCAACACACAGAAATACAATGCCGAGCTAAACGTCACAAAATATATAGCCACCACATATTCTTTAAGACCCTTGGGTGGGGGGTCTATACGCCAGTCAACTTACGAGCCGTCACCCAAGGCACTGGTCAACACTGGATGCACACTCACTTACGCGCACCACCCTCACAGAGTGAGGGAACAATACAAAATATAAGTCAATCCTATCACACAGTAGTCAATCAATTCAGTCTCGGGGGTGACTACCTCTACCGCCTAAGACACACAGGATGGAATATGAAATGGATGCCCGGATAGCGCACGCAAATTGGAAATAAAGCTCTCACAGATCACTCCAGGGCGCGACACCCCAGTCCCTGCCGACTTTGCCTTGGTACCTTTGAGTCCCCACTACACCAGTGCTCGCAACACCAGTGAGGCCTTGAAACGTCCTCCGTTTTAAGATCGCACGAAGGCGGATCCCACGTATAGGCTCTTGAAGACGTCAATGTCAGGGGGAATTCCCAGCCCGAAGAAAGACGTCCGCGTGTTCTCGGCAAATTGGTTTCTGTTTGATCTTACGTTTGGCTAGCTATCTGTTTCACTTCACTGACTTCTAATAAAGGTTTCACTATGCTTGACTTGTCTTGGATATGCTTCGACCTTGTGCACGGGACTTCGATCTTCTTGCACTGAGCTTGGGTATGCTTGACTTGGCTTGGTTATCGGGCACCTTGTCGACGTCAACGTTCCTTCGGCAACACTCACCATCTGGCGACAGAGGTACGTCGCATCACATCCGCACTGGGCTTCTGCGTCTAATCACGTGAGCCATCCTGTGTCGCTTGACGTTCTTGGTCGATCCGGTCCTGGATTGCTGCTACACACACAGCAGTACTGGACTTGTTGTTGGTGTGGTCACGATCCAGTATGGGCACCAGGGGTCAGACCTAATTGATCATCCGGTCCGGCCTCATTCAGTACGGCACCTTGGCCTCCGGTGCGTCGCTACCGGGTGCACCACGATCCAGTCCGGCAAACAGTGTACTTTGTCCAGCGAGGTCTTGGGCGCATGGGAGCATGGTGGGCACGGTGAACTTGGGGGTTGGTCCGATGTCTTGACGGAGCCAATGCAGGCAGCAGCCAGGATACGTTCACTGGCTGCACTTGCGCGCCTTAGGCTTATCCTGCGGTCAGGGAAGTCGGCGGACGGACAGGATGTGTTACTCCACACCGAATATGAGCGCTCATCCGGTGGGCACATCTCCGATCCTGTGAGCCCATGCTTACTGCAAGCACCGGGTCCCGCCAAATCCACCATGCGCATCCACTATCCACATGTCACACTCCACGTCACTGGATTCCTGTTCACTGCGACCAGTCACAGTCAGGCGAAGGGTCGTCCCATCCCAGCGGTCAGACATGGGTGCGAATAAAAATCCTTTCCCACATCGTGTCAACCGCCCCTCTGCTCAGGTTCTTTCACAGAGGATCTTGCCACCGAGGTGACAGGACATGAACAGACCCACACACGATGGATCCCACTCCGGATGGAAGGGGGTACCGAATCGCAAAACCGTTGAAAGGCTCTTTCCCAGAACTCAAGTCAGCCATCGTCTCGTCTCCGTAGCAAGTCTCCACACGTCACAATCAAACCGTCGGGAGCAGCCGGCTTCACGTCACAATCCATTTTCGATCGCGAGACTCATCACCGCCATGGAAGAGGTCGGCGACAATGCGGGGACGCCTGGCAGCGGACTGCCGGGCCTGGCACAACCTCCGCACGCCCCTCCAGATAGAGAGGGCGCTGTGGGTGCCAACTCGGGCTCAGGCGGAGGCGCCGGTGAAGCGCGCGGCGAGCGCACGTCTTCTGGCGGCGTCAATCAAGTTGATGGCGACGTCGAGATGTCCAGCGCTGACGGCAAGGACGATCCCTCGCACAGCAAGGCGCCGTCGGAGGCGTCTGACAATAACAGCGACGAACACAGAGGGCGCATCCTGAAGACAGAGGGCGACACGATGAAAGAGCGCCTGGCAGCCAAGCAACGCAGCATTCCTGGGCGCGTCCTGTCCGTGGTCGAGGCGCTCAACATGCCTGCGGGTAGCGGCCTTCCGGAGCGACGCAATCCTGCGCCACCATCCAGACCGGGCATGACCGCAAGCTGGGAGGCACCGAGTGGGTATGCACCGGATGGCGCGTTTCGTTTTGTTGGGGTTCCTGCTCACATGCGTCACCTCGAAGACGACCGCTACATGCGTGACGGATACGCTGGTCTCGAAGTGCTCACAACGATGGAATGCTTCTCAGCGACGGACCTGGCGGACCTGAATGAGCTGGTGGGCGAGGCCGAGGACGTGAACGAGTTCTTTCTTCGACCTCGCGCCGGGCCACCACCCAGTCCGACCGAGTTGGAGGCGCTGCTCGACTCTGTCCAGATGCGTCGTGAGCTGGCATCAATCTTGTCGGTCTACGATCCTCACGATCTGGCACTGCGTGCATTCAGTATGACTACGTTCATGCGCCGCTTGTTGATCCGGTACCGGACCATTCGCGGGGAGATGCAGGCGACCGGGTCGTCCACGATCGAGAAGCTGTTGACCGCCCAGAAGCAGAGCTCCAAGTTCGAGGCTCACGTCACGCGACTGCAGGGACAATGGAGAGCTGTCTTCAATGACCTCAAAGAGACGAAAGAGGCAACAGCGGCACGGTACCGGGCGGACTTCAAGAAACTCATGGCGGAACACGAGGTCGAGAAACAAGCGCTACGAGACCGAATCGCTGCCTTGGAGTTCAAGCTCAAACATCCAGTACGTGGGTCGAGTCCCTCGAGTCTGAGGTCTTCAACGTCGACCGCATGATGAACCTCCTTAACAGGAACCAGACTAAGGTGACTGGCAACTGGAAGCGTCTGGAGGAGTTGTTCAAGCACCACCGATCCGGTACCACGCCCCCCACCGAATGGCAGACTCTGATCTCAGTCACCTCTGCAGATGACGCATTCACCGATCCCGGGCCGTTCGAGTTCCGACACGACGGCGACACCGACACGGAAGAGAAGGGCAACGACGGGTCTGAATCGAGTGAGGGCGGCACAGGGTCGCGGGGCAAGCGCGTCACTATTGTGGATGTCACAGGCGAGGCTCCACCAGGTAAGACTTCCTCGTCAGAACGTCGATCCAGTGGCGGCAAGCGTCGTCACAAGGCGGTGGCTCGGGTCGTGAATCGCCCCATAGCCTGGGATCCCAACGAGGAAGATGCGCGCCCCATGGACCAAGAATATCCAGTCGATGAAAACCTTGCATGCGCTTCACTCGCCGGGCTTCCCGTTGTGTGGCGCAAGCTTCGGACGGATCTTCGGCTGGCCATGCGGACTGGATTGACGTACTCAGAAGCCACGACGCTGTTGAACAGTGACGAAATGGCCCATCACTTGTTCCATCCTTACGATCTGTCCTGCATGCTGGCTCAGATGATGTACTGGAACCAACTGGACAAGGCTTATTGGACAACCTACGTGCCAGAACGATACTTCCTCCACGCGGAGAGCATACTGGATCGCTACGCACAGGATGGCCTCGAACCGGATCGGTGGCCCGACCAGATGGACCCCACACAAGATGACAGTGAGCTGCTCTTGGACGAGAACGAAGAGGACGTTGACAACGAGGATCGTGACGGCAACTGGGAACCCAGCGAGGAGGCTCAAGCCAAGATCGACCGGATGGAAGCTCGTGAGGCAGCAGCGCGACAGGATTGCACTGAGGTACCGGACGCCAACGCTGCACCGGATCTCGTTTTGCCTTCGACTCGTAGTCCCAAGCGCAGGGCTAGTTCGGTGTCATCTCAATCGGATTCAGCCACCACTGGGTCTGGCAAGAAACGCAAGAAGTCTCGACTTGGTGATGAACGCAAGAAGTCTCGACTCGCTCGCAAGGAGATGAAAGATCTTACTCCTGAAGAGCTGACCGTGATCGAGGAACCGGGTCGAGGCATCACTTCGTGGCGCCACAAGGGCATCCTGACCACTTTTGCACCCAGTACGACTTACGCCGTCTACCAGTCCGCAGGTTTCCCTGACTACGCACCGAACCACAACAGCGGGACGGGGCCACTCAAGGATCGCTTCAATGTGGACGAGTACCGGGCGATCATGGAGACCCGACCGGGCGAGCGGATGTACAAGCGTCGTGTCATCAACCTCCTCTTCCACAAGCGTTACGCCTTGGGAGTGAAGGTCCACGTCGTGCTGACCAAGATCGTGAAGTTCATGAAGGACAACACGCTGGTCATCTGGTACGCGGGACACTGGGTGACGTATCCGGAGGACTCGTCGTATGGGGTGAAGGAGAAAAAGAAACGCAAGGGTCTGCATGATCCTGCCATCAAGAAATACGCCGAGTTGATCACCGAACTTCTGAAAGCAGGAGCCCCGAAGACGATTCTGTACGAGCCAGGCATCTGGGTGTATCCTGCGAAGGTCTGTCCCTGGATCCTGTTTGACAAGTCCGAGAAGAAACCGGATGGGAAGCCGTACACGATGGCCGAGCAGCTCGAAATCCTGAATCGCGAAGAACCGGCTCGCATCCAGTGGACAGGGTGGACCCTCGATAGGATCATCGCGGATCGTCCGACGCACATCCGGAAAATGCTGCTGTCTCCCGATGAGCGTGCCAACAACTGGGTCTGCGCTGATCACCGTAGCTAGTTGCACACTCGGTGTAGCCACAAGCTAATCTCCACAATTTCATGTCATTCACGTTCATCACCTCACTACTTCATCTTAGTCTTATGTCATGCAGTCCGTCTGCTCGTCATTCTGTCGCTCACTCTATTCAGGGGCGCAGTCACTGGTCGATTCAGTCGGTATCTTCATTTTTCCACTACTCCACTCGAATTCTCTACAAATTCAGCGTCGACAGTTCACAATCAAAATCACATTCAGTTTCAGTCAGGTCACACGTCGGCGGTCAGGATCGAGTGTTCAATCCGGTACTAGACACTGGGGTGGTCATCACCAGCCTACATAGACTGGAACCTGGCACTCTGATTGAATTCATACAGAAGCGCATCACAATTGAGCCTGGTCACTGGTAACCACTCAGGATCGTCGTATCCTTTCCACTTGATCAGGTACTAGCGGAATCTCTTGGAAGTACGAGTGCGCTTGGCCCACCGGAGGTCCAGAATCTTTTCCACTTCGTACTCATCATTCTGTTCGTCCGGCTCCCAGCTGTCCTCGGGCAGCAGGGCTGCATCGAAATCGTCGTCATCATCCCGATCGAGTTCCGCGGTAGGTTGCTTCGGAAACAGAGCGCGAGGCTTGAGGCAGCTGATGTGTACCCAGGGGTTAACACGATATCCTGTGTCCTCCACCTTGAGTTTCACTCTGAAGTCATCGTGTACCTCTTCGATCCTGAACGGCCGATGCCACATGTGAGCCAGCTTGCGGCTCAATCCGGTCTGGACTTTCGGGATGTAGAGCCATACCGAATCACCTTTCTCAAATCCTGTCTTCAGCCTCACGCACAATTCTCTCCACTTGCGTGTCTGTTCTTCCGATCGTGTTCGCTTCGCTTGTCTCTGGAGGTCCTCGGCACAGGCTATTGCGTAGCTGTAGTCGCGCTGAAATTTCCGACGCCACTCGTACGCAGTGCGTTCAGGCACACTGGATGGTTTCGGACCTAACATCGCCGTCACCGTGCCTTGCGCATCCCAACCGTGTACCAGATAGAATGGAGTGCCCAATCGGGTCGCGTCGAACGAGGTGTTGAGGGCGAACATCAGTCGCTCAGCGTGATCATCCCAGTCAGACTGGTCAGACTCAGCGATGTAAGCGCGGACGCTCCGGATGACGGTCTGCACCGAACGTTCCTGTTGGCCGTTCGCTTGAGGACGATATGCCAACGTGGCGCGCTGACGACTGCCGAGTAGCTCCCGAAACCGAGTGAAGACCTCACTCATGAAACGTGGGTCTTGATCGTGTCTGATCATCGACGACTCACCGAAATTCCGGAAGACTCGCTCTTCATAGGCATCTGCTACATCATGTGCCGTAGTAGACGACATGGGTTTACACATCACGTAATCAGAGAATGAATCCTGAAAAAGCAGTAGGAAGGTGTTCCCTCGTGCCGACTTGGGCATGTGCGTCACAAAATCCATCAACACAACTTCAAACGGGCGCCTGGGCTCGATGTTACCAGGTGACGGTCCAGGGTTGGGAGGTCGCCCCTTTCCATTTGCACAGTCAACGCACTCCTTCACAAAACGTTCCACGTCGGCATACATGCCGGGCCAGTAGAACTCGGAGCGTAACCGCTCGTGGGTGCGGGTAATTTCCTGGTGTCCACCTTGAAAGTCCTCGTGAGCGTAATGCAGCAAGTCAGCGTGCAGGGTTTGTGGCACCTCAAGACGTGGCTCATCCTGTACGTCCCGAGGTCGATCTCGAGTAGACCGCGCGAGTCGATACAGGATGCCTCTGGCATCCAGTGCAAACAAGTCCGAGAGCTTCGCGATCTTGCGAAGCCGCCTCGGAGAGAATCGATCCAGGTCGCCACTCAGATACGCTTTGACTTCCGAAATGAACTCATCCTGATCTTGGTGTGCCTTAATCCTGCGCCACCTCTCGGCTTGGAACTCCAACGGACCCAATGGGCCACTCGACTCTGTCTGTTCCTGTGTTTTCGATCTGGTCAGGACCGCCATGACTCGAGCACAGTGAGGTAACGGAGCAGAACCGGGGTCCTGTTCGACATTGTCTGGTGACCCCACATCCGGTGTCACCACCTTCTTAGCAGCCGATCCATCTGGTGCATCCTGAACTCCCTCACTCACATCCTGCGCCACAACCACTGGCTTCATCAGCTTTTCGTGGATCTTTGACACTCGCTGCAGATGGATTCGTTCCTCCTCATCCTGGACAGTCCACGTGATACCCAGCGCCAGCGTCTTGGAGGCCAGGTAGTCCGCGGCCGAATTGTATTCACGTTTCACATGAACGAGCCGAAGCGTACTGAATCGTCCTTCCAGGGTTTTGCACCGAGCCAGATGTCGTTGAAGGTTGGGTTGGTTGCAGTTAATCAGCCCTTGGACTTGTTGTATCACAATGCGAGAGTCTCCAATCACGATCAGGTCTTGAACGCCCCGATCCAGTGCCATGGTCAGTCCATTCAGTATGCCGTGATATTCTGCATCGTTCACAGTGACATCACTCAGGATGAAACCTTGTGCATCCAGTACGCTCCAACCAGGCAGGCTCCACAGGATGCATCCGCAGCTTCCTTGGCGAGTCGACGTCTTGGCTGCTCCATCGAAGCTTAACACAACCCCCTCAAAGTCAGCGACCAAGATCTCCATGCTCATCACCGGTGGTGGCTTGACCCGCCCCTTGGCTGGAATCAGCGACTCTGCGATCCGGTCCAAGTGCTCTCGGGGGGGGGGGGTGATACCCGCACCGAGTATAGCGGCTAGACCGTCTTCATCTCGCTGGATTCGGCGAACTTCCAGGTCCCACTGGGAAAGAGTGGCGCCCCATGGTACGCAACGTCCATCCGCCGACTTGGACTGAATCACCCACTTGAGTACCGAATAGCGGGTGTACACGATTATCGAACATCCTTCCAGGATCGTCCTGAATACATCCAGTACTCTCATGATCGCGATGACTTCCTTCTCCGCAACGTGATATCGGACTTCCGAGTCATTCAGTACACGCCCCGTGAAATGGACGGGCTGAATCAGTCCGTCATACTCTTGACCGAGGACTGCACAGGCTGCCCACTGGTTCGCGTGAGGAATGATGACGAACGGCTTGGTCCGGTCCGGATGACGTAACAATGGGGTCGACACGATCTTTCGCTTCAGGATCTCGAACGCTTCCTTCGCCTTCGACAAGTCCCTACCGGATCGCACTTGGTCGTCGATCAGCTCGTACAGGACTGCAGCTACCACCGGGAAATCCTCTATGAACTTGTGGTAGTAGCTCAGACTGCCGAGGAAGGACTGGATCCCCTTCAGAGTAGACGGGAATGGTAGATCCAGTACGCCTTTAGCGATCTTCGGCGTCGCCCTGAGTCCGTCTGCACTGATCTCATGAGAGAGATACGGGATCGAGCGCTTACCGAATTCACTCTTCGGTAGACTGACAGAGATGTTCCAATACCGCAACCGAAACAGTAGCGCATCCAGATCGATGCAAAGTCGATCCCACGTAGGCGCCCCATGCGCGATGACGTCAATGTACGAGCTCCGTCCTAGGACAGGGCCCATCTGCATCGGTGCCGGGATGTTACGTCGGAACACAGTCATCTGGTCTGTCAGCGCGGGTAGACGTCGGCCAGACAGGATTTCGTCGTCCGATCCGGTGTCGCTCCCTGCGACGTTGTCCTCTTGCGGCTTCAAACCCAAATAATCCAGTACGTCCTGATCCACCTGAGCTTCCTTACCAGGTGGTAGTCGAACAAAGCCCCACAGACAGTTGTTGAGCATCTGCTGGTACACCAGCGGAGCATTCTTCAGACCAAATGGCATGCGTCGCCACTGGTAGTGACCGAACAGCGACACGAACGCCGAGATGAGCTTCGCTCCGTCATCCTGATCGCCCAGAAGCCGCTGGCCATGTCCAGACTCATAAACCACATCGCGCTCTCGAACCCGATTAGCAGGTCGTCAATGAGCGGGAGAGGATAGTTGGACAACTGGATGAACCCGTTCACGATCCGGTAATCAATGCACATCCGGATGTTGACCCCGTTCTTCTTCAGTACGATCACGATCGGTGACGCCCAGGGTGACGTAGATGTCTCGATCAATCCAGTCTCCAACTACTTCTTCAGCAACGCGTACACCTTCATCGCAAGGTGTGGCGCGACCGAGCGTGCCCTCTGTGCGACAGGCTTAGCGTCTCCCACATCCAGATCGCAAACGACTCCGCGAGCTGGGGCAGGTGCCGCATTTCCATCACCTAAGAAGATACTTCGGTGGTACCTCAGGATGCCACGCAATCGGTGTTCGTCGTCTGGCGTGCTCACGCCAGGTTCGCCAACATCCGCCTTGTCAATGTCGCACTCGGGACTTAAATCCTGCACCTCCGGGAGGAGTGCGAGTTGGTCTCGCAGCTGGGAGAGCAGATCGCTCCCTTCATGAATGTACACGGCTGGTTCAAAGTCCAACTCCTCCACGCTTAGTCGCATGACCCGCTCGTACTCTTCTTTGAGTTTCTGCACCGGAGTGCAGGGCAGGATACCGGATGGAAAGTCGGAGACATCCTCGTCGGTCACATCTGGTGCGTCTTCCGACACTTCGTCTTCATCCGGTGTAACCGCGTCAAAGAAGTCCTCGTCATCTCCATCCTGTGCAACATCCTCATCCGGTGCGACAGCCTCGAAAAACTCTTCGTCATCCGATTCGGTGTCACTGGTGAAGTCCTTAGCACCACCCGGAGTCGCACTAGACGTCACAGTCGGGTCAGTCTCTGGTTCCTTCGTCAGCGGTGTTATGCGCTTGAAGCTCGGTTCTTTCTCAACCAGGTCCTATCCTCACCGAGTTCCACGATCCTGTCCGACTCGGTCACCGGATTCTGCAACACCGAGGTGAAACACGTCAGGTCCTTCTACCCGTCCGGATGTAGCATCAACTTGGTCGGCCATGAGTACTTCGCAGGCTCCACGGCGGGCGGTTCACGATCCCAGAGTGATTGCAGCCGACGTTGTTCCCTCAGCTGACCCTGTTTGGACAAGGTGTTCTCGTAGATCATCACCTGCCACTCCCTGTATGCCCTCGATCCTGGACGGACGAACCGTCCTACGGTCGGAAAGAATCCATACTCCACAATGTAGGCCAGCGTGGTCCCGGCCACGATCCAGAGATTGTTGGACGAGATGTTTACGACCTTGACTGCCTCGGGCCAGGACTTCGCTCCGTACACGATCTTGGTCACCCAGCGATCACCACGTCCAGCCCACACCACTTCTCGCTGTGGGTTGGCTTGGCCGAACCGGATGCGCACAACAGCCTCCTCACCGGGTCGAAGGTACAGGGTCTCCGGCGCTTGGACTGGCAACCTCATTCCTTGTCGGCGTTGCACCTTGTCCCCGTACATGAGCACAGGCTCTTCATCCGGTAACTGCAGAAGTCCTTCTCGTACACATAACCGAACGCCGGCACAGAACATAAAGTTCATACCCAATAGCACGTCCACACCTTCACCGATATTCGCAACCCAGATGTCCATGACGTACACCACTCTCGATCCGAGCGTGATCTTGACTTGCGTGCTAGCAGAGATGTAAGTGGTATTGCCACCCAGTCCGGACACCTTGATCTGTTTATGCCGGTTGAGCTTGATCTTGAGTCTACGCGCAAGATCCAAACTGATCATACTCACCGACGCTCCGGTGTCCAACAAAATCTGCAAGCGGAAGTCGTTCACTGCGCCATGTACCGTAGCCACCTCATGCGAATCCTTGTCTGGCTCATGATCAACCCACCATCCATACCGCTCACCCGGTTCCAGCCGAAATTCGGTCGGTCCATCCGGTGCTCGCAATTCGGAACGGCTCAATCCAGAATGATCATCAACTTGGTCAGGCTGAATCAGGTCATCGTTGCTCAGAGAAATCATGCATTGTTGGATATCTTGGTGGCTGATCCTCAGCTCTGGTCCGACGTAGGCTAACACACACAATTAAGGGGCCTTCAGCCCGGCGCGTACTGGGTCCCCACCCAGCGGGCTTAGTGGTTTAACGGCTCCCCTGAATTCGCCTTGTCATCCAATAGCTGATCCAGTAGGTTCTTCAGTATGTCCTTCAGTGCTCCATCTTGTGCCAGCTTCTTCAGTGCTTCGATGGTCTTCATAAGTTCACACGGCCCTTCATGAAATCGTTCACAAGTCCTGCACGGGTTGACCTTGCACACGCGCATCGGGTGTCCGCGTCGGTGACAGCGATCACACACGATGTCTATCCAGCAATTCTCCTGTCGGTGTCCAGGCCTCTCGCACTTCTCACAGAATTCATTCCAATCAGGATTGCTTCTTCTCGGCGACTGCGGCGCGGAGGGCTGACCGAATCGAGACGCTCCTGACTGTTGGCCAGGTGGCGGCGGTCTCCATCCTGAGCCCGACATCACCCTGAACACTGCGTACCTTCATCCAGCACTGGCGGTACCAGGTCGGGATCCACCGGTCGTGTCGAGGCAGGAGGGACCGAGTCGTGCTTTGGTGCGACCTCGACTCGGTGTTCATCCACCTCGTCTTGGAAACGCACATGACGATCCTCTTCGTCTGATTCATCCTCGCTCTGAACGACGTAAGCGCGGCCAGGAACCTTCGGTCTGAATCGCTCGCGTTCGCGGTCTCGATGCACGTTGCCCGCGCGGAAGTCGCGTGGTCTGGATGCCGAGATCTCACGTCCGCTGTCCTGGTGATCGTCTTCGTATTGACGCAGAATGAACTCCAGGTCGTCGATGCTGTGCAGACGCTGGCTCTTCAGACTGGATCGAAGCTTCGACTCGGTCAGCTTCCGGATAAAACGCTTGATGTGCATCTCACGCGTCCTAGATGACTTCTTGAACTCCATATTCGCCTTGCAGGCGGCCGCATTCAGTCGGTAGAAGAAGTCAAGCGCCGATTCAGTCCGTCCTTGCTCGATCGTGTAGTACCTCTCCGAGTCGGACATCCTGGACCGGCAGTACTTGCGCTTGAACGCATGGGATAGCTGGGTCCAGTCGTCTCGTACATGCCTCGGCAATTGTGCACGCCAGTGGCGAGCGGATGTAGGAAGCTTCAGGCGTAACTCGTACACCTTCATGCTGTCCGTCCAACCACCCTGAACGGTCAAGGTGAGGAATCGCTCCCACCATCGTGTCCGCTCATGGTACGACGCCTTGTCGTCGAAGTCTTCGAGTGAGTTTGAGTTCACGTACGGCCGGAAGTTCATCACCGTCTTGCCGTCCTTCGTCGTCACCGACGTGGAGTGCGTGGGCACGTTCGCGAGCGAGTCGTCGGAGTCGCTTGAGCTGTAGCCTTCGTCGTAGCCGTCATCAGAGCTCGAGTCCGGGTCGGATCCGGAGGGGTCACCACTTCCGCGACTTCGCCCACCGGATGGACGCTTGCGCGGTCCTGACCTGGTGTCCTTCGCATCCTTGGCAGGCTCCTGCTTCACGGGCACCTTCTTCGCGTCCTTCGCGGGGGCATCCTGCTTGTCCTTCGCCAGCGCAGCTTGAACAGCGCGCGCCTTGGCTCCCGTGGTTGCTCTCGCCTTGAGAACGCTGTTGATCGTCGCCTGAAGTTGGGCTGCTAGAAGCTCGTCGGCACGCGGTGTCGGAGACTGGATGGGCGCCTGACCAGACTGGATAGGCACACTGGATACTGGGTACAATGTCTCACGCCCGGTCTCTGTCTTCACATGCGACACCGAATCAGATCCCGATGTTGCTTGAGCCACCGGATTTTCCTGGCGTGTTGCACGAAGGTTGTGTAACTGGTGGGCCTGAAACCGCTGAATGTTCCGGGAAGATTCTCGCTCCCTCTCCCGCTTAGCTTCAATCTGGTGGACCTTCTCTTGGAATGAATCCAGTTGAGCGTTGAGTCCCCGTTGCACATCTTCGGCCCATCGGGTTCGTTCGACTTCGGCTTGCGCTTCCTGTTGTCGCCAGCGTTCGGCGAACTCGGCGGCAGCGCGCTCGTGCTCCAGGCGTGCTGCCTCGGCGCGGGCGCTCTCGATGGCAGCCGCCACTTCATGCGCCTGCATCGTCGACATTGGAGACGTGCTGGGCACGCTGGGAGGCTCCGGGACGGGGGCGTCCGGCCTCGATCCGGTCTGCACACTGCCTTGAGGGGTAGCGGTGCGTCCGGCGAGCTCTTGGATCGCCTGGAACGCGCTGTGAAGACCTTCATTCAGTCGGGCCGCGTTGGCAGCGGATGCCCCCTGGTTCAGCTCCATCCTGACCAGGGCTTCCTGCGTCTGGCGCATCGTGTTGAGCGCAACTTGGGACGCCCCGGACATTACGGACATCGCTGAGCGGCTTGATCGACCGGATCGAGTCGACCTGCTCGACCGACTCGGTGCGCGCGTCGATCTCGAAGACCTTCGGCGGCGCATCCGGTCCTCGTCACTGGAGTCAGACTCACTTGGTAACGGGCTTCGCCTCTCGCGCCTGGACGTCGTTTGCCGACCGGATGAAGCTCTCGACCTTCGGTCACTCCGGACGGTGGTGCGATCGGACTCCGACATAACGACATCGTCCTGATCCACTGCCGTCGATGACCGAGGGAGTGCTGTCCGGGTGATCTCGACGACTCCACCGCCTGCACCAGACTGGATCGCTCCTGCCTGCGCGGGCATCACCATGGGTCCGTACCGAATCACGGACATGTGCCTCGCGGCATCGTGTCCGGACCACAGCGACGACGAAGACGAGCTGCCTCTGGACGATCGAGCTGCTGACGCCGCACTGAACGTCGACTCGTTGGATCCAGCCGTCGTCCCGAACAGGCTCGAATCAAGATCCGAGGGTGAACGAGATGGCGGACCCGGTTGCGCCAACACTCCAGTACCGGATGCGCGCTCAGACTCGCTGGACGCGTGGTACGACGAGAGCGAAGACAGCGACGGCGTGGACAGCGGCGGCGCAGCCGGGATCGACGACACGGACTGGGTGGACGGCGGGCGAGGCGGTCCGTGCTGCGGGCGCTTCGAATCCGGTTCGCCGGTGGACGACCCTTGCGGGCCTCGTGTCCTCCGGAGGCCGGCCACTCGTAGGCGCAGGACGAACTCGCGACCCAATAGTCCAGCTTCGTAATCCGACATCAATAGATCTCCGTCGTTGTCTTCTGCATGGTAGTCCAGGATCGGTGCTCGCACAGCTTGTGACAGTGTCGATCCAGTGTTTCCAGAGTTCGACTCGGTCTGGTCTTGGGCGTCTGACGCATCCAGCACGATCTTGAAGGGCACACCGGATGCCAACTCGCGCCACTCGATCAGCTCGAACGCGAGGAAGTGCTGGACGTCCTCGGCCACAGAGCGCACCAGACTCGGCGTGACTCTGGACGACTGCGACTAGAACCACATCAGGATCAGGTTGTGGAACCTGAAACCGGCAGCGAAGAGGAGAGACTGAATGAGCGCAACGCACTCGCGCGGCGACAGGATGCTCGGCGGAATCACGATGCCGGAGACATCCTGTGCCAGGCACAGCTCCAGCCGTACCGGACCAAGCTCCACGATCCACGCAGCGTCTTGACTCGCCATGGCCATTCGGTCCGACAGGTACTTCGACGTCGCCAGCGCGGCAGTCCACCATTCGGTGAAGTCGGGTGCCGCCTCGGGTCAGGCGTACTCCACCTTGAGCGGAAATGCTGAACTGGGTCCGACCCTGACGTCGTGTCTCCTCCTCCACACAACGAGCCATCTTGATCACCATCGCACGACACGCACTCGACTTGATCCCCCGTGGTCTGATCACAGCGTGCATTCGTGCAGTCAGCAAGCACTTGGCACGAGTTCTCACAGGTTGGCCCCCAGTACCCGTATTTGCACAAGCTACAAGATACAAGCGTCCCATCAACGGCGTTGCAACTTGTGCTACCGCTCGCGCAGTTCTGAGCGCTACAGGGCCGATCACACTGAGCTCCCCACCAACTGGCGCTGCACTGCGCCCCGATGTCTAGCCCCACGTAGTCGCTCACCTTAGCCGCAAACGTCTCATTCTTCGGTCGCTGGTAAACTTCGGCAACAAAGTCCGAGGCGTTTGGGTTAAGTTCACCGAGAGATGGAGGCACCGACAGCGTGAGGAAAATTTCACCCGTCGCGCGGAGACCTCAGTAATGTTGACGAATTCTGGGTCGATGTCGGTCATGCCAAGTGTCCACACGAGAATCGTCCGCAACGCGTCCATCTTCTCACCAGACAAAGCCGACACCGTATCGATCGCTGTGGAGAGAAGCACCTCCGCATCGTAGGCGGTGGCCACACACCCGCTGAACAAGCTGAAGCTGGACCGGTCCGAAGACGACAAGACGTCTAGCTCCGTCGTCGTGTTAACAGCGCGAGATACTGCGAGCGAGAGAGGGATCGAGACGTTGACTTCCCCATAACCGGCGTTGCCATTGTACTCCATGAAGTGAGGAAGCCGACAATCCCCTCCGTGCCACAGCGATGACTCGTCGAGATATTGCAAAAACAGACCTGAAAACGGGTCTGGGTATTGGAAAGTGCTGTTCAGCTCTACAAACACCAAGAATTCAGTCTTGACGCCCACTTTGGCGAGACCATTAGCAGTGACAGAGACGCCTGGAAGGACGGAGTTAACTCGAGGTCCATCTCCAGATCGATGCTGCTCTGAGCCAACTTGCTCGACGTGTTGGTCGTGATCTGCACGTCGTGGAATTTCTCGGAGCGAAGCTAACCCACTGTTAAGCTTTGGAGCTCTGCAGTCGCACCGATGTTTACTATGGAGCCATGGGGTTGAAGCGACATTTTCCTGCGCAGATCCAGCCCCATTGTAATCTCGACGCTGATTCCCGTCTCGCCCAGGGGGATGGTGAAGCTCGCGTTCTTAAGCTGCGTCGTCTCATCCAGAGTGCATCCATTCGGCGCATACAGGGCCACTTGGAGGTTGGCGTTCCCCGCTAATTCCATCTCGATCGCTTCTTCAAATGACACCCCGACAACCTCTACATCTGCGAACATGGACGCGATGGAGACGTTCAGGAAGCAGTTCTCGCACGTGATGCGGCAACAGTTCGTGGCTGGGTCGGACGTGTCGGAGCAGTTGCCAGTCTCAAAGATCTGGTAGCTGGAGTTGCTCACAGTCACAGTGTCGTTCTCCAAGTTCCACGATAACGTACCAGTCGTCGTGTCCTCAACCGCGGTACAGCTCAAGACCCGGCATGAATCATCATCAGTCGTAGCATTGATTTGCTGGCAGCGTCTTAGTATCGCCTTCGTAGCCGCATTCAGTCGTGCAGTCGCTAGAACTGCAACTTGCACTGCTGCTCCGTCCACTTACTGTCGACCTTAGCCCAGCACTTGTCGACGTCGATCTCCCCTACGTCGTCACCTTTGTCCCCGCAGTCGTATTTGCAGGAAGAATCCTTCACGAACCCAAACGTGCTCGCCTCAAGTCTTCGAGCTTGCGCTGTAGCATCGACCACCGACTCCGTCCGAATGAGGCTGGTGATGTCGGTAGAATAGAATTTGATTCTGCAGTCTGGATATAGTTGAGCGAAGGTCGCGTGTTCCAGCTCGAGCTTCACTCGACAGCTCCCAGGAGAAGAAATGACTGGTGAGAGGTGCTTGGCAATGCTCAACACGTGAAAATACGCGGCTGTTGTGGCGAATGAAACCCCAAAGAACGAATCCCCGACAACAACTCGCCCCACTGAAGTCTGTAGCGCTTGTTGACAGTCAGCAACGACTAGTGTAGCAACTGGTGCTGACTTTGACACGTCGGAGTTATCGGTCATAGTGTCGAACGTCTCCAGGTTGAGCACGTTGGGGTGTTGCCTGAGGTTCCAAAGTGCCGCTGTCGTCGTGCAGTTGTACGCGAGGTGCGTACTCGGAGTATCCCGACTCGGGACGGCCAGTTCGAGTCTTCGATCGCTTGACTGGTGAGAAACCGACGCCCCACCTGTAATTTCCGGAACAACGAACATGGATCCAACTACGTTGGTGTTGGCTGTATCGATGCGGTGCAGTCCACCCGCAAGAGTAGTGGGTCATGGAACATTACGCCGGCAGTTTTTTTCCTTACCGTAATTTACCACCGAGAACATTCCTGAAACCTTCTTTCGGGACAGCAGCGATTTCAACGACGACCCCTCTCGACCACTTGAGAGCGAGAGCCACGTCTTTTCGATATGAGGGTAGTTTTAGAACCTCTGAACCGGTCAGATCTAATAGACGTTGATTTGACGACGCCCACTTTATAGCGAGAGCCACGTCTTTTGGATCTTCGGGACCGCTCGTTCAAACTACATTGTCGATTTGCAGATCTCACTGTAATCTGCATTGTTGTTATTAGCTTCCCGCCACTGTAGTTGGTGTGAGCTGGATGTATAGGCATGCTTGCATACACTACAGCAACCGCGACAAGTTGAAGTCGTTGAAAGTTTCTCCAGCTGGCCACACCTGCATGCATGCAGGCAAAGCAAGCCTCGAACATTACCGTGCGTACGCACGACGTTGGTGGCAATCTTGGATAGTCTTCTGTGCTCGTACAGCTGCAGCAACAACATGTATTATCTGCCGGAAAATTCAACGCCCAGCAAACCCCAAAAAGCTGGAGAACGTTCGAGAAGAGAAGCCCGCGCAATAGGCGTCGAGCGCGCTGCACGCCGTGGTCTCCCGACACAATATGCGTACTCTCCGCTGTAGGAGAGCTCCATCGGGGAAACCTTCCTACCCTGCTTTCTTTTCCTTCAACATAATATAATACAAATTCAAAAGTACCGTGAGCGTCGCAATCAGTGCCGCCTTCATTCGTACCTAGGCGAGCCCGCGCAGAGACGTGCTTTTGGATCTCCCCTCCCAAAAGCCAAGTCGAAAGTGAAGTAGGCGCCCGACGAGTGCGGAATCCCCACCGAGCAGGAGCTTCAGGCAGGCAGGAGGAGGACAGTCAGTCAGGTCAACGATGACGCAGCGCGTGCGTGTGAGCGCCGTCACGCTGCTGCTGGGCGACGAGGCGCGCGAGCTGCTGCTGTACGCGGGTCTGCCGCTGCCGGAGCTGCTGCGGTGCGTCGCCTCGGGCTTCCAGCGGACAGGCAACCCAGCGACGCCCGTGGCGCTGCGCCACGCCTCCACGGGCGTCTTCTACCCGCTGTCGCTGCTCTGCCGCTCGCCGGAGCTGTTCGAGCACGCGCCCTACCACCTCGTGCTGGACGGCGCGGACGACGTCGACGTCTCCGCGTCCTCCGCCGCCGCCAGGAAGAGCCGGCACAGACACCGCAGCGGCCGCAAGCGCGCGGCAGCACGCGCGCGCTCGACGCCCGACAGACGCGAGTACCAGGCGGGGGCCACGACCTCCGACGCGAACGAAGAGGACGAGGACGCTGGCGCCTTCTGGGCGGAGCAGGAGAAGGAGGAGGAGAAGGAAGAAGAGGAAGAGAAGGAGCACGAGGCCGAGGCCCTGGAGATGGACCTCACGGACTTCGAGCTGCCGCAGCTGGTCAACGTGTTCGTGCAGGCCTGTCCGACGGGCGCGCTGGACCGCATCACGTTCAACCGCTGCCTCGAGAAGATCCTGTCGCAGTCGGGCCGCTACGACCCGCAGGCGCGCAAGATGTTCACGCGGCTCTTCAACATCTTCGAGCGGCGCAGCGCGCGCAAGGACATCGTGGACGTGGCGGACTTCCTGGGCGGCGTCTCGGTCTTCGCGAGCGGCGAGCGGGACGAGAAGATCCAGCTCACGTTCGAGCTCTACGACATGGACGGAGACGGCTTCATCTCGAAGGAAGAGATGACCAAGTACCTCACGGCGGTCTTCCTCGTCATCGGCGAGTCCTCGCCGGAGCTCTTCCAGCAGAACCAGTATGTGGCTTGTCTGTGGAGCTGGGGACACAGAATTGTGTGGCAAGATGAGGTGGCTAACTGACTGTTAATTGTGTTTTCATTTCATTGTTGTAGGGTAAACCCGACGGAGCTGGGCATCGTGACGGCGGGTCAGTGCTTCGCCGAGTCCAAACTCAACAGGGAGGGCAACTTGTCGTACGACGCGTTCCGAGAATGGTACTCGAAGCCGGGGCCCACGCAGCTCGTTGCGGCGACGCGCGGTAGCAGTGCAGGGGGCAACGGTCACGTGAATGGCGGGCAGCCATCAGAGGGCCTGGACTTGGCCACCTTGCGCGAAGTAACAGGTCTGTCAGCGCTGAGTGCGTCTGATCTTTTCTCCATCTTCAGCGCTTCCTCATCGACCAGTAACGGGGGCAAGAAAGAAGTGCTCACCCGCGCCGAATTCAAGCGATGTTTCTATGCCATTCTAGAGAGGTTGAACCGGGAACCCACCCGTGAGATTGCAAAGTTCCTCGATCGGCTGTTCGACGCGTTCGACGAAGACGAAAGTGACTCCGTGGACTTCATGGAGCTGAGCAGTGGGCTGTCGGTGCTGTGCGGCGGCGCAAATGAGGACAAGGTGATGGCGGCCTTTTCGCTTTTCGACACGGACGGTGATGGGTACATCACACAGCAGGAGATGGAAACGTATCTGGCGTCCGTCTTCAACGTCATGTATGAGACGACGCCGGCAACACGGCGATCAATTGGAATCGACGCAAAGGCTCTCGCTCATTACACGACGATGCAAGCTTTCCAGGAGGCGGACGTGAACCGCAATGGAAAGCTCTCGCTGGAAGAGTTCCGGGCGTGGTACTGGGTCACTGGACGGCATTACCAGCAGCCCACGACAGATCCACGAGCGGGTGTTCAGCGACAGCCGAACAACACTCAGGGCTTTGGAACAACAAATTTCGTCGCATCCCTCACAGGTCTGCGGGACCGCGCTCCAAGCGATGTATTCGAAATCATCGCGGCGAAAGTGAACGAAGACGGCGTCCTGTCACGGGAAGCATTCTTTTCTATTGTCGATGAGCTCGTTGAAGAGCATGCTGCTAATACCAATCACGAACTGAGTGTTGAGGAAAAGAATCAGCTTCAGCAAATCATGGAAAATGTGTTCGACGGATTCGACACGGATCACGACGGCTTCGTTGACTTCTGCGAGTTATCCAGTGGTATATCGGTGCTATGCAGCGGGTCGCAGCAGGAGAAAGTCAAATCCGCGTTTACTCTGTTTGATATCAACCAAGACGGGTTTATCTCGCGCGACGAAATGGAAACGTACCTGGCGTCAGTGTACCGGATTGTGTTCATGACCTCTCCAGCTACGATGCAGCACCTCCACGGTATTTCGCCGGAAGAGCTTGCTCGCATTACCACGACAGATGCGTTCACGCTAGCGGATACGAACCAGGACGACCGCCTCAGTTTCGAGGAGTTTACGAAATGGTACAGCACTCAAAATGCGCCTCAGATGCCTGCGCAGCCACCGCAACAGCCCGCAGTTGGTACGTCCTCATCGATAAATGGCACGCCTTCATCCCCGCGAGTATCTTCGCTGTCTTCAAAGGGGGTACTCAGTGAGATGAAGGAGCTGACTAACCTCAGCTCGTACGACGTGAACGACATTTTCGAGTTCTTTCAAGCTTCCGCAGATCGTGAGGGCAACGTATCGCAGCCAGTGTTCTTTCGTTGCTTCAACAAGCTTCTAGCAAAAGATGGACGCATCAGCCGTGACACGCAGATGAAGACGCAGCAGCTATTGAAGGAGCTTTTCGAGTTGTTTGACGCCAACAGAAATGGAGTTGTGGACGTGCAGGAGCTCGGCGCAGGACTTTCAATTCTTTGCGGAGGTAGTCGGGCTGACAAGGCTAAATCGATGTTTACCCTTTACGACGTCAACCATGACGGCTATATTTCCCCGGAGGAGATGACGTCGTACCTGACTTCTGTCTTCAAGGTGATGTTTAAGGCCTCTCCGGAGCTACCCGCCAAAACAAGGATGACGCCGGAACAGCTAGCGAAAACCACGACAAGAGAATGCTTCCGCGCCTTCGACCACAACCGTGACGGCCAGTTGAGTTTCGACGAGTTTCGAGTTTGGTTTGAGCAGCAAAATCCGCATGCTCAGCGCTTGCAAGCTCAAACTTCGAACGGTAGCAGGCACTCTGTTCCAAGCGCCCCAGCCGCCTCTACTTCCTCGGGATCTAGCGATGCCAATAGCACGGGGGTAATTCCGGTTGAAGTTGCTAAGAAACTGTCAGGTCTCGAAGGAATGTCCCTGGATGCGGTGTCCGAGCTCTTTTCCAGGGCTACTGGTGGCGGTAAACGGATCTCGCGATGTATTTTTGACGAATGCTTCTACAAGCATATATGCAGCAAAATTACGCCGTCACTATCTGTGGATGATGATGCTCGCGTGCATGAAGTGCTTGATCGGTTGTTCACCGCATTTGACACCGAACAGAAGGGTATAGTCGACTTTAACGAGCTGATCAGTGGACTCTCCATTCTCTGCGGTGCTTCGACTCGGGACGAGAAGGTTCTCGCTGCATTCAAGGTGTACGATACAAATGGTGACGGTGTCATATCAGAGGACGAAATGACTCACTACCTTGGATCGGTGTTCAAGCTGCTTTATGCACTCGACCCGACGCGCCAGCAGCAATTGGGTATTTCAGCAGAGACTCTGGCTGCAGCTACAGCAAGCGAGATTTTCGAGGTCGCGGACGTCAACCATGATGGGAAGCTGACTTTCGACGAGTTTCAGAAATGGTACTCGAGGCCAGAGCAGGCATCCTTCAACGACATTGTGGCCCCTCTGGACATGAATGAGGTCCGGCAACTGACCAACTTAGGCAACCTGGATGTGGTGGAGGTTTTCGAGCGCTTTGCGGAGCATGCCGATGAGGACGGCATGCTTAACCGAGAATCATTCGACAAGTGCTTCTTCGAGATCATTGAGATGGCGCACCCGCGCACTCAAATCGAAAAATTGCGAGCGAAGATGGTGGCAGATCGTCTCTACGACGTCTTTGACCGCGACGGCAACGGCCAGATCGACTTCAGCGAGCTCGCTAGTGGGCTATCCGTGCTATGCAAGGGTGCGCGAGATGCGAAGGTGAAGGCAGCATTCCGTTTGTATGATTTCAACGCCGACGGATTCATTTCACTCGACGAGATGAAGCGCTACCTGACGTCCATCTTCAGGGTCTTGTACGAAGTGCAGCCTGAAATGCGGCAGGAAACGGGCGTCTCGCCTGAGGAGCTGGGAGTAGTCACTGCTGAACAAGCATTTCTGGAAGCTGATTCCAACCATGACGGCAAGTTGAGCTACGATGAGTTTTTGACGTGGTACAATTCTCCCGCCCAGGCAGGAATCAGCAGTGCCGTGGCAAAGAACGCCATCGTGGACTCCTCGCTGCACTGGATGCCACTGAACGAGATCAAACAATTAACGAATCTGGCTCAATACGAGCCGGAGGAGGTCTTCGAGATTTTTGCTGGTGAAGCGGATGAAAATGGGCTCTTGTCACGGGATGCTTTCAACGAAAGCTTTCGTAAAGTGATCGCTGGTCAAAAGGCAAAGGGGGCCAGAGCAACCAGTCCTGAAACGCAAAAGAAGCTGCAAGAAGTCATTGATGGACTCTTCGATCTTTTCGACAGAGATAACAGTGGCGCTGTGGACTTTGGAGAGTTGGCCAGTGGTTTGTCTGTGCTATGCGGCGGCACGAAGGACCAGAAGGTGGAGGCGGCGTTTTCGCTGTTCGACTTTAATGGCGATGGCTTTATCTCGCTGGATGAGATGACTCGCTACTTAACATCAGTATTCCGTGTGCTTTTCCAAGTGTCACCCGACACTCAGTCGCTAGGTGTGACTCCTGAAGAGCTGGGAGAGGTCACCGCGCAGCAAGCATTTGCAGAGGCTGACCAAGACCACGATGGGCAGTTGACACTGAAAGAGTTCCAGCACTGGTATCAGCAACCGGGTGGAATTGGCGAGGTTGCCAAGAATGGGGAGCAGTTGTTCAGCCTAGCAGAAGCTCGGCGACTGACAAACCTGCAAGCATTCTCACCCATGGAAGTCTTCGAAACCCTAGCAGAGTGCGCCGACGAGCAAGGCTATGTGTCGCGGGAGGCGTTCGATAACTGCTTCCGGAAGATCATTTCGACAAACCAAGGTATCAAGTCAGAGGAGTACCAGCGAATCAACCCGATCCTCAACCGTCTTTTCGAGCTTTTCGACGTTGACAAGAACGGCATGGTTGACTTTAGTGAAATCTCGAGCGGGTTGTCTGTGTTCTGTGGTGGGTCGTCCGAAGAAAAGATTCGCGCCGCTTTCGCGTTGTATGACTACAATGCTGACGGCTACATCTCAATGGAGGAGATGACGCGGTACCTGACGTCGGTTTTCAGAGTGCTGAAGGAGGCATCTCCCTCCGCACTACCGCAAATCGATCAGGAGTCTCCAGAGGAGCTTGGTGTGCGTACAGCTGAGCAAGCATTCGCTGAAGCTGACCTGGACAATGACGGTCGTTTGAGCTTCCCTGAGTTCCGCAAGTGGTACACTCGGTCTAGCGCCGCTAACATGGAGCGACTCATTCAGAACAACATTCCAGAGTGGTTATCGCTGCGCGAGGTGCGCCGCCTAACCAACTTGGGTTCCTTCTCGGCTCAGCAGGTGCTGAACACGTTTGCTAAGTTCACATCCGCGGACGGCACCATGGACAAAGAAACCTTTCGGCAAGCGTTTGGGCACTTCCAAGTCGAATCTGCGACTGAGCAAGCAGAAGACCGACTCCAAATGCTAGTGGACCGGATCTTTGAACTGTTCGACAAGGATAATAACGGGCTGGTTGACTTCAACGAGCTCGCTAGCGGGCTGTCCGTACTTTGCGGTGGAAGTCAGACAGACAAGGTGCGCGCTGCATTCAACTTGTACGACGTGAACCACGACGGCTACATTTCTCTGGGCGAAATGCGCCTCTACTTGACGTCGGTCTTCAAAGTACTTTTCGAAGTGAATCCTGATAGTGAAGCGCGAATGGGCGTGACACCGGAGGAACTGGGCGAAATTACCGCGGAACAGGCTTTTGTTGAAGCCGACCTGGACAAGGACGGCAGACTTTCCTTTTCGGAATTCAGCGAGTGGTATATGCAGCCTAAGAAGGTGGGTGATTTACCGATGCCGGCGGTGCTTGGGGAACCTGAGGAGCAGCAACAGCAAGAACGGTCGCAGCGGCAACAGGGGAAACAGCAGCAGCGAATTCCCGACTGGGTGAGTCTTGATGTGGTGAAGCAGATGACAAATTTGGAGAAGTACACGGCCGATGAAGTGTTCGAGATCTTCGCAAACCGCTGCTCTGAGGATGGAACTTTATCACGCGAGGCATTTGAAGAGTGCTTCGAGCAGCTGGTGGACGAGCAGTACAAGAACGACGAAGCCAACTTGACTCGACTCCGCCTTATCCTGAACCGGTTATTCGTGATTTTCGACGAGGACCACAACGGGACTGTTGATTTCTGCGAGCTGTGCAGTGGACTGTCAGTTCTCTGCGGCGGTTCTCGCGAGGAAAAGGTGCGAGCAGCGTTTTCGCTCTACGACCTTAACCAAGACGGGTTTATATCACTGGATGAGATGGTGCGATATCTGGCAAGTGTCTTTAAAGTACTGTATGAGACCAGCCCCGGCACAGACGAGAAGCTGGGCGTGCAACCAGAAGAGCTGGCTACAATTACCGCTGAACAGTGTTTCTTGGAGGCTGACCTCAACGAGGATGGAAAACTGAGCTTCGACGCGTTTGTGATTTGGTACTCCAAGTCGGCGGGGTTTGAGGCGCCTGCAGCTGGCGTGGGCACCACCATCCTAGCTCAAAATGGACGACAAGGAGTGAATGGAAATGTGAGTGAGAGTCGCAGTGGTGGTTCTGTTCACCAACAAAGCAGCAAAGGAGGCAGCCAGCACAGTGGATCTCCTGCGCCCGCCCCCGAGTCGCCAAGGAAAACAATGTGGGGTGCTGGGAAGGGCCCCAACACCAACGCCAGCACTGCTCCTGTGAGCTTCCCGTCCGACAAGATCTACGGCATGACGGGGTCCAATGGCGACGCGCTGCTCTCGCCAAACTCAGCCTCAGCTCTAAATATGAACAGCTCTAACATGGAGCACGTGCGGCAGCTGCTGAAGCTCGACACATACGAAGTCAACGATGTGCTCGAGATATTCGCCGAGGCTGCGCCCTCCGGTGAGCTCACCTTCGCGGCCTTCAAGAAGTGTTTCGACCAGATCATTCGGCTGGCTGGTGGGCACGATTCGCCGGAAGAGCGACAAGAGGCTGACGTGATGATTCGCCGGCTTTTCCGCGTCTTTGACACAGACAACAGCAACACAGTCGACTTCGGCGAGCTTGCGAGTGGTCTGTCGGTGCTCTCCGGGTCGAGCATGGACGACAAGGTGCGCGCTGCCTTCCAGCTCTATGATATCAATGGAGACGGGTACATCACACAAGAAGAGATGATCAGCTACATGACGTCAATCTTCAAAGTGATGTACGAGACGACGGACAGCACGAAGACCAAGATGGGCGTCTCACCGGAAGAGCTTGCTCGCGCCACAGCAGAACAGTGCTTCAAGGAGGCCGACCTAAACGGTGACAACAAGCTCAGCTTCGAAGAATTCAAGAAGGTACGAATGTTCGATTTGCTGCATCTCCGTGTGCTGCTGGCTAATGGTATTGTGTGTTTGTTCGTTGTGATCTGTAGTGGTGCACTTCAGGAATTTGAAAAGGCCACACTAATTCGGAGCTTGTGAAACTAAAATGAATGCATTCGTTGCTGAACGGTTATTGCCGGTGATCCGTCCTCACTGAAGGACCTGGAGCTCAGGCTCGCGTAGGAAAGCATCATCGATATCGATGTCGAGGTTCATGTCAAAGACGAGCTTGTCGATGCCGATACCTCCTTCTTCCGCCATGAGGTCTGTGAGTGCATCGAGAAGGCTCTCGCTAACATCAGCTGCATGTGCACACACACTCGTTAGGCTCTCTATATCAGTAACAAAGTTGCTGTAAACACCTTACCGTGAGCATCGAGTAGCCGATTGCGAATTTGCTTTTGTTCGAGCCCCACTCGATCCGTGAAATTTCGAATAGCGGCTGCTCTCGAAAGAAATTCGTCCTCTTTGTCATCGTCCTAAACAGTATCATTAGCGAAACAAAATTGTTGCCACGCAGCAATACAAATGCTCACCAGTGTGCACACGAGCTTTAGCGCAAGCTCTTCCTCGATCTCGCTAAGGCTGCTAAGCAAACTCACGTGTTACTATACCGGCATGTTCGAGGTTCACAGATACAAGAGGCGTACCATTCCTCAGTGCAGTCAGGAGATGGAGGAGGCAAAACAGTAGGCCCCACACTCTCACTTGCACCAGCAACACTCTGTCGCGTTTCCCGTTCCGGTGCAGTAGCTGCTGGTTTAAGGGGAGGTACACACGAGTCACCGTTGGTGCTCGTGATATCTGCTGGCGAATTCCTATTTCAGCGTCAAACACCAGACTGCTCGTCAGCCTTTAAGCACATCGGTGGGCTGGAGGCAGTTACGTACCCTGACTCAATCCTATCTTCAGCAACTTTGTTCGCCATTTTTCCAGGCTGGCGCACTGCTTTCACGACAAGCAAACATTAGAGCGACTCATTTTGATTCTAAACCGTGCAACACGTACCATCTTGAGCAGGACCACGCTTGCTTCGCTTGATCACGGGGCCAGTCTCTGACGGATGCGGCACCAGCCCTCGTCTCTTCAATACAGCTCCATCGTTAGCCACCACGCCTGGCTTGGAAGCAAATGGAAAACGTCGGATACCGCCCCGGTGTGCCTTTTCGCATGCCACGTCACAGTTTGGAGGTTGCTTGCGTGCTGAGCTCTTGAGTGCAAACCCGCCGATACCTTCGGTGCGTACACTTTTGCAAGGGAATGCGTTCTTCTTGTCCTCGTGAGCGACTGACTCCGCTGTCTTTCGCTTTTTCGCGGCGGAAGACTTTGTGTCCGCTCGAAGGGTAATCGGAAGTGGCCCTTTCACTTGTGGCTTGAAGAGCGATCCCTTGCCAGCTCTTGGTCCGTCGTCACTTGCTGACTTGGTGCTCTTCTTGTTCAGTCCAGTGACGGAAAACTTGCGAAGAAATGGCTTCGCGGCAGCTAGTGTTGGTGCCGCTTTCCCCGACGCATCCCCTGCCACTTTCTTCGTCTCCCCAGTCTTTGGCTGGAACTTTGTGAAGCTGAACCCTCCTGTGCGCATTTTCAACGAGTCTTTCGCTGGCGGAGGGCGAGCGAAGCTGTTGGAGGAAAAGATGCTGGGCTTGGAGTTATCTACAAGACACACAGCGACCAGTCTAAACATCGATACCGCAATTCAACCGAAGCACAAGCAAGTAGCCGAGTTCGTCCTTACTCGTTTTATCCGCGGAAGCGCCAGCCCCTGCCGACTTGAGGAACGTGGGCTTGGGCTTCGTCTCGCGACTAGAGTCTTTCTCTGCAGTGCACGAGAGCATAACGAAACCAACGTAAGGAATTCAACGAAGCGCAACAGTATGTTAGACCCACGCACTTGTCAGCAGTGGCAACGGCTCCTTCGCTGCTCGCAGCTTGAATTTGCCTTTGGCTGGGGGTGCAGTGGCTGATGTGCTCGCTCTGCCGAGCGCACCGCCTCTCGTTCTAAGCCCAAAGCGATCCATGCCGCCCTGTGTCGTTGTTTCAGACTGCTGTAGCCTTCGGGGGCGCGCCCAGCGAGGAAAATTGCGGAATGAGGCAGAGTGGCGGGGAAATTGGATGCGGAAACTTCAACTTGTTGAGCGAGAGTGATGGTCAGGGAAACCTGTCGCAACCTGGTTACCGGTATCTCTTTGTCTTCGATAGAGAGCAACGAGCGCGAGCTCAGCCTGGGCGCCGAAGCTGTCGTCGACCTGCCGCAGGTTGCGAGAGCGCACCTTGGCGCGGAAATCCTTTGGGCTGAGGGAGGCAAACAACGGGTGGTCGACCAGTAGAGTCAGAAGTCGCTGGCACGCTGACGGATCGGAGCCCACGCACTGCTGCAAGAGAGCGATCAGCAGATGGTCCCATACGAAGCCGACAAAGGCGTCGCTCGGGCACTGCTCCAGCAGCCAGCAGACGTCAGCAACGCTCGGCAGGGCGACGGCGGCCAGCCCCGTCATCTCGTCATCTTGCGCCGGCTGCAGCTTTGGTCGCTGCAGACTTTTGTAGAGCTGGAGCCAGTCCGCCTCGCTCAGCGTCCTCCACTGCCGCACGACTTCAACTGCAGCGGCTTGGGGCTGCAAGAAATGTTTCTTCGCGCTCTCCTCCACTTGGTCCGATGCCGTTGCAGGTACAGCACTGTCACTAGCACCGGAGCTGTTACTATTGGCCTTATATGATGGCGAGGGCTTCTTAACGAGCTGCTCAAGTGGGAGGTCAACTGCCGGCGGCAGCAGGCTCGCGATCTGGAGCTCCGGCCGTGGCAGCACGAACTCGTCTTCGATGCGCGCGCGCTCGAGCCGTAGCCGCTGCGGAGCACGCCGCCTCAGATAGCACAGCTGCATCACGTGGTCGGACGCCAGGCCTGGCTGGTAGAGCTGGAACACGGAGGCCGCCTCGCCGCCGCCGCCGCCGCCGTCCGCCTTGGGCTCATCTTGCATGTCAGAAGAGTGTCACGTCACTTTTTCGAGCAAAACGTAAACGATGTCACTATCACGAGACCCCCTTATTAGCGATCCGGAACTCTGCGCTGTCACTATTCCGAAACACTATTGGTCGCAATCGGCCAATCGCAGCGCGGATACTGAACAGCGCATCTACGACAGTATAAAGCGGTGAGTCACCTTGAGACAGTGACCGACACGCCCTTTCGTTTGCGCTTCATTTCGCCAGTTCATTCCGCAATCTGCATCACCGGACGCACGCCATGGCCGCCCCGGTCTTCGACGAGTCCCAGTTCGCCTCGCTGGAGGCCTACGCCGAGGCACTGAACGCGCAGCTGGAGGGAAAGAGCGCGACCGAGATCGTGGAGTGGACCTTCGACACGTTCGGCGCGCGCACGGTGCTGAGCTCGAGCTTCGGCATCCAGTCCGCCGTCATGTTGCACCTGACGCGCAGCGTGAGCAGGAGCATCACCGTGGTGTGGGTGGACACGGGCTACCTGCCCAAGGAAACGTACCAGTTTGCAGCGCGCCTGACCAAGGCGCTGGACCTGGACGTGCGCGTGTACCAGTCGCCGATCACGCCGGCGCGCATGGAAGCGCTCTACGGCAAGCTGTACGAGCTGGAGACGCCCGAGGCGCACCGCCAGTACGGGTTCATGCGCAAGGTGGAGCCCATGCAGCGCGCGCTCAAGGAGCTGGACGCAGCGGCTCTGCTCGTGGGCGTCCGCGCGGACCAGACCCAGCACCGCCAGCACATGAAGCACGTCAACGTGTACGAAGGCCGCCTCAAGATCTGCCCCATCCTCAATTGGAGCAAGCACGAGGTCGACCAGTACATGGCCGTCAACCAGCTCGAGTACCACCCGCTCAAGGCGCAGGGCTATGAGAGTGTGGGCGATGCTCACTCCAGTCGCCCCGTGACTGAAGCGGACAAGGGCAACGACCGTGCTGGACGCTTCAACGGCAAGCAGCAGGAGTGCGGACTGCACCTGGACATGCACGACATGAAGCTCGAGGACCTCAAGTTCGACGACCCGTTGGCGCTGTCCGAGAACGACCAGAAGCTGCTGGAGCTCACCAAGAGAGCGAAGGGCATCACGGTGTTCACCAAGCCTACGTGCAAGTACTGTTTGGCTGCCAAGGACGTCATGCGCGAGCGCGAGTGGGAATTCGACGAGGTAAGCGTGCCCACCGAGGTGTCTATCCAGTCACTACAGCAAATTGTTGGCAAGCCCGTCAAAACCGTGCCACAGATCTTCCTGGACGGCAAGTACATCGGGGGATACACGGAATTCGTCGCGCACCTCGGCATCCCGTCGCGTTTTGCCTAAACTGCAAACCGTGGATACTTCAAACCCGCGCAATCGTAAATATCAATATACCAATATGAAAAAAGTATTCCATGTGCTCAGCATCGTTCCGCTACGGTTTAGTTGGGCTCAGTCGGAACTGCGCTAGCTTCGCCTCCTTGTTGGGTCGAGCTGTCGGGTACCGCCGCATCGTGAGGTTCTTCTTGTGTCTTGCTGTCTGGCTCCGCCGTCGCCTCAGCAGCGCTTGTCGTAGGAGATGATGCTGATGCCGCGCCTTCCCCGTCATCTCCTGTCTTTCCTTGCTTGACACCGCCGTGGCCACGCAGCGGAGGTGGCTGCGAGTAGCTGAGCAGCCGAAGCAGACGTAACATCTTCTGCAACGTGAGCTCGAAGAGAACATGTGAGTTGTCCATGCGATCGCGGGCATCCGGAGACGAAATTTCATCCAGCGCTCGACGGAGATGCACGTGTGTGTCGTAGATATCCTCCTCTTCCTTTGGTTCGCCGTCTGTCGCCTCATTGCCAGCATCGCGTGGAGTCATAGCCAACTTCAAAGTGTCTTCGTCTCTCTCGCCCTTGCGATCTAGCCTGAACTTGACGCACCCGCCACTAGCCTCTTCATCGACCTCGGCTAGAATGAGAACGCTTGCAGCGCTGGTGGCAAGGTGCACTCCTTCGTCTTCACCCGCCTGTTGCTGAGTACTGTCATGGTCGTCCGTCATGTAGGGCCAAGACATCTCCTTGACCGAGAAGACAATCTGCTTGCTATTGCTGATCGCACTCGGCCACCGACTAGTTGCTGCACCGTTCGTGCGACCCCACTCAGCGTTGCCGTTGCCGTCAGTGACCTCAAAACCCGCCACGATGCTCGCGATTTCATCGATGACGCGGTCTTCGAGCATTTTCATCTTCGGAACGAAGCCCAAGCGTTGCCTTTCATCGCTCTCATGGTTTCCCTCACCGTTATCCTCATGCTCCAGATCCAGCGGAGGGCACAGATCGATTCCGGCACGCGCAAGTCGTGTGAGAAGTTCCCCTGGAGGCAGCGCTTCCTTACTCAGCGCCTCGAGCTGCGAAAGAGCAGGCTCTACAAGTCTCGCTCCGTACGGCGTGATCTCGAACTGCACACGGGGAAAAATTGCTGTGCTTAGCGTCAACCGCGCGCGCATATCTCGGAGCTCATTGTCTGTCGATCCACCGTGAAGGTCGTCGGCAATAGTTGGTCCAGCTCGCGGACTGGTATCCATACACAAGCGCCACGAGCGCTTGTGGTAGTTGCGGTCACGTCGAACAAGTAGCGCCAAGTGAGTAAGCCGCAGTGTGCTGAAGTTGACCGAGTTCGTGTCTTCTTGGAACACAACGTCAGTCACGCCTTCCTCTTCCCAGCGCATGCGGGTCGCGTCCCACCAACCGATGCGAGGCATCTCAGCACTAGACGCGTTCACAGCGGTGGTCGGCGCAAAGAGAACATCCTTGGGCAATGTTAGGCTGGCCTTGATAGGTAGTGCAGCAGAGAGCACCATACCATCCAAAGGATAATGCAGGCGCTTCAATTGCTCGCGCGCGTCGGGCACTTCCCTCATGATCCACCCTCGAGCTCGCTTCGGAGGCGACGGTACTGCCAGTAACTCGAGCGAGAAGACCCCACCCAGCGCGACATCGGTGCCTTCCGACAAAGAGGAAAACGCGTCAAACGGCCAACGCGTCACGCGCAACGCCAATGACTGCGTGATGACAGCCTTCGGGAGATCTATGCTCACACCGAGCTCCGAGAACTCCACGCGCTTGTTACGTGAAGATCCTTTGGCTAGCAGGTTTACCCACAGCCCAAGTTGCACCCAGCCTGTGTTCGGGGATGCACTCGCCAGCTTCACCTCGCCACGCGTTGCATTTACATTGTTAGAGCTGCTGGTCGGTGCTGGGACGGATGGTGACAAGTCCGCGTACTCGTCGGCGAATTGCAGTACGTGCGCCGTCGTGAGATCCACCTTCTCGACAACGAGCTCTTGCAAGCGAGCGATGAAGCGCACGCACTGTGCTCGAAGTGGGCCGTCATTGGTCGCGCACGCGTTGGCAGCTACGAACGTCAGATCCTCCATGACCTCCGTGGCGCTCTCGCACACTGCAGTAACGGCAGGCAGCTCCAGCTCCAGCGTAGCCGTGTCCAGCTGCCACGAGTTCAAGAACGAGTTCATATCTCCCTCCACCTGCGCATCGGGTCGTGGTTGACAGGCCAGGTAGTTGTCCCAGTCCTTGGCTTCCTTCTGTGCTCGCAAGAGCTCGGCGAGTCGCACCGCCTTGGCCTCCAGATCCTGCTTGGCCTCTTCGTGCTCGAGTGCCAGTCGCTCCAGCTCGGCAGCGCGGTTCTTGGCGTTCTCCTCGCGCCGTCGAGCCGCTTCTTGTTCGCGCTTGAGCCGGGCCTCTTCGATGCGCTTCTCTTCCTCGGCCCGCAGTCGCGCCTCCTCTTCTTCCTGGAGCCGTCGCTCCTCCTCGAGCTCTTCCTTGGTCTTTTTTGGGGCCTTGGCTTTCTTCTTGGGACCCTGCAACCAGTCACAGCGGTACACCAAACAGCATCAGACATGTGCGTGCTTCATTGCCATTGAGAGGCCCTAGGATACCATGGCGGACTCGTGTAATTGCTGCTGGCAGCGCGCAATAAGTGAAGCGACGCGATCCAGAACTGAAGTGTAGCCATCTCGAGGAGGATGGGCCGCAATCCCCGCGCGAGTGACTGGCTTCTGATTAGTGACCGGTCAAGCGCAAACTTCGCTCGGTATTTCGGCACTGCTGACCAGCAGGAAGCGTCGCCATGCCGCGGCAAGCTGGAGCTCGACATTGAAGCTGCGGCGTTATTGTCGTCGACTTGCGCAGTCCGGCTTCATGGTTCGTCAGCGCCGCATTGCGACGACGAGCTGTGTCCGACCCATCGGATACGGCGTGTCGTGCGTTGCTGCTGGAAGATAAGAAACGGAGCGCGCATTGACGCTCGCCGAGAAGCGAGAGCAAGAGTGTGAGGGCCGCAACGGACGGAAGCGTAGCGTCGAAGCCGAACGACAACGGACATCCTGTCCACGTTTTCGCCGCGCTTACGCCCGGCCTGCTTGTTTTTGCTCGACGCCTGCAGTGCAACCAGCCAGCCGCGCAGCAGCTCATCGGATTGAGACGATTGGGTGGGGCCCATAGTTTGGGCCATACACTGTACACCCCATCGAGCCGATTGAAAGCCGAGCGGCGTGATCGAGCTGATCGCCTGCTTCAAGCTGGTCCATGCAGCGCAGCAGCTCGGCGCTGCTTCGACCGCCCGGCGGCCTAAGATTTGCGCTCGTCGAAGGTTCGTGCAAACCACACCTTCTACGAGCCCTGGGGAGAGCCGGGCTCCTCGGCTCTTGGGTGAACCCAAAAAGTCGCGAGCTCGGGCTCCTGGGCTCTTGAGTTCAATAGGTTAAGTGAAAGGAGCCCTCCAGAACTGTGAGCCCTCGTTAAGGGCTCCCCCTCACCTGTGTTAAATATCTCGCTGATGATTGGCCGTCAGTGAAGTATCTCCAGGTTCTAACATGAAAAGACATAGGAAAGAGGGCTTCTCCTTGAGGGGAAGGAAGGACTATCGGCGACGCTGGGGTGGCCTCGGAGCGGCTGTACACATATGAGCGGCGCGAGATCTTCTAGTGTGGCGATCTTTGAGCTCGATCTTCTAGCGTGGCGCATCGATCACGCGAAGTTGCTCGCCTTAAGTCTAGGTAAAATTGGCCAATCAGATATTACTATGAAGAGCCCGTCATAGATTTGAAGCTAAATTTGGGGAGCCCTGGAGGGGAGCCAATGGGGAGCCCGAACCAGGGCTCCTTGATCTCGTACTTACCATGAGGGAGCCCATTTTGTGCGACTTTTGGCTCTCGTTTTAGGGGGAGCCCACTTTTGAAGTAGACGGGCTCGGGCTCGTAGAAGGTGTGGTGCAAACTCATCGGCCCATGCGATTGCCAGCGGCAAGAACACGCCGAGTGCGGCGACACACAGCCTATCTTGCTCTTGTGGCGTCGGCGCGGCATCAACCAAGCAGCGTCGAGGTTCGAGCCTGGAGATGCGCCCTGGAGCGCGCGCCGAGCCTGAGTATGCGAGGTCTAGACTAGCCTCATGTCTCAGAAAGGCCCGTCGCTTGCACGCCAAGTGTTTCGCTGTTTATTGAAAAGGCTCGCTTGGCGGGCGAAAACACTTGCGCTCTGTATGCCGCTGGCGCGTTGAACTTGCGGCCCGAACACGGCGAGCGGCGCCGGCGCCCACTTTTCTGCGCGTGCTCGACGTCCACCATCGCGGCGCTGCGCAGCCGTCGGCGGCCCTTGCTGCTTCCTCGATGTAAGAAGACGCCGCCGCTCCGCCGCGTTATCTCCGGCAGAATGATGGGGCCGGCCCCGCGCGCGGGCGGTAGCTACTTGAGGTTGCCGAGGGCAACGTGTCGTGCCGCGTCACGTTCGTACTTAGCGCGGCGAATCAATGGGATAGGGGCGCCCAGTATGGGCATAGTGGGGGCAAGTGCGATCTTTTCCGGCCAATGGAATTTTTCCGTGGCTGGCGCGCAACGGCTGCTGGTGGGGGTCCGCTTCAGCGGCGCTAAATTGGGGCCCGCGTCCGTGTGTCAATGAGTTGCAGCGCCCCGGCCGCTCTCTGCCTGCGGCGGCGCACAACGCGCGATGATTGGCCAACGGCTCTGATATGGCGCGCCGATTGGCGCAAATCACGGCTTATTCCCTCTGGCGATCCGCCGCATGCCAAATGTGTCCATTCCCGAAGTTGAGGCTCGAGCGCACAGCCGCAGCGCCCAAAGTACCGTCGTACCGCCCGGCACCATACAAACTTCAAGTCAGTCGTGGCTCATGGAGGAGCCGCTGAGCTTCGCCGAGGCCGCGCGGCGCGTGGGCGTCAAGCGCGACGTCTTCTTCCGCCGCGTGCTCGTGTCGGACGCCGACGTGCAGCAGCAGATGCTGGCGCGCATCACGGACGAGCTGCGCGAGCTGCTGGCGCGCGAGGACCCGACGCTCGTCACGGACTTCCACCCGACGGCGCTGCGCCTGATGCTGGACGCGCCCTTTCCGGCCATCCGCGAGGCGCTCGCGCAGGTCGTGGACGTCGTGGAGCAGAAATTCCCGGAGGCCGCGGAGCTGCGCGAGCGCCAGACGCGCGTGTCGTACTTTTTCGCGAACGGCGACGCGCCCGAGGACGCCGAGGCCGAGACCGTCCCGCGCGTGGACGCCCAGGACGACGACGCGCTGCGCACGCTGTTCCAGGAGACCTTCCTGCGCACGGGCCGCGTGACGCACCTCATGCAGATCCTGGCGTGGCACCCGAGCTACCTGGAACTCTTCGACCGCAGCCTGGCCTCCACCATGACGCGCGACGGCACGCTGCCGCTGCAGTGGCGCAGCTACATCGCCGTCATGGGCGCCAGCGAGCTGCGGTGTCACTACCTCGCCGACCTGCAGCAGTACAACTTCGTGGTCAACGGCGGCGACGGCGAGTGGATCAAGGGCCTTGACTACGTGCCGCCCAAGCTCTTCCGGCTGCACGAGCTCAGCTCGCTGCTCGCGCACCGCCCGTGGCTGCTGACGGCCGACCATGTGGCGGAGCTGCTGCGCTCGGACCAGGACGACTCGTGGTCCGTCTCGGAGCTCGTGCACGCCATCATTGTTCTGTGTCAGGCCCACTCCATGTCCAGCATCGCGCTGGGCGTCGGCTGCGCCGAAGAGGTGGATCTCGCCGTGTTTGGGCAGTTTGGCTTCGCGCTGGACGCCGAGTCGGCGAGCGCGGACGTCGACAACCAGGAGGGAGCCGACGCCAGCAGCTGCAGCAGCGTGGACCTGTCGACCATCGACCGCGACGACGAGATGCTGCTGAAGCAGCTTAAGAAGAACAGCGGACTGGACAGCGACACTGCGGACGAAGAGGAGGAAGACAACAATGAACAGGACGAGCCGGAAGACGGAGAGGACGACGAGGACGCGGAATACGACGCTGACGACGGATTCGAGGTGGTCGTCGATGAAGCAGATTACGGAATTAACGCCACCACTGCTAGCCGACGGAAAGACACGCTGTGGCGGTTCTGCGGTGGCAGTGTCATCCGCTATGCCGACTTCGATGTCCGCTCCGAGGAGTACGAGGTGCTGCACACGGAGGACTTTAGCTGGGACGAGCACTGCTTCTCGCTTGTGAAGCGGTATTTCCCCGGCGAGGCAGGACAGATCTTGGAGGACTTGTTCAACCTGACGAGCAAGCTGACGTACGACTACTTTGGCGCGCAGAAAGAGGAGTGTGTGGACACCAGCCCGTACCGCGATGCCGTGTGGTACTACGTGCACCGCATCTTCGGTATTTGCCACGACGACTACGACTACCGGCAGGTCAACACGTACCTGAACCGACCGACCAAGATTTTCCTGAAGAAGGTGGCGTGCACGCCCTGGAAGGTGCGTCAGGAAGACTTCGAGCACTTCGACCGCACGCTCAGCCCGTCCGAGAAGTGCCACGTCATTCTTCTGGTCGCCGAGGCGCGCAAGCAGGCCGGACTCATGTACGGCCTGCGCGCCGTTATGAATCACATGCGCTGAAGGGAGCCCGAAGTCGGCTCTGTATCCCTGTGACTTACTCTACCCAAGCAGTCCGTTCCAGTCCAGTCCTGCGTGGTTCATTTCCGCGGAGTCAGCATTTTTGGGGTCGTTGAAGTACCCTGCTGCTCCGTTCTCGATGCCCTGCGCACCGTGTCGTGCCCCAACCAATGCCGAACCAGCGCGAACCTATTGAGCTCTTCCTTCGATGCAGCAGACGCGAACGAGCGTTCGCAACTTTTTGGCCAGCAAGACAAGACAATGAAAAAGCTTCAGAAGCAAGAGCGTAGCAAGGCGATAGAAGCACAGCTACAGCAATGCAAACTAAATGAATGTAAGTTAAGTCTCATTGTTTTTGGAGCGGTTGCTGCCACGTGTGCGCTAGTTTGACGTGATACCGAAGCACGCCGTCCGAGCCTTCGCGTGTTTCAGGCCGGGCCTTCGACTCTGTGGTGGACTTGCTGCTAGTGGCATTGACCAGCTCTTTGTCTTGGTTAGACTGCCAGAGGTACTCGATCAGCTCCATACGATTGACCGCGGGGGAGGGGGCTGACGTGATGAAGAGCTCCTTGCTCTTCACTGGGGCGACATCCAGACGGGTTCCTCCACCAGGTAGTGCTCTGGTACTTGCGGAACGCTTTAGACTACTGCGTTGGTTGTTCGATGGCAAATCGCAGTGCACCGAGTTGCTACCTCGGCGAGGACGAAACAAGCTCGACTTGACGTCTGCAAGAGTTACCATGGAGTACTTCTTGGAGCGCGCGTCTAGCCTGTCACCGCCGCCTCGACCACTATTGCACTCGGAGGTGCCGTCTGTGCTAAGCTGGAACTGCTCGAGCTCTTTCAGCACGGAGTCTGAGCAAGCAAGACGTCGAAGAAGACACATGAGCAGCAAGTATGAGCAGCCACAACAGCACAGCAATGCTTACGCAGTGACGAAGTGTCCTGGTCGATCGCCTTGAAGGCAGAAGAAGGCGCCGCCCGCTTGGTTTCCACCCCCGAGGTCGTTTGAGCCAGGATGAAGTTACGCACGGCACGCCCAGCTTCGGACGGTCTAGCGTTCGCCTTCCGGGACCTTGGGCGTTGGTGAGAGAAGGATAAGTCACGTTTTGTGAGTGACAACCGCTCCTGCAGGACCGACACGCGAGGCTTGAGGACGCTCCTCCACGCGGACCCTGCCGGTCGTCGCAAAAATTCCTTCGCCTCCGCCTCACGCTGCTGCCGGCGTGCTGCCATGTTGACCGGAAATGTCCACGGATGATCGAGCGGTGCTCGTCGGGTGGCGAAGTGATCGAGGACACCGTAACTCTCGCCGTTGACCCCCCAAAGCTTGATCTGCCCGCTCGCCGACGACGTCACCACGGCTATTGGGTTCGTCGCCACTTCCAGAGAGAGCACCGCTCCGCTGTGTGCCTGCCAATGCCGCGTTGCTTGCACTACATCAATCGTCGGAGCACCATCATTATTGTCGGAAGTACTGTTCGTACTACTTTTCAACACGGCGTGGTGATACAGGGCAGCAATCGAGTCGAAGCCGATGGCCATTTCTTCGTGCTGGAACGCTGTCCCATGACCTCGCCGCGATTGACCATTTCCAGACGACGGCCTTGACATGGGCCTCCCGCTCGGTAGTGAGGCAAATGTCAATACATGCTCACACGATCGATGAACGTGCCATTGAGAGACAAACCCGCCTTCATCACTCGCGTACACGTGTACACCGCACTCGTGCTCCAAGCGGAGACAATCTTTAATCGCTGGTCTACCCTCGAAAATTGCCAAGTTCTCCTTAGCTGACACTTCAGCCGAGCTTGCCACTCTCTCTGTCTCCGAAGAACCACCATCGTCTTCAGCGCCGTCGGCGTGGGCAGTCTCCGGAACGCAAATTGTTATGATATGTGTGATGGCAGCGTTGGGGTTACTTCGGTCGACGTTCGTGGTTGTAAAAGGTGACGACGCCAACTCCATCACGCACCTGTACGACGTCGTTCCTAGGACTGGAGACCACAAAAACACTCGTCCAGACGATGTGCCGCCCACAATGTCCGCTGTCGACCCGAAGAAGCTCATGCTGGTTATCTCTCCACAAGACTGTGGAGCGATGCATGTGCCCTGCGAGTGGCTCATGTCGAAATTCCACACCTGGATGAAGCTGTCTCCACGAGGATTCGCTACAAGCACTGCGACGAGGTTCAGTGCCTCGTTTCCGGTGCTCTTCATGATCACATACTTGGCAGCGCTGGCTTTACTGGAGTTATTGCTCTGCGCAGCTCGCCCCGGTGAGCCTTGGTTGTCTTCTTCTGCTGCTGCAAGTGTCGACGCGGACTCAATTTCAGGGAGCAAGCGAAGCGCTGCAAAGAGTACCGACAGAATGGGCCCCCCTCCGAATGGCACGTAGTAACCCTGTGGGTTGTTCTCGTCACAAATGTGCAGGACGGAGTCCGCAGACACGGAAATTACACGCTTGCCATACAGCACGTACGATACACTCACGACACATTCAGTGTGCGGGTCCAGCTCTTTCATCACGTTGCCATTCACGGCGTTGACGACTTTGATACTTCCTGTGTCATCACCAACAATGATTTTACGCTCGCGATCGTCGACACACACTGCGGTTATGGCTCGAGCATGCGCCTCACGCGATTCTGGGTCGGCCGTTTGTGTACTGCCAAGCTGGGAATTCGCCGCGGTTGGACTTTGGGTAGACATGACAATCGCCGCATACTCGTACGTCTTCCAGAGCGCCCCAGTGTCCCCCCTCCAAAGCAGCAACTTGGTGCTCGTGGCCCCAACGACCACATTCAAGGCGCTACAGTAGTACGCGAAGAAGACTTCCTCGCGAGGTTTGACTTCGCAGTGGTCGTAGAATTTGACCTTGGTGCCTGCAGTGATCAGCACGGGATCGCTCGCTGCTGTTTCAGGCACGACAAACATGCTCCAGAGAGTCTGAGGAAGTTGCCAAGTCGAAGCTGGAGGGGGGACGTACTGGAAGGTCTGGAGACATTCCCACGGCTCCGACGTCGGCGTTCGCATCACGCTCGAGTAAACATTGAACGTCTCGGTTCGGTCAACGCTGATGAGCTGGTGGTTGGAGTCGACGAAGGCGAGCAGCTCCACGGGCGCCTCGTGCTGCCTGAGAGTGGTGTCGTGGGACAGCATTCCAGCCGAGCTCGTCTTCTTCCAGGTCGAAATGTGCAGCGAGGTCTCGTCAGCGTACGAGTGGAAGCCGACACTAGCAAGACCCTCCACTTCGTTCGAGTACACCAACACTTTGACTCCACTCCCGTGAGCATCGAACGAGCCCACTTCCTCGCCGGTCTCAGTATCCACGACAGTCAGGATGCCGTCCTCACGACCTACAGCAAGGTACGTGCGGTTGATAGACCGAAACGCTACAATTGCTGTGACGCCCTTGAGTCGCTCCTGCACAACCGTGACCTCTTTTGTGGCGATGGTCCCCGGTGGCGGCGCTCGAATCTTGCCGGACAAGTCCCAGAGCTCGAGCTGGCTGAGTTTGGTGTGCGGTTGGTCCGCACCCGCATTGGGGCGATAGCAGTCACGCTTAGAAGCGGTCTCAATACCAGGGAATATCACGGCAGACGTGGCCATGCTCTTGAGTGAAGGCACCCAGCACAAGTGCTCCTGGGCGGCGAGTGATTCAAGACGATGAGTCATCACCGGATTGTACAAGTCTGCCACGTTCCAGATGCTCAGATAACCCCTCACGAGCACTGAAGAGGTCACCAGCGACTTCCGCGTGGGCACGTAGACCACATCAATGATCACATGCTCTTGGAAAGCGGTGTGCAGACGCATAGTGGAGAGATGTCGAGGGCCGTCGTTCCGGTCGAACTGGAGACCGTAAATGTACACGACGTCCGAGTTCACCTCGAAGTACGCCACTGCGTTCTGGTCGGTGAGAAGGCGCATTTGCTGGACGCGCGACGTGATGTGGCGTAGGGGGGTCTTTGGGTCAGGTGGGAGCATGGGCAGCGGGACGTAGTGCTTGTTGGAGCGGCCTCGGCCCTCGAAGTAGAAGTCGGCTTTGGCCTGGCCCGCATCCATCATGTAGCCGGCGAACTCGTCCCAGTCCAGCACGGCGTCCCCGTTCACGTCGATGGTGTGGAAAAGCTCGATCACGCTGACAACGAAGTCGAGCTCGGAGTGGATTCGGTCGCGGAGACTCTTCTTCATGAGACGCACGAACGCCTCCAGCTCCAGGCTGCCAGTGAACTGGCCGCGCAGCCTCCGCACGTCCTCCGTCGTCATATTCATCATGACGTCCATTGTGATCGAGGACGGCTACTCAGGCGTTGCCAACTTGTTGCTTGGAAGCGTCCAGCTCGTTGAAGCTGACGTCCGAAATATCTTGCCCCAATCTAGCAACGATTCAATGCCGATGTGGGGCAATTGAAGCGGACAGCTTTCACGACCCTCCATTCCAAACTGGAAGACACGGTGCCGCTTGGGCGTTCGCCCCACATTAACGCTGTAAGTCTCCACGACACTTGGTAAGATCAAGTTGACTCATATTCATTGATTGCTAAGTATTTAGTTGGCACTCGTCGACATTCGGTACTGCGTGGCGGGGGACTTGGGCGAGAGCACCTCGGCCGCGTCGGTAGGAGCCTCGTGTTGAGCCTCCGCCCCGGCACTCAGTTGTTCCTTGCGCGTCGTGATGGCCAGCACCACGAAGCCACCAAGCACCAGCGCGGACGAGACGAACGTGACCCAGCCGGGCTTGATGTCGTTAACGATCCAGTCTGAGAAGATGGCCATGGGCACCGTCAGCGACAAGCCGATGGTGGCCGTGGTGGTCGACGTGTACATGATGGACACGGCCCAGAGGTAGTCGGCCAGCACGTTGTTCAGCAGACCCTGCACGAAGAGCAGACCCACGATCTCCCACGTCAAGCCCTGCAGCGACTCGACGCCCGTGTAGTTGAAGATGATGCAGAAGATCGCCAGCACCACGAGGCTAAAGAGCCCCACGAAGCCGAAGAACAGCGACACACTCATGCCTGCGTCGTCGGGCAGGTATTTGCGGATAGCAGTGGTGTAAACTCCGAACATTATCGCGCCGATCAATGCGCAGATGTCACCCCAGAAACCTTCGGAGATGCCGCGCTGGAGTCCTTGGCGAGGGTCGTGCAGTTTCCGGCCATGCAGAGCGCCACGCCCAGCGCCTTGAGCCACGTGAAGCGCTCCTTAAGGATCCAGACGGCCAGGATCAACGTGAAGACGGAAGACGTGGCGCTCAGGATGGTGCTGCTCGTGACGCTGGTGAGGTTGAGACTCTCGTTGTACGTGAAGTTGGCGATGAACCAGAGCGGGGCCACAATGGCCGCCGCGATCATGGTGCGACGGAGCGTGGCCTTGTCGTGCGGAGTCTGCGTCACGACGGGGCCCGTTTCGTTCTTGACCTGCGGCAGATCGGACAAGCTCTGCCCCGACAGGCCGCGGCCAAGCTGCGGCATCCACACCTTGGTCACGTAGTAGATGGGGAGGTTCACGGAGAAGAGCGCCATGCCGAAGGACGTGAGGAAGAACGGCGCCTCGAACGACAGGTCGTTGAAGATGTACTGGATCAAGACGCTCGAGAAGTTCCAGATGATGGCCACGCACACGAGGAAGACGCAGCCCACGACCCACTGCCACACGGATCCGCGCTTGGTCGCGGACGTGGGGTCGTTGTCCTCGGCATTGGCGGGGGCCACGACGGGCGTCGGCGGGTTCGACACGGACGCGCGCGAGATCGACAGACGCTGGCTCATGGCGGGCGGGGGATTCTTCGGGGCGACGTGTCCTGCGGCCGGAGCTTTCGAGAATGCGTTGCCTCCAGCCTCTCGCTTCCGGGCCAAACGATGGCTGGCGCGTGCATGGAGCTGCAGTCGGCTCTACGATGGTACTTAGTACGTACAGGCGGTGCCTGCGATTTTCGTATGAATATCAATACTGGGAGACCTCGTCCGTACGAGGATTCCAGCGACGATCTAGCACTGCGGCACTAGGTCGACCTTTGTTGCGAACTCCTACTTAGCTCCGGCGGGCGTGGCTGTCCGCTCAGACGCAGCTCAAAGACGCGTAGAATGTTGCGAGAGGCGTTCACATCGCGGTTCACAGTAATACCGCATCCGCCATTGTTGCGCAGACAATGGAGTACACTGTGAATCTTGCGATTGCGAACAACGCCGTCTCGGCACTCTTGGCGCTGGTACTGGGTCACGAGGTCGCCGGGGTGCGCCTGCCTGCAGCCGTGGTGCACCTTGCTGGTGCGGTACTCAGACTCCAGCTCCACCCGGCAGTACTTCGAGAGCTCGCGCATGAACCGCTTGGTGGGGCCGCCCGGAGACTTCTTGATCACGCCGCCAAAGTCGGAGCAGCTCCAGTCCCCAAAGCCGACGATCGTCCTGGCCGGGTCGCGGCCAGCGACGAACCGCGTACACAACTCGTGCAGCTACTTGCGCGACTGGCAGTAACGTCGGAACCTCAGGTCCCGGAACTTCTTCCTCATCGTGAACGCCAGCAACATGTCGAAGCGAGGCACCACGTAGCGCACGTAGGCCTCGAGCCTCTCCAGCGAGCACGTCTTCTTCGTCGGAACGAGGCGGTTGGCCTCCGAGACTTCCTCGTCGGCGTAGTCGTACCAGTGCCGGATAGTTTTGTTGCTTTGCGTGTAGGAAGCGTCTCGGTAGAACTCCTTCGAGGAGCAGCGAATGGTCTCGCCGTGGTTGTTCGTGGCGACGAACAATGTCGCGGCGACCAGGATCAAGCCCCCACCGTGTCGAGAAGAATGCAGCGGTCTCAGGAGACATCTGCAGCTCCTGTCGTCCTTGAACGGGTTTCTTGACGGTGATGCTGACGGACTTGCCGTCCGTCGTGATCTTCCCTGCGAAGCAGCGACTTGGAGACCCGTCCGGCTTGGACGTCTCGACAAGGTTCGTGTTGAAGAGCCGCCGCCACATGCTGTCCGCGACAGCGTTCCAGTCGCTACCCTCTTCCGGAACATCATATCCACTTCGAACCAGCATCGCCCGCAAGCCGCGAGAGGACATGGTGAAGTGAGAGCAGACGAAGCCCCGTTTCGTTGGTAGTAGCGAGTACGTCCTTGCCATCTCGAAGCCCGGTTCTCCTTCGTGCTCGCGGTTGTGGTCCTTCACGAAAGTGAGGAACATGTGCACAAGCGGGAGTAGCTCGCTAGCTCGCTCCTTCATCATTGCGGGGGATCAATTCTCTGTACTCCAGCACGATCTCGTTGTCTCCGTCGTACTCGGGGTCGAGGATACCCTTGAGCACAAGGTAGCGATCGCGGCCAGCCAGCCCGTAGCGGAGCGTAATGTATTGTTTGAAGCGCCGGTAAAAGTTGAGCTGGAGATGGTTCTGGGTTTCATGGGCCATGCGCTCGGCTGCCACCTGTGCCCAACCACGATTGATGGCGTCCCTGTTGGGGATCAGGCTCTCGCCTTGCCACGCGCTGTAGATCGCCACCGAGTCGCGGAACTCTTCAGTCATGGTCGTCCGTCGATCGTGCAGGTTCCCCCCACTCACGGCCGACAAGCACTGCTGGTAGAAGGAACGCGCCAAGATGGGGATGTCGAAACCTTGCTCACAGCAGCGAACCACGTGGACGGCGGCCAGCACGTAAGCCTCCGCCACCATCTTGTTCATGTCCCTCAGCACCGAGTCCCAAGCGAGCGCTAGACCCTCGTCCTTGCAGAACGTCCGCAGCTTCATCTTGACAGTCGTGAACTTCCACGTCGGCTTGGGCTTCACCGGGGTCTTGCGCTTGCGCGGTGTTGTCTTCGGCGTGCGCTTCGTGGTGACAGCCCCCGACGACGTCTTGCGCTTCTTCGCGGCAGCCTGGTTCCGTTCTCGACGGGCCACACGCTTCGCCTGCCGCTGCTGGTTACGAGACGACCCGGTGCCTCGTTTCCTCTTCCCAACTGCGGCGGCGAGCACCGTTGCCGGGACGATCATAGTCGGACGAAGAAGTCGTGTAGGGCGAGGTGGAGGAGGTGTCGATGTGCTCGTCAGAGGAAGTTGGAGAATGAACGCCAAAATCCACGACTAGGCTGCCGAGCGCGTTGCGACCGCTGCTGACAGCATTGGCTGCATCCGCCCCCCAACACAAGAAGCGGGTGGCAAAGTGATGGCCCTAGTATTAACTCAGGATGAGTAGTACAACCGATATTCTTTATAGAATCACACCGACGGCACAACCTTCGTATTCAGTTGGGCAGGCGCAGAGAACTCCGCAAGGAGTGTACGAGTAGCTGATGGATACCCAGGGCTTTCTTGAGTGCATTTGCACACACGAGACGGACCGTGTGCAACTCAGATGCAGTGCTAATCAAAGGTGCACGATGGTCGCTTGAGCTCGCGCCCCCTACGCGTGGTTGTACTTGCGGAAGATGTGGCCGGGCAGGATCCACTGGTCCCAGTCCTTCTCGTACTTGAGGTAGTGCACGTAGCAGGCGTTCGTGCAGATGTACTTGAGGACGATTGCGTTGTACAGGTCGCCCTTGTACCGTGCATTCTTTTCTCGCCACTTGCTGTCGTCTTGGTCGAAGCCGCACGCTTCTTGGTCTCATGCACCGTAGCCGCTTATTTCCCACGGAGCTACGTTGTTGCGGAGGCAAAGCTGGGCAGTTGTAAGACCGAAGATTGGTCGGAGATCCTTTGGGTCTTGCGATCGGCGTGAGCTGAGCATGGCTAACAAAGAAGAATTTACCGAAAAACTAAAATCCTAACGTTACATAGAGCTGCTAGTTCTCGACCCTTACTGCCTAGGCAGAATTTGCGAGCTTGACAAAGCAAACAGATCGATACAGTAGGTGCCGCAGGCTGCGGCCCGCAGCACTACCAAGTCGCTACTAGCGACTTTCGCTGGTTGACTGATACACTGCACGTGACGCCTGAAGTACACACTCATCTCCACTTAGTCAAATGATGTGCCTTGAGCTGAGCAGCGAAATGCTGGTGTTTACCCTATTATATTTTGGTGTATGGTGATCGGTGAGCGAGCACAGCAGTGATCGACTCACCAAACCTCTTGAGAAGCAATTCAACAAGAGCTCGTTGGCATCAAATGCACTACCAGCTCAATTCATGTCTGTAGAGACGTTCGATTGCCACCAATGTTCAGGTTTACAATAGGAAGCAATCAAGCACATCAAGCATGCGAATGACACGCAAGGAGACTGCTAGCTTACAGAGGTGAAGTGGTAAAAGCTGTTAGGTGTTCATTCCTGAAGTTATGATAGCAGCTCAACGGGAGTCGAGCTCTGCCTTCGATAGTTCTAGAGGCACCTCTGCCTTTGGGGTCTCAGCAATAACCGGAGCCTTTCCAGCATCAACAGAGCCTTGCTTCGCCTGAACTGCATCTTCTTCCTCCTGTTGAGCGTCCACGACCGCGTCTTCTTGTTCCTCCTCCTCTTCAGTCTCGGGCACGTCTGTCAGCTCTTCGAGAAGCGCTGCAAGCACCGGGAACCCAGCTACTACGTCCTTAGGCCTCTCGCTGACCACGTATTCGTACGCCGTCTCGTCGGAGAGCAAGCCAACTTCGTCAAATGTAGCCTCGAGCAGATCTCCTCGCTGGAAGAACCGGTTGACTGTGTGCAGATCCCGTCGCAGAAACTTCTCCGTGTCCGGGTGTGAGCGGTCAACAGCCTGGCCAAAGTCGATGAGCCAGATGCGCTTCTCGCGGTGCGAGTAGAGAATGTTGTACTCGCTCAGATCGCCGTGGACCAAGTGAGCTCGCTGGTAAAGAGCTCGGGTGGCCTGGAGAACGTCAGCGTACGCGCGCGCCTGCTGCTTCGGGGACCAGTCCGCCTGTATGTCCTTGAGCGTCGGCTCGGGCCATCCATCCGCGCCCACGAACTGCATCACCAGCACGTGCTCCTTGCACACCACCGGAGCAGGCGCACGGATGCTGCACTTGGCAGCGCGGCACAAGTTGCGGTACTCCTTGTCCGTCCAGGCCTTGATCTGTCGACGCAGGTCCTTCTTCTGGAAATGAAGATCGAAGCGGCGGTCCCCGGTGACGTACTCGTGGCGGTTGCCGAACTCGTTCAGCGTTGTGCGGAAGATCTTGACGGCCAGCTGCACGGGGCGCATCGTCACTTCATCCGTGCCCACTGCAAAGTAGACATGGGCCTCCTTGCCGCTCTGCACGCAGCCGTGAACCTCGTCCAGCTCTCCTCTGTTGATCATCTTCTGCAGGATCAGAGTGGTGCGCTCGTCCATGACTCCATCGGCGGTGGCGTGTGTCTCGGCCTCCACTCTGCCGGCTCCGAAGCCCTTCTTCTCGTTCTTCTGCTGGCGGCGTTGACTCTCCCGGAGAGACGTAAAGCCCTTGCCGCTGCCAGCTCCGTGCGCTGCGTTCTCCATGGACAAGGAGCCGGTCACGCGGGCGCGGGCCAAGGCCGCAGCCCCCGCCGCGGCGCCAGGCGCGCGCGTGAGCACGGAGGGGGCGACCTGTCCCTCCCCGGAGGCCTCCGCCACGAAGTCGAAGCTGTCGGCGTTCATCAGCTGCTGGTTGCGGTCCTGCTCGCGCCGCTCCTTGCTGCGCTGCAGGTTGGTGAAGACGCTGCTCTGGTAGTCGGGGTTGATCTCGCGCTGCAGCGCGGTCACCTCCTCCTCGTAGAGGCTGAGCGCCAGCGCCTCGTCCATCAGGTCCTGCATGCTGGGCTGCGGCTTGGCCGGCTCGGACGAAGAGGGCACGCCCCACGGACAGGTGCTCGTCATGGTCTTCGGGTGCGTAGCGGAGAGCAAATTCAGGAATGGCAGATAGAGGAGACCGAGGTTTGGAGAGACCATCACTGACAAAGGCGGCAATCATTCGAGTACCAGTACAGTATGCCGCGTCACACGTCGCAGATCGTTCTTTCTGGTATGGACTTGTTTCTGATCTGGACGGTGGACGTTTCCGTTGTGGACGTGAGAGGACGCTGCGTTTTTGTGGATGGCGGACTGCCAGCGCTGAAAGTTTGGCGCTTGGAAGTCCCCGCGATGAGGCCAGGAGGTTGAAAAGGTTGGAGCCTAGCAGATCAACAGCCACAATGGAGCGCTGCCGTGATGTCTGCACTGCACTTACACTGTTGAGAGCTCGCCACTCTTCGTTCAGCAGCAACAACAGTACTACTAGCAGTATGCTGGCCTCGCCAATGCTGTCGCCTGCCTCCAGCACGCGATCGCTGCCGCCGCGACTGCCCGAAGCCACATCGAGCAGACGCCACCTCAAGCTGCAGCCCAAGCCGGCGCTACGCTCTCGCTTCGGCGCTATTCACGTGTACATGGGCTTCATGATGTCCATCATCGGGGCCGGCATGCTCTCCGTGCCGTACACGCTGGTGCTCGTACCAATGTGGCAGGCGCTGGCTGGGATCGCCTTCGTGGGCTCAGCGATGTCGTGCACGGCCAACGCGCTGCTCCACGCCCACGTTCACGCCGCGGCGCGGGCGGAGTTCGAGGCGCACGCACTGGGGGCTGGGAGCGAGTTCGTGGGCTTCCAGTCTCTCGCGCGCCGTGCGGGAGGACCAGTTCTGGGCTACGCGGTGTCGCTCATCATGGCCAGCGGAGTCTACGGCGGCTGTGTAGGCAACATCCAGATCATCCGTGACTTGACGCCTTTCGTGGTAGAGCTGGTGTATGGTGGGGCCAAGGACTTGTCGGAGAGCGGGCAAGAACACGCCAAGCAGATCGTCATGTGGGCGCTACTGGCCGTGGTGCTGCTACCTCTATGTATGCTGCGCAAACTGTCGGCGCTGCAACCAACCAACTACGTGAGCTTCGTACTCTCGCTCTACCTCGTGGGTGCTGTGGTCTACCGCTCTCTGGAAGGGTACAAGCCTACCATAGACGCTCAAACATTATCGACGGAAACTAACAGCTCGTTAGTGCACGGCAGTACGTCTGGAAGCGAGTACTCTAGTTCTGGCAGTGTCGACGTTCAGGTGGTCAGCACTTCAACGGATGATGCCACAGACACCTCAAAGCTCGACGGCAACAGCTTTACTCGCCTGGCTCAGTCCATCTCGATCTACAACTTCGCGTTTATGATGACGCTCAACTTGCTGCCGCTCTTCGTGCAGCTCCTCAAGACGAACGGAGGCAGCAACTTGCCAAGACGTGGGGCCATGAGGAACTTCACCACGTTCTTGACGGCGCCTCCGCTCCTGGCGACCCGCTTGCAGATGATGAAGTGCATTTTCGGAGCAACTTTCGTCTGTGCAATTCTTTACGGGGCCATCGGCAGCGCAGCGTTTGATCTCTACGGCGACGACATCGACGGCAATATCCTGCTGAATCTGGAGAGCGACCCAGTCATGAAGATCCCTCTCGTCGCGACGTACTTGACGGTGCTGTTCACGTTCCCGCTGCTCTTCCTGCCACTTCGTTCTCTCGTTGAGGAGCTACTGGATCAAACCGTCGCTGTGAAGCATTCGGACGATGTCGAGGGTGGTCAATATTCCGATGAGGACAAGCGGGATAAGGTTCCCGGTCCTACCAGGCTTGTGATCGTCCTGGCGCTTCTCTGCAGTCAGCAAATTATCGCGCTCAACGTCTCGGGCATTGAGGTGGTTTTCTCCCTGATGGGAGCCACGAGCTGCCTTGTCATCTGCTACGCGTTTCCAGTGATCGCCTTCACGACGGTGTATCCATGGCGTCGAGCTCGTCACGGCTTCCTCTGGGTTTCGGTGCTCTGGGCGATCGTGGTTATCGTGAGTGTTCAAGGTGCCACGTGTGTTTGGTTGCTACTCACATCGTAGATGAACATTATCCCGGAGCGAATGAAATATTCCGTCATGCTTTCATCTACTTTCATCTACTAGTACCTAAAGAGTGTTCCTGTTTACAGATTTGTTTAAGTTTTCGGGATAATTTACTGCGGCCCGCACTCCCAGAACACAACCTCGTCTTCGACTTCTAGCTCGCTCATGTTGTGGTCTTTCATCCACTTGTTCGTGGCCCAATCTGCGCGGTTGACCGCGAAAGTGACGCCTTCAAGCTCCTCTCCAATGTTTTGCAGCAGCCACTGCATCATTCCGACGAAGCGAACCTCCATGTCTTCCCAGTCGTCGCGCAGCAAACAGATCCCTGCTTCACAAACGTCTCGCCCGTAGTTGTCGGACAGGAAGAGCATCACTGGGACGTGACCTCCTAGAACTGCGTCTCTCATCGCGCTTAGTGAACACGCGTCAGCTCCGTTAGCATGAAGCCACTCAAGCAGACGCAAGTGTCCACCAGCGGCAGCCATGTCGACCGCGTCCAAGGTCAAGCCATCTCTGTTCTTCGTGTACAACCACTTGAGAACGTCCAAATGACCTCCTGATGCTGCCAAACACGCCGCCTTGGGCGTGAATCCTTCAGTGCGATGTTGATCAAGCCACTCCATAGTCTCCAGGTGTCCTCCGTAGGCGGCCCAATCCATCGCAGCGGTAGTGCAGCCCTCGGACCGATTCTCGCTGAGCCACTTCACGACGTCCAAATGCCCGCCTTTGGCGGCCCAATCCATAGCTCGTTCTGTACACCCTTCACTGCGATGAGAGTGCAGCCACTGGACAACTTCCAAGTGCCCATTCCCTGCAGCTTTCTCCATCGCAGACACGCCGCAGCCTTCGCGGCGCTCCGTGTGCAACCACTTGACGACTTCAAGGTGTCCGTTCTCGGCAGCCCCGTTCATCGCAGAGACTGAGCACCCTTCTGCTCGGTTGTCATGAAGCCACTTCACCACTTCGAGAAACCCTGCGCTAGCAGCTCCGTCCATGGCAGCTGGAGAAGCGGGGCACTTGTGTGCGTCCAGCCACTTTACAACTTGCAAGTGGCCCCCACTTGCGGCTTGGTTGATGCAATCAGCCGTCAGCTTTCGCTCTCCTACCTCTTCGTAAAGCCACTCGAGAACCTCCAGGTGTCCGCTTGCAGCTGAAATGGACAGAGCGCTATCGAACGAATACGCTAGCTTGTTTGCATGTAGCCATCGCAGAAACTCCAGGCCTCCGTCCTTAGCAGCAGCATCCACGCAGTCAGCGAGCGGCACAGCGTTGTACTTTGTCGCCAGCCACTTGACGATGCCCCACTGATGGCCCTTGTGCGCTCCTCGCAGCGCAGCCTCCACTGCATCCTCGTTGGAGCCCAGCAACCATTGCACCAACTCACGATAACCTGCAGCCGCCGCGTCGAACACAATTCTCCAAGCTGCCTCTGTGTTGGGAAAAGACTTCTGCTTCAGCCACTCGATCACGTCACTTTGTCCACCACGGATCGCTTCGCACCACTCGAGGCCTCCCCAGTGAACTCGGGTCTGGTGTGCTCCATGCAGCCACTTGAGAACATCCAGCTCTCCCCTCGAAGCTGCAGCGTTCGCGGCTGCAGACAAAGGTCCGTCCGGGAGGTAGCTCTCCGCCAGCCACTTCAACGAGGCCAAGTCTCCACGCTTTGCTGCCTGAGCGACAACCTCGTTGAACTCCCACTGGATGTATAGCGACTCTGTCGGTGCAGCACGTCGAGATGCAGCCAGCCGCATGCAATGAAGACTGGTGGTGCGCTTATACACGGCCGCCAACGACCACGACCGCAACTGCGAACGATCGTCCAGGTATGCGTCGATGCGTCGAGCCACGTGCGGGAGCTGCTCCCCGCTGCGCCTCAAGAGGCACTCGCGGTACATGACCACGACACTCGTCCAAAGCATCGCGTCAGGTTTAGCGTCCAGCTCCATTTTCAGAAATCTCTGCGTCCGAGAAGGCGAAAGCGATTGTGAGCCTTCGGGTATCTGAACCGCAGATGCATAGGATTCCTTCTTGTCCGCCGTCAAACGGAACGGCTCTATCCATTGCGACAACGCGAGCAAGCATGGAATGCGTGCATGAAGGCGATTCTACCAGAAAACATCCCTACCCATGCATAACTGGTTGTTTGGCAATACATGTACATGTACGAAGTTGGCTTTAGTCAGTAGGGGCACAGATATGACATATAGACCAAACGCTAATCCTTGTCAAGCTACATATCATATGTAGCTTGACAAGGATTACGTGTAGCGTTTGGTCTTGGTACACGTGTAGGAGGTGTTGCATATTACGATATCGAGTTTACGGGCCATCGTTGCAGTGAGCGCTACGCATTGGTGGCTTTTGCACATCCATGTTGTAGTTCTTTACGTCGGCCTGAAGTGAGTGGATCGGCAACGCACACCAAGGGAAAGCACTCGAATTCCAATCTTTCAGCTATTGTAGCCTCTTGGTCACGCGCGAGGACCCCACTTCCAGACTACGCACGTGTCGTTCTGGTCGACGATCTCCATGGCTTGGGTCCGCATCCACTGGTTGAAGCGCCGGTCGCATCGCTGGACTTGAAACTTGATCCCCCGCTCAAGCTCATCGCGGCACGTTGCAAGCAGCCACTCCACCAGCTCCAAGCGAAGTCCTCGTAGCACTACGTCGCTACGGAATGAGCATTTGGGACCTAGCTCACGATGGAGAAACATGGCGACGTCGAGGTGTCCGCCAGCGATGGCTCTGTTCAAGGCTGTGGGGGTGCACCCCTCGGAGCGGTTGAGCTTCAGCCATCGCACAACATCCAAGTGCCCGTTTGCAGCCGCTGCCGACATCGCTTCAGGAGTGCAGCCCGCAGTACAATTGACGTGCAGATACTTGACCACGTTCAGGTAACCCTGGCGAGCGGCGCTGTCCATCGCCCACGTCGTGCACGGCTTGTGGAGCTCTTCGTGCAGCCACTTGACGACCTCGAGATGCCCAGACGCGGCGGCCAGATCCATCGTCCACTTGCCGCTGCCCTCGCTTCGATTCGCGTGGAGCCACTTTGCTACGTGCAGATGGCCTTGGTGGCACGCACAATCCAAGGCCTCGGTGCTGCAGCCTTCGGTTCTGTGCGTGTGCAACCACTTCACCACGTCCAGGTGACCGAACTCCGCCGCTCGGTTGATCGCCGCAGGACAGTAAAGGTCTTTGTCGGTGGCGTGAAGCCACTTCACAACCTCCAGGTGGCCATTGCACGCTGCTCGATCCAGAGCTCGAGAAGAGCAGCCTTCCCGTCTGTACGAGTAGAGCAACTGAACGACCTCGAGGAATCCGTTCTCAGCAGCAGCGTCCAGAGCTGCAGACGTCGAGGGGCATTCTCGAGCGCACAGCCACTTGAGTACTTCCAAATGCCCTCCGCGAACTGCCTCGCTGAGAACAGATGAAGTGAGCTCAAGCTTGGCAGGACCGTCGACCAGCCACTCGAGGGTGTCCAGGTGTCCGTTGAAAGCGGCGGTCTCAAGCGCGTGAGCAGTAGGTCGACCAAAGCCGTTCGAGTACGCCCACTGCAAGAACTGCATGTCACCGTCTCCGGCGACGGCAGCCATGTCGATGCTCGGGTCTTCCACCTCGCAGTTCACCAGAATCCACTTCGCAATCCCCCATTGAGCCCCTCTCTGCGCTTCGACAAACGCATGGGAAACCGGTAGAGTGAACTCGATACAAAGCCATTGAAGCACTTGAAGATCTCCAGCTCTCGCTGCGTCCAGCATTAGTTGGGGCCCTACTTCCTGGTGGGGTTTTACTTGGCGCCGTAGCCACCCCACCACGTCGTTTTGTCCTGTTCGGACAGCTTCACACCACTCAGCTCCACCCCAGTCGACTCGGTTGCGGTGGTTCCGATACAACCACTCCAGCACGTCCAAGTGTCCTCCTCCGGCTGCCAACTCCGCTGCCCTGGTCATCGATACGCCTGGAGCGTATACTTCAGCAAGCCACTTCAAAGCCTCGACATCTCCAGTCTTAAGAGCCATTTCAACCACGTTGTTGGTTATCCACGATCGGTGGTACGACTGCAACTCCTCAGGTCCGCAAGCAGCCAAATACTGCATGCAGCGCAGACTACCCGTCCGCTTGTAAGCTTCGTCCAGTGACCAGCCTTGCGGAATTTCGTTGAGGAAGTCGTCGATGGCAAGCGATACGTGCCCCAACTCGATGCCGCGCGCGTGAATACACTTGCGAACCACGAACTGCACAACCGTCAGCAGCAGAATTCCATCGGACCGGGTACTCCCCAGCTCGGATATCATCCTTCTTGCTACCACTTGCTACCTCCACGGAGAATAGAAGAATGACCACGGGAAGAACACGGAAACGCGGTGGACTCACAGCGAAACCCTCACGCCATCTCCTTCAAGAATTGCTGTGCCCGTTCACGGGCAGATCGTTTCGCAGCAGGTATGCACTCATCCTGACCGGCAGGGCTACCTACATATACTGATATCGAGATCGAAAACAGCAACGCTTGTGCCGGTGGTCCGTCCGGCGATCGTTCTCAAATGGAGGACAGCCTTGTTGACCGATATCGCGGCGTTGGCGATGTTGTTCACACACTGGAATGGCTCAGACACGTATTCACCGATCGTCTAGACAGGGGCAGAAGATTGGAAAGGTGAGTGAGATATTGAGCTTGTTGAGTTGAAGTGAATACAAATCCCACTTCAACGTGATCGCATGATGAGTGCGAACGTAGAAGCTGATGAGCTTTTGCCTTCTGTAGTGCTGTGTACATGTTGTAACTTTATACGTGTATTTCTATCTGCTCTATGCCCGTCCTTGCCAAATTCAGTCGTTGTAGCGATCGTCTTGGTGAGTTCGGCTCATGTTGTGGCGCTGCATCCACTCGTTCATGTACCAGTCTCCTCTGGACACGCGGAACCACACGCCCTCAAGCTCTGCAGGGGCATTTTGCAGCAGCCACTGCTCGAGCTCCAAGCGCGGACTCTCGATCACGTTGCCTGCTGCGTAATTCGCCTTCAGTGACCGCTTCTCACGACCACGTCGAAGTGGCCAGCAGCGATCGCTCTCGCCATCGCAGTGCTGGTACAACCTTCCGCTCTGTTCTCGTGGAGCCACCGCACTATTGTCAAGTGACCACTTGCTGCCGCCGAGCTCATAGCTGCCGCTGTACAGCCTTCTTCTCGGTGCTGGTGATGCCACTTTACCACAGCCAAGTGTCCTTCTCGCGCGGCGCTGTCCATCGCCCAGGTCGTGCATCCTTCACGTCGATGGGCGTGGAGCCATTTCACAACGTCAAGGTGACCATAAGGCGCAGCCCAATCCATGGCGAAGGCCGAGCAGCCTTCGCTGTGGTTGTGATGGAGCCACTGCACCACGTCGAGGTGACCGAGCCGAGCCGCGTAGTTCATGGCGTCTTCGGTGCAACCTTCGCTGCGGTATTCGTGCAGCCACTTGACGACGTCCAAATGACCATTTGCTGCCGCGCTGTCCATGACGAACGGGCAGTAGAACTTTTTACCAGAGCCGTGGAGCCACTTCACGACCTCCAGGTGCCCGTTGCGAGCCGCGCCATCCATCGCTCGGGACGTGCATCCTTCCTCTCGATTGGCGTCGAGCCACTTGAGCACCTCCAAGAATCCACCTACAGCCGCGTGGTCCATTGCCGCGGCTGTTGCTGGGCACTGCTGTGAATGCAGCCACTTGAGCATTCCCAAATGCCCGCCACGCGCTGCCTGGGCGAAGACGGACGCGCCCAACTCGATATTTGCTGGGCCTTCATGCAGCCACTTCAGCACACCCAGATGGCCGTCAAGAGCGACTGCGTTCATGAGAGTACTACCGCCCAGCTCGACCGAGGCGTGCTCGTATGCCCACTGCAGAAATGCCAAGTCGCCGTCTTTAGCAGCAGCAGTGCCATCCACCGAGCGATCTCCAACTTCACAGTTCGTGAGAATCCACCGAACAACTTGCCATTGATGCCCCTCCTGAGCTGCTTTCAGGGCTTTAGTCGCAGACACGTCGTACTCGCCCAGCATCCACTGCACAACTTCGAGGTTTCCAGCCCTCGCAGCCTCGAACATGATGCGTGGAGCTGCCTCTGGATGCACCGGGACATGCTCCGTCAGCCACTTGACCACCTCTGCTCTACGGACACCCTCTTTCACCGCTTCACACCACTCCAGTCCTCCCCAATGCACTCGGCTTCTCTGCTCTCGGTGGAGCCACTTTAGAACATGCACCAGACGACAGCGAGGCTTCTGGCTCGAAGGTCTCTGCAAGCCACACCACGGTATCCAGGTCCCCACGACTTGCAGCCGCCTTCAAAACGGTGCCGAGCTCCCAGATTCGGTACAGCGAGTCTGGTTCACTCTCTGTTGGTGCTTGAGCAGCCAGAAGTTTGAGGAATCGGAGACTCTCCGTGCGTTCGTAGGCACTGCTGAGTGTCCAATGCGCCGCCCAAATGCATCAATCCGTCCAGCCACGTGCGGGAACTCTCCTTGGTCGTCGCGGAAGCACTCGCGATAGACAACTTGCACTGCAGTGAGTGCCACGAAGTCCCCAGGAACGGAGTCCGTCGTCGCCATCTGGAGGAAGTTCTTGAATGACGAAGAGTACAATTTGTTACACCAGACAGAGGCGGACCAAATCTTGAATACTAGTGAAAAGACGTGTACGATATAGACTGATCAGGCACGATGAAGGCGCTACATCTACGCTGCGGACGGCGCTGGAGGCGTATCCAGCGCTGCTTGGCAGGCATTCAGCTGCAGAAACAGTGAGCGCAGCTCTGCATGCGATAACTCGACATCTAGCCTCTCCGTCTGCAACAAATGGGAGCAATAGTTAGCTACGGAGAACCCCGTCGACGTCAAGCGAGTGCAGCCTTATCTTACCTCGCTCGTGGGCGAGCTCATGTCCGCCACCTCGAGTTGGAAAATGGCCGTGGGCTGCGACTGTCCGCTGAGTTTGCTGCTCCCCATCTCCAGGTGCAGACGCCAGTCCGTCTTCTGCAGCACCAGCGACGGGGTCTCCACCGCGTGGAATGCAGCGATCTGCCCCGCCACCGCGCGGCCCTTCTTCCTCCACGTCTTCTCCGCAGCATGAGCGACAGCGTCGTCCACTCCGCTCGACAGCAGCAGATTCCGGTCCACGTGTCCGAAAGTGGCGGCGTCCCGGAAGATCTTGACGGCGACGGCGACCACCTCATCGATCTGCACGGCCGACAGCCCCAGCATCGACTGCAGTTGGTCCATCTCGCTGGCAGTGAACACCTCGCTCTCCTGCGGCAACAACGCAGCTTAGCCCTGTACTGGCAATATAAAGTGGCGTATCACTTGACAAGTAAGCTTAAGCTGCGCGCGACGTACATTGGCCGCCATCTTCTCCAGCACGCGCGCCAGCACCTGCCCCAGCTTGTCCCGCGCGACGGCGTTGAGCACAGCGAACGTCTGGACACTACATGCACGACCAACCGCGTTAGCCGAGTCAACGCCGCACTTACTTCCATGCCGCGCACCTCGTCATTCGGATAACAAATCTCCCCAATCAATCAAAAGGTCAATCCGAAAATTCGCGTAAGCAATTCGCGTATTAATATTGTGGGTTCTACTCAAAATTTCCGAACCGGCCGATTGCAATCGCCCGAGCCAAATCGCTCCCCAATCGCCCCGGCCACTTGGATTGTCTATTGGAAATCGATTAAGTACGATTTACATATGGCATTCTTGTTTGGAGCGGTTTCGATCTGTACTTGAATTTGTATTGCTCGGTTTTCGAAATCGGCCCGATTTGGAAATTTTCAACGGAATTGACAATACATGTAACCACAACAATTGATAGCGAAACGACGCGAGCCAAAGCATGGGGAACTCGCTGGTGCGCGTGAACGGCAGGCTGTACGAGGCGCTGGGGCCGCTGGGGGAGGGCGGCTTCGCGCACGTGTACGAGGTCCGGCGCAACGGCCGCCGGGGTGCGCTCAAGTGGACGCGCGGCGTGACGGAGGGCGAGGACCTGGAGCGGCTGCTGCTGGAGATCCAAGTGCAGCGCCAGCTTCAACATGCCAACGTGCTGCCGCTCGAAGCCGCCGAGGTGAGAAGGTGCTCGGAGGCTCAGGGCCGCGCGGAGAAGGAGGCGCTCATGGTGTTCCCGCTGGCGACTCGGGGCTCGCTGCAGACGCTTCTGGAGCAGACGGCGACGCGGGGCGCTGGGGCCTTCACGGAGGCGGAGTGCCTGCACTTCTTCCAGAGATTATTGGATGCAGTGGCGGCGCTGCACGACCTCGGCTTCGCTCACCGAGACTTGAAGCCTAGCAACATTTTGCTGTCTGAGCACGACCCAGTGCAGCCTCTGCTCATGGACTTTGGCTCGGTCGCTCCGCTGCGAGTGCAGCTGAGGGGGCCGAAGGACTGCAGGAAGCTGTGGGAGGACGCGGCGAGATACAGCAGCGCTGCGTATCGAGCGCCAGAGTTATGGGACGTTGGGACCGGCGTGGCTGAGCTGGGTGTAGTTGATGGACGGGCGGATGTGTGGTCGCTGGGGTGCGTGCTGTACGCGATGGCGTTTGGCCCGTTCTCTCCGTTTGAGCACCCGCGAGACGGCGTGCAGCAGCTCGCGATCGTCAACGGCTACGTGAGCTTCCCACACGGCAACATGCACTGTGGACAGGTCTTCAGTGCGACGTTCACGGCACTGATCAAGTGGATCCTCACCCCGGATGTAGCAGAGCGCCCGAAACTCGAAGGTGTGCGGCTGTGCATCAACCAACTGCTCAATCCAGCGCCTCGTAAGCAACCGTCCGTTAGAATGAGAAGGCTATCCTCACGAAAGCACCGCCACAGTGCTACTGAGGGTCCGAAGACTTATCAAGATCCAGAACAGGATTGGGCTGATTTTTCAGCATTCGAGGAGCCAAAGTCGATGAACTCAGAGCGTTCGTCGTCCAGAGCAGTGAGATCACGAACGTCGTCAGCAGTATTAAAGCCACCGCTAGCGAGTCGCGGTAGCAGCACAAGGAGGGCGTCGGTGACAAGGCAAGCAAGCGCATCATCGATAACTGGGGATGGATTGAGCGATTCCGACCGGAAACGTACTCTGTCACGCACAGGCAAAGAGTTGTGGGTCAAGGCGTTGGAAGCTCAAACTGCAGTCTAAACGCACAAGAATTCATAATTGCATTTCCCTTAAGCTGCGATGCCAATTCCTTTAAACTAAACACATTTTCCTAACCTTCAGAGAGCAAGAACCACGTCGCGGAGATGCCGACCACCATGAAGAACGCGACGACGGCCCACAATGCCGTGATCCACAGCTTGCCGCCCTTCACTTCATCCCACGGATACAGCCTCGCGAAGAAGATAACTGGGAAGGCGAAGCATATCATGAAACAAGTGCTGGCCCCTGTGAGACCGAAGACAACTTCAATTCCCGGAACGACAATCGCAAGCAGCACTTGCGACAGCAGCAGAATCGTCGACCCGCCCAAGCGCGTCGCGAACGCGATGTCATCCAGGTTGGTCGTGTACACGAGTTCCTCCAGAACACCACGCAGCGGATGAAATAGCAGCGGGAACGAAAGCACGACAGTGCTGAACACGGCGACCAGCGGGATGTCCATCAGAGGGTCGTTCTCAAGGTTCAAGAGGACATTGCCACGCACTGTCACCGTGTACAGCTTCTCCGCGAAGTACCCGAAGACCGCGTAGAAGACGACGCAAAACGCGCTCAGTCCGTAGATGCAGCGCGACATTTTCCAGCGTGACTCCTTGAGCGGCTCGGAAAAGCTGCCGCGAAGCTGGATGAACAGCGGGACGAGGTTCAGGTGCATCATGAACGCGTAGTTGTAGATCGAAATTGCATGCGCAAAGCGTGACAAGGCCGACCCCGTGATTACCGTCGGTAGCTTCGCAGCAGCGGCCGCCGCTGCCGCTTCCTCAGCCGCTTCTGCTGCTGCGTTCACTGCAGCGGAGATCGTGCCAGCAACCGCCGCAGTGCCGTTCACCTCAACATCGTCACTGTCCTCGTCCCTCGGGTCCAGCGCGAAGAAGGATCGGTAGATGACAGCCACGACCAGGTACACCGAGAACAGGAAGCCCAAGTAGCTCGAGATGTGCAGCTTGGTCAGGTTCTTCATCAGGCACAGCGGGAAAACCACCAGCACGAACACGGCCCACATGACGTAGTCTCCGATCTGGTGCGCCGTCGCCGAGAGCAGCGGCTGCGCGTTGGCGCCCGCCGCCAGGCGGTAGAACATGGCCACGAGGAAGGGCGCGATGTCGCGCACGATGCGCACGCAGCCGACGCAGCCGCCGTAGATGCCGATGGCCGTGATGACGGACACGGCGTAGCCCAGCGCTTTGCCTCCCGCCGCGACGGCGATGGCCTGGAAGGACGCGAACTTCCGCCCCGAGCCGATGTGCTCCAGCTCCTCCTCCTGCTGGGCCAGCTGCACGTGCGCGAGCAGCAGCGCGTTGGCCGTGAGCGCCATGCCGGCGCCCACGATGACAACGCCCAGCAGCGCGGCCCACGTGGGCACCAGCAGGAACGTGTAGGGCACCGAGAGCATGCCGGCGCCCACCGTGGACATGGTGAGCGTCAGGAACACGTGCAGCTCGCGGTGGCGCGGCTGCGGCTTGTTGAAGGCCAGGCGGTGCGGCCGCGGCGACGGCGCCGGCGACGTGAAGAGCGTGGGGAAGCCCGTCTCGAAGGGCGAGCGCGGCGTGGACGCGGAGCTGCGCGCGACGCTGCGGCGCCCCACGAGCAGCGGGCTGCCCTCGCTCACGGTGATGGTCGGCATCTCTATGCGGCGGCGGCGGCGGCGGCGGCGGTGAGTGGTCCGCTTGAGTGCTGGAGGTCCGATGCGACTATGGCCCACCACAGCCATAGCGCAGTCGTAGCGTAGCTGAGCTTGAAGCGACCGGAGACCAATGAGCACAGGAGTTGAAGCGGCGTCACTTTTTCGAGGAATCGCACAGCTTTTGCAAGCATGACTCATTAAGGTGGGAAGATAACTATATAGAGGCCGTTAACTATTGGAAGTCGTCGAGGTGGCCTGCTCACGACAAGTTGCCGTTAAACGGCACTCAGCTCAGAGGCAGGCGCCATGGCAAGAGCGCGTGGAGAGCCACGAGGTTTGCATCGAGCGCTGCGGGCACGAAGACATGCCGTGGGTTTGGAGAAGTCTATTCAATCTTTGATGTTCGCCTCCTGGTAAAGTTGGATAGCTTGTTTATAATTTCGTCTAGCCACTATTGCAAGTTGCCTGGGGCAGCTTGTCTACATGTGCTGCTGCTTCGGCGCCCATGTAGTTCCTTCGTGGACAGCCATCTTTCCAATCTGCAATAAGACGGTAATTCCAATGCTACATAACGCCCGCCTGATCGCGTCTTCGTACCCGACATGGTTAGCGGTGTTCGTCCCCTCTTATAGTTCTAGGCAAGCGGGCACACCTCTTCCTCTTGTTGGCCCGAGCGATGCCGATTGAGCTGCTGCGCTGCCAGGTCGGTGAGCTGTTAACCTCTCACGCTTCAGTGGTTTGGTACATGTACGATCGCAATGCACTCATCTGACGCACCACAGTACGTCTTTCTGAGTCAAACCGGAGCGAAGTCGCACAGAACGTTCTGACTGGAGAAAAAAGGCAACATCAAGACCAACACTCTCATTTTTCGTTCGCGACCTACACTTCAACATCCAGCGTCGCCCACCAAGCTCATTCCCCAATTTGACTGCTACTGCGCACGCAAGAAGACAGCAATTACCATGGCGACGACCTGTCCGTGGCAAGTGACCACCCCCGCTTCTGCTGCGTCAACCCACGAACCAGCCAGCCCTACGCTGCAGGAGATCATGGACGAGGAGCTGGCCTTGCGCCTACAGGACGAGGAGTGGGTCCAGCTCGCAGATCTTGATGCCTCGGCGGTGCTTGATCTTGACGACAGCGAGGACGACTTCGAGGAGAAGGAGCCGGCGCCCGCACCGGAGGGGCAAGATGGAGACGACGACTTCGACGAGAGCTACGACCTAAACGACGATGCCTACGCTGACGACTTCGAAGACGGACCCGGTTTCAAGTCGCTCCGCGAGTCGATGCGCCGCCAGGCCAAGCACGAAGGCCACCGCGGCACCTTCCTCGCTAAGCCCCCCATCGACCTCGGCAGGAACGGCAGCGGAGCACACGAGAGCATGTTCGACGAGCAAACGCAGGCTGCTCTGCGTAAGTTGGTGCTCAAGGAGCTGGTGACAGCGGTGAAGACGCGAGTGCACACGGGGCAGAACGCCAATGTGTTTCATGGTGTCGGGTTGGAGAAAGCGACCGGACGGGAACGGGAGCTGACACTGAAGATATTCAAGACCAGCAAGGGCGATCTCACCAAAGTCACCGAGTGCGATTCGACCGGCCGACGGTACGGCATGGACTACGTCCGTAAGAGTATTCGAAGACACCTCAAGGCCCAGAGTGAACGCGAGTACAAGTATCTGAGCCGCGCGTACGCTGCACTTTCGATCGGGACAGTCACCGAGACGGAATTGAAGGTAGCGTCAGCTGGTCGCTGTGCGCGTGTTCCGAAGCCTTTTATCCTCCTGGAGCACATGCTAGTCACCGAATTTGTTGGGGTGGACGGACACCTCGCTCCTTCTCTGGGAGACGCAAGGTTGAACGGCGAACAGCTCCGCAGCGCCTACACAGACATCCTGCGTGCCGTGCGCCGCCTGTACCAGCGCGCGCGACTTGTTCACGGACACCTGACGGCAGCGAACATCCTGTACCACAACGGCCAATGCTGGATCATGGACCTGGACCACGCTGTCGATGTCGGGTCCGAGAACCACGCTAAGTTGCTGACCCGTGACCTGGACAGCCTCGACGCGTTCTTCCGCGCGTGTGGTGTGCCCGCCGCAACGAAGCGCCAAGTTGGTCTCCTCGGCGCGGACGTCGCCAGGCAGTACGTCGTGATGGAATCTACTGAACCTCTGCTCAGGCGCTTCCCCGTGTTGGAGCCGCTGCTGCGCGACTGAGCTCCACGACACAAGTGAATGGCGCAGGCGCCACCACCGAATCATGAAAAAATAAAATCTTTCTTGCGGCATGGTCAGCTCATCAACTTGAAGCGCTCAATCCGGCGGTGGAAAGATACAAGGAGGACACCTCGGCTCAGCTGGGATCGCTAATATTGTTGATTTGGTAGAGACCTCTGGTTATTGATTCGAAATACACATATTCTTCCATAGAGGTCCTTCAGTATAACGGCATAGCTTTGTGTGCGCTTTTCCTCGCGATCACCGCTAAGCGAGTCTTGGTCACCTTTTCTTCATTGCTCCATGTACATCTCGCCATTGTTTTCTTCCACCAGCAGATATGCTCACTGTACTGTAGTCGCCGCATTGGACGCTTCCAGCATAACAACTACATGTAGGCCAGGATGGTTTTGTGATCTCCCAGCGACTTTTGACTTGGGTCCGTGCGAATTCATGCGCACCCGATTCAGGCTTTACAGTGAAGCCTTTACGTATAAGACGTTATCACAACTCCGCCAAATTATTCTCCCAAAAGCAGGCTTTTACGCCGGCCATTGGAACGGCAGTTCCTGACCGTCGTCGCGTTTCATCACAAGCACTTTCGCTAGCGACACAACAGCTTCGAACCGGTACTACTTATATATTAATCAGAGCTGAAGCTCTTGCCAGTCGAGCTCAGGATACTTTCAGTGAAGGCGAAAAAGGCAACAACAATACATGCAGCACCTGGTCGACTCGACCGGGTGCTGCATGTATTGTTGGCTCGACCGTCGAGCCAATTCAATTCAACAATTGTTACCGAAGATCAGTTGATGTGGCATCGAGCTGTCGACGCATGCAAATCGCGTCGGCTTCCCGCATCTGCAAACGACTTGCGCGCTGCGGGGTCTGACCACCGCGTTATTGTTGACAGCGAATGTCGACTCGTAGCTTTGCAGCTTGTGGACCACCGGCGGGCACCCACCCCACCCCACCTCTCCGCCGCCGACATATTCACTCGCTGCGTCATTCCACATCTCGCCTCGTCTCGCCAAAGCCTCCTCTCGGACGATGACGAACTACAACGTCCTCAAGACCCCGGAAGGCGATTCGGGCAGCCCTCGAAGCCAGTCTCTGGTCAAGCAGGGCTCGCCTTCCACGGCCGTCCACGTCGTCCGCTTCTTCATCGTGCTGGCCATCGTCGTCTTCATCTTCGGCAACATCGCGACCTGGGCGCCCATGTACGAGCTCAACCTGCAGAACACCATGATGGAGTGGTGGAACGGCTACCCGGACATGCCCGCCATGAGCAGCCACGGCCACATGGGCTACATCCTCGACACGGGCATCGGCCGCAACATCACCGAGACCGGCCACACCGAGATGATCCGCCCCACGTTCCTCTTCATCTTCTGCATCGTCCCCTTCATCGTCAGCGTGCTGCTCATTGAGTACTTGCGCCACATCAACACCGCTCGCCGCTTGACGTCGACGCTCATCTGGCGCTTCGCGATGCTCATGCGTCGCAAGCCCAAGTTCCCCGTTCTGGGCGTGTCCCGCTTCACCGTGGGCGAGTGGGTCGTTGGGGTCGTCTACGTGCTCGGCGGCAACGCCCTGTGCTGGTGGTATGAGTGGGACCGCCGCGTGGACGCCGCCACCGACGCCGGCACGCTCAACACGTCCAAGTACTGGAACATCATCGGTATCAGTTCGGCGTACCTGTGCATCTACAACATGGCGTTCCTGCTGCTGCCCGTGACGAGAAACTCCGGCTGGATGGAGTTCTTCAACGTCTCGTACGCCAACGGCGTCAAGTTCCACCGCTGGATCGGCTTCATGACGGTCATCACGGCCGTCGTGCACATGCTCGGCTACTGGGTCTACTGGGTCCGTCTCGGCACGTGGCAGGTCAACCAGCTCCCGTGCACCAACTGCGACTTCACACTGGACAACTCGGGCGGCGGCTACTACGCGTGGTTCAACGTCTTTGGCTTCATCTCGACGCTCGCCCTCGTGCTCATGATCCCGACGTCGTTCCCCATCATCCGTCGCAAGGCCTACGAGTGGTTCTACATCTCGCACTGGGTGCTCTTCGTCATCGCTGTGCTGTTCGCCATCCTGCACTGGGCCCAGATCATCTGGTGGATCCTGCCCTCGGGCTGCGTGTGGTTCGTGAGCCGCGCGGCCTCGAGCTGGAACGCGATGACCCCCGTCTCGGTCAAGGAGTTCTCCGTCATTGGCGAGAGTGAGGACGAGCTGGTCAAGATTGTGGTCAAGCGCGCCGCCCCCGGCACGTCTCCGTCGTCGTCGTCTTACGACTACAAGGTCGGCAACTTCCTGTACCTGAACGTCCCGAAGATCTCCAAGCTCGAGTGGCACGCGCTGACCATCGCGTCGTCCCCGAAGACCAGCCCCACGGACGTCACGCTGCTCGTGAAGCCCCTCGGCGACTGGTCCAAGAACCTCGTGCAGTACGCCAAGGACTGCAACCGCGACAACATGCCGCTCATGTACATGGACGGCTTCTACGGCGCCTCGCTGGAGCTGTACGAGGACTACTCGAGCGTGTGCTTGGTCGGCGGAGGCATTGGTGTGACCCCCGTGCTGGCCATCTTGGACGACCTCGCCGCCAAGCTTTCGAGCAACGGAGTTTCGTGGACTCAGCGCTTCACCTTCATCTTCACCTTCCGTGAGCTGAGCGTGTTCCAGACTGTCGCCCCCGTGCTCGCCAAGCTCCGTGAGATGGACCCGCACGAACAGTTTTTCCGCGCTCACCTGTTTGCGACCGGCTCGTACTCGGAGACCGAGCTCAGCCAGAAGCTGACGACTGCGCCGGCCAAGGAGATCCTTGACGCGGCATCGGGCAAGTCCACGAGCCGAGCAGCTCGGCCGTTCTACGAGCCGCTGCGTTCGAGCAACACGATGCGCTTCATCATGTATCTGGTGCTCTACGTGGTCGCCATTGCTGTCGTCTTCGCCGTTCGTTGGGGAAACGGTGTCATCCAGGGAGCCAACCACTTCGAGCTGTGGCCGCTTGAGCGCGCCTTCGAGCTGGCCATGTTCTGCCTGACGATCGTCGTGGTGTACGCCTTCGTGTGGTACGAGTACACCATGTTCCGCCGCAGCCACGCCGCCTCCGAGCCGACGCCGGTCGCGTCCGAGACTCCGCTGTCGAACTTCGCTGCCTTCGGAGGGGACGTCCACTCGGTGGGAGACCTCGTGAGCCACTTCAGCGTCACGGTGGGCGAGCGCCCCAACATGCAGTCGCTGCTGCAGCAGACGCTCGAGGTGCACAAGATGGACGACTACTCGGCCAGTCTGCTGCCTGCGGTCGGCGTCATGGTGTCGGGTCCCGCCGGCCTCAAAATGGCGACGAACGAGGCCGTCTTCGCTCTGGGCGGCGGCAACTTCGACGTCCACGAGGAGGAGTTCGAGCTGTAAGCACAGTGTAGTAGTTCCTAGCGACCAGAAACCTAAGCTAAAGCCATCAATATAGTCAACGCTAACGTCACTCTGTGGTTGAAGTTAATGTAGCCATTTCGATGGTCGATAGTGGTACTCTCTCGAACCTGATTCGCTCGATATCTAACGCTTTTGAGGGGTTCGGACGACGCCACTTCAAGATATCCGGTATCCATGGCGACCTCGTTCAGCTCGCGCTTCCGTCGAGGCGGCGGCGGTGGCGCTTCCAAGACCAAAGCGGGTGGCGATGAGCGCGTGGGTGAGATGCTGAGCGACAGCTCGGAGGACGGCTCCCCTCTGGGCGGCGACGTGCGTCGAAACGCAGCGAAGAAGGCGTCCAGTCGCTCGAACGACAGTTCGCTGCGGTCCTCGAGCTCTTCGGAGGGGGGCGGCGCCGTCGTCCCTCGTGCTGCCGCCACTAAGACTGCGAGTAAAGCGAGTAGAGCGAGCGAGCGCAGCGAAGGCGACAAGAATGAAGAGCAGCCACCGAAGAAACAGAGGGAGGAGACCAAGAAGAAGACGTTCGGGTCGCTGCCCCGCAGTCAGAGCAGTCGCACGGCGTCGTCGACCAAGAAAAGCGCGGGAAGGAAATGGTACAGCGACTCGGACGAAGAAGAAGGTAATGCTCCTAAGAAGACGAAGGCGGTGAAGAAGGAGACTTTGAAGGAGAAGAGCGACGGGGAGGAAGAGGACTCGGACCTGGACGCGTACATTGCCGGCTCGATGATGGACCCGCCGGGCAAGAAGGACGAGGATAGTGAAAAGCAACCTCGCTCCAAGCTGAAGAGGCTGACGGATCGTAAGGATAAAGCGGATAAAGATGGGAACGGGTCGGATGGAAGTGGAGCTGGAGCTCCGTCATCAGAGCCTCAAGCCTCGCGTGATGCGGCGAAGAAGAAGACGAATGTACTGAAACTTATGACGAAAACGCGAACGATGTCCCCCTTCGGTGGTAAAGGGAAGGGTCCTGGTGCTGGAACTGATGCGGAGACCCCAGAGTCCCCTGCTGCCAACACCCCTACTGCACGTAAAGCTGCGCGAAGCACACCATCAGCTTCGGAGCACTCAGCGTCAGACCCTCCAGCCGACAGAAACGCAAAGCCTGGTCGACCCAGCGAAGTGCAGACCGGAGGCGCTGGGAATGCTCCCACCATTATTGTAAACCGCCGCACAGACCGACTGAAGCATTCCGCCAGCGGCTCCGAGTACGGAGGATCCCCCAGGCTTGCGATAAGCAACAACGACGAAGTGCTGAGTCCCGGGCTGCGTAAGGTGCCGGGGGCGTTCCCCGGGAGACCTGGGAGCGGTGTACTGCTGGAAGGTTGGCTGCGTCAGAAGCAGCGGCGCGGAATCAAGGGGCTCAAGAAGTGGAACTCACGCTACTTTGTCCTCTACGCGCGGTCCAACGAGGTGCGCTACTACGCGGACGTGGTCCAATCTGCCTGGGGGCCGATTCCGCTGGGCGAGATCGGGTCAATCTCGTTACGGCTTATCCAGCGCATCGGCAAGCTAAGCCACCCCAAGTACAAAGGCTGTCGATTCGACATCACGTGCCGCAATAGCTGGGGCACCCACTATGCCGATGACTACGTATCCTCCGACGAAGAGAACGCGAGCAGCAACAACAACGTCAGCACCAACTCGAACAACGAGAAGGCTACTGCGTCTACACAGGCAAAGCAGCAGCAGGAAAAGAACGGCACTCCACGGTCTTCTCGTGTTTATAGCTTGGTGGCGGACTCACCGCAGGTTACGGTGGCGTGGGTGAACATGCTGGACTCGCTGCTAACTCGCAGTGCAAACAGTCCACGACCCGATGTGGACTCGACAGCGGACAATACTGGCGCAACATCGGCCACAAATGCAAGTGGCAGAGCCAAGAAGCCTAGAGCCGTGGCGCGACAGCGATCAAGCGCGTTAGATACCGAGTCTTCTGTGCTGTTGGGTCCCGGAGAAAATGTTCCGAAGGCTGTCATCTACGCCATCAACTTCATCTTCGACTCGACGCCAGGTATTGAGACCGAAAAGTTCTACGAAAGCGAGCCCGACGCCACAAAACTAAAGGTAAACACGCAGGCACGCACGCAAATGTTTTGCGCGTATGTTGGACTCAGCTAACACCTCTGTGTGCATGCACTTACTGTCCAGGCTGCGTTGAAATTCTTGAATGAATTTGCTGGCGAGTCCGTGACGCGCAAGCCCACGAAGGATGAGCTGGAGGAACTGCTAGATGCTATCACCGCCGGTGCTGTGGTACGGCTTTGGCTGAAGCAACTCGAGCAGCCCCTGATCCCTTTCACAATGTACGAGGACTTCGTCGCCCTAGCACGCGAGGCACAGACTGCACCTTTCGACCTACGCCGGAATCTGCGCGCACTGCTCGAAGCTCTGCCCAAGAAAAACCTGTACGTCTCTGTAGTCTAGCCCGGCTTGCCTTGTGCTTCATTGCCAGCCACTGACTTCTTCTTGTCTTTCGTGCGCAGTACAATGCTGGCGTGTCTGCTCTTCCATTTAAACGACGTCAACGTGTACTCGTCCAAGAACGGGATGGACGCGGCCAGACTCGCCCACCACTTCTCCGAGTTCATTCTCCGGCCCCAGAAGAGGTCACCTCTATCCGACAGCTCGAAAGGGGACACAGCTGCTGTGTGCCGACTCGTGGAAGAGATGATCACCAACGTGGACACGTTCATTGACGAGAAAGAGGCCCAGGTCCTCGAAGACAACCGACTGTAACGAGCTATCGATACTGTATACGTAAAGTGACGATACTCTCGGCTCCTTATCCTCTCCAACCACTCACTGCCTTCTCTACTCTATCAGCACTGCACCTTCATGTACACGATGTGCTTGCCGGGCACGAGCGTCATCCCGAGCGAGCGGCTGCCAGGGGGCAGCAGGACGCCGGCGAAGCGCGCCTCCTCCTGGTCTCGAGCCTCCGCGGCCCTGGCCACCTTGTCCTTGCTGTTCTTGCTGAGCCCCAAGCGCGTGGGCGCGAACTCGCGCGCGTCCTTGAGGATCACGTTCTGGTGCTTGTCGAAGCAGTGGAAGCGGCCGACCACCACGCGGCCGTCCGAGATGCGCAGCCGCACCAGGGACCCCAGCAGCTTCATGAGCTCCAGCGTCGGCCCGCCCACGGACGTCGGGGGCTCCGCGTGCTGCGTCTGCTCCGCGTCGTCGCCCTTGTCCACGCGCAGCGTCACCTGCGGCTGCCCATTGAGCGACAGCACCGCGGGCGTCTTCGCCAGCAGCCCCATCATGATCGCCACTTGTGCCTTCGACTCCGTTTATGTGAAATAAAATATAGACAGGCAGAGTTTTGATCAGCGTCAGCACTGTTGAGGCGTTCACGATTGTCACTAAGCTTGGCTTACGAGGCGAGACTTTGATGGCAAGTTAGTACCAGTCGCTCGCTCGGCGGTTGCTATTCGTTCCGCTACGTTTCATCGTCCCCATGCCCATGCTCGATAGCCGCCCTCCTCGACCACTCAGCATGCCCGCGAGCTCTGCTTCGTTGAAGGCGCTCCGCCCGCCTGCGGAACACGCTAGACGGCCTTTTTGCTGCCAGAACATCGCGGCCAGCGCGCAGATCATCATCGCGGGCACGCGTATCCAGCTAAGGTCGATGTTAGATCCGGGCGGCGGAATGCGCGACTCGTAGACGTCCAGTTGATACTGCAGGTGATCATCAGTTCCTGAAGGAACTGCAACGAGAACGGCGAAGCCCGTCGAGTGCACCAGGAGGTCCCTTGCGGCATTTACGCCCATGATCCGCACTTGCTGAGCTGGAATGAGACTCATTTCCTGGATGAACGAACCTGCCAACGATCGTTCAGAGAGGTAGGCTGGACGCACGTCGTCGCTACTTCCTGATAGTTGGTACAACGCCAACCGTGGCCCCGTACCCAGCACGAGAAACCCCGGCATGGTCTGCACAATGGCTGGTGTGTTAGTCCCAGAAGCAGTCGATATCGGTTGCCGTGGCATGAGCTGATCCACCAAAGCGCACATGACTCGACCTCGAGGGCTCTGGTCACTAAACTCGGAGCGCTGACGCACAGCACCGAAGTTGTGAAGCTTGAAAACTAGCGCGCGGCCGGTTGATGTCCCGAGGTAAACGATCGAGGGCCGGGCGGGATCCGTCGCTAGACTCGTAAACCTGTGCCCTCGGGGTGCCTTGCAATCGACTGGAACCAGCAGAGGTATGGTTGAGTCTACGAAAACCACTCGAGTCTGCGTAGCTAGAGCTACCAGCCCTCTGCTACTGTGGATCGGCTTCAAACGCACTGCACCGCCATCGTGAACGCGGCTCCTCGTGTGAATCTCCTTGATGAATGCCCCATTGTCGCCGTTGTAAAAGGACAGCAGTCCGCCAGAGGAATCGCTAGCGACGACAAATACGCGGTAGTGTTGCGCCACCACTGCAACTTTGCCGCGCTTGTAACTCCAAGCAGGGTCTAGTGTAGTCCAAAAGATGCGCTCGACGTCGACGTGGAGATACTTTCCGGGAGGTGGCGCTGTTAACGACGACCAAGACGGCTGCAACCAGGGTGGTAGGGCCCGGTCTGAGGCGGCGATGTTGTCTTGACCTACTGCACACTGGAGCTGGTTGTCCTCTAACTCTTTCAAGGGTTTCAGTCGCCGAGTATCCCCCGCCACAACCCGTCGGGAGTGCCAGAGCCTCAGTTTGAAGAGCGCAAGGTCTCCCGACGTCGACAAGAAGGCCAAATAGGAGCTCCTATCGGACACGAAGAACATGTCTGCAACTTGAAACTCTCCATCCTCCGCCGAAGATCGTAGATTCAGCGCATGCTGCCACATCAGTTCGTGCGTAGTCGGGTGGAACAAGCTCATGACAGTCGACCGTGGGTCCATCACCAGCAGGAATTGCAACGGCGGATCGTCGTCAGTGCTCGTCTTACGGCGCGATGCCGCCTGTTGTCTCCTACCTACTGGCGACGTATTCGGGCGGAAGGAGACCAACTGAGCCAAGAACCGACTCGAGTTCGCCCCATCGACTCCAAGCGAGGAGAAGGGCCGCTGCGGTTCGAACCAGTCGCTGAAAAGCTGCGGACTCTCGCGTGGTCGGTGACGACGTTGCTGCGTAGCTGCAGCATTGCCACTTGGAGTTCCAGAGCTCGATTCATTGCGTTTGCTGCTCTCTTGCAGGTGGGTTTGGAGCTGGTTGAGGGTGTCGCTGAGGAGTTCCGCCTTGCGCTTGTAGAGCTCCAGCTGCTGCCTGGTCGCGTCAATCTCAGCCTCCAGCACTTGCACCAGCCCCACTGGCATTGTAGCCGCGTCGTCGCGGTAGAAAGCCCCGCATACCTGTCGGCAGTACCTCGAGAGGAGCAGTGCCAGCCACAGGGAGAGGCAGTAGAGGCCCATGCTGCTTATTGCGCGCCGCTTCAGCTTGAAGTTTTGGCTCGGGCGTCTTTCAACCAATCGTTTGATGAAACGTGGATTTGAGAGGCAGTGGTTGGCTGAAAATGGAAATGCAAAAAAGTTGCTGTTGGGGAGACCTCAGTCGGCAATCAGTCAAGAAGGAAGCGGAGGTCGGTCGGAAGTGTGTGGGGCGCTTGCTCCGTGGGGCCCTTTTCACCTTCGCTCTGCGTCGTTTCTCATCCCCCCTCTTACGCGCGCCTCCAGTCCGCTCGTAAGTCCAACCGCGCACTGCGGGTGGCTCGTGGGCGAGAGGAGAAAGCGGCAGTTGAAAGGGAGAGATAGAGGAAACACGAAGAGGAGAGGGAGAGGAAGAAGGAAAGAGGAGGAAAAGGAACACTCGGACGCTGGTTAGTGTGGGGGGTTAGCTCACTAACTAGCTACGAGAATCGACAGGAGTAGGGTCTCGTGGCTTCAGAATTTAAGTTTCTGGACAGCTCCGAGCCTTTCCTTGGTTGAATACAACGTCACGGTCGAGTGCGCGGGGCTCGAATTTGAAGCGAGTCCCGTGCGTTGAAGCTCGTGTTCTGGCCACTTCCGTAGGGGGGAGATGGCTCACATCGAGACCAAGGACCCGTTCGGCTTCGTGGGCTCTCACGTCGTGCGGAGGCAGCCCAAGAAGGGCGGGGAGGAGCACGGGTGGCTTACGCGCTACGATGAGACCTTGGACTGCTACACGCTGTTCGTGCCCGGTGGAGGGGAGCCTAGGTTGCTCGCACGAGGAGAGGTGATGAAGTTCCTGTCGGCACCTAACATCGAGCTTCACGACGACGACCAGGACGAATTCCCCCCTCCTGTGAAGGACACCACTACTAGTCGGTATCTTGGTGTGAAGCTACGCCGGCCTCGGCAACGATCAAGTGAAGGTGAAAGCTACGTGGACGATGACGTTCGCGGTCAAGTGACGAGCTTCTTGCCGTTCGGTGATCGTTACTGTGTGGAGTATGAGGACGGGTCGACAGAAGAGGTGTCGGAGTCGGCTGTCATCGACGGCATGCTCGCACTGATAAAGTCGCCGTTCTTCTCGTCGCCTAGCCGGAAGAAGACACGAACTGGGTCTATCCGAACCAGGCAAGGCAGTGACTACTTAGATGATAATGAAGTCGCGCCAGCTCGACGGAAGCGACCGCGCGTCGAATCTGTAAGCGATGTTGGCGTCGAACCGATCCCAGCTGAAGACGTAGTCACTGTGGAGGACGATTCTGAAAAGCAAAAGGAAGATGATGTCGTTATTGTCGATCAAACGGAGCCGGAATCTAGCGTGAGTGATGAAGCCGAGCCGGCGCCTAATATTTTGGAGATTATGAGCAGCACAATGGGCAGCGCTACTCGAGAAAATGCGCTGGAAATGGCAAGTCATCCCGTGGAAGAACCCATGGAGGTTGGTGATGGAGATCTGGCAGATCCAGATGATGGAGTGGAGACTGTCGAGAGTCGAAAAGAACCGGGCCCCACTGCGGCTGCAGCTGATGCAGCAGCGTCGGACGCGCCGCAAACCGAGAAGAAGAAAGAAGTACCGTTTTATATCATTGACAAGAAGCCGCACGAGGCCACAGAGCCACTCCCGAAGCGCGCCATGGCCTTCGAGCTGTTACGCGCTTCACTGCTGAATCTACTGGACCGACGTGAGGCGACTGCCGTGAAGATGGCTATGCAGTATGACTTGCTCCGAAACACTGATGTTCGAGATCGCGACGCCGTGATACGCTTCATGGAGTCTGATGGCTTGGTTGTGCTGAATCACTTGTTGAACTCGTTCGCGACCGAAGTTCTTGATGACGAGGATGAAGAGTCAAACGAAAGCGATGCGATTGAGTCGCCGGAAAATATTCGCGAGCGGATGGAGCGTGACGATGAGCTGCTCCACGTGTTGAAAATTGTGGCGATGCTTCCGACGCCTGCAAGAAATGACGTGATCGCATCAAACATTGGTAAAACGATCAACTACCTGAGTAAAACTCGTGGGCCGCCAGGGCGGAAGAGCCCCCTACCGAAATGCATCATGGATCTCGCGAAATGGATCAAAAGCTCCTGGATCAAGAACATCCCGGCAGCTCCGAAGACGTCATCACCAAAGGCGGCTACGAATACTCAATCGGCACCTAGTCGACCCCAGCAGCAAGCTCGACGTGGTGGACGCGGAGGTTCGCTTGGCCGTCCGAGCCGACGACAACCGCCATCACAGCGACTACAGCGCGAAGCCTCATCAGCTCCAAGGCATCCACCGGAGTACCACCAGGTTCCGATAGATAACACGCCGATCCCAAGACTGACACGGCCTCCATCTCAACAGCCACCGCCGCCAGCTGCACCCGCACAAGCCCCGGTCCCGCGTCGTGTGACCGGCGGCCTGAAGCCCGACTGGATGAGGCAGAAGGAGAATCTGTCACGCTCGCGCTTCTGCATTGTTGACAACACCAACGCTGACACGAGACTATACCACGACAGCAGAGCACGTCCGATCACCAACGTGCCTGTGGTTGCCTCGTCGTCTCAAGTGCCCACGCAACCGGATCCAAATCCAGACCAGCCCGAGGATGCAGGAGGCCCAGATGGAGTCTTTGGACGACCCCAGAGACTCCGCTTCGGCAAACGGTGGAGAACACAAGAGTTCATGATAAATGACCCCCCTGGTATACTGACGCAACCCCCGGGGTCGTACTCGATGCCCTCCTATGGCCGCTCACAATACTCGGACGAGTATCCAGTGTATGTGCCTCCTGTGCCTTATTCGTCGCGCCGCCCTCGACCAATCCTGAGGCGGGTTAGTCGATATAACGACGAGCCTGCGATCGAGGGAAGCTAGTCACGTCGCGCCCACTGTGGCTGTAGTAAACGAGAGTTTTGTGACGAGGAATCGCTATGTTTCACGTCAAGTAGGTTAGTACCTCGAAGTTTAAGACTGCAGGCCAGTTAAATCTGTCTGCAAAAGATGAAAAGAAGAACGTTCACACTTTCCCATCCATAGACGGATGTACTCGTTCTCAAAAGCAAGTGCTCTCCGCACAATAAATCACTGAACTGTTTGCCTTTTCACCCCTGCAAGTCTTTCGACCAAGACTCGCGCAGATACGAAATCAGATCCTGAACACACACACACACCACAACCAACTAAGTTTCCGCATAATTATATCTCCAAACTAACAGGGCTCCCTTTACCTTGATGAAATCCTGTCGAAGGGCGACAGGGATGTTCAGGAATTGGACGTACTCTGAGAGAGAGCTCTCGATCTTCTCCAACTTCGTTATCCGCATTTTCCAGATCTCGTTCAGGTCGGTGCGCCTCTCAAAGTCGCGATAATAGTCCACCAAAGTGATCACCTGTTCCGCGCACCCGCTAACACCCGCACCGTACTTGGTTCGCAATGCAGTCAAGTACACATCTTGATCTCTCTCGGGTGCGATATCAACCTTCACCTTCAGCGTCGACTCCGACTCGGGCTTCGCAGCGACTAGGGCTTTGTCGTTGTCTTCTTCGTTAGACTTTGCTGCTAGCGCCTTCAACTTGTCCAAGTACCTTTCCATTTTCTGCAACGACGTCTGAATGTCCTCGCACTCGCCATTGCTCCCGAAAAGCTGTGGCCCTGTGCGAGTGGTAGCTCCACTACTTGCGTCACCAGAGTTACTCAGCATTTCCTTCTCCTTGCTGACAGCAACCTTACTCGTATTGGCACCCACAGTAGGTGGAATTTTATCCTCTCCTTTCACAGCGTCACATGCCGCAACCGTAGACTTGTTGGGCACACTCGAACACGACCCATCAACCGCCTCATTAGAAGGAGATTCTGCAACTGCCTTCTTCTCCAGCCCACACAAATCACCACCGGCAGTAGCCATTCGAGCCAACTTCTCCACCACTGTATCCACCAACGAGGTCACGAAACTCTCGACTTCTGGGTTAACAACGGCCTCACGCTTGATCGACTTCAAACCTGATGCAGCATCAACATCAGCGTCGCCATAAGAGCTGACAGGCATTGCCTTCATGTCCTCTTCCACAGTAATATACTGCATGTCTTCAACCAGGATACTATCCGGTTTTGGGCCATTCACGCGGCTCGATGAATGTGCGACTTCTTCTTGGGAACCACCATTCGGAACTCGAGGCCCTGACGCTTGAAATGCCTCGTAGAACGTTTGAGTTGGGGCGTTGGTAGGGCTTGGAGATCTGCCCGGGGACGGCCCATCACTGACAGGAGACCCCGATCGATTTCTGTTCTTTGTCGTTTTCTGAGGTTTGCGGCGATTCTTTTTTTGCCCAGATGAGCCACTGCTTGAAGCTGGTGATGCGGCAGGCTTTAATGCTGGTGCGGAAGACGATGAAGACTGCTGGGTAACGTTGATGTCGGTATTGACGGTCACGTTCCCATTGCCCATTTTGTTGCTCTCTGTCGAGGATGATACGTGCTCTGCTGATCCGTTGGTTGCATCCCCTACCATGGTGCGATCGGTGGACGGTTGCTGTGGCTGTTGCTGGTGTTCATCACCACCTGAGCTCCCCGAATTCTCATTTATCCGCTTAGGAGCACCGGCCTTTCTTGATCGCTTCCGCCTGGCTCCAGCGTTACTGGCAGCCTCAGTAGATACTACAGCATCCACGACGACTTCGACGACCTCTTGCTCAATGCCATCTACGTCAGGCTTTGTGCCCTCAATAGCAGCGTTGCTAGTACTTGCGTCAGCACCAGCACAGTCCGTGGAAGATGCAACCTTCGCCTCCTTATCACCGCTATCAACCTCACGGCTCGAAGACGCTGCATTGACCTCTGTGCTTCCAGGTGAGTCCTTGCTCGCTTCGCTCTCCTTGTCCTCACTGACCCCATTTGAAAGTGTAGAGTCGTTTTCTACCAGCGGCAAATGCTTGGTATCATTGTCGTCGGTCAGATCGATGTGACTCGCACTCCGGGAGCGGGCAGGACGCTTGCTTTTCGCCCTCGACTTTTTGACCGGCTTTTCCGCCGTAATATCAGCGCTTTGCTTGCGCTTCCGAGCAGAGCCCTGACCTCGCGCTCTTGAAGGAGACGCTTTGGGCGTCGATCTCTTCGTCGGTGCAAATTTAATATCCACGGGCAATTGCTGCTTGGCAGAGGTCAATTCGAGCTTGAAATGCTGCAAAACGGAATGATACATGGGAAACATGCGGGTTCGATCACGCTCCTCATCTTGCAACACGCTCCGAAAGTGACGCCGACCTGGTATGAATTCGTAAGGCATGTAGATTTCGCGGCACGCACCCCCGCTGACCTTCTCGCCTCGTGTGTGGAAGTATCGGAAAAGGCTCACTGGTGAGCTTCGACGTGTGTCATACGTGCCAACGATCAGTCCAACGAACGGCTCCGAAGGCTTCTTTTCTTTGCTAGTACAGGGGCGCTGGAAGAGCTGCTGGTAGCTTGTTTGGTTCTCAATGTCACGAACGGACGGGTCTGGTGCGAATGCGGGATGTGAGTGATACCATCCCACAACCTCCAGCTGCGCGTTTTCGATGATGCCACGCAATTCAATTTCACTGCCCGGATCCATCTCGACGTCAGTAGATCCATCGTCGCCATCGATCACTAGCGAACGGCACGGAAACGCGGCCTGGATGTACAGCGTTTTGGAGGCTTCGTCCCATTTGCCACCGAGAAAGCCAATAATTTCGCAAGTGGCAAGATGTGCGTGCAGGTCCGCGACGAACACAGCGTCAGGATGCACAACAACCTGGAATGGTGGGTCCAATGAAGGTGCTCCTCGGCTTCGACTGTTCGGGTCCTCCACGTAATCTTTAGGCCGGTACGCAGCGCACTGCACCATCGTGTGCGGGTCCAGATTCCCTGACATTAGGTTTTGACGGATCTGAGATTGCTGGACAGACCGCGACTGACGCTTACCCAGCGATCGTTCTCGCCCAGATGCCGCATTTTCTGCCTGCTTCCGCTCGTCTTCAGCCTTCTGCTTTTCAGCGATGCTAAGCTCATTAGTGAAGACACTGTCATCCCACACAAAGTCTTGTTTGTATGCAAGCTGCGTCTGAGCTTCGGCTTCGCCCCCCTGGCCCTCTGACACCGTCGTCGTCCAAATAGAAGATAGCGGAGTCAAGAGGAAATTGCTCGGTTTCTCCTGTACTCCTGCCTCCTCCTCCTCGTCCCCTGTAATGTCGACAGCGTCATCTGAAATCTGGTGGCTGACATCGTCTTGGTCGGAGGAGGACTTCTGTATGTCATCGTCATCTTCCAGCACCAGAACTTTCGCCCGACCATGCTTCTTGGACTTTGAACTACTTCCAGCAGCGTCGCCTTCTGACTTCTTCTTTCTGGCTTTGGGCGGCCTCCCATACGTTTTACCGTTCGCTTTGCGAGCCTTCTTCTGTTCGCTTTCAGGCGTGCCCGTCAGATCGATTGGCGACGGCGACGGCGAAACAACTGCAACATGGCCTCCGTTCTGCACTTCCTTCCGTGACGGCTTACGAGCCCTGTTCTTGGAGTCCTTAGCTGGCGCCTTCTTCCGCGACTTGGACGGCACCAGAATCACCACGTCCTCGTCCTCGTCCTCGTCCTGCACGTCCTTGACTTCCGCCGCTTCCGCGTCCTTTGCTTTTCTGTTCGCCGCCGACTTCTTGCTGCCGGCCTTCTTCTGCGACTTCCGCGCCGGCTTCTTCTCTTCCGCTGAGAGTTCACTCACCTCCTCGAGACTGGACTCGGCGTCGTCCGCCATCTCCCGGTCGTCCCACGCGTCGTCCAGCGACGCGTCCTCGTCCTCCTGCTCGCCCAGCCCCACCTCCTCCATGCGCTGCTTCTTCTCGGCCGGACTCGGCTCCTCCAGCATCACCAGGTCCTCCTCCGCGTACCCGTTGCCCATGTGCAGCAGCTGCGTGGCCTTGACGAGCGCGCGGCGGAACTCCGTCTTCTTGCTCTTCTTGCTGCCCATGACCGCGTGCTCGTAGACCTGGTAGTGCGCCGTGAAGCTCGCGACGTTGCTCGGGTCGATCTCCACGAGCGAGAAGTTGAACTTGTCCAGGAACATGACGAGGCAGTGGCGCCGCACGCGCACGCGGCCCGTCTCCACGCCCGTGGCCGCGTCCAGCTCCGGCACCTTCTCGGGCGGCGGCACCACCAGCGACGCCACGATCTTGGGGTCTGTGCGGATGCCGGCGCGCCGCACCACGTCCCACGAGTGGAAGAGCACGCCCGGCCACCACGGGAAGCCGTGCACCTTGGCCCACACCACGTCGAAGTCGCGGAAATGCTCCTCCACCAGCGCCAGCGCCTCGTGACGCGCGCGCATCGCCTCCTGCGCCGCGGCGTCCCGCGCGCCCGTCGGCTTCTTCGCGCCCCGGGCTACCATTGCCTCCGCTCGTGTGACTTGGTTGTTTGCGTCTTCGATTAGAAACGCGTTACTGATGTAGGATTGAGGTAAGAAATACGAAAGAAATAGACATAGAAACGACGCGAAATGTTGATACCGTACCGTACTTAGTTTGGGAGGTGGGTCAAGTCGCGCGGGAAGAGCTAATTTTCGAGTGACTTGGAGCGACGACGACGACGACGATGGAGGCGGCGGCCAAGGCGTTCGAGCAGCACGTGGAGCTGGACGAGGGCGTGCTGGCCACGTCGGCGCCGCTGGAGACCGGCCAGCTGGACCGCGTCATCCTGCAGGTGAGCGAGGGCCTCGCGGGCTTCCCGGACCTGAGTCAGAAGACGTACGAGCTGCGCACGCAGCTGGTGGAGGAGAAGTGAGTGGCGCCGTTGTTGCCGTTGGCAGAGCTTTGAGTGGGGACGGAGGACTGATGCGGTGATTTATTTGATGCGCAGAGCTATTGGCGCTGCGGCGGCCATCGAGGGCATGCTGGACGTGCTCAAGGCTAACGACAAGGCGCTTGAGTACTTCAAGGGCAGCATCGTGGGAGGTACACCGCTGCTGCTGCTACCTTGTTCAAGTGATACTGAGCGTTGCTGACAATAACTGCTACTGTTTATTGTAGTGCTGACGGGGCAGCCCTTGCCTCTGCGTCCTCCGTTCTTCGGCGGCACCATCCCGGAGCCTGCGGCTGAGGCTGTGGTGGAGGCGATTGCCGCCAATGCAACGGATGCAGCTGCGGATGGGGAAGATTCATTGAAGACGAAGGAAGCAGAGACGCAGGCGTCGACTGCTCCTGCCGCTGCTGCTGCTGGGGACAAGCTGGCGCCCCTTTTCGCCAAGCAGCCGGGCAGTGCACGCAAGCGGTCGCTGGAGAAGACGACCACGACGGAGTCCGGAGCTGAGGGCAAGCGGCCAAAGGCCAACGGAAAGCAGGGCGAAGATTCCCCTGATGATGTCGCTGCGCCGCCTCTGAGGACCGCGTTGGCGGAGGAGACCAAGTACGAGTCGGAGGAGGCGAAGGCCCAAGCCATTAACCCCACCTACACGATCCCGACGCAGTGGGAGCACTTGTACTTTAAGCAGGTAGAAGTGATCAACATTAACAACAGCCTCGCCAAGGAGAAGATCCAGGCGAAGCGGTTTGCCGGTGAGCCCTTCTTGCTGGAGGGCCACACTGGCTGGCTCAAGTTCGCCGAGGGGTGGGTCAAGCCGGAGGGCACGCTGGACTCGGCAAAGTTCCTGGACGGCATTCACGACGTGAAGGTGCCCGTGCTGGAGCGCAACTACGAGGAGCGGAACCCGATCAAGACGCATCTGCCGCTGAGCTACTACGTGAAGAACTACTGGGAACACGGCAAGTCGGACTACTACCTGCACCAGTGGCAATTCCCGCTGGACCCGAAGGCCGGACAACTTCTGTGCTACAAGTGCGAAGAGCTGCCGGTCCTCGGAGACAACTTGTTGCTCTATTGGCTTGACGCTGTGCGTGGCGACAACCCGCTGCAGTACCTGTTCATGGGCCAGAAGAGCACAAGAAGTCGCATGCACCTGGACCCCGGCGGTCTTGGCATCACCATTGCCCCTATCATTGGCACGAAGCGTGTCACGATGCTGCACCGCCAGGCAGCCAAGCTTGACTCGGTTCATGAGTCTGTCAACTTCCACGAGGTGGATCTGGATAAAATGCCTCAGCTGGCGTTCTTGCCTGCGTGGCGGGTTGACGTGAAGCCAGGACAGATCCTGTACATGCCTGAAGGCACACTGCACGCGTGCGAGAATGTCACGGCGTGTCTGTCGTACCACCGCTTCCACGTGGATACCGTGAACCTCACGGGCTTCTTGCGGTCCTTTTTGGCTCAGGACTCGCCTACGATTAACCATGCTGAGATCCTTTGGAACGCCGCGCACGATGTTATGTCCGCTTTGGAGGAGGCTTACCACGCTAACAACCAGGTTCTGGACAAGGAAGTCTCCACGTTGCGCAAGCTGGATACGCTGCGCGGTATGCGCCATGCTTGCCGCATGCTGTCACTGGAGCAGGTCTTGCCTACGGAGGACTCGTGGGACTGGAAAAAGCTTCTGGACGACATTGACCACCTGCTGGTCCGTGTTGATTCGAGCGCAAAGCTGAACAAGAAGAAGAACTCGACCCACGGATCGACGTTCACGAAGGCGATGGCCGCGCTGAACGGCGAGGAAGCAGCTGAAGCGAAGCAGATTATTGATGCGGCTGCGAACAAGAAGAAGCTGGCCAAGGTTAAGGCGGAGGCTTCCGCTGCAAGCACCCACTGGGACTCGCTGAACCTCAAGGTGGGCGACATCATTGGCGTGCAGGTCTTCGAGAAGCGCAACCGCGCTGAGGTGCTTAAGGTGGTGCACGACAAGGTGCTGGTGCAGATCCACTACTCGGACTGGGAGTCCATCTACGACGAGTTCCTGCCGGTGTCGTCTCTCTACCAGCGCAAGAAGGGTAAGAAGGTCGCGCTGAAGAATACGCCCGAGGTGCACGAGCCGGTGATGGCCCGCTGGGGCAGCAAGGGCGACCTGTACAACGCCATCGTCCTCAAGGTCATCCGCACGAACGCCTGCTACGTGCACTACCTCAAGTACGAGAAGGACTGGGACCAGTGGATCCTGCCCGGCCACATCTTCCGCAAGTACAACCACGCGTAGGGAGCGCGGGCTCAAGCGAAGGCAACCATCGCGTGCCTTTGATTTGTTCACACGAGAATGCATTGCGAGTATAGTTTGCTTAACGTGATTAATATCAATACTGGGAGACTTCGTCCGTACGAGGATTCCAGCGACGATCTAGCACTGCGGCACTAGGTCGACCTTTGTTGTGAGCTCCTACTCAGCTCCGGCGGGCGTGGCTGTCCGCTCAGACGCAGCTCGAAGGCGCGTAGAATGTTGCGAGAGGCGTTCACATCGCGGTTCACAGTAATACCGCATCCGCCATTGTTGCGAAGACAATGGAGTACACTGTGAATCTTGCGATTGCGAACAACGCCGTCTCGGCACTCTTGGCGCTGGTACTGGGTCACGAGGTCGCCGGGGTGCGCCTGCCTGCAGCCGTGGTGCACCTTGCTGGTGCGGTACTCGGACTCCAGCTCCACCCGGCAGTACTACGAGAGCTCGCGCATGAACCGCTTGGTGGGGCCGCCCGGAGACTTCTTGATCACGCCGCCAAAGTCGGAGCAGCTCCAGTCCCCAAAGCCGACGATCGTCCTGGCCGGGTCGCGGCCAGCGACGAACCGCGTACACAACTCGTGCAGCTTCTTGCGCGACTGGCAGTAACGTCGGAACCTCAGGTCCCGGAACTTCTTCCTCATCGTGAACGCCAGCAACATGTCGAAGCGAGGCACCACGTAGCGCACGTAGGCCTCGAGCCTCTCCAGCGAGCACGTCTTCTTCGTCGGAACGAGGCGGTTGGCCTCCGAGACTTCTTCGTCGGCGTAGTCGTACCAGTGCCGGATAGTCTTGTTGCTTTGAGTGTATGTGGCGGCATGGAAGAACTCCTTCGAGGAGCAGCGAATGGTCTCGCCGTGGTTGTTCGTGGCGACGAACAATGTCGCGGCGACCAGGATCAAGCCCCCACCGTGTCGAGAAGAATTCAGCGGTCTCAGGAGACATCTGCAGCTCCTGTCGTCCTCGAACGGGTTTCTTGACGGTGATGCTGACGGACTTGCCGTCCGTCGTGATCTCACCTGCGAAGAAGCGACTTGGAGACCCGTCCGGCTTGGACGTCTCGACAAGGTTCGTGTTGAAGAGCCGCCGCCACATGCTGTCCGCGACAGCGTTCCAGTCGCTACCCTCTTCCGGAACATCATATCCACTTCGAACCAGCATCGCCCGCAAGCCGCGAGAGGACATGGTGAAGTGAGAGCAGACGAAGCCCCGTTTCGTTGGTAGTAGCGAGTACGTCCTTGCCATCTCGAAGCCCGGTTCTCCTTCGTGCTCGCGGTTGTGGTCCTTCACGAAAGTGAGGAACATGTGCACAAGCGGGAGTAGCTCGCTAGCTCGCTCCTTCATCATTGCGGGGGATCAATTCTCTGTACTCCAGCACGATCTCGTTGTCTCCGTCGTACTCGGGGTCGAGGATACCCTTGAGCACAAGGTAGCGATCGCGGCCAGCCAGCCCGTAGCGGAGCGTAATGTATTGTTTGAAGCGCCGGTAAAAGTTGAGCTGGAGATGGTTCTGGGTTTCATGGGCCATGCGCTCGGCTGCCACCTGTGCCCAACCACGATTGATGGCGTCCCTGTTGGGGATCAGGCTCTCGCCTTGCCACGCGCTGTAGATCGCCACCGAGTCGCGGAACTCTTCAGTCATGGTCGTCCGTCGATCGTGCAGGTTCCCCCCACTCACGGCCGACAAGCACTGCTGGTAGAAGGAACGCGCCAAGATGGGGATGTCGAAACCTTGCTCACAGCAGCGAACCACGTGGACGGCGGCCAGCACGTAAGCCTCCGCCACCATCTTGTTCATGTCCCTCAGCACCGAGTCCCAAGCGAGCGCTACACCCTCGTCCTTGCAGAACGTCCGCAGCTTCATCTTGACAGTCGTGAACGTCCACGTCGGCTTGGGCTTCACCGGGGTCTTGCGCTTGCGCGGTGTTGTCTTCGGCGTGCGCTTCGTGGTGACAGCCCCCGACGACGTCTTGCGCTTCTTCGCGGCAGCCTGGTTCCGTTCTCGACGGGCCACACGCTTCGCCTGCCGCTGCTGGTTACGAGACGACCCGGTGCCTCGTTTCCTCTTCCCAACTGCGGCGGCGAGCACCGTTGCCGGGACGATCATAGTCGGACGAAGAAGTCGTGTAGGGCGAGGTGGAGGAGGTGTCGATGTGCTCGTCAGAGGAAGTTGGAGAATGAACGCCAAAATCCACGACTAGGCTGCCGAGCGCGTTGCGACCGCTGCTGACAGCATTGGCTGCATCCGCCCCCCAACACAAGAAGCGGGTGGCAAAGTGATGGCCCTAGTATTAACTCAGGATGAGTAGTACAACCGATATTCTTTATAGAATCACACCGACGGCACAACCTTCGTATTCAGTTGGGCAGGCGCAGAGAACTCCGCAAGGAGTGTACGAGTAGCCGATGGATACCCAGGGCTTTCTTGAGTGCATTTGCACACACGAGACGGCAATGTGTGCACGTCATGTGGTTGCAGCCTTCGTTCTTCCAGATGCGCATTTGGCACTTGGGGCATGGCCTTCTGCCTGCCCACGGACGCCTCCCAGGCCAGGTATGACTTGTCCTCCCCGCCCCGACAGAACCAGAAGCGGTGCGCGTACCCACGACAACGGAAGCAGCCGACTGTCGCGCACTTCGGACACGTGAAGTTGTCTGTACTCTCAAAAATGATAAGCTCGTCACACCCCGGGCGTGGGCACCACCTCGCGCTCGGGTTCTTCTCGTCCTAAAAAGCAGCAGCCGGACCGTAAGCACTGTAAACCGATGCTACCATTTCCACGAAAGCTTCGACCTACCCTCTTGCGCTTCAGCACGGCTCGATACTGCGCAGTCTGCTTGACCCCCACAATAAGCTCCATGCCTTCCTCCTTGATACTCTGCTTGCAGTCCAACACGGGACACACCAACTGATCTAAAATAGTCAACCGCGTCAGAAGTCTCCCATTGCACTATACATTGCAGCCCCCTTCCGTACCTTCGTCCACTTCTCGCGCTCGGATCCTCATCTCAATGTACCTCCGAATGCACTCTGCCAGTGCGCGCATTGCGCCCAATTGTTAAGCGACAGAAACCTTGACAATGCCCATCGATCCGTCTAGGTACCTACCAGCACAGAAGCGGTGTCGACAGTGCAGCTTCGCGTGGGCCTCATCGCCCTCCTCCTCCACGTCGCACAGCGCCAGAACAGGCACAGCCTCCAGACAGATCGGACAGCTCTGCGGCGCCACGAACGTCGCCACCAGGCGCCGGTAGCTGCGCACGAAGCCTCGCAGCACCGTCATTTTCTGCAGTTGAATGTCGACCTACGCGAAACAAAACGCGCTAAATCAGAGTGTTAACCGAAGAACAAAACCCGTAATAACGCGTCTTTACGACCGTTAGGAAGCCATCTCATCTCAGTCTGTCACTGTATCAAAAGTGTCAAGGATGGCGGCGGCGTGGGTCCCGTGGACGCTGCTGCTGGCGCTGCTGCCCTCCAGCGCGACGGAGCTGCTCAAGGACGAGGCGGAGCGCCAGCGGCTGCGCGAGGAGCTGGCGCGCATGGCCAAAGTCTACTCGAAGCTGCTGCTGCTCTGGGCGCTGCGGGCCGCGCAGGTGTTCGCCGGCATCTCGTTCCTCTTCGCCACGGCCACGCTGCTCTACGCCGCGCTCTACCACCTGGTGATCCCCTCGCGGTTCCACGAGCAGGAGGTATTCTTCCACTACGGCCGGCAGCACGCGGAGCGATTCGTGGGCGAGCCGAACTCTGCAGCGCTGCCGGCGGCGTCGCTGAACCTGCTAGACCCCGTGCACCAGTGGCAGGCAATGGTGCCGCAGCCCGAGCAGCAGCAGCAGAAGACGCAGGCGGCGCTGGTGCCCGGAGTCAAGTACGACGTCATCGTGGAGCTGACGGTGCCCGAGACGCGCGTGAACGCGGAGCTGGGCGTGTTCATGGTCTCGACGTCGCTCTACGAGGGCGACAAGAGGCAGTTGGCGGCCAGTGCGAGACCCGTGACGCTACACGACATGCCGGCGCCCGTGCGCTGGCTGAAGCTCGGCTTCTGGCTCGTGCCGTACGCGTTGGGCTTCTCGGAGCCGGCGCAGACGCTAAGGGTGACGGCGATCAACGGGTACCAGGAGAGCACGGAGTTCCCGCTCACGCGCGTGGATATCGAGCTGAATACTGCCAAGCTGCAGGTGTACTCGGCCAAGCTCACGGTCATTGCGCAGTTGACGGGCGTGCGGTATCTGATGTACCATTGGGCCGTGCCGACCGCGATTTTGTTCATCCTGAACATTGTCTTCTTGGAGGCGCTGGCGATCGTGATCCTGTACGCGGTGTACGCGCTCCCACAGCTTGACGAGGAAGCGGCGGCGGACATCGCCGTGCTGGAGGCCGCAGCGGCGGATGCGCGGGATAAGGCTCAGAAGCTTTTTGAGACGGGGGAGTTGACGGAGACCGAGGGGAGCGCTCACGTGAAGAGCGAGACGCTGTTCGACGAGGTGTCGTTTACCTCGTCACCAGTGCTGGAGGAGGCTGCTGAAGATATCAAGGACGAGGCGACGGAAGTGAAGCAAGAGCCTACGGTTTCTTCGCCCTAACGCGCATCTGTTGTGCGCTGCCCGCTGCTTGAGCGGAAGAGTAAGAGATCGGTGACTGCAGACCGAGCTTGTTGTGGAGCGCGATGGACGAAGGAAGACGAAAGCGGTCGCCACGCATTTTTGAGTTGCTTAAAATATAAAGGTGGGGGGCACGGATTACTGCTGCCTCACCTGCGGCGATGTTGTCTTGGCTTATGATTAATATCAATACTGGGAGACCTCGTCCGTACGAGGATTCCAGCGACGATCTAGCACTGTGGCACTAGGTCGACCTTTGTTGCGAGCTCCTACTCAGCTCCGGCGGGCGTGGCTGTCCGCTCAGACGCAGCTCGAAGGCGCGTAGAATGTTGCGAGAGGCGTTCACATCGCGGTTCACAGTAATACCGCATCCGCCATTGTTGCGCAGACAATGGAGTACACTGTGAATCTTGCGATTGCGAACAACGCCGTCTCGGCACTCTTTATGAACAACCCGGGGGTAGTCTGGCTGTTATTGCGCAGTGGCGCGGATCCGCAGCTCAAGGACACGAAGGGGCTCACTGCTGTCGATCAAGCAGATTCGGAGGAACTGAAACGGGCAGCGTGCATCTCAGAGCAGTGCTGCCAAAAGTGTCAAGCTTGCTGCTACCGGTAAGGTGATCGGGCCGCTTTGAAGACTGCCCAGAGGCCAGAGGCATGGACTTCAGCACCGAGCTACCGCAGCTGATATTGCAACTTAGCAGCGCCGCGTCAGTCTGGTCAGCGGGGTGTAGCCTTCACGGGCTCATCACCCGAAAGAACGCGCCGCGTTCGGAACGCAGGGCTCGTCATACTCGCACTCGCCCTGAAGCCACCAGTTCCCGTCTTCTCCATCGCAGCAGCATGCCGCCGCCGCCCAGCGGGCGTCGCCCCGTGAGCGGCTCGTTCCGCTCGGTCGCCTCCACCAGCTTCTCGAGCTTCCACAGCAGCGCCAGCAGCATCAGCGTCGACACCTTCTCCGATCTCCCGTCCGCTTCACTCACGCGCTCGTCGTCCAGCAGCTCCTCGAGCGGCGGCCTCACGCCCAAGAGCCACCGCCCCAGCGTCACCAGCAGCAGCAGCCCCAGCACGCGACGCAGCCCCAAGCCAACCCCCGCGATCGACCGAGCCAGCGAGACGATCGTGCGCCGGCTGCTGGCGTCGGGCGTGTCAGTGCACTCGACGCAGGCGGCCAAGTCTCTGGCCTCCGCCGCCAAGACGGGGGAGCTCAGCCTCGTCCGCGCCCTCATCAAGGCGGGCGTGCCGGTGGATGCGCCGCACCATGACGCCACCGCCCTCATGGCGGCTGCGGGCGCTGGCCAGTTGGAGGTCGTGCAGTTCCTCGCTCGGCATCGCGCCGACGTGGAGTTTCGAGGCCCCGACGGAGCCACAGCTCTCTATCTGGCAACCAAGGCGGGCTATGCAGAGGTGGTGGCCTATTTGCTGCACCGCAAGGCAAGTGCAGACGTCGCGGTGGCCTCGGGGAAGTCGGCGCTCCATGTCGCGGTGCAAGGCGGTCACACGGAGATTGTGGCCGACTTGCTGCGTCACTGGGCCTCAACGCATCGGAAGGACGGAGCGAGCAAGAGGGCGAGGGAGTATGTTTCACCCGATTGCCTGGAGATCGCCAAGATGCTGGACGAGTTCGACCGCAAGACGGCACTGCTGAATGCCACGGCGGCGGGAGACCTGGAGACTGTCGAGTACCTGATCGCGAGAGGCGACGACCTGGAGACTTGTGGCCCCGAGGACGAAACTGCGCTGCTGGTTTCAGCGGGAGGTGGCGCTGGTCGAGTGGAAATTGCGCGCGTGCTACTCGCTGCAGGAGCAGACCGAGCTGCGGCCTTGAAGGATGGCAGTTCGGCTCTTCATCTGGCGGTGAAAGCTGCAGGTGCTCGGGGTGGAGCGGCGATGGTTACGTTGCTGCTGCAAGAAGGAGTTGATCCGCGCAGCTTGGACGCCCGCGGCAACTGCGCGCACGACTACGCGGATGATCCGCACGTTGTTCGAGCACTGGAGAGGCACGAGTCCAAGCTAAAGCTTCTGTTCGCTGCGGAAGCCGGCAATTTGGCGCTGGTGATTCACCACGCTACTCATGGAGCAGACATTGACACCAGAGGACGCGCGGATGGCGTCACGCCTTTGCTTGCAGCTGTGCAAAAAGGTTTTGCTGACATCGCCCGATTCTTGCTCGATCAAGGCGCAGACCCCAATGCTGCCTCAACGGTAGGTGGGCTTACGCCGTTGCATGTGGCCGCCGAACAAGGCGATTACGACATGGTGGGGTGGCTCCTGCACTACGGCGCCGACGTGCGTGTAGCGGATGCAAATGGTAAACTTGCTCGAGAGTATGCGATCGATGACCAAGTAGTGGAACTGCTGAGCACTACCACTGGCAAGGGCAACAGCCGATCGGAGGACGCAATTCGGCATTTCACTGCTAATGAGCCGATGGTAGAGCCCGAGAGTTTTTCCAGCTTCAAGAGCAACGTCATCCGTGATCAAGGCAAACCATCAAGTAATGAAAGTATCGTCGTGGTGGCGAACAACAAGAGCAGTGAGGTAAACCTCGGAGCGATATTGAGTGAAGGACACGATGTTACGATGGAAGACACGCTGAACAACACTGTCAACCAGCGAGATCACTCTGAGGAAGAGTTGACGAGCAGTATGCGCAGTAACTGGACTTGCGCAGAGCCACCGCCATCGTATCAAAGCTACTTGCGCGTTCAGCCCCCTTCTTCAAACGAGGCGAGCTTACTTTTCGCTGTCCAACGCCATGACTTGGAGACTACGAGACGAGTACTTGCGTTCGACGTTGACATAGAAGTACGATCTGAAGGCAACAACTTCACGCCGCTATGCTGGGCTGCCCAGGCTGGTAATCTGGAAATGGCGCAATTGTTACTAGTGGAAGGGGCGCAAGTGGATGCTACAACTGCGAGCGGATTCACGCCACTGTTGCTGGCTGCCTCGGGCGGCCACGCCAATGTTGTACAACAGCTTTTGATGAAAGGGGCTGAGCCAGAGGCTTGCATTAAGCGAAGTGGGTTTACGGCGCTACTGGTGGCCGCTTTCAATGGTTATGTCGACGTGGTGCGTCATTTAGTGAAGAAGCGCGTGAATCTGGAAGCACGCTCCGCCGATGGATCTACAGCGCTGCACCTTGCCGCTGAAAAGGGTCACGCTAAGGTTGTTCAGTTGCTGCTGGCAGGAGGGTCAAACCCGAATGCTGCTACTCAACGAGACGGGTCGACAGCACTGCACAAAGCGGCATTTATGAACAACCCGGAGGTGGTGTGGCTGTTACTGCGCAGTGGCGCTGACCCTCAGCTCAAGGACGCTAAGGGAGTCACTGCTGTTGATCAAGCAGATTCGGAGGAACTGAAACGTATTCTGCTTGCTACCAGCTCGGAACGAGACGCTAATGCCACTGAAGCCTGGTGGGATCAATGGCGGATCCACCACCCTGCTGCATTTCCAAAGGCTACGACAGGTGGAGAAGGTTGACCGAAATCTGCCGATGAAGGTCCCTTACAAGGAGCTTTCAGCTGGAGGATGCGAGGTCTTGTTTCCTGTTCCACCCCGAGGTACCTTGTCTTCCTCATGCCATGGTTTGTAAAATAAGTATTGTTGTTCGGCAAAGCAGGCTAAAATAAAAGGCTTGCTTGGGCTCATAGTGGATGGTTCAGTAGAATGTGTATGATGCATTGTTGCCGCGTTCTTTTGTACCTTATCCTTACCACGATGATTTCAATTGATCAATCTGTTGATTCGCACTACTTAAGCGAACACCTTGGCCCTAGTAAATCGTGCATTCACTCAACAACGCAAGTAAAGAAACATATCCGGGAGCTGGCTTATTATTGAGGAGGTCGCACTCCTCCGAAAAATACAAAATACATCACTTCATGTCCTCGAGCTCTGGTCGGTTCAGTGGAGCCTCGGCGCCTAAAACGAAGAATGGCGACTCCGACTCGGGGGAGCCAGCACGAACGGCGACAGTCACCAAATCTCCCCGCCCGCCATGCCCGAAGGTAGGCTCTTCCCCTCTTCAGATGCTGTTTGTCACTAGTTCTTCTTTTGCGTTGTGCAAAACCTCCACGAGGTCCTTCGCCGTTGGCCGGCTCATAGGCGCGTACGAGAGACACTGCTCGACCAACTGCCGCACACTTGCGGGGGTGTCCAGGTACTCCTGCCGGTTCTCGTGTGGTACCAGCGGCTCCTGGCGCCGGACACGCGCTACAAGCTCCACGTCGGACATCGTGTTGCCCTTCTCCTCAACGAGCGACTGGTACGGTGATACCCGCGTGAAAATCTCGCTAACTAGGATACCGAAGGCGAAAATGTTGTTTTTCCGCGCGTCCATCGGAGACGAGCGCGTGAGCACTTCCGGAGCTAGCCACGCCACCTCGCCCATGCCATACGAATATGCGGCAACCTTGCTGGGTCCTCCAAGTTTGGCGGAGCTCGGGACGCACTCGAACAGACTTAGCTTGCAGCCCATGGCGTTGTTGACGAGGACCTTCCGGCTGGACAATTGCTTCGCGCACATATTTTGCTCCGTCTCGTGCAGGTATGCCAACGCTAGTGCCACATCACAGCACATCTGGAGCTTCGTACTGACGTCAAGGTCCACGTCCGTATTCGAGAGCACCGTCTTCAGGTTGTTCTTGTCCATGAATTCGGTCACCACAGCGAAGTCGGTCCCAGCAAGCCACGTAACGCCAACTAAACTCGTGATGTTCGGGTGCGAAATCGTCGCGAAGGTGCGCGCCTGTGCCATCAATGCCTTTGTTACATACGAGTCCGTCACCTCGGACTCGACGCGCTTCACCATCACCTTTCCACCGTTATATTCGCCCACCCATAAGCGGCCCGTGCCCACGGACTTGACGAGTGACACGTCGCTCTGAGGCAGACGGAAGTTTCGCAGGAACTCGTCGTTAGAAATGAAGGAGCCCTTGTCCGCAGTCGCATCGCTCTTGCTCATTAGCGTCGTTGTAGCTTCGTTGTTGTGCGCATTCGAGTTGGCAGCCTTCCGCTTGAAGTACATCCGCAGGATGAAGAACGCCAGAACCACAGCGATCACGACGACCAACACGATAATCACAACTAAAACTCCTGTGGAAATTCCGCCACTGCTGTCACCTGCGCTGATATCTTCCCCTGGGCCGGAGCTGGAACGGTCGTTTGTGGTGGTCCTTGTGGCTCCGGAAGGGAGAGTATAACCTCTGGAGGACGCTGTACTTGACGATGAGCTTGCAGAACCGCACGAGAGTTCAAACTCACCCGAAGTGGTATTGGTGGATTGGCAAGCGTCGATGAAGTTTGTTTCCAAGTTTTGAGTCAAATTTTTCAATTCTTCCTCCGACAAGGTGGTCGTTCCGGTGACAAGCGTTAAGTTCGCAACACTGCAGGGCAGGAACTGTTAGTAAACATACCGTTGCAATCCTATCACAAAGATAAAGGCTTACATGTCCATGTTGCTCTCATATTGCCGCTCGTACAAGACCTTGGGGATTTGGTCGAATGAAGTGTCCGTTAAATTACTGCAAACAGAAGCCAACAACAATTAATATTTGGCCGACACAATCAAAGATCAAGGAGATCAAGTGGCCTACATGACAGTAAAATTCGTCGGATAGTTGGCGAGAGATAAATCTGTCATCGAGGAAACAGTGATGTGTCTGCATATCACATTGCCCATAGAAAAACATTTACGCAGCTCCTTAGCCGAAGTCGCACCACTAACCCAATGAGAAACCCCAGTACGTACAAATCGGACATGTCGGTTGGAAGTGTCAAGACCGTATCCGCGACGAACTTCACGCTCTCGAACCGCCTGTAGCACACACGAGCCCGACAATAAGCGACTAGGCTGCACTAGGAATGTTGCATCTTGTCCCCCACTTACAGGCGGTGTAATTCGTGGAGAACTGCCAAGTTAAGGGATTCAGCGCTGTTGATTGTCGGCGTCCCATTCCCGCCCGTGATGTTCCTGTTAGTAGCGTAGCCTCAGTCAGTTTGCTCCCTTCTCCGACGTTTCATCGCATTCTAACCCACTTACAGCGTTCGTAGTGTGTAATCATTCTGGAGATTAAGCGTCACCTCGGACGCCTGCACGTGCACCTCGAAGTCCGCCACCATCATCTTGTTGCCGTTGCTACCATTTTCACAAGTGTACGTCGCTTCATTGTCTTGCATCGATAGAGTGGCCGTCTGGCCTTCGCACGCCACGCTCAGTATATTAGCCGAGACCTGTCCGTCGGCCTGCCCGACCGCGACGGCGCCGACGAGCGCTGCCGCTGCCGCCGCGAGGAAGCTCCGACGCGCGGGGCGCATGCTGCTGCTGCTGCTGCTGCTGTGCGAGGCGTCGGAAGACAAATGGAGCGCCCGCGCACCTGCTGCTTTGCCTGAACAGCGCCGACTGACTCTCCCCCGGGCAAAAAATGAACCCAAAGGGGTTACCTATAGTGAAATCAAGTGGTGCGCAGCCCTACCCGCGGCCGGACCCAAAATTTGTTCATAGTGGAGTCAAGTGAAAGGCCCTCAGGACGCGGCTTATTTCCGGCTCACCCGCTAACTTTGCCCCTCAGCTTGAAGGTGCTGACCACAATGGTGGGGCCGCACGCCCTCTGCATGGAGGCGCTGGAGCCCGCGGGGCCGGGCGCCGCGCTGCACCAGTGCTTGGAGGCCGCGCAGCCATCAGAAACGAGTCGCAGCACCGCTTGCGAGCGCTGGAAATCACGTGAAACCCCTCGAAACCGGGTGCAGCCCGGTCCAAAACGGGCATCGCCGCTGGGGCTCGACTGCGGCGGCGGTTGACTGGACCCATGGGGCTGTCGTCGAGGTAGATAGGCACGTGGGATGTAATGGCTCAGCACTGCCAGCGATATCAGCATGGTAGGGCGTGGTAGCTACAGCAGCACCTTTGGCTCCTCGACTCGAGCGGAGACTGGCACAGGCATCCACATCAAATTGTAGCCACAAATGCGTCCTGGGCGAGTTGACACAAAAAATCCACTCTTTGTCCAACCCCTCACCAAAGCGATACGCCAGCAGGAATCATTTCTGCCGGCTGTGTGAAATCGCAGTTTGACCACCAGGCCGCATGGCGTCGACGGTAATGGAAGCTGTCTGCCTGCTGCTGCTGTTGCTGCCAGAGTGTCGCTGACGGTCTTCTGAGACGCCTTCGTTGTCTGCGCCTTTCCTCTGGTTGCTGTAGAGCGGCAGCGAACGCGACTCCGAGGAGCAATGGGACGACATGGCCATCGTCAGGGTGCGGTACACTGCCCGCGATAAGGTCTCGGCAAGAGGGCCGCCATCTTATACGACTCGTGTCGTGCTGCTGTACAGGCGTTTGAAGAGGCGCTGACGGACCAGCGAGCGCGAGGCTCTGCGTCTGCCAAGTCGGCTGGCAGGTGAGTGAGCGCCAACAGGAGGCGACAAGCGACTCTGATATCGCTGGCTGGCTAACGCTGCGATCGATGTTTCTAATGGCAGGAAGCACAAAGCGGCTTCGCGCTCGAACGGAAGGAAGGCTGCAAGAAGCGTCCCCGTTGAGGAGGAGGGCGACGAAGAAGAAGAAGAAGAAGGCGAGAACCAGCATGACCAGTACGGCCAAGCTGCAGCGTCTGCGGCACCGGGGGTAGGAATGTACGGCCAGCCAAACGCCACAGCATACGGAGGATACCCCACTGGGTCGGCCTACCAGCAAGGATACCAGCAGCAACAGCAGCAGCCTTCGAACGATGTATACCAGGCCGCCTACGCTCAGGCGTACGCGCAGCTTCAAACCCAGTTCCAAGCTGCCTACGGCGCAGCACCACAGCCGTATGGAGCGGCCGCTCAGATGCCGACGTTTCCAGCCCAGTCGCCGTACTATCCATCGGCAGGATCTGCCGGTCCACCCGCCCCGCCGATGCCGTTCCCGGGGATGCCTGCTGCTCCTGCTGCTCCATTTCCACCCAGCGCAGCAGGGTCAGACGACGGTTTGGCGAACGTGCTCATGGCATGGTATCAGTCAGGATACTACACTGGCCGCTTCCAGGCCATGCAGGAGATGAGGATGCGTGGGCAGCGATAGGGAGCATGTTATGCCAGACGCGTCCGTTCCGCCGAAAAGGAAACTTAATATCTTAACCGCGAGATGACAAGCAATAGATCGTGTTGACGTGCAATACTCCGATGGACTAACGAGCTGGCCGCCCCCGACTTAAGATAGAGATATAAAATGCCGCTTCTCTCCTCCTTGCTGCAAGCGCTCACTGGCGCTTCTTGATCGAAGCGTGCTTGGCCGTCTTGGAGCTTTCTTGCAGGAACTTGACGAGCCAGTAGAACTACCATGCGATTGGATGCGCTGTTAGCTGCAGGAAACCATACAAATGCAGTGAAGAGTACTACATACCAGCGCCAACATGTGCAGCCCCACGAGGCCGCCCACGAACGCGTTCATGCCGAAGCCCAAGTCGGAGCCGAGGAGCAAGATGCCGTCCGCCATTTTGGTCGATGGACGATTGAAATGCAGGAAGATCCCGCAGTTTTGTGACACTTTGTAAAGTATACAGAATCTTGCGTGAAACATACAAATCTTACTTCAACTTGACCTTCATTCCGCAAAATGCGGGGCTCGACACACGGCGCCGTGAAGATGCCGGGTACGCGCTTCCTCCTCCTGCTGCTTCATGACACACCGTCCATGCCTCACTCGTGCGCGCTGGAAGGCTCCTACGCCCCGGTCTGCGCCAAGCTGCGCGCCGAAACCAGCAATATCGTCGGCTGCGTGGCCGAAATGTGCCACGAGCTGGAGACCGCCCCAGTGCTGAGAGGGGCGCGGAGTAAACGAGCGACGCAGCCATCTCAAGGCCAAGACGCCGGCAAAAGCACTCAGGAAGCAGCAAGAGATCAGGGCGGAGGAGACTTGGTGGCAGGAGGAACAGGCATTTCAGTTCAGGTCTCACATGTGGGGGCCGACGAGGTTGAAACCAGGGAACGAGCCGGACTAAGTGAACACAAGCAGCTTTCTGGAGGAGGCTGCGGCTTGGCGTCGAAGGATTCGACTGACAACGGAGTGGAGGATGGAGCTCACACGCGAGAGGGCACGCAGCAATGCGCGAGGTAATGGCAGAGCTTACACAGTGCTGCATGTGGGAGGCTGACGACGCTGTCGATTTCGCTAGCGGGTTGCAGGGTGGACAAGCTGGAGAATGCGAGCGCTTTGTTGAGGCAGGGCCTTTTTCTGATGGAAATCGCTCGAGTACTGATGAACGTGGGGAACCAGATCCCCACTTCATATCGCTGGATCTGCCAGCTACATCTCTCGATACTTCCGATCTTGGGTATTCGACTCTCAAGACAAGTGGCGACGTACTTCTCGGTCAAATCTTCGAAGTCTATGATAAGGGCGTGCGCGCTGATTTCGCGGACATACCGGATCTGTGGTCCTGTAGCAAAGCGTACTGTGACGTTTTTGAAAGGCAGCCGTCTGGTGATGTTGATCAAGAATCTCAGCTCCGCAACACCTCCATCGAGCCGACTCAGCCACGACGGATGCATTGCGATTGGTGTGAAATTACCGAGCCGGCTGAATCATTCCTTGACAGCGAGTCCAGCAGACTGCTGAAGACGATGGTCCGGGCAAATACCCAAGTGATGCTGTTCGATAAGGATATTGTCGTCCCGAATGCGTTTGACGAGGACTGGGGGTTTCCGTTGCGTGGTATTGTCCCGCCTCACGCGGTGAAAGGAGGTGGTGGTGAGATTCAGCACCTTTTCCTCCCGTTCGATCTGGTACGGGGAGACGATGAAAAAGTTTCTGGTGCTCCGTCCAAGCTCATCTCATCTGCGAGGAGGTACTTTCACGATCTGCAGCAACCCGATGTCTCGCTGACGAGAGCATCGATGAATATACCATCCCTGTGGAACCTCCCGATTTCTGTGGGTAGTCTCCAAGCGTTGGCTTCAGAGAAACTGGAAGCTGCGGCAATGGATCAGAAGCTATCATCGACCTCTTGTTCTACGTCAACCGCTTCGCGTTCACCCAGGGTGACAGCAAAGGTGCCAAATCAAGAACTTTTACCGGATGTTTCAAAAACGACGAAAAAGGACGGTGCCAACAGTATCATCTCGCAAGCTGTTCACCCGCTACCAGCCTCTCGAAAGCTACTCGTGGAAGCAGAGGATTGCCCCCTGAGTACCGACTATTTCTTAAGCGACCAGTTTCTAAGGTGCAATTGGAGCGAGCCGCCAGAAGAAACAGCTACCGTTGATATTGTGAACACGAGCTCGAATGATTCCGAAGAGCTTTCAGAGGCCCATAAGCTTCTAGAGCAAATCGCTCGGCCAGCGCTGTGGGATTTAATGCGGAAAAAGTTGCTCCAGGTGGGCGGGGCTTCCTTACGTAATGCGCTGAGTTGCGTCACCTTGGAGGCACTGGAAGCGATAATCTACGAGCAGTTTCGAGTTGTGAAGAAAATGAATCTGAACCCGTCAGCATTCTCAAGCGTAGAAATAAGTGAGGCCTGTGCCAGTCTTCGTCAAGCTGCATGGTTGCATACATTGCGGTAAGAACGTGCTTTGTACTGGGTCGTCTTACAAATACTAACTCTGTAGAACATGAGTGTAGTGTTGTGGGGATCAGTCATACGTCTGCGACCGACGGCGAGATGTTGCCTGCAGTATTGTCAAGGATTCTTGCGAGTCCCCAATACAAACTCGTGTTGGGGTCATCCAACTGGAAAGACCTTCAGATGTATCTGAAAGCAATTTATGGAAGTGCGGTTCATGCAGAATCCCTTGTCAGCAATGATTTGGACAGTCGAGCGCAAGTCGATTCGACTGAACAACCGCCTTCCAAGAAACCAAGAATTATGGGCCCCCAGAAAGAGACCCCGCCAGTTCGGGTTTTGTGTTCGGTCCGATTTCTCGAGCAGGTGAGGAGTGCCTGTTAAAGTGCAACTGCTATTTTGACTGACGGCCCGTTGAGCACCACAGGATGAACTGCTGGATGAACTGTGCACGGAGCAGCAAATATTTTTTATTGAGCGAGACCTCCCACCTCCAATCGACATGTTGGTCGATGAGAGAAATTGCGTTTGCGTAGTGACCGGGGATACCATTCAAGGTGAGGTAGACCTCTCTGTTAGGCATTATGTCGATTTCCGGTATTCTAAACGCAAATGTTGTGTGAGAAGCCGAAGCAAGTCTGCGGGTCTTTGTTTTCAGCTTAGTCCGTTTGCAAGTCCAGCTTCAAAAGTGTTGGCTTATCATCGGTATTTAAGTGTCGTTGTGTGTTGAGCCTCTTCATCTACTAATATCATGCTCTGTAGCTTTAGATGCCCCTCCTTCAACCGACAGGGAAGATATGATCAATTTGCTTTACGCAGCGCTAGTGCAGTTCCGAGTTGAAATTCAAGTATTTACCTGGTAAGATGTGTACTGCGAGCAAATTTCGGACTAGCTACTAACCGGAATCGTAGCTTTTCGTGCGAGGAGACGGCGTGCTGTATCCGTGCGATCATCGACCACTGCTCTGAAGTCGCGTTAAACTGCCACCGCATCTTGCCTCGCCTCTGGTTTGAGCGGCCGTTTTTGCTGGAGGAAGAATCTCAATTTGAGCGCTTTCTCGTCTCCACGAAAATCGTGAACCACTACGCAGCGCAGTCTTTGCTTCACAAAATTTGCATCGACGACCTATTCCTTAAAAGGTATCGTGATACTGGCATTTGGATTTGATGGTGACGCTGACAAGATCTAACTGCTCTACTCTACTACAGCTTTGATGAGCTAAAGCTACTCGTACAGAATGCAATTACAGACGAACAACTGCAGCTACTTTGGGAGTACGTGATTTGTTTTTTTCCGCGCCAAACGTGTTGAAGTTTTCCTCATTATTTCATAATTAGGTTTGCTCAGCAAGATCATGGGCTTCACAACGCCGCTCAATAGACGTCAGTTTGCCTACCTTAGTGTGCTTGACAGGACAGTTTTGTTTCAAACGGGGGTCAATCAAGATTGCAGAATCAACTACGATTACTGCGCTCGAAAGAAGAAACAATCTATCGTGTACTTAAGTATTCACTACGCTTATCGGTGCTTTTTCCCCGTAAGTACTGTTAGCAGACTCCGTACACAATACTGTGGATTGTCTTGACCATGACGTCACCCCACGCCATAATGCCGGTGGAGAGCTGCTCCATCGTATCCCCCGAGAGCGGGAACTGAGGTCGATGGATTTTCAAGAATGCTGAGCCTCTCATCGTCACTACAAGCTCACCTTGGTCACCGTTAGCCGAAGGTTTCCGTCTTGCAGTAAACACGACAGTGGCCGAAATATCCTTACGGATGCGTGTAGCCGGGCTGTACGGATAGAGTTCATCCTCGTCAACGGAATCGAGCGCCACCATCCCGTATGCCCCCTCCGGATCCATCTTCGGGTACAGAAGCGAACTGGTTTCCACTGTGATATTGTTGCCCACGGTTGACAGCACTCGAGCATTGTACATGCTGCCGTCGACAGAGTCGTAGTCGTCCCTGACCGGAACGTGACCCAGCCGCTCGGTGATGCTGATCTCCATATTCGTCAGATAGTACACGGCTGCGTCGTACACTTGCTGCAGGGACTTGACTCCAGGGAACTGCACAGTTTCGAAGCGGACACCACAGAAGTCACCCTCCGCCGACTCAAACAGTTCGTCCGAATACGTCGTCTTCTCTGCATCCCCAAACTTTCTGGAGGTCATTACGAAGTTGTAAGCATTGCGAGGTTTCGTTTCTCGAATAGCCATGAGCTTGTCCTTGCGCTGGTCCCAGTCCTTTGGGAGGCAAATCCGAGTGTACAGCGGGTGCGACTGCTGGCTTCCCTGTTTGAAAAAAGTCATCATCGTGAGCTTTGATATTCGAGGAGAAGGCCTCTCCATGCCTCCACCTACCAGACACCGACTCATAGCCGACTGCAATTTAGCCACCTGAAGCTGCTGCTTCCTGGCACCGTCACGCAACTGTGCGTTCTCCTCTTCGGTTTGGTTGAGCCTGGCATCAACTTCGCACTCTTGGCCGGGCTCTGACCGGGTCTTCAACACAGCCACCTGCGACTCAAGTCTTCGGATCTCTTGGTGCAGTTCCTTAACTTTTTCCTACACAACATAAAACACGCCACGTTAGCCAAAGGGACGTAACTCGGGAGCACCTTGTGGCCGCCATACTGTACCCGTCGAGCAGCGTACGTGCACTTGCGTCGTTTAGCTTTGGTCTCTCCAGATTCATTGGCTGGCATCCCAGAGTCGCTGTCCCTATCGAAGAATTTGTGGAATTGCGCTTGGAGCGGAAATTGTGAAGTGATCTCACCACCAGTAATTTACTGGCAGTAAATGAATGAGCGACAAAACGAGTCACTATTATTACTACACAACCAACTGATTGCAAGGTGATGTGTATTGCTTAACACGTTTACGCAGGAGGATCGCGCATCTTCTTTCACTTTACGGTTCCTTCATTTCACGTTACGGTACGCACAGCTCGTCATGGTGATAAACAACTCGACGCGCGGGGAAATATGTGCATCCAGCACAGCACGGAAACCAACGTGAAAAAAGCACTGAGCGCAAAGTAGACAAACGCACATTTTTTTAATGCTGGCCCCATCGATGCGCCTTCTCTGTCTTCTGCCGACAGCGCCGCACTTTTACATCGTAGGTCCCTCTAGTCTTTGAAGAAAATTCGCGCGCCGTTGAGCGACCAGTCGAGCAGGTCAAACTCACGGCGGTTCAACTCGATGCGCTTGGCAGTAAGTTGCAGCGTGTGCACCTCTTCCTCGTCGTCGATCAGCTCGGCCGTCGTCTCCTTCTGCTTCTTAGCTGCCTGCTCGCGCTTCCGGGCTTCGCGTTCCGCTTGCTTCTCGTTGTAGGCCTCCTCCTCGACCTTGTACTTGCGCACCACCTCTTCAAACCAGTGCAGCGCGTCAAATTGCTATGAAGTACATGCACAACAAAATAGAGAGTTAGTGTGCTGAATCAAACATGCATCCCACAACAGATAGTGTGTACCTCTCCCTGGTCAAGAATCGCAAGGATGTAAGCAACGCCAATTGCGAACCCGTCGTCCGAGAAGTACGACTCGCGGCGGCGTGTGTTCTTGTACATGAGGTCTTTTGCCTGCACAGTCGTCTCGACGTAGTTGATAGTAAGGGCCGGGATGATCGTGTAGAAGTTGACCAAGTGCTTCTGCTCGTCGCTGGCAGTAACATCCTGGAAAACCTTCACCAGCACCTTGAAGTAGTCGTTGTTCTCCGAAAAGTTCTTGGCGAGGGTCGAGATAACCGAGTCCAGGTTGCGTGCCGCTACGACCGTCTCGCGAGACAACTTGGCGCCAACAATCTCGTCCCGCACAACTTCGCCAGTCTCTTCGTTCTTCTCTTCCGCCACGCCATCACCAGCGTACGCTTCAAATTTAAAGTGCGTGTGGTTCAAGTCCGGCACAAACTTAATGGCGTTGCTGCAGTAGTTCATACCCGCGGAACGCACCATGCGTACGTAGCCCAGAGCATTACCGATCTCGGTGATCAACATGCGGAACTGGTCCAAAAACGTCTTGCCAGAATCCGATACACCCAACTTGCGGATGTCCTTGTTGAACTGGAACGCGCGATCGAACGGGTATTTGTTGTCCACCTCCTTGTCGTCGCGGTGCTTCTTGTACCAGCGCTTCTCACGTTGCAGATAACTCTTGATGTACTCATCGAAGAGGAACTGCGAGAAAATATCGAACTTCTTTGTCAGGAACTGGTATGTGAAGTTGACCGTGGTGTTCATGATACCCATGCCATGCGTACGGATGGAGCTCGCGATTGAGTGGATGTTGATGGAGTTAAGGTGCCGCGAGCCCTTGTCACTACGACGTTCGAGGAAGAACTGCTGGTTCAGGTTGTAGTTGTATCGGGCCACAAAAATCTGGATGTTGCGCATAATTTGTAGAATATCGAGACCTTGATCCAGCGAGCCCATAGGGAGGTGATTGTCAGCGAGACTCAAGCCATATTTGTCGTTGGCCAAATTGCGCATTTCCCCGTACGTCTTCCAGTCGTGAAGCGCAACAGTAGTTAGGTTGTAGAACGTGCTTTCGAGATAATGCGTCACTTGTTGCCGCAGATCGAGTGTCTTTCCGTGCAGTCGAATAGGGCGAAGATCCAGATAGTAGTGAAGCACCTTGAAGTCGGCACTCTTCGGGTTGGGGGCATCCAGGTGATCCAAGTGGACAGAGTGAACGTGGAGACGGAGATCGTTTTCCACATCCTTGCACAAGTTTTCGACGATCTCCTCCTCCAGCACTGACTCGATGAAATCGGCGTATGCTGTGACATACAATTCGTTGTCCGTCTCATGTTGTGCACCGCGCAGCAACTTGATCGCATCAAGGAAACCACCCACCACATACTGGATACGGTTTGCCTGCTCAGGCTGGCTGTAAAGGTCGGCCATGAAGGGGTGAAGCAGCTCACGACTCCAGTAAAAGAAAGAACAGTCGCAGGCACTTCGGATCTTGCGCTGGAAATCACTTAGAAGACGTAGCTTCCAGATGAGTTTAACAGGCTCGCCGGCGTCTTTGAGGCCCATTGGCACGGTAGTGTCCATAACGCCTCCCTTCTCACTGACAGCAGTGCTGTTGTCCGGTGATATCATCGCAATTTGAGCGGCGAGATCAAGAACAGTGATCCGCGTGTACGAGAACGACTCGCCAGAGTTCAGGATATCTTCCAGCACAGTCACAGCAGCCAAAACATCCAGCTTCGTGTCATCAAACTTCTTGCTAGCTTCCAGGTGTGCCTTGAGCGGACGGAAAAACGAGAACAGCGAGTGAGCGACTTGGCGAAGTAAGTGCGACGATGACTCTGCCAGGACGGGGTTCTTCCGCGCAAACATGAACTCAACAGCCTTCAGGATCTCGATACAGGTGTACAACGGCCTCACAACCCGCTTTGGCATCGGGATCTGGAGTGACAGGTGCAAATTTACCAGAGTGTGCATCATAGTCTGCACGCGCTTGGCCAAGATTAAACCCTTGAGAATCAGGTTACCACGGATACTAAGCGTCCGAGATGCATCACCCATACCACGCGTGGTCGGCTGGAAGAACGACTCCATCCGTACTAGCCAAGCACTCAGCTCCAATTTCGCTGTGGTGACATCAGCCGGGAAAGCGTCATCGAGCGAGTGAAGATATTCGCGCCGGAACTGGACGATGTCAGTGGGATGCAACTTCTTGGACGTCATCGGCGCATACTTGAGCAGAAAGTCCGGCATATACCACATAATCTTGCCACAAATCGTCACACAAGGAGCCTTCAGCTGCGTCTCCCACAGTCGCTTGAAAAGCACAGGATCGGCCGGGACATTGGATGGCTGGAGCCGACGGAGCAGCACGTACAGTCCCGCTGTACCAACCAGATCATTTCGCTCGAAGGTCTCCGTAGCCGACGTAATGGCGCCCTCGGCGATACTCAACCGTGCGCTAATGCAGTGCACAAACTCCTCCAAAAAGACGCGGTTAGTGCGAATGTCAATCCTGGACTCTCCTCCACTGCTACTAGCACGACGACCTCCTCGTTCGCTGTCGCTTCCATCCGGGTCTTCGTCGTCCTCTGCGACGTCACCGCCAGAAAATACCTCGAAGTCCTGCTCAATACAGCTCTGAAAGACCTGCGCGCTCATGATCGTCTGATCCAGGCTGACCAGAAGTCGTTCAAACTGCTTCACTTTGTCCACCGTCACATTGTAGCGGGGTGGGTCGGAACGCACGTACTGCATCATACGCTTGTACTTATCCCAAGACGTAATAATGTTGGGATTGTCGATGACAATCGCATCGATCGTGATCATGACCTCAAGCAAGCTTGCCAGCGCGTCGAACACGGGGTGGAGGTGCACAAGCTTGAACGTGGACTTCCAGAGCTTCTGGAAGCTCTGGTACAGGCTCGCAAGCTGGTGAATCATGTTGATGGTGATAGCGTTGCAGCGGTCCACGAAGTTGGAGATATCCTGGAAGAACGCGAGCATGCGGCCAATGTGGACCTCATCCTCTCCGGCTTTCACTTCACCTTCTTCCCCGTGGCGAGCCTGGCCGAACATGATCAGCGCCGGATAGAAGTTGTCTTCCACCGTCACCTTGAGCTCGGAAATTTCATCGCACAGCACGGAAAACACCGTGAGGACCTTGTTGAACAGCTCATTGTCCGTCTTGATAAGGTCCTGCACGTCCACTCGTTCTGCCGGGTGGAGGTACAGCTGAATAGGGTCCGCCTACATGACCATCAAACAAGCACCTTCACCATCAGTCTCGCAATCCGAGAACCCCTTTGCCACTAACAGCATCAAAACTGGCGTACCCAGTATCCCCAAACTTCCGACATCGCCGCCGTAATAGCGTCCTCAATCTCCTTCAGCTTCGTCTACAGCACCAAAAACCACAGTTCGTCAGCAACGGTCTCGCTCGTTCCAAGAAAACCCTCCTGCCAGCTCACCGTGTGGTCATTGATGATGGCCAAGCCTCGCTGCAGCTCCTCTCGAATCGGTTGCTCTAGCAGCAGCAACAGCAACAGCAACAGCAACAGCAGCAACAACAACACAGTCAATCATCAAAGCACAAGTGTAGCCACCCCGCTCCTGCGCGCACCTTGCGCGTCGAACTCGGAGAAGGGGCTGCCGAACTGGTCGTCGGCCAGGTTCCAGTTCTCCGTGATCGTGGACAGCGCGTTGCTGTCCTTGCGCTTCTTGCCCTTGGTCACGCCGAAGTTGGACACGAAGGACGACTGGCGGCCGCGCACGCCGCTCATGCTGGAGCGGCTGCTGGTGCGCGAGAGGCGCGAGGCCCTCGAATCCGCGCGCGAGCGGTTGTGGCCGCTGGACGACACGCGGCCGCCGAGGCCCGTGAGCCGCAGGTCCCGCGCCGACATGTCGGACGCGCGCGAGTCGGCGCGCCCCATGTCGAAGCGCGTCGAGTCCGCCCACGAGGCCTTCGAGTCGAAGCGCGGCCGCTGCTGCTGGTGGCGCCGCGACGGGGACGACAGGTCGGCGCTGGACGCGTCCGAGACGCTGCTGCCCACGCTGCTGCGCATGGCGTCGCTGTCCGCGCGCTGGCTGCGCGACCTGGCGTCGTCCTCGACAGCGGCGGCCTCGCCCTTCTTCTTCTTCTTCGTGGCGCTCTTCTGCGCCGACTCGCTCATGGCGGCGGACTGAAGGCGACGGCGACGGTGCTGATGCGGGTGTGTGTGTGTGTGTGTGTGTGCGATCGTCGCTTTCTCAGATTCCTCCCCCTTCCTAGAGGTGATTATGCACGAGCTGTAGGATACGTCCAGGTCGGGATACGGCGACGCGATTGGCGCAGACAACTTCAAGCTGGAAACAACTGTAGGAAGCGGTCGCAGCCGCATACCGTACACGCACGTAGCTAGCTAGCAGCAGCGTCTTGCGCGTGAGAACTTCCCACCTCTTCTCTACTCGTGTGGGTAGCCAAAAGCGCATCGACGAGAGGGGGGTGATGCGCTCTTTGCTAGCTACACTTTTCCAGGGTCTGGCTACCGTCGAGTCCAGCCAGCGAGTCACTCTCCGACTTACCGCGACTCAGAGACTCATCCACATCCTCCGTCGACGCCATGAGCTCCATCGCCACGCAGCCGCCCGTGCAGCAGTCGCCGTCGTACGAGAGCATAGCGACGCCCCCTTCCAGCGAGGCCGGGCGCGACACGTTCAACAGCGTCGAGACGGGCCGCCAGCCAGAGGACGAGGAACCGCCGAGTCCGCCCAGCAAGCTCGAAAAGTGGCTATGCGGCCTGCGCGGCGTCGTGGTCGGCGTCGTCGTGGGGGTCGTGCTGGGGCTCATCTTCAACTCGGTCCACCTCCCAGACCAAGCCGTCACGTGGATCGGCACCCCGGGTCGGCTCTTCATCCGAGCGCTCGAGTGCCTCGTGCCGCTCTTGGTCTTCTCGGGCCTCGTCGTGGGCATGACGGACATGTCGCTGCATCAACACACCAAGCGCATCGGCGGGCGGACGCTGGCCTGCTACCTGCTTACGACCTGCGTCGCGGCGGCCATCGGGTTGGCCATGGCGATCCTCTTCCGGTCAACGTTTAACACTGGCGAGAAGGGCGTGACTGAGTCAGCGGCGCCTGTGGCTCTCCAGTGCGGAGAAGAGAGCGGCTGCTACGTCACAGTCACGGCAGACGGCACCCTCACTTGCCGCCGAGACGAAGAGCTGGCGGACGTGGCCAACTTGAACAGCAGCACCGAGGAACGCTACGAGGGCTACCGGAAAGCAGCAGCGCTCTTCCTGCAAAGAGACATCAACAGCACGTACGAGCGCGCAGACGGCGCGTTAGAAGACCTGACGCTCACCGATGCGGTTCAACTGCAACTGGACGCGCTAGTACCCAGCAACATCACCAAGGCATTCGCTGAGGGCACGCTGCTCTCTATCGTCGTGTTCGCGGTGGCGTTTGGAGCCATCCTGGCGCGGGGCAATGCTCGTGGCCGACTGCAGGCGGCTACGGACGTCATCCACGATCTGTACGACGTCTTTATGGAGTTTATTGGCTGGATCATCAAGTTCGCGCCAGTTGCTATTTGCTCGCTACTCGCAGCAGCTATCGCGGACTCCGAGGACCTCCGCGTTCTGTTGCGCAGCGTCGCCCTCTATTGTCTGTGCGTCGTATGCGGCCTGGGGGCGCACATGCTCGTCTTTTATCCGCTGCTGCTCCGCACGTTTGTCAGGCACGCCAACCCGTTCGACTGGTTGGCGAAGATGGTTCGAGCGCAGCTTTTTGCGCTGGCAAGTGCGTCCTCTGCTGCCACGCTGCCAATTGTCATGGAGTGCATTGGGGCCACCAAGCTGGTATCCCCCAGACTGTATCGCTTCGTGCTGTCGCTCGGTGTCACTATTGGGATGGATGGCGCAGCTGTGGGGACCCCCATCGCCGTTGTGTTCATGGCGCAGGTGAGCGGAGTATCGATTGATCCAGCCGATTATCTTGCTATTTGGGTGGCGTCCGCCGTCGGCTCCATCGGCGTTGGACCTGTTCCGTCCACGGGTCTCGTGCTCATTATGACTGTCTGGAAAACGGTGTTCCCAAGCGAGGCCTTGCCGGCAGCGTTCGCGTTCGTCATCGCTACAGACTGGCTCATTGATCGGCTCCACACCGTCGTCAACGTGACTTGCGACACTGTAGTTTGCCGTGTTGTTGCTCAACTCGTCGGCGACCCGGGCGCAAAACTGCAAGAGGAAGGCGAGCTACCAAGAGCCTGAGTTCCTCTCTAACACGTCTGCTTGCTGTCAAAATCATGTAATCAGCTGTACTTCTGTCAAACCACTTCTTCCATGGAGCTCCTAGTACAACCATTTTGACAAGTGTTACGGCATTCACTGCTCTGGTTTCATTTATCCATAGTGCAGTTTCTTGGGGTGGTGTCGCAGCTTGCCGCTCAGTGCAAGACATTGAAGTACATGCACGCCATAAGAAAGTGTAATAAAGATGAGTTTACTACTGTAGATTAGCTGCCACTCCCTCCCGAAAACTACACTGCACGCAGCAGCAACTTGCAGCAAGCCTCGTTGAATTCCCAGCCACCTCTCTACATAATGTAGTGCAGTTTCTTGGGGTGGCGTCGCAGCTTGCCGCTCTTAATAAGTCGCACCACGACACTGTTGCTCACCCCCAGCGCCGTGGAGAGTCCTCTCCCCGTCATCCGACGCTCCGCCGGGATCGCCGCGATGCGAATCTTGAGCTCCTCGTCGGGCACCTTGGGTTTGCGACCCGAGTGGCCCTTGATCCTGCTGGTGACGTTGCCCGCCAGCCCCTCCGTCGTCCCGGAAGCCGTGTGGAGCTTCCACAGCCGCCGGATCGTGGCTCGATGCACCCCGAAGTGGGTGGCAGCAGCCTTCATGTCCCCGTGCTTGAGTCGGCCGCCGGCGCTGTTGGCCAGCAGATAGTGCACGATCGCCACGCGCTGCTGGTCCGTGAGGTTCTTACGCTTCTCCTTTGGGGACTTGGCGGCGGACTCCTCGCTGGCCTCGGCCGCCTCATCCGCCAGCTTGGCTGGGATCTCCACGGGCACCTCGGGCAGCTTGGGCGGCGCCTCGAGCGGAATGTCCGGCAGTTTGGCTTCCAGCGCCATTTCGGGCAGCTTGGGCGCCGTGATCACGGGCATCTCCGGCATGGGGAGCGCCGCGATGGGCGCCGTATCCGTCACAATGGCGGTCTGCAGCGAGGCGGGCACCTGCACTTGCACCTGCAGCGCATTCTCGGACGCGGCGGCGGCGGGGGCCTCCATCTCCGACTGGTCGACTATGTTTGCCGCCTTTGGTTGATTCAACCAATCCGCGGCCTGGGACAGAGCGGCGGCAAATGGCACAATCAAATTCACTGGCTCGAAGCATGGCGGCGGAGTTCGCGGCATATGCGGGGCGGGTGACGGGCGCGCTGCAGACGCTGCTGGAGTCAACGGGCGTGAGTGTCGAGCCTGCAGTGGAGTTCGTGTCCTGCGGGGCCCCGAGGCACGAGCATTTTGTGCCGACAGCGTCGCTGGAGAGGCACTTGGTGAGGGCGTGCAGTGGCGTGCGTATCTTGGGGGCGTTTACTAGGAGCGCGCTTTTAACGTAATATTGTGCCTGGGTGATAGAGGAAGTGTCACGGTGAACGACGCCCTCGCCCCGTTCATGATGCAGAAGTACGCTCGATAGCAGCGCTGTGAGTTTGATATCCAAGCTGACATGAATGGATTCTGTGTTGCAGTTCTACTACGGCCGAAGTGTTGGGGACCATGCTGCACCCTTGGGACACGGTGGGAGTGATCCGATGGAAGGTGAAGCAGAGGATGGCGAGCAGCACGGAGAGCTGCAGAGTCTGCTGGAGCCAGGACCTAGCTTTAATCAGGAGGAAGGACTGATAGCTGCCATCACGAAAACTGCAACCACTGCGGGGGATTTCTACGAACAAGTTCGCCAGTGGAAACGCATCCCGCGTGCATTTGCTGCGATGAATGACAGTGAGCGCGAATTGGTGACGTCGTCGTCGTTGAACCGGTGGTTGAACTCCGAGCTAAAACGACCCGGAATACTTCCTAATGACGACCCGCTAGACGAGGAGCTGGTCGAGTATGTAGCGGGATTGCTGGATCACCCAGATTTCTGCCAGCCAGACTTGCTGGCCTTAGAATTGCACGAGTTCCTTGGGGGCAGCACTACGGTAAGCTGCAGAGTTTTCTCCTGTATGCGTACACAATTGGGGAATTTCGATCACTTACTGCTATTTTGCTTTTGGTGTTGCGTTCGGGACTCGAAGAGCTTTGTGCTTGCGCTTTGGAAGTTTTTGGTCGTCGAGATCGGGCTACACAGTGTATTTGTACGTTGTTGCTGTATTCTATTGTATTGAGGTACATCTACAAGTCGTTTTCCTAACTATGACATGCGTATGTAAACAGCAGTTGGACAGTAGCAGGGTGAACAACGCCATTCAAGCAAGTTCTGGCAGTAAGAATGATCAGTCTTCAGCGCAGAAAAATATTTCTAAGGCAGTTCCGACAAAAACGGGTGTTGTCGATGAAGTGGCTGAGCGCGACTACAAGCGTCGACGAGCTTCGTACCGGGGAAAGATCGGCACTAAGACTGGGCCGGCAGCATTTCGTGAAATGATCCAGAAGCACATGGTGGGACTCAGTCTAGAAACGGACCGTGAGCTTGTTCTTGGCGGTGGGTTTCAAGAAGAACATGAAGTCAACAACAGCCGTGAAGATAACTCACGCCCCGATCCCGTTAACTGGCGCAACTACACTGATGCGCTGGAAGTGCGCAATCGAAATCGGCCAGGTGGACGAGGGCGCCGGCCTAGGTCCAGGTCGCGGGCGCGTGATAAATCTGGGGAAGTGGATTATCCGCGGCCGAGGCACAGACGTGATAGAAGCTCGAATGATTATGGAAGGAGATCGCCCAAACCGGATCACCGGAGAAGTAGGAGCCGAAGTAGAAGTTCTCATCGCCAGGATCGACGGAGTTCGGAGCGCTCACGCAGCCGGCGAAGACGAAGCTCAAGCGTGGATCACGCTCGAAGCGAATCTCGACGTAGTGGTTACCGCCGTTGATGCTTCGATGAAAAGATGAATGGAGGAAACCAAAAAATGATGGTTTCGAGCCTTGCACTTACATTAAGCGCTTTGAGCTTCTGCCTGAATATATAAATACATACCTGTGGAGGATACAGCAACGCGAAGCAAGGAATTGCCTTCAAATAGATCCCAGCCTTGTTGACTTCCTCCTCCGCTGGGTTTTGTCATTTACCAAGTGGCCCCACGCAGCTCAAGCATAGCAGAAAACAGCGCTACCTGGCACCACCATGTCGCAACGGTTTGGTGATGCGTCCGCTTCAGGCAACAACAACAACAACTTCCTATCAGATAGGTCTTCAACGCGGTTGTGTAAGCCGCCAGGTGGTAGCTCGACTATGGGCTCGTTAATTTTCGGTGGCGGTGGCGACGGTAACCAGCCGTCGTACCTCGATGAGCGCAAGTCACGTCGGTTTAACCCGCACCGTGAGGTGCCCGAGCACAGCAGCAGCAACAACGACATCAAGACTCCGGATGCGGGAGCTGCTGAACTGTCGTACTATGCCAAGCCCACGGCTGCTCAGGAGCAACGCGATCGTCTCGCTGTTGCACCCGGCGCAGTCTCACGTGAGATGCTGTCCCAACAGCCGACGGCCTTAGCCGTGGTTCGCCGCGGCAACCACTCAGGTACTAGCTCCGATTACTTTGCGAACGGAATGGGAGGCCAAGACGGTGGAGACAATCAAATGCGGCGCACTCGGCGCATGTTCGGTGCCCCTGGTGGGAACTCCAGCTTTAAGCTCGGCTGAAAGCGGTTTAGGCTAGAATAGGTAACGAGTCTAGGCTATGGCATGATAAAAATCGGCTAACACCAATATCCTTCAGCACTAAATGAAATTGCTTGCCTTTTACACTACAGTAATGCGTAGTATGTTATCAGTCATTGATCAACCGAGCCAACCATCAAAGTAAATGCTTGAACTTGCTTTGTTTCTTTGTATTGTTACCGGTTCCTGGGCTCGTGCCGTTACCGCATCAAAAGGGTCGAATGTTACCAGTGCCGCGCAGCGAGTTCTTGAGCGCCTTGGGATCCGCCCAGGACGATGTCATGTAATCCTCGGCGTCATCCTCCGCCGCCTGCTGCAGCTCCTGCTGCTTCTTGAAGTAGAAGGCCATCATTGCCTTGCGCTCGTCCTCACTCACTCCCGGCTCGCGACTCGGAGCGCCACCGCCCTTCTTCTGCAGCTTGACAATGAGCGTTGACTTCTCATTCTTGCCCGCCAGGTCGCGCACGTGCTGGTCCCGGAAGAACTGCTTGCCAGCCCACCAGAGCTCCGCCGTGTCTTCCGGCAAGACCTCGAGCACGGCCGACGAGTCTGCCAGCGCCTCCTCCGTGCTCTCGGCGTCCAGCATGAGCTTCACGGGGTCGTGAGCCGGCAGTCCCATGGGGAACGCCATTGCCACAGCTCCGCGGATGTTCTGCAGCTTCTCCAGCAGCTCACTCTCCTGGACGCAGACGCGACGCGCCACTTGCGTCTTGCTGTCCAGCATCGTCTTGGCGTCCGCGGCTACCCGCGCCAGCACGTCCCGCAGCTGCGGACTCACGCCTTCGCCCGTGCGGTGGCCCAGCGGGTCTGCCTCGTAGAACTCGCCGCGTTGCTTGGTGGCGGCGCCCTCTTGGTACGCGTCCAGCCCCTGCTCTTGCGGGGGCTTGGCCACGCCGTACCGCCCCAAACCTTCCAGCGCCTCAGCCAGCGCCGCCAGACGCAGGCGCAGGTTCTGCAGGCGACACAGCGACCGGATCAGCTCGCCATTGCTGGTGGACACCGACGCCTCGAACAGAAACTCGCTGCGGTCGCCGCGCTTCACGTGGAATACCACCATGGCTCAGGGGGGCGCGGGCAATCGCGAAATGAATGGGATCGCGTCGCTTCGATTTCATGGAAATGAGGAAATGAGGAAAAATAACGAAATGAATTCCGTAATCTAACGTTGTATATTTACACCTAGCCTGTACAAATACACAGGGTTGCACAACCAACCTGTGTAAATACACAGGGTTGCACAACCAACCTGTGTAAATACACAAGGTACGGGCTGTCCGGAAATGGAGTTCCCAATTTCACACCTTAAAATTGGGGAATCTCTAAAACATGCTGGCAGTTTCAAAACATGCTTAGGTACACTGTACCGTGTAATGTGGAGGGTGAGAGCTGTCATCCCGCCATTTAACTGGATTCTGTCAGCTTAAGCGCACGAGAACTTCGTACGTCAGCTCAGTGTGGCCAGCCATATTTACGCTGCGGAATCAACTCAGGTAGGTGGGTAGGTAGGTAGTGTTAACATACGTTGCCATTACAGCAAACACCAGCGATTACAAGTGTGCAACGTGTTTGGTGCCCCACACGCTTGGGGTTTGGTCGCGACCGTGCTGATGCGGTCGAAAGTCCGGATGGCCGACAGTGTCTAAGCGTAAGACACTGCGCCGGTGCGTGCCCGACTGGCAGCAACATCTACTTTATTTAGATGAACTAGCGCGGTGTCAACCACCGACTAAACTACAAATACACGTCTACGTCGAACGCGCACGACTCAGTTCCGTAGTCGCTCCTCTAGCCACTCGGGCGTACGCCCACACGCGCCTGCCCTACTCGTCGCAGCCGTCGAAGAACTCGGAAGCCACGTGCTTCCTGTTCGTCACTCTGTTGTCGTTCACGCCGCAGCCGTCCACCGAGGTCGTCGTTAGTGTCCACCGCCGTTCGTCCACCTGTCGTTCGTCCGTTCACCGCTTGTTGCGCTTGCTGCCAAACGCGCGTTCCTCGGGCCTGCTCGCTGGCCGTCAAAACCCAAAGTGAGATCCGTCGTGGGGATCGCGGAGTCCAGAGGACCCGAAGATCCAGTAGATCCCTCAGTAGATCCTGCCGACACAATGCCAGCCGGATTCACGTCCCACGCTGCCGTCTACTTCAACGCCGTCGTACAGCATGGTTGCCGCGCCCACCGTCTCGTCCTTCGCCGTGTCGTCGGCCTCCTTACAAGTGCTACGTATGTTAGTGTAAGCAACTATAGATCGTATGTAAGGTACACGCAGTGCTTACTCGTGTTTCATGTATCAATTATCGTTCTCTTTGATGCGGATACCTCTACGGTAGCGTTGTATTCTATGAGCTTGGAGAAAGCATTCGACGGATAAGCAGTGTTCGTGAGTGGAAGTCGATTTAGGAGGCCATGACAGAGTGTAAGGAGGTCGATACGTCTGCAAACGTCACTTACCCAAGTAATATAAAACGATCATATTGAATTCATTTCTTAGTGAGCAACGAAGGGATGCAAAAATTAAAACAAACGTGTCCTTCTTGATTAGTTTTGTTCTGGCATTGAGGGTTGATGCCACTTACATTTGTGGTCAACTACAAACAAACATGTTTCCGAACATGCAGGCATCCTCAAATGCCGATGTATTGAGTAAGTCCCAGAGTTTTAGCAAGTTGAAGAGCATACCCTAAAATTTTAGGTACTACATCTAGTTTAGGTAAACTAGATGTAGTCTTGGGTGTTGTGAATCACTAAAACTCGTCTAAAATCTAGCATCAATAACAGCGCTGTGAATATGGAGCGAGAGGGGCATGTGGAGACACAGGGCAGGAACTATATTAGCGCGGGTTGCAGGCGAGGCTAATAAAGGGCGAGCTTTGCAACCGATAATCTGGTGAGGCGCGTGCGGGCGCGCACCACTGCATTGGCACCTCCAAAACACAGAGATCATGTAAGCTTCATAATACTGAGCTCCGCACTGGAGCCCTACACGTGAGCTGCCCCTTGTGCACCGTGACAGCGTGCATGAGGCTGCATTGTGTCGGGTAATGGTACAGTGTACCTAAGCATGTTTTGAAACTGACTGCATGCTTTGCAAATACTTCGTCGAAATAGGCATGTGTTAGAGATTTCCCCCTTAAAATTATTATCGCGCACCTCGACCCGTTGTTTGACAAAAATGAAACGTGAAATTTCACTTTTGTTTTCAGAAATTAGGCTTGTTTCGAGATTAAATTACTGGGACCGAGTTCTTCGCTCGGAAGCTTCGACCGACCTTGCAGCTGCAGCACGCGCGATGGTGCTGCGCTGGGAGCCGCTGCGCTCCGCTGCGGGCGCGCCAGCCGTCAAGAACCACACGGCCACGGCGGTGTCCGCGCACGAGCTGCTGGTGTTCGGCGGCTACGACGGGCGGCGCAACCACAACGCGCTGTACCTGCTGGACGTGAGTCGGCGCGCCTGGCGCGAGCTGTCGCACGAGACGCGCGGCCAAGCGCCGGCGGGCCGCAACGGCCACACGGCGACGCTGGCGGAGCGCAAGCTGTTCGTGCTGGGCGGCTGGCTGGGCAGCGGCCCGTTGGCCGCGGCCGACCTGCACGTCCTGCACCTGGACTCGCTCACGTGGGAGCAGCCGGCGCTCACGGCGGCGCTGGGCCCGTGCAACATGCACACGGCCGACTACGTGGCGCGCCTGCGCAGCATCCTGGTCTTCCGCGGCGGCGACGGCCGCGAGTACCTGAACGACCTGCACGCGCTGCAGATCGACGCCATGACCTGGACGACCGTGCGGACCCGCGGCCGCGCGCCGGCCCCGCGGGCCAACCACAGCTCGGCGCTCGTGGGGGACGACCTGCTCGTGTTCGGCGGCTGGGACGGCCGCCAGAGACTCAACGACGTCCATGTCCTGGACACGCAGAGCATGGTCTGGTCGGCCGTCGACGACGAGTTCAGCGTGGACACGAGGCACTACGTGGCCCCGCCGCTGCCCCGAGCTGGCATGACCATGGCCCGCCATCGAGACCGCCTCTTCGTGTTCGGAGGCTCCGGGCCGTCGGCCAAGTGCTACGACGACCTTCACGTGTACGACCCGCGCCGACACCAGTGGGTGGAGACGGTGGCCGTCGTCTCGGCCGAGACCCCGGACGAGCAGCGGCAGAAGTGGAGACAGAGCTACCGATCCAGTCGCAGCAGGGCTCGCTCCCAGCCGCGATGGGATATCTACGAAGACGACGACCAGCAGGACGGGAGCTGGTCTGGCAACGATGCCGGAGAGTTCGACGAGGACCTGGACAGTGACGAGGAGTTCGAAGACGCTCACAGCGACCGGGAAGCCATGATGGTGGCACAAGACTTGGCGAACGATTCCTGCGACTCAGCGAACCCGAACGACATGTGCGAGTTTACTGACGTGGAGATGATCCCCAAAAGAGAAGAACCTCTGTTAGTGGTAGGGAGGGGGCCTGGGCGACGGGCTGGCCACACGTGCACCGTCGTGGACCGCATGCTCGTGATCTTCGGGGGCTCCTGCGGCGCTGAATACCTAAATGACTGTTTCACACTAGACACGGATCCACCACCTCGCGCTTCTGTATCGTTGCCGTCGCCGGCGAGAATGCTGCGTCACGCACTCGCACAATACGTTGACTGCGAGGAGTTTGCTGATATTTCATTCGTACGTTGCACGCTCTCGTTTACCGTGCATGTTTCTTTGGCTGGATGGAAGCGTTGACCGATTCATTGGATCTCACACCTTTTTGCATTGAACAGCTTGTCGAAGGGCGCGTGGTATACGCACACAAACTCATTCTGTCAGCGCTGAGTGAGCGCTTCCGAGGGATGTTCTCTTCTGGCTTCCGCGAGGCTCGAGAATCGCAAATTACAGTTCCAGATGTGCGGTATGAAGTCTTCGTGCTGCTGCTCGAGTATCTCTACACCGGGCACATCGAAACACACGATGATGCCTTTGCTCTGTTTTCGACAACACAAACAGTGGATCGCGAGCTAGACTTTGTCAGCAACAGCGTAGCGGCGTGTCCACAGTCGGCTGATGGCCTCAACGAAATCGAAGAGGCTCGCCGTCGTGAAGCTGAGCGGGCCGAAGCGTTCGATGTGGGGCTGGAGATGGAGCTGGAGTCGCTGCTGGAGCTGCTTGTGGCCGCAGACCAATTCATGCTTGACCACCTCAAGCAACGCTGTGAGCGAACTCTACAGTACGCTGTGCGTATCGGAAGCGTCGAGGCTATTGCAGAAGCAGCCGACCGGGCCAATGCCGTGCAGTTGCAAGCAGTATGTCGTCATTTCCTGCGCAACCACTCGCTGCCTCCTGTGTCCCCTGCCACCTCCAACGGATGCTGTTCTTTTGACGGCGGAGATGATGAGGATCCAGACTTGGAAGAAATGAAGCCTCAGCCGCCTCAAGATCAAGATGAAGGAGACGTGGATGAAGCCGTGGCGCGACTGAGCCGCGCCACCTTGTTATGACTAACTAACTAATAAACTTATTTGCAAATTTGTCACATGCATATCTCTAAGCCTATTGACAAACATGGACACAGATAGTTTTCAAAACTGCACTTCCGAGTTTCCTTAGAAGCGGGCCTCACGTGACTGCCCATGGGCACGCGAGCCCGACGACAGAAGATCCGGACGGTGTGGGCGCAGATCGCTGTCCTGACGAGTGTCCCGAAGAATACGCGGGTGTGGATGCATACCGGTCAGACGAGTACTCAGACCCTGAATACCCCGACGAAAACCCAGACGAATGCCCGGATCGTGGGCCTCTGGAAGGCGCAAACCCTGCTCCCGAAGCGATGAACCTGCCGCCGTCGTTGTATTGCCGGTGCTGACGCACATCGTACGTCATGAACATGGGGTTGTGGTCGCTGCGCGAGTCGGTCTGATTCTCCATGTCGTAGCCCGCTCGCGAGTCCAGGAAGCTCTCGCGACGAGTGAAGCCCGACCAGCGCTTCAGCGCCAACACGAACATCGCCACGTAGCGCGCGAAAAACAGGAAGAAGACGATCGAGTTGAAGATCACGAAGCCCTGCGCCACGATAGCGCGCCAGTGCGTGCTCAGTTCGCTCGACGTGAGGAACGCGAAGCCGCACAGCAAGTTCACAATCGCCACGACGCGCAGACCCACCACCACGCCCAGCACCCAGCGAGCAGCAAACGGGCGGACGATGAGCACCACGACGATAAACAGCAAATGAGTCACCATCAGCGATACCAACTGCGTCGGGACGCCTGACACAGCGCCAGTGAGGATACCAAGAAGCATCTGACAGCCCACAGTCACCACGAAGAAGTAGCGGAAAGCCATCTTCGACTCGCCGTAGAGCGATCCCCACACAGCGAAGTGCTTGAACCGGAAAGCGTCGTTGATCGGGATTGCTCGCACACTCACGAAAGCATAGCACAACCCACCGACCACAACGGCCCACAAGGAAAAGAGCGCCACAGCAAGACCGACGCCAACCCGGTATTGCAGCTCCATGACCAACTCGTACGAAGACATTGCCACGAGTGGGAAAACACTGATCACCCACAGTGCCACACCCAAACCAATCACGTACATTGCAAAGCTGTTGCGCAGCGACGTTGGCCAGAATGCTGACCAGGTATCAGCAGACATACGGTGACGGTAGTATGCAAAACCGGCAGCAATAGCAAAGAGCACAACCACAACTGCAACGACGGCCAGGAAGAAGAAGAACGCGGTCATCAGCGCCTGGTCCTCGTCGATACCGATACGGTCCGAAAACGCCACAATGCCCGTCAGGATGATAAGCTGCAGCCTACGCGAGGCATCGGAGACGGCGGTCGTAGTCACCGACGAAAGGTGCATGTTCGCGAAGGAGAACGAGTCCGTAAAGTCCAACACGATTTGAGGGGCCTTCGTGAGCTCCAGCATCGAAATGGAGTTCACATGCTGGATGTAGCCCACCACGACGGCAAGCTCCCATACGTTCGGCGTCAGCCAGCCCATGGTAGAACGCCCGTTGCCTCCATCTTGGCTGCCTGATTCGGAAGGTCCACCCAGCCACGGCGGGCGCTGGAGAGCCAAAACGTGGAAGAACACTAGCAGCACTGTAGACACGATACCAAGCGCATAACTCGCATAGAGGAGCGCGTTTTGCACCTCCTGTGCGGTAGAAGACAACGAGATTGACGCACCAGGAGGAAGGTTCGAGCGGTTGCTGCCACCAACGACGACGTCGCTGAATCCACCGCTGCCGCCTTCAAGCGCCTTCAGATCTTGGCCACGAGTGAACTTGTCAAACGTCGTAACCGTGCTTCCATCCGTGTAGATGATCTTGGAGCCCGTATCACCCAACAGAATCAAGTTGTTGTTGTCAAGTGCCATCTGGTCCTCTTCGTCGCTGCTGCCAGAATCGGTCTGCTTACCAATTGCCTCTGCAGCTGAATTGTCGATGTCTGAAGTATCAGCAGGGATCACTGTCCCCATCGACTCCGACGAAGCAGAAGATGGAGGCATCGTCAAGATACCCGACGAAGGAGATCTTGTCACGGGCGCCGGACTTGGCGTCGACGAGCTCGATGAACCTGACTCGTATTCGTCGGAGGAAATTTGGTCCGTCTGAGAAACGTCGTTTCCTTCGTCGGAGGCTTCAGTCGAGTCCGTCGTTACCGCAGGAGCTCTAGTCACAGGTGCGGGACTCGGCGTACTGTCATCGGAAGACTCGGAAGAATCGGATGAGGCCGCATCTGTACCAGGCTCGGACGAGTCAGTTGATCCCGACGAAGCTGCTGTACCTGAGCTTGACGAAGACGTCACCGGTGCTGAAGTCGACGGAGCTGAAGTCGTCTTCGGCGCATTTGTCACCGGAGGGGGGCTCCATGTCGTATCAGAAGACTCCGACGAGCTAGCCGAAGCGGAGGCTGCCGTTGCTGATCCAGATGATGAATCCTCGGAGCTTGTTTGCGATGTCGATGAGGTACTTGACGAAGGTGTCGCAGTTGTCGGAATGGTCGTCGGGGCCTCTGTCTGTGGAGTACTCGTCACTGGGGGCGGACTAAATGTCGTGTCGTCTGAAGAAGATGAGGCGGACTCCACCGATTCAGAAGATGACGAGCTTGGCAAGGTGGAAAACCCTGATGACGACGCGGAACTATCAGACCCTGAGGAATCGGACGGGGTTGGACTAGTCGTCGTGGGTTCACGTGGAATGGGCGACGGGCTCCATGGCGTTGGCTCCGGAGTCGGAGCTGATGTTGCTGGCACTGGAAGTGCAGTGGTCGCTACTGGCGCGATGGGTTCCTCATCTAAACCCGACGTTGACATCGACGTAGGAGCCTCCGTTGTAGGTGTCCAGGTCGTAGGAGAGTCCGTTGGAACTTGTGTCGGCATTTGAGCGTTCGCAATTGAGCCCGAATCCGATGTTTCAGGGGTTTCCGTCGTCGGGGTCGACGTCGGCACATCGGTCGGGGCTTCGGTCCCCACAGGCGCATTAGAACTCGAATCCGCAGATGGCGCTGTCGTTGGGAGTCGCGTGGGAGCCTCCGTGGTAGGAATCCAAGTAGCAGGGGCTTCCGTCAGAATATCATCCGTGTTCGAACCAGAACTACTTGCCACCGGCTCTGCAGGAGTTACCGTGCCGGGCGTCCATGTTGGCGCATTGGTATTCGAACCTGAAGATGGTACTGTCGTAGGGAGTTCCGTAGGAGCCTCCGTCGTAGGAGTCCAAGTAGCAGGAGCTTCCGTTGGGCCTTCAGTCCGCTCGGGAGCGTTCGCATTCGATCCAGCCACCGACGTCTCCGTCGTAGGGGGTAAAGTCGGAGCAAAGGGAGTTGTAGCAGGAGCTTCAGTCTGAACATCATCGGTGTTCGAACCAGACCTTGATAAGCTCGTCGCCGGTTCCGCAGGGGTTACTGTGCCTGGCGTCCATGTCATCGGGTCCTCAGTAGGAATCAACGGGGTTTTAGTAATGGGATCAACTCCAAAATGAGACGAGGGCGCATCCGTAGAAGGACTCCAAGTGCTTGCCGATTCCGTTGGTGTCCACACCGGCGCGTCCGTGGTCGATCCAGTGCTCGGTCCCGTGCTCGACCCGGTAGTCGGGGCCTCAGTCGGCGCGTTCGTCTGCGCCGGAGTGCCCGCGCCAGACTCGGAGCTCGACTCCGTGCTCGACTCAGCGCTCGAGTCCGTGGTCGATCCAGTGCTCGGTCCCTCGCTAGAGCCAGAGGCCGACGCCGTAGGAGGCTGCGTTGGTGTCCACACCGGCGCGTCCGTGGTCGATCCAGTGCTCGGTCCCGTGCTCGACCCGGTAGTCGGGGCCTCAGTCGGCGCGTTCGTCTGCGCCGGAGTGCCCGCGCCAGACTCGGAGCTCGACTCCGTGCTCGACTCAGCGCTCGAGTCCGTGGTCGATCCAGTGCTCGGTCCCTCGCTAGAGCCAGAGGCCGACGCCGTAGGAGGCTGCGTTGGTGTCCACACCGGCGCGTCCGTGGTCGATCCAGTGCTCGGTCCCGTGCTCGACCCGGTAGTCGGGGCCTCAGTCGGCGCGTTCGTCTGCGCCGGAGTGCCCGCGCCAGACTCGGAGCTCGACTCCGTGCTCGACTCAGCGCTCGAGTCCGTGGTCGATCCAGTGCTCGGTCCCTCGCTAGAGCCAGAGGCCGACGCCGTAGGAGGCTGCGTTGGTGTCCACACCGGCGCGTCCGTGGTCGATCCAGTGCTCGGTCCCGTGCTCGACCCGGTAGTCGGGGCCTCAGTCGGCGCGTTCGTCTGCGCCGGAGTGCCCGCGCCAGACTCGGAGCTCGACTCCGTGCTCGACTCAGCGCTCGAGTCCGTGGTCGATCCAGTGCTCGGTCCCTCGCTAGAGCCAGAGGCCGACGCCGTAGGAGGCTGCGTTGGTGTCCACACCGGCGCGTCCGTGGTCGATCCAGTGCTCGGTCCCGTGCTCGACCCGGTAGTCGGGGCCTCAGTCGGCGCGTTCGTCTGCGCCGGAGTGCCCGCGCCAGACTCGGAGCTCGACTCCGTGCTTGACTCAGCGCTCGAGTCCGTGGTCGATCCAGTGCTCGGTCCCTCGCTAGAGCCAGAGGCCGACGCCGTAGGAGGCTGCGTTGGTGTCCACACCGGCGCGTCCGTGGTCGATCCAGTGCTCGGTCCCGTGCTCGACCCGGTAGTCGGGGCCTCAGTCGGCGCGTTCGTCTGCGCCGGAGTGCCCGCGCCAGACTCGGAGCTCGACTCCGTGCTCGACTCAGCGCTCGAGTCCGTGGTCGATCCAGTGCTCGGTCCCTCGCTAGAGCCAGAGGCCGACGCCGTAGGAGGCTGCGTTGGTGTCCACACCGGCGCGTCCGTGGTCGATCCAGTGCTCGGTCCCGTGCTCGACCCGGTAGTCGGGGCCTCAGTCGGCGCGTTCGTCTGCGCCGGAGTGCCCGCGCCAGACTCGGAGCTCGACTCCGTGCTCGACTCAGCGCTCGAGTCCGTGGTCGATCCAGTGCTCGGTCCCTCGCTAGAGCCAGAGGCCGACGCCGTAGGAGGCTGCGTTGGTGTCCACACCGGCGCGTCCGTGGTCGATCCAGTGCTCGGTCCCGTGCTCGACCCGGTAGTCGGGGCCTCAGTCGGCGCGTTCGTCTGCGCCGGAGTGCCCGCGCCAGACTCGGAGCTCGACTCCGTGCTCGACTCAGCGCTCGAGTCCGTGGTCGATCCAGTGCTCGGTCCCGTGCTCGACCCGGTAGTCGGGGCCTCAGTCGGCGCGTTCGTCTGCGCCGGAGTGCCCGCGCCAGACTCGGAGCTCGACTCCGTGCTCGACTCAGCGCTCGAGTCCGTGGTCGATCCAGTGCTCGGTCCCTCGCTAGAGCCAGAGGCCGACGCCGTAGGAGGCTGCGTTGGTGTCCACACCGGCGCGTCCGTGGTCGATCCAGTGCTCGGTCCCGTGCTCGACCCGGTAGTCGGGGCCTCAGTCGGCGCGTTCGTCTGCGCCGGAGCGCCCGCGCCAGACTCGGAGCTCGACTCCGTGCTCGACTCAGCGCTCGAGTCCGTGGTCGATCCAGTGCTCGGTCCCTCGCTAGAGCCAGAGGCCGACGCCGTAGGAGGCTGCGTTGGTGTCCACACCGGCGCGTCCGTGGTCGATCCAGTGCTCGGTCCCGTGCTCGACCCGGTAGTCGGGGCCTCAGTCGGCGCGTTCGTCTGCGCCGGAGTGCCCGCGCCAGACTCGGAGCTCGACTCCGTGCTTGACTCAGCGCTCGAGTCCGTGGTCGATCCAGTGCTCGGTCCCTCGCTAGAGCCAGAGGCCGACGCCGTAGGAGGCTGCGTTGGTGTCCACACCGGCGCGTCCGTGGTCGATCCAGTGCTCGGTCCCGTGCTCGACCCGGTAGTCGGGGCCTCAGTCGGCGCGTTCGTCTGCGCCGGAGCGCCCGCGCCAGACTCGGAGTTCGACTCCGTACTCGACTCAGCGCTCGAGTCCGTGGTCGATCCAGTGCTCGGTCCCTCGCTAGAGCCAGAGGCCGACGCCGTAGGAGGCTGCGTTGGTGTCCACACCGGCGCGTCCGTGGTCGATCCAGTGCTCGGTCCCGTGCTCGACCCGGTAGTCGGGGCCTCAGTCGGCGCGTTCGTCTGCGCCGGAGTGCCCGCGCCAGACTCGGAGCTCGACTCCGTACTCGACTCAGCGCTCGAGTCCGTGATCGATCCAGTGCTCGGTCCCTCGCTAGAGCCAGAGGCCGACGATGTAGGAGGTTCCATCGTCGTTTGTTCTTGAACTCCAGACGATGATCTTGATTCTGAGTCTAGAGGTGAAAGTGTCCTTGTAATTCCAAGCGAGGAAGACCCCGTACTTGATCCCGAAGAGGACGAGCCCGTTCCTGGCACAGGCGTGTTCCCCCATGGCGTCGCCGTCGTGCTCTCCGGTGTACGCGTCGTCGAGCTCGGCGTGTAGCTAGAGCCAGAGCTGGAGCTAGAGCTCGATTCCTTGCTCGAACCCGAAGAGGACGAGCCGGAAGAGGACGAGCCCGTTCCTGGCACAGGCGTGTTCCCCCATGGCGTCGCCGTCGTGCTCTCCGGTGTACGCGTCGTCGAGCTCGGCGTGTAGCTAGAGCCAGAGCTGGAGCTAGAGCTCGATTCCTTGCTCGAACCCGAAGAGGACGAGCCGGAAGAGGACGAGCCCGTTCCTGGCACAGGCGTGTTCCCCCATGGCGTCGCCGTCGTGCTCTCCGGTGTACGCGTCGTCGAGCTCGGCGTGTAGCTAGAGCCAGAGCTGGAGCTAGAGCTCGATTCCTTGCTCGAACCCGAAGAGGACGAGCCGGAAGAGGACGAGCCCGTTCCTGGCACAGGCGTGTTCCCCCATGGCGTCGCCGTCGTGCTCTCCGGTGTACGCGTCGTCGAGCTCGGCGTGTAGCTAGAGCCAGAGCTGGAGCTAGAGCTCGATTCCTTGCTCGAACCCGAAGAGGACGAGCCGGAAGAGGACGAGCCCGTTCCTGGCACAGGCGTGTTCCCCCATGGCGTCGCCGTCGTGCTCTCCGGTGTACGCGTCGTCGAGCTCGGCGTGTAGCTAGAGCCAGAGCTGGAGCTAGAGCTCGATTCCTTGCTCGAACCCGAAGAGGACGAGCCGGAAGAGGACGAGCCCGTTCCTGGCACAGGCGTGTTCCCCCATGGCGTCGCCGTCGTGCTCTCCGGTGTACGCGTCGTCGAGCTCGGCGTGTAGCTAGAGCCAGAGCTGGAGCTAGAGCTCGATTCCTTGCTCGAACCCGAAGAGGACGAGCCGGAAGAGGACGAGCCCGTTCCTGGCACAGGCGTGTTCCCCCATGGCGTCGCCGTCGTGCTCTCCGGTGTACGCGTCGTCGAGCTCGGCGTGTAGCTAGAGCCAGAGCTGGAGCTAGAGCTCGATTCCTTGCTCGAACCCGAAGAGGACGAGCCGGAAGAGGACGAGCCCGTTCCTGGCACAGGCATGTTCCCCCATGGCGTCGCCGTCGTGCTCTCCGGCGTGCGAGTCGTCGAGATCGGCGTGTTCGTCGTGCTCTCTGGCGTTTGCGTCGTTGGGCTGTGCGTGTCGGTTGCCCCTGTACCTGTATTAGATCCGAATGCGCTACTTTTTGTGCTGGTATTCTCTGACGTTGTCGTTGCTGGCGCGGTTGTCGCTGGCGCTGTTGTAGCTGGGTCTGTCGTTGCTGGTGTTGTTGTTGCTGGCGAGTCTGTGGTTGAACTGCTATCATGCGTTGTCGATCCTGTCTGCGCGTTCGGCGCGGGCGTCCACTCGGGTGGTTTAGTCTCCGGCGTCTTGGTTGTCGTGCTGGGCGTTGACGTGGGCGTCGAAGTGGAGCTGGCCGAATCTGACTTACTACTGGAACTAGAGTCGGCGCCGACGCTGTCGTCGGTGCCGCCGCTATCGCTGGAGGCGAGACGGACGCTCGCCTCGAGTTGCCTGGAGTCCACGACCTGCAGCGCTGTCGCTAGTCCCGTCGAGCAGAGCGCGATGGCGAGCGCGACGACCACTGCGAGGCCGGTCGCGCGTCTCCTTGCGTTCCATCTCCGCCTTCGCTCCATGCTGTGGAAAATAAGTTACCCTAGTGGCCTGCTGCTAGTAAATATGCTCCTCCCCCGCCTGCCTTCCTGCCTGCCTGCCGCGCTGCTTCGCTTCCCCTCGCTGTCTCTGAGCCTGTGAATACCCTGTCGTGTGCCTGCTTCTGGATGCCTGTGGTGCGTCCTCGCGCGCGCTTTTCGCTTGTGCGACGCGGGGCGGGGCCTGCCTCTCGACGGCACGAACGATAGGAAGCTCGCGCGCCTCCGCCGTTACGGTACGTACAGAACGCTGAGGCCGCGGAAGGGAAATGCAGGGCGCGAGGTGCCGTCCGCTCTCGTGGGGTGGTGTCGGAGGCGCGATAGCGATGGACTGGCCCTTCCGGCTGCAACATTTGCTCCGCCTCTACAGACTCGGCTGTTACCAGCACGATGGGAACCAGCATCTGGTTTGGTAATATAGTCAGGGATTGACAGTAGCACGATTTTCTTCTGAATTACTTACTATAGCCATATACTAGTAGAAAACAATAGTATACTATTGTAGTAGTATCGTCGAGTCTAGGATCTCGACTACTACAGTACTATTGATGCATAATATTTTAGTACTTCCTAGTAATTTCGATGATCGATCTCTACATCTCTGTCGCTGCACGCTACACACAGTTGGATTCTTCGGGCAAAAACTCTTCGTTTGCAAACATGAGGTGCTGGTTCTTATTCAAAGTTAAACCATCCAGTTGAGAAGCATTGGTCGATTCCTGAAGCCACTTTAGACCCGTCCAATTGATACATATTATGCAGTTGCCGCTCTAAGTGGCTCCCCATATAAGCTGTGTAACATGGGGATCATTCCATCGAAGGGGAAATTAAGCTCACGCCACCAAAGCAATCTTGACCACTTCAGGGGATCGGGGTTTGCTGTATGCGGGACTGACACGAGCAAAGCCAGTGTAACAATGTCGTGTACGACGGTTGGATCAGTGGCCCTGCACGTCGTAAATCTCCATCTGTACTAAATGGGAATGTGGCCAAACCTCATTTGGGAGCCGGAATATTGACACACGCCGCTTAATTTCTTCAAGTGCGTGACAGTAGTCAGCATTAACTAGGGCTTCGCGAAGGCTGGGATAGGTGCATGATAACATTGGTTAGAATCATGAAAGTCACTTCATCGGGTGCGCTTACTCGTCGATTGTGCGTAGCCGGAGTCCCTAATTGAAAAGTAAGCCTGAGCACGATTTTGCTCGCATGAGAAGACATAGGTCAAATTATCAAAAGGTACCTCGATAATGTACGCGCCATGGGCATCTCCTGCAGCATCTGCCCGGAGCGCGAGCGATTCACAATTGAGAATCGCTGAGAATCCCAAATGAAAAACCGGTCGCCAGCCTCCATCATTCTCGTCAGTCAACATCAAGCTGACCTTAAAACTACCGATTCATCACCAGTTCCGATGGGGGGACAGCGGACAGCGCCCGGCCAAAGGAGTAGTTAATGCAGTTCTATTAGCCGGCTCCTCGTTCCAAAATACTAGCTACTATAGTATTTTGAGCATCATTTTAATATTGGTATCAGCGGGATAGTACGTTAAAACAAACTACTGTCAATCCCTGCTTATAGTACTGCTAAGTGGTTAGTAGTAGTAGTACAGATGCAATGCTTTAGCTAATTTGCTACCATGTCCATACAGTCTTCAAGCTGTTTACACGGAAGTTGGGGTGTAGAGCGATCGCGATCGCCTCCGGCCACTGCAGTGCAGTGGTGCAGTCTGCACGTCGTCGGCGAGCTCGGGGTTCCTGCTGCTTGTCAGCGCGGCCGCTGACATCCTCCAGCTTTCTTTCGCTATTGCGGTCGGTGTTCAATGGTGGGGTCGGAAAAGTAGCTCACTGAAAGCCGTGCTTGACTTGAAACGCTTTACTAGTCAGCGCTATTCGGTTTGCTGGCACTTTGGTATCCATCAGAAGGACGAGGTGCCTTGGTGACCTGGTGAAACGATCCAGGGTGGACTGTCCCCCTTGACTTGCTTGTGAGCAACGGGCTACGTTGGCACCGCCAAGTTGCATTGTAGGGACTCCCTACTACATGTAGGGAGCATGCGCGTTCCAACTCAAAACTATTATCAGTCTTTATAGTAGACCTCAAAAATCAAAATGCCAAAAGAACTCCCTGTTTGCCACTAGCTACATCGGGGCTCTCGCAAAGACTACTGACCGGGTAGCTCCGTCGCTGCCCTTAGAAGCGAGACATCTGCTGCTTGAACTGGGCCTCCGAGGCGAACGACGGCTCCAGCGGGTGCTGCCCGTACGACGACGAAGAGCTCTGGTAGGACGGCTGCATCGAGTTGCCCGCCGAGTTCGCAGACAGCGTCAGCGTGCAGCCGTTGACCGACTGGTTGAGCCTGCTATCGTTGGGCCCGGCCGCAGTGAACTGGCTGGCCCAGAGGTCCGACTCCGTGTCCGTCTGCGGGTCGTACTTGATCACCGAGTTGCTGCGGCGCGAATCGTTGTTCGAGCGCACCATCCACGCGCGGATGTACGTGCTGAAGACGATGAGCTGGCGCACGAACCAGACCAGGATCACGATCGAGTTGATGCCAATGTACGCCTGGGCCACGCGGGTGCGCGCGGTGGCCGACATCGTGTTCGAGTTGAGGAACGCGAACGCCAGGCCAAAGTTCAGGATCTTGAGCAGCCCCAGCACGTAGGTGATGCGGAGCACCAACTGGTCCGCAAACGGCGACATCACGAACACGCACGCGAGGTACAGCGCCTGGATGCCCATGACCACGATGAGCTGCGTCGGGTCACCGGACATGCAGCCCACGAGGACGCCCGTCGTGATCTGCACAACCACGTCGATCACGAAGAACATGCGGCTGCGGTACGTGTACTCACAGTAAAGCGATCCCCAGGTGGCCAGGTTCTCGAACTGCTCCAGCTCGTTCTTCGTCTTGTGCATAATCACACGTCCGGCAACAGCTAGCACGCCAAAGCAAACCAGCACCAGCGCAATGACAGCCACCACCAGCGAGTCGGCCACTGTCGAGGACTGAACCTCCATGGAAATCTCGAACGACGCCAGCATACTCAGCGGGTAAAGCGCAAAGTACCACACCAGAACGCACAGTCCGAGGGTGCGGATGGAGACGCTACGAAGACGGTGCACGCCGGACGTGTAGCTGCTCAGGTCCGAGTTCTCGTCCAGCGCGTGCTCAGCCTTGCGCTTGGCCAACACAGCCAGCACGAGGAAGACAATCACCAGGATACCCATGATTATAGCGAAACCGGTCGCGCCGTGGTTGAGAATGCTCTCCTCCGAAATTCCAATGCGGTCAGCGTACGAGACGACACCGCCCAGCACAATCGTCTCGAGGCGACGAGCCACGGTGGAGTCGCTGGAAGTGTCCTGGATCAAGAAGTTGCTCCACGCGAAAGAGTCCGTGTAATCCCACAGGAAGTACGGCGTTTTGAGAACCGTGAGTTCCGACGTGGCCTGCATTTGCTGCAAGTAGCCCACGTAAAAGAGGAACTCCCACGTGTTGGGGCTCCACGCAGGGTTGACCCACACAAGGTTGGCATCCAGAGAAACGAAGTGGAAGAACAACAGCAGCGCCACCGAGATGCCAGCGAACGCGACGGAGGAGTAACGCAGGAACTCGTGGAAGGTTGCGGCCGACGCCGACAGCACGTCGCTGTCCTCCGTGTCCACGTACGTGTTCCGGCCTCCAATCACGTTGGCATTCGTGGTAGCCGCATCGCCAGACGTGCCCGTCTTCCCTCGGACGTACTTCACTAGGTCCTCCGAACCACTTGTGCCAGTTTCACCCGCAATGTTCAGCACGACCGGCTTTTCAGTCTCGGTAGTGTCTTCGGGAATGGCGAAAGGGTCCGACGAACCGCTCTTGGCCGTGATCGGCGTTGCCGACGCGTTATACATGATGACATCCGATTGAGTCTGGTCCTTTTGAGCCGAGGCGTCCTGCTCGTCCTCACTGCCCGAGTTCGTTTCGATAGCAATGGGCGACTTGGTGGCGGTAGGCGTCTTCGTCACCGGCTCGGGGGACTCGGTAGTCTCGTCGCCTGGCGTCTTCGTCACGGGAGGGGGCGACTCGGTGAAGTCATCAGTCGACGAACCGGAGGATTCATCAGGCGTCTTGGTCGACGGAGTCTCAGTTGCCGGGGTTCCCGTGGAAGGCGTCTCGGTGCCGGGCGTTTCAGTACCAGGCGTCTCGGTGCCAGGCGTCTCTGTACCGGGCGTCTCGGTGCCGGGCGTCTCGGTGCCGGGCGTTTCGGTGCCGGGCGTCTCAGTGCCGGGCGTCTCGGTGCCGGGCGTGAGAGTCACGGGAGTCTCCGTACCTGGGATTAAAGTCTCCGGCAAATCCGTGGATGGGAGCAGAGTGGCGGGCAAATCCGTCGAGCTCGGGGTATCGGTACTACTCGGGGCATCCGTGGTAGTCGGAATCAACGTTGAAATGTCCGGCAAGATCGTCTCGGTCGGTGTCGTAGCACTCGGGGTGTCGGTACTACTTGGGGCGTCAGTGGTTGTCGGGATCAGCGTAGAAACGTCCGGCAAAATAGTTGCCGGCGTGGTCGTGGCGGAAGGACTTGTCGTCACTGACGGATCGGTCGTAGGAGCAGGCGTGAGCAGGTCCGTGACCGGATCCAGCACCGACGTGGCAGTCGGGGTCGTTGCCGATGGGGCAGTCGTGTCCGTGGGGGCATCCGTCGCAGGTGCCGTCGTCAGCAAGTCCGTAACAGGCGACAGAACGTTGGAGCCATCAGTCGTCGGGGCATCCGTCGTGGTAGACGTCGAGGGCGCCTCCGTGGCCGTAGCAGGTGCCGTCGTCAGCAAGTCCGTAACAGGCGACAGAACGTTGGAGCCATCAGTCGTCGGGGCATCCGTCGTGGTAGACGTCGAGGGCGCCTCCGTGGCCGTAGCAGGTGCCGTCGTCAGCAAGTCCGTAACAGGCGACAGAACGTTGGAGCCATCAGTCGTCGGGGCATCCGTCGTGGTAGACGTCGAGGGCGCCTCCGTAGCCACCGTGGAAGGAGCATCGGTAGTCGGGGCGGTCGTCAACAGATCAGTTACCGGCGACAACAGGCCCGAGTTCGAGCTCGTACTGGTTTCCGGGGCATCCGTCGCAGTAGACGTCGTCGGCGCATCCGTCGCTGGTGTGGAAGGCGCGTCCGTCGTCGGAGCAGTCGTCAAAAGGTTCGTCACTGGAGAAAGAAGCCCCGAGTCTGAGCTCGTGCTCGTCTCCGGTGCGTCCGTCGTAGTAGACGTCGACGGTGCCTCAGTGGCAGGCGTGGAAGGCGCCTCCGTGGCAGGGGCATCGGTAGTCGGAGCAGTCGTCAACAGGTTCGTCACGGGCGACAACAGACCCGAGTTTGAGCTAGTGCTCGTCTCCGGCGCGTTCGTTGCGGTAGGCGTCGAGGGTGCGTCAGTAGCCGGCGTGGAAGGCGCATCTGTAGTCGGGGCATCGGTAGTCGGGGCAGTCGTCAACAGGTTCGTCACAGGGGATAGGAGGCCCGGTGCATCCGTCTCCGGGGCCGAGGGAGCGTCAGTGGCCGGCGCGGACGGCGCATCGGTCGTCGGGGTGGAAGGCGCGTCCGTTGTTGGTGCATCCGTCGTCGGGGCGGTCGTCAATAGGTTGGTTACCGGTGACAACAGACCCGAGTTCGAGCTCGTGCTCGTCTCCGGTGCATCCGTCTCCGGTGCGTCCGTGGTAGCAGACGTCTCCGGAGCGTCAGTAGCCGGCGTGGAAGGCGCATCTGTAGTCGGGGCATCGGTAGTCGGGGCAGTCGTCAACAGGTTCGTCACAGGGGATAGGAGGCCCGGTGCATCTGTCTCCGGGGCCGAGGGAGCGTCAGTGGCCGGCGTGAACGGCGCATCGGTCGTCGGGGTGGAAGGCGCGTCCGTTGTTGGTGCATCCGTCGTCGGGGCGGTCGTCAATAGGTTGGTTACCGGTGACAACAGACCCGAGTTCGAGCTCGTGCTCGTCTCCGGTGCATCCGTCTCCGGTGCGTCCGTGGTAGCAGACGTCTCCGGAGCGTCAGTAGCCGGCGTGGAAGGCGCATCTGTAGTCGGGGCATCGGTAGTCGGGGCAGTCGTCAACAGGTTCGTCACAGGGGATAGGAGGCCCGGTGCATCTGTCTCCGGGGCCGAGGGAGCGTCAGTGGCCGGCGTGAACGGCGCATCGGTCGTCGGGGTGGAAGGCGCGTCCGTTGTTGGTGCATCCGTCGTCGGGGCGGTCGTCAATAGGTTGGTTACCGGTGACAACAGACCCGAGTTCGAGCTCGTGCTCGTCTCCGGTGCATCCGTCTCCGGTGCGTCCGTGGTAGCAGACGTCTCCGGAGCGTCAGTGGCCGGCGTAGACGGCGCATCCGTCGTCGGCGCGTCGGTTGTCGGCGCGGTCGTCGCTGCGGGGGCGTCCGTCGCCGGCGCAGGAGTCAAGAGGTTAGTGACAGGGGACAGGAGGCCCGAGTTCGAGCTCGTGCTGGTCGAGGGCGCGTCCGTGGTCGTGCTGGTCGCCGGCGCGTCCGTGGTCGTCGACGAGGTGGAGGGGGAGTCCGCCGCCGACGGCGACGAGTCGGAGGTGTCGGAGGGGGCCACGGTGGCCTCGTTCACGAGCGAGCCCAGGCCCAGGCCGGTGTCGAGGCCCAGCTGCAGGTTGCGCTGCGCCTCGGCGGCCGCCAGGGCCAGCGCCACGAGCGCCAGGCCGCGCACCGCGCGCACGTGGACCATGTCTGTCAGTCCTCGCAGCCGGTCAGTCAATCAAAGTGTACGTCGGCGCGGGGCGTCGAGCGTGGAGGAGAAGGAATGACGGGCTCGCGAGAGGGCGGCAAGGACGCGAAGGCGCAGCGTGTGTTTGCTCGCTTGATTGGCGTGGAGACGGGGCGTCGAAACTGACTTCCGGTACACTGTGCCAGTATTCGGTGCATAGAGGCCCAAGCCACCGAATTATTCGCGCCAGCAGCCGAGGAATCGCCGATCCCGGGCTCCGGCGCGGGTGGGGGGCAGGAGCGCGTTTCAGGCTGGGCTGGGCTGCCGAGGAGGAGGCCGCGGGGATGCAATGCCGCAGCCGTAGCAGTTGCCGCCGCTGCACTGCGGGCCGCTGTGGGCCAGCGCCGCGGGAGCGGCTTCGGGAAGCTGCTGGCACATCTTACAACGTCATGCTGCCCGCGAGGTGCAGCGAACGCCCCGCCCGCACTTGCCGATATTATAGACTGACCCGAAGGGGGATGCCGCCTAGGGCGCCTCTACTGAAGCGTGCGCTCGTCGGGACAGGCGCCATGCACAGCGACGAGAATGCCGCCGTGAAGAGGTGCATACATAGCTACAGTACAATGAGATGGTCCTTCGGCCAACGTGGCACGAGGCCCCACAGTCTGGCGCAGACGGGTGTCGAGCAGGACACGTAGCCAACAGCTCAGGCGCTTTCTTGCTGCCGCTAATATATACGCAGCAGCGGAGGTGCCGTGGCTTCTTCCTCAGCAATGCTCACGGCCAGCACGTGTCGCGGCTCCATTGCTCACACGCACACGCAACGAGCAACGAGGAGAAAGAATCCGCGCGATAGAGCGCCTCTTGCCGGGCTGACAAGGAGGTGGGGCAGCTGATGCCAGCCCCTCGACTAGCTGGCAATCGCACCTGAGCAGCCCGAGCGGGGTCGTGGTGATCTCTCTGTGTTCGACAGCTGACAAACGGTTGCCTGTTCATACATGTACTGGTGAGTCACCAGTGGTGACACGTACAGTAGCGAAAGGAGGTTGAAATCATGTTGAAGTCCACCCTGATACTTGTGAGCCATTTCGGTGTGCCAATGTTTTCGATACTCGACATCCGTGAAACCGTCGCAAGGGGCCAACGACGACCTCTAAGGCAGAGGATGCGAGCCTATGCCTTTCAAGCTTCTGGTCGCGGGCCGCACGAACAGAGCTCGATGCCGACCAAATCTAACGTCCCACACCGTGAACCCCACCGCAGCAGCGAGCACTGTGGCGACGGAGAAGAACACGAGCGCCTCGAACTTCCGCGGGTCGTGGAAGACGACGCCCATTGCCTGGATGAGCATGTAGAACAACTGGTACGTCGCTGTCTGCATGGCGTTGATGACTCCGCGTCGACTCGGCTCGATCCACTCCTGCATGATCTGTGTCTCGGCGAGGTCAGCACTCCAGAGCCACACGCGCGCACCGACCATGCAGCAGAGCATAACGTAGTCCGACACGCGCGACTCGCCGACCAGCAAGAACGCCACCAGCACCGGTGCTAGGCATAACCAGAACAGCCAGATACTCACCACCGCGACACGCTCCAGCCGCGAAATGGTGCGCCGCAGGTAAGGGAACAGCATGGTACCCAAGAGGCCAAATACCGCGCCAGCGCCGCGGCTCAACCCCAACAACGAGTCAGGAACGCCTCGCCACTTGAGGTACGCAGTATTTAGCGACCCGTTGTCCAAGATGGTCATGTATAAGGCGCAGTACGAAAAGCTGAGCAGGAAGACTGGGTGCTGCGAATAACTCCGCCACATCGCTGCATAGCGAGACAGCGTCGACTTGCCGTCAGCAGTAGTAGCTTGTTGCCGCTGCTCCTTGTCGCCCGGGGCATCAGGATCCTCCTTGGTAGCAAGCTCAGGTACGAGCTTGTAGATGTCTTGGGTCATGAAGTATTCGAGCGGAGTGGACAACGCGTTCCAGATTGCAACTGTGGACGCTCCGATCATAGCACGCGTAGTGGGGTCATGCCCGGCAAAGTCCATAATGACACCAAAAGCAAGAGGTCCGAGCAGCTTACATGCCAGATCGATGCGCCTCAGGATGGTGTTCAGGCTCGCCAGCGCAGAAGAGCGGTCCTCTCCGCTGCTCTGGGCGATGATTACAACCCAATCGCGCTCGATCCCGAGCGTCTGCGCCTCACTGAGTACTTGGCCTACACCTCCGCAGACGAGAGTCCCAATGAAGAGCAGCGTCAACGGCCAAGTCCACTCTGGTTTGTGCAGTCCATCAGCATTTGTGATCAGCAATATCGATCCCAGCAGCATGGTGCTTGCGATGATGTTAGCGTTCTCCAGGATGATGGCGAACTGCATCGCCTTCCAGCGGTTTGCCGCGTCAAGCTGTCTGCCGACCCACGGGATCGCGAGGAGGCAGGTGGCGTACATGACCAGCGAGAAGCACGCACTAGGCAGCAGTGTGTCAACAAAGATCTCCATAAAGAGGATCGGAACGGCAAACTCCCACATTCGATCGCCCTGCATCAGATCGCTCTCGTCAGCACTCGGTAAAAGGACCCCCCCCACATACACAGCGTGCCAGCTAGTTAGACAGTGACACGTACCCACGCCGAGAGCAAATGGCCGGCGTACAGGTACGCCAGCACCCGCCGAGACTGCTTCCGACGCTGAGGAAGGTATTCGTCGTGCTCTTCGCTGCAATAATCCATAGATAAGAGCAAATGGAAACCCACGACGTTAGAGAACCGCCACCTCACTTAGCTCGCGTTGACAGCGAGGAACTATACTTGCAGCAATCGAGTCTGCTCCTGCCCGTCCGCTTCACAACCGTCGAGCCACGCCGCGTAGAGACAGCCGGCAATCGGGACTAATGTTGAAGCTCCGATTATCACCATGACAATGCTGCTGGATCGCGTTGCGAGGCACGCGTTCTCGACGTCCAGCAGGCAGGCTGCACACACGCAGTCAGTCGCCAAGCAAGCGATCACACTGTGGACACATCCACCGCACCTGCTCCATCCAAGACCAGCAGCAGGCTGGCCGCGCCCACCGAGACGCAGACGAAGACTGTCGACTCCATTGCTCCGTGATTCGGGGCGATCTCAATCTGATTGGATACTTCGGTAAGTTAAGTTTCATATCATTTTTGTAGTTGGGTCGTAATTTGCAGCCAATCTATGCGTTGACCCGTGGACGCTAGCGATCTCTTGCTCAGGTACATGCATCGACCCTTCGAGGCGTCAGCTTTTCTCATGTGCTCGAAGGACTCTGCAGCAAAGTACATCGTAATTTATTGTCGTAAATTACCAATAGCCTAGAGACACAAAACGGATTCGGTACCACATCTGTGCATACTGTGGCCCATGGCCCCAAGCCGAAGCCACTGGCAACGCAGCAACCCAACCCACTCGGCCACATCATGCGCGCCGCCGCCTCCTCCTCCTCTTCCGGAGATGACTGGGCGCTGCGCGCCAACCTGCAGCTGTGCGGCTCTGTGTCTCCCCCCACCTACGCGGACCTGCGCACGGCCGCGCACCTGCAGACCTTCGACGTGCGCGACGGCGGCGCGGCGCTCTGGGGCGAAGGCGGCAAGCTCTTCCTGGTCAACGTGTTCCACCAGAGCCAGGCCGGCGGCAAGCAGGCGGCTTCCAAGACCAGCAAGGAGAAGCTGCTGAGACACGTGACGCTGGACCCGCCGCTGCAGCCGCAGGAGGCGGCGGAGGTGGAGCAGATCAAGCTCAACGCCAGCAGCTCGCAGGTGCTGCTGCAGGCCAAGAGCTGGCTCAGGCTGCTGCGTCTGCCCGTGGAAACCAAGCGCAAGCCGCAGAGCGCGCTGCAGCGCAGGGCGGACAACGACATCACGCAGAGATTCCTGGTGAGGTTCGAGGACGGCAGCGAGCAGGAGATCACGCTCAAGGAGGACGAGCTCAAGGACGCCGACATGGTGACGCAGGTCAGACGCCGCGCGGCACAGGGCAAGCGCGTGGCGTTCGTGTCGCGCGAGCACTGTGTGGCGTCAGTGAGGACTGTCGGATACTTTTCCAACGTGCGCCACGCGGCATGGCACCCACTGAGCGACACGCACGTGGTGGTGCTCTCGGACGCGGAGGAGATCGAGGTGTTCAACACGCAGCAGGATGTATCCAAGCCGGAGCAGCGCCACCGACTGGACTTCCCGACCAAGGCTCGAGCCACGGGGGCCTTCTCAACGAGCTTCTGTTTCGGTGCTTCGATTCAGCTCCAGCAGCAACAGGCCGCACAACTGCAGGCCGCGCAGATTTGGGATGCGTTCACGTGCTACGTCTTGCGCTCGGACGGCGCCGTGTATGCTCTGTGCCCCTTGGTGCCGTACGATTGCTGCGCTAGCAAGATGTTCCTTCAGATGTTGAATAGCGAAGTGGACGCCCAGATCGCCGTCTGCAAGCAGAAGTTGGAAGCAGCTAGCGGTGGCAGCGGGCTGCAGTCGCGGCTTCTAGAGCTCAAGTCACAGAAGTACTGGTTGCAGGAAGGTTGGGCGCCGGCCTCCGCACAGGCTCGTCGTAGCAGCCCTCGCTTTGGCGGACGCACACAAACTCCCCCCGCTACTCAAGACAAATCCAATGCGGACGTATTTTGCTACCTGAGCCCTCATGTGAGCGGCATTTCGCCGGATACGTGGCCAATTGCCCTGCAAGGACCCGTGGACGTGACTCCCCAATCGGTTGTGGAAGGCAAGAACCAGGTTGCAGGTGGCTCGTCGGCAACCTCGCTGCTTGTTGTACCGCATGCCCTGCGAAGTTCCGTGGAGAAGCGCGCCGCCAGCTCTTCGCCTTTCTTGATGCGCGCTTTCACTTCGGGCCATGTAGAGCTTATTCTGCTGGACTCCCCTATCCGACCACAGTGGAGAAGCAATCGCCAGGGAGCCACTGCCTCATCCGCGCGTAAACTTCCGGCACTACTGCTCGAGTGTCTTAACCTTGGCATTGACGATTCTGGTGGTAAGGCTGTGCTTGAGCGGGACACTGCTGATCCGAAGCTTGTTTACTGCCTGCACTCGACGGGCGTGCACGTGATCAATGTGAGCTGGGTGTTTGCTCTCGCCTCCGGCAAACAGTTCACGACATTGCCGAAGAGTTCGGCTCGCCACGTCTTCAGTGTATCACCCAGCAGCGGAAATACTGCCTCCGCTTCATCGTCGTCGACAGCCTCTGCGGTGTCTAATGTCGTGGGCGCGCGCGTTGTGAAGAATGTGAACTTTGGACATTTGCTTCTACTTCGCCTGGCCTCTGGGAACTTTGAGGTCGTAAACGTGAGCGCCGCATCAAGTGAGCTACTGAAGGGGGTGCTTGCTGATAGCTCCAGTAGTGCCGATGCTGATGATCTACAGAAAACGCTGCCCGGTACGTTGGCGTCCATGGCATCGTCCAAGTCACGAGTGGCAGCATCCAGCAGCAACTCAGACGACACCAGTATCCGACCATTTGGAGATATCGTCGAGGAAAAGCTCGAGGCGCTTAGCGCGCGTGGAACCAGGGTTACGGGCAACACATTGATGCACGAAGTGGACGACGCTGTGCTGGCGTTCGTGCTGGAACGCGTGAAGATTTTATACGAAGACGTGGAGTACATCGACGAAATGGACCAGTTAATGCGCGATCGATTGCAGTTGCATGCTACGATGATCAAGGCGCAGGCTGAAAAAGTTGTGGCTGTGCAAAAGAACGCGGATGAAGCTCGCGCGTCGATGAAGAAGCTGCAGGAGAAGATGGAGCGCGCTCTGGCGGTGCAGCAAAACCTGAGCAAACGCGCGGCCGCGGTGCTGCAGGCGGTCAAGGAGAACCAGCCGCACCTTTCGCGTACCGAGCGCGAATTCAAGAGCGAGCTGGAGCTGATGGCGATTGAAGTGCGCCGTATGAAGCCGCGAGTGGCTGAATTGACGGTGCAGGGCCAGCGCGCTGTGCGCTCACTGGAGAGCGCTGCTCTCTCGGCATCTTCTTCGAGCCGGTACTGGAGCTCTTTGAGCGCGTCTGCAGGCTCCTCGGTGCTGTCGAACGAGAAGAAGAAAATGTGCTACGATGTGCTGCGCGCCGAGACGCAGCTAATTGACGACACGAAGGTACTGCTCGAAGATCTGAGCGCAAACCTGCAACAGATGAAGGAGTAGCTAGCGCAATAATTCGTCCCCGTATCGGCTTGCACAACTTTCAAACATGTTGCTTATGATTAGCTTTCCGAAGTATTTCACCTTCCTCCAGTTCGGAGTCACAGCCCACGCTGTACCAGTCGGCACTCCGCTGCGCGCACTGCGGCGGGTGCGAGTCGTGCAGCTGCCTGTGCCACACGTTGTTCCAGACCCGCTTCCGCTTCACTGCTCCCGGTGCGTATCATGCTTGGTTTCCTGTATATTTTCCCTTGTTATCCAAACATGGGTGGCTGCGCGGTGCTGGGGTTTGCTCGGCCGGACTGCAGCACCCCATGCACATTACCACCGCTTTTGTTGAGTGAAGTAGCTAACCAACGGTGTTGCGTTGTGCTGTCTTGCCTTGCATTTTGTGTGCCTGCACAGCGAACCTGGAGCGACTGCGTGCGGACGTGGACGCCGTCGTCAAGTACCATCAGCAGCAACTGCAGCAGCAGCAGCAGCAACAGCAGCAGCATCAGCAACGATAGCTCAGCTAGGCGCCTTTTGTTCACTAGTTTGCCGGCGACGCGCGCGTGCGGTGGACGAATACAGCAGTATCCCTTCTCAGACGAGCATGACTCGGCTCTGCGCGTGCTGCTTGGTGCCGCCCGCGGCATCGCTCGCTCACTCGCTCGCCCAGCGCGCGGCCCTAAGATGAAGCGTTTGTGACCCGACCCTCCCTCCCACCCGCCTTCACCCATCATTACCTCCCGAGTTTACAGCCGTGTTTGTTTATCCTCGTCTCTGCTGTGAGCCCCATCTGGCGCCAAGTTGGCCAGCGGCCCTGGGCCAGTGGCCCATGCGGCGATACAGGATGCAGAGCGACCCGCCAACCGACGAGCAATCAACCTTGGCGGCGCAGCGTGTGCTCCTCTCGCCGCGTCTTTGGTGCGTTCCGGTCCAGCGCGCCCTGCTGGTCATTTTCTCAGTGGCAGCGGCGGCAGTGCGTGCGCTCGACTCGCCGTCGGTGACCCGCGCTGGAGGCCCGCGCTGTCCGACGCATCGCCTTGCGGTGCTGCTCGGTGTGGCGCCGCTTTGGTGCTTGGTGTTGCTGCTGGACGGCGGGATCCTATTGCGCACTTCTTCGCGTGCTTTTTTGCTTTTTTCTGCACGGATTTTCTTTAGAAAGCAGCTTTTTAGGATCGTGTCGGCGGTGCATACAAAGCGCGAGTGAGTGCGCCGACCGCTTTTTCGGCGGTGTGCCTCGCGTTCTTTGCGGCCGCCGAGTCGTGGCCTCGCGATTGAAGCGTTTCCGCAGTCCTTGAAGTTTTGCATGTTCAACTGGACTGGAACTCGCGCACGCCCCAGATTTGACGGCCCCCGGCTTGAAGGCTGGCTGGCAGGCTGGCTCAAGAGGTTGAGGCCCGCCAGGTCACATGCTGCCTCAGCGCATGCGCGGCGATCCTCCAATCCCCGCCCAGCGCTCGCTGCCTGTCGTGCGTCGGCGCCGAAAGTGCCCGTGTTGAAGAAGCCCGACACGGAACGGAGCAGACTGCCGAGCTGGCTGGCGGCAGTCTCGTCAGGATTCCTGACTCAGGAAGCGCTTGGGTTCTCGAGCGCTTAGAGCGAGCGAGCGGGCAGCTGTGCGAGTCCTTTGCTGGGCGCTCGCTTTAGACATCTCCAATCGGCCTTCGCAGCGCAGGTGGCGTGCAGTTTGCTGCCCTAAAATGTGCTTCGGTCTACTACGATGTTTTTCTCTTTTTCCATCTTTAACGTCAGCGCACCAAGCAGCCTTCAGTGCTCGTGCTCGACAGCACTCGAAGCAGCCGATCTCGGACAAACTCCACTCCAGCGGGTTGAACTCCACTCTGCCGCTGCAAACGAGAATCAGCGCAGAAACGAACGAGCTCCACACCGGAGAGCAATCCTGAAACCTCTGCTGGATCGACTTGCCGCCGCCGCGCATGTCCGAGTCACACGAGCAAGCCCGGTGGCTGCGCTTGAACTTGGCCCGAAGGCAACCAACCGCGCGACCATCAGAGCCCGATTTACCACAGTCCTGAGTCCGATTTACCACAAACATGAGACGCGACATCGCGTGACGCGCAAGGTCCATCTTCACATCCCCGGGCAGAAACAGTCAAGTCAGGGGGGGACTGAACCGAGGGCTTTCCTCGCCCAAGCTTCCGTGCCTCCACGCCGCCAAATAGCCGCCGCCGCCTTCACCGTTGCTTGCCTCGACGCTCGCCTCGATGGGCGAGCTCTTCCAATACAATAAAGCGTACTATTACGATAAGTAAGTTAAGGAAACGCCTCGATGGGCCTCGTGTAGTGTATCTGGAGAACTAGACGCTCTGTAGGGACGGCTGGCGAATCGGCAGCAGCGCCGTCTTGGCGCGGTCGTTCACGCCGGGATATGCGTAGCTGGGCTTGTTGGACGCGACGTTGGCGTTGGCACTGTTGGGTGCGGATGTAGACAGGTTGGACAGCATCACCTTGAGGCTTAGACACCTCAGCGCGTTCAGCTCCATGTGGTGCTGCTGTTCGTGCAGGTGCTGCGGGACCTCGCTCGAGGACGAGCGCAGCACGTGGCTCACCCGGACGTCGCCATCCTCACTGCGTGGGCGGCAGCCCAGGTGACTGCGAGCGGGCAGCGACAGCTCGGGCATGGCGTCCTCCATGTCCATATCCTGCGGGGACTCATCTCGCAGCGACTGAGGCGCCGAGTGCACGTCGGCGCGCGGCACCTCCATGCGCTCCATAGGGAAACCGACGTTGTCGTCGCTGCTGTACTCGGAGCCACCATCCATGCTGTAGTCCTCCGCGCTGGTGTCCAAAGCGGAAAACCGGTCCTCGAGGCTGCAGTCGGCGCTCTCCGCGCCGGTGTGGAAGGGGCTTTCCAGGTCCAGCGCCGCGAGGTCGAGCGATCCGAAGTTGCGCTTCATGAAGCTTGGTGTATGGGGTGATGGTGGTGGTGGTTTAGTTGGGTGGACAAACACGGGGGCAGCAGCGCGCTCAGTCCCAGACGCGCTCGAACGGCACTCGACACGAAGATAACACGGGCAGGCCGCGGCGAAGAAATCGGCAGGCGGCGGCGGCTTCCGGACAGGCTGGGGGGAAGCTGGAGGGGCGGCAGGACTCGGGGCTGGACGTTCTCCGACCGCTTTGCATTCGAGGAGGAAACTTTTCGACTGAGCCTCGAGCGTTCCGCCAGCGCTGGAAGCGAGTGGCGGCGACCGCTGGCTTTTCGAGGCGCGCAGCGACGGGGCGCCTAGGATGCCTCGTTTATGGCTGTGATCGGGTCAGTTGAAGGAGCCGTCAAAGGATAAAGAAAGCGCGTTTTTGGCGAACTCACATTTTTTACTTGGCAAAGCCGCTCCCAGGCACGGGCATCGCATGGCGGCGAGCCTTCGCCGCAGGCTGGACGCACGATCGCTGCAGGCAGTGCAGTGCAGCCGAGACCCGAGGCTGCCAGCGCCATCATCGATCCGCCGACACTCCACTGGCCTCGCTGGAGCCTCGGTTAAAGAGAGCGCCTTCGCTGCTCTGCCAGCGAGAGCGCCGCGCATCCGTGGCGCAACAGAGACTCTGCTTCCCTGGAACTCGGGCGCCTGGCAACAGAATCTTTGCGGAGTCGCTTCCTGCTGCTCTTGGCCGTCCGCTCGCTCGCTCTAAGCGCTCGAGAACCCAAGCGCTTCCTGAGTCAGGAATCCTGACGAGACTGCCGCCAGCCAGCTCGGCAGTCTGCTCCGTTCCGTGTCGGGCTTCTTCAACACGGGCACTTTCGGCGCCGACGCACGACAGGCAGCGAGCGCTGGGCGGGGATTGGAGGATCGCCGCGCATGCGCTGAGGCAGCATGTGACCTGGCGGGCCTCAACCTCTTGAGCCAGCCTGCCAGCCAGCCTTCAAGCCGGGGGCCGTCAAATCTGGGGCGTGCGCGAGTTCCAGTCCAGTTGAACATGCAAAACTTCAAGGACTGCGGAAACGCTTCAATCGCGAGGCCACGACTCGGCGGCCGCAAAGAACGCGAGGCACACCGCCGAAAAAGCGGTCGGCGCACTCACTCGCGCTTTGTATGCACCGCCGACACGATCCTAAAAAGCTGCTTTCTAAAGAAAATCCGTGCAGAAAAAAGCAAAAAAGCACGCGAAGAAGTGCGCAATAGGATCCCGCCGTCCAGCAGCAACACCAAGCACCAAAGCGGCGCCACACCGAGCAGCACCGCAAGGCGATGCGTCGGACAGCGCGGGCCTCCAGCGCGGGTCACCGACGGCGAGTCGAGCGCACGCACTGCCGCCGCTGCCACTGAGAAAATGACCAGCAGGGCGCGCTGGACCGGAACGCACCAAAGACGCGGCGAGAGGAGCACACGCTGCGCCGCCAAGGTTGATTGCTCGTCGGTTGGCGGGTCGCTCTGCATCCTGTATCGCCGCATGGGCCACTGGCCCAGGGCCGCTGGCCAACTTGGCGCCAGATGGGGCTCACAGCAGAGACGAGGATAAACAAACACGGCTGTAAACTCGGGAGGTAATGATGGGTGAAGGCGGGTGGGAGGGAGGGTCGGGTCACAAACGCTTCATCTTAGGGCCGCGCGCTGGGCGAGCGAGTGAGCGAGCGATGCCGCGGGCGGCACCAAGCAGCACGCGCAGAGCCGAGTCATGCTCGTCTGAGAAGGGATACTGCTGTATTCGTCCACCGCACGCGCGCGTCGCCGGCAAACTAGTGAACAAAAGGCGCCTAGCTGAGCTATCGTTGCTGATGCTGCTGCTGTTGCTGCTGCTGCTGCTGCAGTTGCTGCTGATGGTACTTGACGACGGCGTCCACGTCCGCACGCAGTCGCTCCAGGTTCGCTGTGCAGGCACACAAAATGCAAGGCAAGACAGCACAACGCAACACCGTTGGTTAGCTACTTCACTCAACAAAAGCGGTGGTAATGTGCATGGGGTGCTGCAGTCCGGCCGAGCAAACCCCAGCACCGCGCAGCCACCCATGTTTGGATAACAAGGGAAAATATACAGGAAACCAAGCATGATACGCACCGGGAGCAGTGAAGCGGAAGCGGGTCTGGAACAACGTGTGGCACAGGCAGCTGCACGACTCGCACCCGCCGCAGTGCGCGCAGCGGAGAGACGGCACACACCGGCACTTGAAGTAGCTGCGTACTGACTGGTAGCGGCGTGTGGCTGGCAGCAGGCCCGTGTGCCCCTCTGAGCTCAGCACCTTGTCGTAGTACGAAGCGATGGCGCGTGGCTTAAAGTGGTGCTGGTCCGGCTGCGAATGGCAACGCAGACAAATGCGGAAGACTGGATACGCCATGTTGGGGCGGCATCGGCGGGAGTACATAGCACAGCCTAGACACTGCTTATACAGGTTGGTGATCTCTCGTCCACAAATGCCGCACGAGTAGTTCTCCGCGTTGTCACTAGGTGGGTCGCGCAAGTCGGCATCTACCGTCCGCCACATGCTCTCGTCATCAAAAACCTTGCGGAACTCGTCGCTGTCGTCCGTGCTGGACAGACCTAGCTCGTACGCCTCCTCAACAATAGCGTCCAGGCACGGCAGAATCGATTCCAGAAAGAGGACCATCTGGGCTTGGCGCTGAGCCACAACACCGCGGTCAATAGGCGCGGGGACAGACGTAAACGATAGCATTTGCGATGTCCGCGGACGCCCTGACGCCAATGCTGTGCGCAAGAACTGACCCATGCGCACAATTGCCACGCCGCACTGCAATGGTATCAAAACATGCACGTTAGATAATTTGCGGATCATTTCATCACCATAGCAGCGAACGCACCTTAGCAGCTTCAACAATCGCACGGCGAGGGTCGAAAACCCATCCATCCGGGCACACGCTAGCGTTCTTCATTGCAAACTGAGCAAAAACGCAAACAAAAAAGCCGTTAGATTCAGCCACAACGCAGTAGCAAACAGGATTTAGCCGACGCGTACCCAGCATTCAGTAGAGATACCGCGCTGCGAAACACCTTGGTAGACCCACTCCCACGAGAGGAATACGCAAGGTGCGTTAATGGAACCGCTAACGCTGTCTTTTTCTACAACGCGCCAGAAATGTTGGCGCCCCTGCAAAGCCACCGAAACAAATTCACCGTCGATTAGTGGTGTTTTCAACGATAGCACACAGAAGCATTTCCAGTTAGCTATATACATTATCGTCACCAACGCACCTTGTTGACGTGCACAAACTCTCCGTCCTGAAGAAGCACGGTTGAAAAAGCAAAACCAGCGGCTCTGTAAAGAGAGATTGCACATAAATAAGCGTTATTGAGTCATAATCCCCGAGTCATGCAGACAATTTTCACAATGATGCTTACCTCAGAGCACGAAGATGAGCATCTAGTAGCATAGTCTTCCTGTCAGCGTCGTACCCCGCGCGTTGTAAAATGAGATCGAAATCGGCCTTGTACTGAGGTTCAAAGCGCTCGAAAATGACCAACTCCAACGACCCCACAAGGACCTGCATGTTGGGAAAGTCACAACATAAGAAATATAATATAACGATATCCACCGCACCGGTAATATCGTACCTGGTAAGCGGTATCAGTAGTACCATTGCCTGGATCCATCAGCGAACCTCGTGCCCCAGGGAAATTGAAATGCAGTCGTGGACTGGAAAACTTTTCATGCCAGCTACTTTGCGGGAGGTACTGCAGCAAGCAGTGAATGCCGCCAGCAAAAACATCCCACTGAAAGCCCTTGATGAGGTCGTTATAGAGCTAGAAAAGCAATGAATCACAACAAGGGTTAGCGAAGCGAATCCGGTCAGCACAGTATAAAACTATACATACCTGCGCGCAGTGCTTAGCGAGCACCAAATTGTTAAGCGCAATAATATTTTCGGACGCCACGATAGTCACTGTCTTTTTCGTGACATGGTCTTCCAGCACAATGACGTCCTTTCCAGGTACATTCGATAAATACTTCTCGAGATACGAGTTGAACGATGCCATGGACAGCTGCAGCTCTCCAACGTAAGCAAGTTCAGGCATATCCGTCTCGGAATTTCGCTTGAACTGGAAGTGGTCGAATGCGAAATGCGTGTCGTTACCGCAGCACTCGAGGATGAATGGCCACGCCCAGATATACTGGTTGAGCTCGCTGCTCATGCCTTTCACAACAAGGCTCACATCAGGCGACTCGAAGCATCGGAAGAAAAAGTCGATCTCGGTTTGGTACAGCTTCGTCGCCTTATCGTCAAAGACAGGTGTAAGGTCGATCCGGAACACGTGGTTGGCATCGTCGGAGTGGCAGCTAAAGCGCTCATAAATCTCTGCAGGGAACGCTGCAGGATTGCGCCACGGAATGTTCGGTGTATGTCGGCGTATGGGGAGCTGTGACGGCGCCTGGGGCGGGAATTGACCTTGAGGAGGGTATGTGTTCGCGGGGGCATCCTTGAAGCCTGGAGCTTGGCCTGATGCTACGTCACCACTCTGGGCGTCGCCATAGGGAGCTTGAGGAGGCATCGGGCCTGTTGGCGCCCCACCACGATAGGCAGGATCGAATTCACCACGTCGAAGAGGAGCTCCATGTTCCTGCATTTGCTGCTGTGGTGGCTGCATGCCCGGTGCCCCAGGTTGTGCTGACGGTACACGCCCGGACGAGCGACCATCGAAGAACTGAGGCGTCGAGTTGAACGTTGAAGGCGATTGAAGTGATCGCGGGTCTTCCGACTGTTGCTGACGCGGACCAGCGATCGGATATGGCTGCGCCGATACCGAAAAACTGTGGTGCTGTCGAGGTCCGTCAGCGCCTGCTTGGTCAGGCGCTGGGGCGGAAGAGTATTCGCCTCGGGTCTGCCGAGGCATCTGCAAGGAAGACGCAGGTAGGTTGGGCGGAGGGGCGCTGCGGAAGTGGCTGTCTTGCTCCGTGTCGAATCCTCGCAACGGCCTTCGGGACGCAGGGGACGCAGTACGCGAGGATGGTTGCATGTTCCCGTCCTCCTCGCCGAGACGCGGCGTGTTGCTGTTACTATTACTCGAGTGCATCATACCACCGCTCGCACTCCTTGGAGTGTACGGCTCGGCGTCATTGGGTACCTGAGGGCTTTCAGCTTGCTCCCCATCAATTGAGGAGAGACGCGGATTTCCTTGGCTGGCTTCGTCATCGGAATCGTCCAGAGATCGATTGGTCCCGGCAGTTCTCCCCCTGCCTCTTCCTCTTCCTCGACCTCTTCCCCTGCCTCTTCCGCGTCCACGGCCGCGTCCGCGTCCCGTTCCAGCGCCCACCTCCTGCAGGGGGAGCTGGCGTCTCACTTGAAGCCGGTCAGACTTCTCCTGCAGCACGCTCTGGATCTGCGTGGCGAGGCGGGGGTAGTCTCCGGTCCTGAACACGGGGGCCTTGGCCTGCTGCTTGCTGAACGCTGCGAAGCACGCGTGGCGACAGAAAAGGTTTCCCTCCTCGGGCGGAAGCGGGAGGTTAGCGCAGTGCGCGTGGAAGTGGCTGCCGCAGCTCTTGCAGCGCACGAGGCGAATGGTAGAGCTGGCAGCCAGACCGCAGAGCACGCAGCGCAACTCGCTCCCGTGCGCACGTGGCTGCTGGCCGCCCTTGCTCTCCTCGGCGATGTCGCGAGCTGGCGTGTTGCTGGCACTCTGGGGCGTCAGTTGTTGGCACGTGATGGAAGTGGGTGTCTCGGCCCCCGACGCCGCCGTCTTCTGCGTCTGCGTGCGGGTCGCCATGCTGCTGCTGCTGTTGCTGTCTTCGGCGTCTGGCGGTCCGGTGAGGCTTCGCGCAGACCAGAGACGCGCCACACTGGCACGGGGCGGTAGGCGGCGGGTACAGTAGGCGGTCGCGGGCTTGCTGCTGCTGAAGTGCTGAGCGATCGCCACCAGGAGGTTGTTGACGCGCGTCTGCTTTGCCCAGTGCCGAATGCGGGGCGCGGGAAGGGCTCCGCTTAGGTCCGAAATCAGGAGTGATGGTGCAAACGATGTACGGTACACCACGAAGAAAGGGTTCAAGCGCAAAAGCCGAGAAGTGGCAGCGCGCGCGTGGCTTGGGGGATCGATCTGCTCCGGAGCTCCCCGCCATCAGACTCGCTGCGGGCGCCCCGACATGATAGCGGTGGACACAGCGGAGGCGCCGTCGCCAGTGCTAGCCGAAGGGGAGGCATCGCCGCCGCCTGCTCCTGTGCGCCGCAGACTCGACATGGACGCGGAGGACGCAGACGACGAGGAGGGCGAGCTGCCGACGGTGTACGACCTCATGCAGGAGGTGGCGCGGCTGCAGCAGGCAGTGCGCGACCTCGGCGACGATGACCCCAGCATCTTCGCGGACGACTATGCGGCGCGCGACTCATTTTCGACCGAGCGCACGCCGCCGCGCTACAGGCAGAAGATTCGCACAGCAAGCGGCGGCTCTGACACCCTGTCAAGATCCGGGATCTACTCAGGCAGGAAGATCACGACCAATGTGGGCAACATGTCGCCATACAAGAACGTCAACGCCATGGCGCGCGCCGAGTTTGAGAGCTTGGGCGGACTCAAGACGCCGCCGCCGAGACGCCGAGAGACGTTGACTCCTGCTTCCTCTCGCACGGTGCCGCGCCCCACGCGCGTAGCAGCTCTGACTCGAGAGAATATCTCGCTGCTGCCGACGCCGAGGCCTCAGAACTTCACGGGCTCCGTTTGCGGCTCCCAGAAGTCGCGCTCGAGCATCCGCACGGACGGCGGCGCCGTGTTCTCGAGGCTGTACCAGCCGGACTTCTACAAGAACCGGGAGGAGAAGTTGAAGAACATGCGCGACCGGAGCGAGAGACTGAATTGCTCGTTCACACCGCGCACAAACCGCCGCGACTCCATTTCGTCGCGAGACTCAATCGGCTCCGAAGCATCAATGCAGTCGGCCAAGACGGACGTCGTGAACGTTTCCAGCCGACTGTACGACCCAGACTACGTCCGCAAGCGCAACGTGCGGCTCCAGCGCATGCGACAGGAGCGCGAGATGCGCGAATGCACCTTCACGCCCACCATCAACGCCAACGCGACAGCTACGCCGCGCAAGAAGCTGTAGCCATTCATCACCTCTTTCAAATGTAGCCATCTCATAAAATTAAGTACCGTAACGAGTGCGCATTCCACTTCAGATACTGTAATAAGTGCACCTGCACCAACATGCCGCCGCGAAAGAAGCCGTTCAGCGGCAAGGCCAAGAAGCAGCAGGTCAGACGCGATCGCCATGAAAGAACCCGTTTATAGCGGCAAGGCGAAGAGGTACAAGTACATAACAGCTGTGTGTTGTTGCAATTGCCCACTCGTAGCTTCGGGACAAGCGTGCGAGGAACCGCGCGCGAGACGCTCTCGACGCTGATGAGGACGACGCCCAAGCATCGGGCGTGCCGGCGTCACCTGCCTTCCAACCGGTAGGTAGTGGATCTGCCGATCAGTACCTATGCTAGGCTTGTAACGTCACGTTGGCACAGGCATCTTCAGGGCGAGCTGATCTTCGCACGATCTTCCAGAAGGAGTCCAAGGCTGCCGTTGAGGCCAGGAAGAAGGACGCAACGCGCGAGCTTGTGTATGCGGCCGATCGAGGCAACTCGCAGTCAATTTACGCGTTCGGTATACAAGACCCTGCCAACCAGCCGCGCATCCTGACGAAACCAAAGTGGTCACGGGATATGACTCCAGACGAGCTGAACGAGGTGGACGACGAAGCCTTCAAAGAGTGGATCGAGTACCTCGAACTGGAGACAACGGGTCGTGAAGACGGCGCACAGCTCAATCTGTACGAAAGGAACCTGGAGGTGTGGCGCCAGTTGTGGCGAGTGATTGAGCGCTCCTCCGTACTCGTGCATCTCGCTGATGTCCGATGTCCGCTACTCCACATTAGCGACCAACTCATGACGCACACTCGAACCAAGTTCCCATGGAAGCGTATCGTTTTGGTGCTAACGAAGACTGATTTAGTGGCGGAGGAGCGTGCTCAGAGGTGGTCGGCGTATTTGCAAGCTCGGTACGGACAAGATATCCCCGTGTTGGCGTACAGTCGCGACCGCGTCGGCGAGAGCAATGCCACCTTGATGAGAACTATCGGGCAGGTGAGCGCTGGTATCGACCACCGCAGTTTGAATGACGATTCTACTACCGAAGAACGACAGACAGACACACTCACAATCGGGTTCGTGGGGGAGCCCAACGTCGGCAAAAGCTCGCTGCTCAACAGCCTCTTCGACCGCAAACTGGTGAGTGTGTCCGCCACTCCCGGCCACACAAAGCATCTTCAGACGCACTACTTCGAGCAGGTAGACATGCTGGAGCGTGACGACGGGGTCTTCTCGCGCGTCCTCGTGTGCGACTGCCCTGGTGTGGTGTTTCCTCGCTTCAACGTGCCGGTGCTGCTGCAGATCCTTTTCGGCAGCTTCCCCATTGCCCAGACGCGTGAGCCTTTCAGCGCTGTTCGGTTCATTGCCGAGAACTGCGTGCCGCACCTGCACGAGGTGTACAAGCTCAAGCCCGTGGACGAAGATGACGACGACTGGTGTCCCTACACGCTGTGCGAGTCCTTCGCCCAGCTACGCGGCTTCCGCATGAAGGGCGGCAAGCTTGACGTGAACCGCGCCGCCAACATGCTCCTCCGCGATACGCTCAACGGCAAGAAGGTGGTGCTATCCTTCCCTCCGCCGGCAGCCACGTGCAGCGGTGGCGCTGGGTCGTAACATTGGCTCGGGCTGGCAGGACCACTTCAACCTCAATGCTAATCTTTGCTAAACATCAGGAATGAATGTTTTGGCCTCGCTTTTGTATGCGCCTCCTTTTCATGGTGTGGTGCACACAGGTCCGCCTCCAACCTGCAGCGTCGTCACTTCCAATTCGGAGAGGTCTCGCTTACCCATCATTTCGGCCATTTCAGCCATGCTCTCGGGAAAGTTGCTGCGCCGAGGCCTCCAGCGCGCGGTGTGGCGGGCGCCGCAGCCCGCACGCAGCTTCGCTGCTGCTGCAGCGGAGAAGGTGGAGGACGACGCGCCGTGCGGACACGAGGCAAAAGGACGTACGTTCTACGGCGTTCGTTAAACGGAGCCCTTGCTGTTCATCATGCTGAGCTGAGAGACTTGTTGTGCCCCGCAGCCGACTGCTGGAAGTGCCACCACGCGACGGACTGCTGTTCCTTCTTCTGCGGCTCGTGCAACGCCATCCAGCCTATTAACAAGAGCTGCCACTGCGACTACTTCGAGATGTTCAAAATGTACGCTTCCTGGAGCCAAAGACAAGAGGATCTGTATGTAATACTGCGTGGCTGACGACGCGTTTTGGTTGGTGGCGAGGCAGCCCCAAGCACTTTAACCTGGAGCAGCGCAGCATCGAGAAGACGTACTGGAACCTGCAGAAGCGCCTGCACCCGGATCTGTATGGATCCAAGTCGGAGGTGCGGTGGCTACAGCTGCTGGCGCGGTAGATGCGTGAGACTCACCTCGAAACGTGATTTGTGTGTATGCAGTTCGAGAAGGAACTTTCTGCTGTGAACGCTGCAGTCATCAACGATGCCTACAAGATGCTCAAGAAGCCCAACACGCGCGTCAAGTATCTGGTTCGTGAAACCTCGCTGCCTCAGTATCGTGTAGGAATGCTTTTGACATCGACTTTTTGTGCGTTTATAGCTGGCGCTGCACGGAATTGATGCGCTCGGAGAGACCGCAAGCACTGCTGTAGACCCTGAGCTGCTGATGCAGACCATGGAGATCAGGTACAGCAAGTTGGCTTTCGTCTGGTTTTTTAGGCTATTGTTTTGACGGTTGTACACGACGTGCAGAGAACGCATCGCAGAAGCACAGGATGTGGACGCGCTGCATGAGATTCGCAAAGAAATCTCGGACCATATTGACGCCGTGATTAATAAGCTCGGCGAAGTGTACGACAAGGACAAGGATCTCGAAGCCACAAAGCAATTCGCCGTTGAGCTGCAGTACATGGTCAAGTGTGCAGAAGAAATTGACCTGAGGGAAGAGAAGCTGGACGGGTACTAGAAATTGCTAGATCGGCCCAGCGCAGTAAGACCGTTTTATCGTTTCGAATTCAATATCAACGCACCAGTTTTGCTGCTTCCGATGCAGCTACACGAACCATGCCGTATCTGGAGCAGTTTGCTAACTGTTGTCTACGCCGTTGACAATTTGGTGGCGTTGAATGGCCTCTACCGCCTGCCACCACGTTGGCGAACGCTCAACTCCAACACTGTGCCGTTCACAAAGTTGTAGTGAGCGCACGTAAGCGTGTCCTTGACGAAACCCATCGAGAACTTGAGCTGCTGCTTGTTTACCGGCATGTTCTGCAGATCAGCCTGTAAAATAGAGAGCATCGTTAGTGGAGGTGAACATTGCAGCACAGCCAAAAAGCTTACCATGAGTTTCTGTTTGAGTGTCCGCATGTTGTCCTTTACATCCACCTCCACATTCAATGTCTGCCCCTCCAGCTTCCACTGGGCATTGTCAGGATCGTTCGGAACCTTCACAACCAACCGCACAGCTCCCTGCGTTACAACAAATACATTAATCACACAAATACATTCATCATCCAGCGCTCTCACCTGCAACAATCGAAAGGCCACTACGCACGTACCGGATGCCGGATGGCAAACTCATTCTCTGGAAGCAAAGACGAACCGCCTGTACGTTGTCGCTTTGCTGCTGGCTCAAGGTCTTCGCCCGGAGGTCCTGAAACACCCGGAGGACCAGCACCGATACCGGGAGGACCACTGCTCATTCCTGGTGCCACCTGCATGTGCGGGGGCATCATGCTTGGTGGCCCAGAACCTGGAGCCATCATTGCAGGTGGACCCATTCCAGCAGCCATAACGCCGGGGGGAGCCATGCCTACCATCCCCGGCGGCGGCGGAACCAGCGCAGAGGGCACCATTCCGGGAGGTGCCAACCCACCGCCAACGGCCGGAGCGCTAATGCCCGGAGCACCTGCGCCCATTCCAGGAGCCCCCATCATAGGAACGGAGACCATGGGGGCGGACATTCCTGGTGGAGGTTGGGCCATCGGAGCTCCTGGTGGTAGTTGTCCAGCTTCAGAAAACCCAGGCTGACTTGGAGCTTCCTCCGCAGGAGCGGATTTTTTCTCTTCCTCATCTGAATCCTCCTCCATATCGTCCTCGCGAGGCTCTTGATGCTGTTGTTGTTGCTGTCGTTGCTGCTGCTCTGCAGCCGTCGGCGCTGTCGTCGCTTGCAGCAGCCGCGCTTCTTCCTCAGCGGATGATGCGAAGATATCCGCACGCTTCGTAGCAAATCTCCTCAACGAGTCTGCGATGGCCGATCCTGCAGCGTATGAGCTCTCTTTCTGCTTCTCCAAGTGCCGCTGAGTTTCCTCGCGCCACTTCGGGTTCATCAACAAGATGCGCATGTGTTCGTTGGCCTCGGCGGACGAAAGCGTCTTACCATCCACACTCAGCAGTGGCTGCTGCGCCGTCATTGCTGTGGCCTGCGGTACATAATTTTCCACCACTTTGATACCTGGCTTGGGCTCATCATCATCGTCCTCCTCCATATCCATATCCTCGTCATCCGATCCCTTTGCTTCTCCGTCACCTGCGGCAGCAGCGGCTCCCAAATCGTCATCGCCGTCGAAAGTAATAGTCTCTACTACAACGAAGTCATGCCAATCGATCTGTGCAAGCGCACGCCGCTCGGCATCGCTTTCCGCTGCCTCCTTGTCCTTGCGTTCCTGCTCGGTACGCTGCCACTCCATCCGATGGACACATCGGTCCAACACCTTCATGCGCTCCATCCCTTCCTCTATCCTGCAACGCACCACCCCAAAATCAATCACAAAATGAGTCCCAACTCAGTACCACCCAGAAATACGTTCACAAAACCACTCACCGCTTCATCTGCGCGTCCTGCTTGGCCAGCACCAGCGTGTAGCTCTCCACTAGCGCCGTGAAGTAGGCGAACAGCGGGTGCGTAGGCTTCAAGAAGTCGAACTGCGGGTTTCGCTGCTCGCGGGTGGCAAGTCCCGACAGGAAGGAGCTGCCGCTCAGCGCCGTGTACTGCGCCGTGAGGTACATGATCTCCTGGTCCAGCGCGCTGAGCGACGGGTGCTTGATAATGAACTTCTCCTCGGGCGGCGGCTCCAGCTCCTTCTCCTTGATCTTTTTGGCCACTTGGGCCGTAACATCTTGTACCGCCTTCTTCTCCACGACCACGTCGCCCGAGGACTCCGCCGCCTTGACGACCTCCTGCGTCTTGTCCTGTTCCGGCTGCTGCTGTGTCTGCTGCTCTGCCGCATGTTCCTGTTGCTGCTGCTGCGGCTCCTCCGGGGCCGGCGGCGGCTCGTTCTTCTTGGCGATGAACTCGCTCACCTTGTGCTCGTAGTAGGCGTGGTACGGGTCCGACTCGCGCAGGAACGAGAACTTGGCCGACATGCGCTCGCCCACGATGCGGCTCTCGAACGCGCGCCCATTGTTGGCCACGAACTGCGCCGTCTTGTCCACCACCGCGCGGATGTCCGGCGGCGGGTAGATGATGCCCGTCACGCGGCCCTGCACGGTCGCGTCATGCTGCTCCTCGGACTCCGCCGCCATGGTCGTGCTGCGCTGGTGTCGATGCTGCCGCCCAACGATCAAAGGCTATATGTGACAGATGGGAGGCCTCGGTATGCCGGAGGATAGGATGGTGCGATCATTTCCATACGGTTCAACTTCAACGACTGCAACTTTGGCTCCCTGCTAGGAGCGAGGCAGTATAGCGCTTCTTATGTGGAGACGACGGCGATGATTCATGCGGAGGTTAACATTCTACCTGGAAGCACGAGCGGTTCAGCGTCTACGAGCCGATGTGGATAATTTCACTTGACTCGAGGTCGCAAGAGTGAAGAACAGCGTTGTGCATTAGCCTACGTTGGTAGGAGGGATCAGGGCCCTTTAGATGGCCTCGTAGCAACTACATGTAGCGGATGTCTGCACCACTCCCTGTTGATGTAGGCGCTGAGCCTGCGAACAGCCCCGCGCAGTCATTTTGCCGACACAACCCACTAACTACTTGGAGTAGTATCCTACTTTGGATATCTCAGGCTGATACATCACCGGAATGAAAAATGCATTGAGGGTTACGGATATGCGGACAAGAAGCTCGTAGCTGGAAGATTCTCAACATCCGAGACTTTCGAGGCATCGGCGCCGAGCACCGCTCAGACGCGATCCATGGTCTCGTCCGGCACCTCGAAGCCCTTCTCGCGCTCGCGCAGCTCCACGTTCACCTGGGCCGTCATGCAGCCCTGTGTAGTGGCGTACGTGCACTGCGCGATGCAGTTCATGATGTCCGCGAGGTCGCCCAGCTCCGAGATGCAGATCGACAGCAGGCTGCAGATGCAGCTCGCCAGTTGAATGCAGTTGTTGCATCGCTACAGCGACGACACACGACAAGGGCAGCACAACGAGACGGCATTAGCTAAACGCAGCTCTTCGTACACATGCTACGCCGCCGACAGCACGTACGATAATGCGGTTGTCCCACTTGTCCGGCTGCAGACGGTAGCGGTCCATGACCATCATGCGCGTGGCCGACACGGCGCAGCCGTTGCAGAAGAAGGCCTGTAGCAAGATCACACCAGCGACCACAGAGTCAATACACAGCCCGTCCAAGCGATGCACTGCTGCAGTCGCCGACCTCAAGACACAGGCAGCAGTTGGGGCAGCTGGACTCGCCGCAGCGGCCCGAGCGCGCGCAGGGCACGATGCCGTCCATGTAGCCCTGGCAGCACGTGTAGTTGCTCATGTCGTAGTTGAGCGCCTTGCGGCGGATAACGATCTGCGCGCAGCACGGACAGAGGCACGAGCCCAGGCAGCCTGCGCACACAGGAACAGAGAGGTCTCGTCAGTCGGCACCATTCAAGAAGGAAGTGGCGTCGTGCGGACGGCAACTCACACAAGGGGTCGGCGGACGGCGCCTGCATCATGCCCACGTGGAAGGCGCCCGGGTTGCCCTTGCGCACATCGTCCTCCACGGGCTCGCCGGAGCAAAGGATGCACATGTTGCTGCTGGGGAAGAGAGAAGGAGGTCTTGGCTGAAGCTGGTTCGCCTGCGATTCGGGACTGAGCGATTACAACCCAGGTGCAAACGGCGGTTGGAAGTCGTCAACAGCTGCTGTGGGTACAGCGCGCGTCGCATCGAGGTGATTTGGTGTGTTGTACATCGATGAGGTACATTGTACCACCGAACGTCGGAAGGCACTTCTGTCCCCTTGCAACCTCAAGGAGCCATCTCTCGAGTCCAGGAGCGCCGACGGACACGACTCGACCCGAGCCCAGATAGATAGATTGCCTGGCTCGCGAGGCTATCGCAGGTGACCGACAGTTCTCCCTCTCCGCTCGTCGCCGCGCGCGCACACACACGCACACGCGCTCGGGGCTTCCCGCCGGCCGGCCGGTTCTCACTGACTCCCTCTGCCAACAAGCAGGGAAAACTTTGGCGACAGCCGCCGCGCGCCGCCGGCTGACAGCGCTGCAGGCAGCAGCTCCAGATCCGCAGCTAACAGCGAGCAGACAGCGAGGCGCAGGATGTGGCGCAAGCGCCGCGGCTCGCTGACCGGCGCCAACGCGCGCGAGTCGCCCAGCGTGGCGTACTCGCACTCGATCACGGGCACGCCGTCGTCCATGTCCATCACCAGCAGCAGCCCGTTCTTCGGCAGCGACCCCAGCGCCAGCGACCGCGCGATCGTCTTCCGGGTCGAAGTCCCGACGCCCGGGCCGCTGGGGCTCGACCTGCGAGCGCGACACATCGAGCGGGATAAACCCCAGCGCGGCGCAGTGGTGAAGGGCTTCCGCCCGCTGCAGGGCGGCAAGGCTGGATACGTTGAATCCACGGGCCGCGTCAAGATCGGGGACATCCTGCAGATCATCCACAAGACGCCGATCGATGACATGCCCTTCGAGCAGATCGTCAAGCACGCGATGCAGTTGCAGAAGGATCCGACTGCGTGGCCGCTGCTGATGGAGTTCCGCCGCGAGCCGGAGAGGCAAGAGAGCAGCCACTCGACGCAGTCGAAGCCGAGACGCAACAGCTTCTTCCGGTCGTCGATCTCCATGTCGAACCCCGTCCAAGACGGGAACTTCAACGAGAAGTTGCAGTACTTCCGGGACTTCTTCGCTACGAGGATACCGACAGGCGGTGCCGCGCCGAAGGAGAAGGAGAAACCGCCCAGGCCACCCAAGTGGGAGACTGTGGATGAGATGTATCGAGAGCTCATGTTGAAGCGCGGGGTACCGGAGGACGTTATGGACGAGTTGATTCGTATCGAGTCACTGGAAACGAAGTGGCACGTCGTATGGTATGCGCAGCAGAATGAGAATGAAGACAACACGAAATCCAACGCCACGGAGGCCGAAAAGTTTGCGGAAAATCTGGTCGAGCTGAAATGGGACAACAAAGGTCTGAAGGATCTCGAGGCACTTCGTGGCAAGATTTCTGCCGCGTCGACGGACTGGCTCGAGTCCTTCTTGGGTCACTTTGGTTTGGATTACCTCACGATGAAACTTCCCGATCCGTCGCCATTCCCCATTGAGCATTCCAAGTACGAAAAGGCCACGCGCATATGCGAGGTAATCCTGCGAATCTTGCGATCGCTGACCCATTTTACGGCGGGTGTGGAAGCCATCACCAACACGCCAGGACTCGTGAAAAGGGTGGCATTATGTTTCCACACAGAAAATGGCGACGTCAAGAAGTACACTCTGCAGCTGCTTGGGATTGTGTGCTACAACAGCGCGGCGGGACACACCGCAGTTATCGAAGCGTTTGACCACTACAAGGAGACTAAGGGCGAAAATATCCGCTTCAGCTGTCTGCGAGATGCGCTGAAGTCGACGAGATACTCGCTTGTGTTCAAGGAAGACGTGCTCAGCTTTGTGAATATCATTGTGAACAAGGCCATCCGGCTGGAAGACCGACTAGCTATCCGGTCTGACTTCATGGCACTCAAAATGGCTGGCTACTTTGAAGAGATTCGTGCCAAGTCTCTCGCTGTGCAGCGGACGAAGTACCCGCTTGCTACCTCCGCGTCTGGTTCTACGATCGAAGAAGGCTCCAATGGAGCTCCATCTCCGGTTCCAAACGCTCCAGCGACTCCTTCACCTTTGCCGGCCAAGCATATTGCGAGAAATACTCCCTCGCCAGTTTTGAGCAGTCGGTCCACGGATTCCCCCGTCACGGGGCGGGGGATGCCTGGAACTCCTATCACTAGATTAGACTCTTTGAAGGCGCTTGGCGGCAGGCGATCCTCAATCAGTAGGAGCACGGAAGACCAAAGTGGGGGTCGTCTTTCAGCAAGCAAAAGTGCTCCGCCATCGCCCATAGATCGGGAACCGGCAACACTCTCGCCTGATGGAAGTATAGCCCGCTCGTCGCTTCCGCTTGAAAGCAAGGGCGCAGGTGCAAACAAGGGTGCGAGTGCACAGCGATTTGGAAATGGTGGCAACAGCATTATCAGCAGCTCGGTTACGCAGCTACGAAATCAATTGGACAACATGGAAAAGCAGATCGACGTGTTCGAGCAGTTCATGGAGGACGACCGGAAAGACACGATTTACGAGAACACAGATCTGGCTTCCGTGGACAGTGTGTACCGCTCCCTATTTGATAGCGTGACAAACGATTCCGAGCTTCAAACGTGCTTCCTGTCGATCCTGCAACAATTGCTGTTTATTCCGGGTGATCGCGTTATTGGAAAGGAGATGTGGGCGCTGTCTGAAAAGGTTATGAAACAGATTACTTTGCTCGCTCCAGTGGAAGAAGTGCGGAACTTCGAACTTGGATATGATGATCGCAAGACGCTGCTGAAAATGCGCGACCGCTACGCGCAGTTCCTCCAAAAGTGCGCGGATGAAGACCCCACGTTCCAATTCCGCATGGGTCCGATTATCCTGATTGAGAATAAGGATCGGGACCATGACGATCTCGCGCTATCGGATGTGACTGCCGATGAGACCGACGAAGAGGATGCACCTTCGACTATTGCTGCGAACGAGCACCCAGAGCTGATGAAGTATTTCAAACTTCTTAAGATGGGGATGCCAATGCCACACGTGCAGCTCAAAATGAGCAGCGAACTTCAAACGTTTGATCCGTCGATTTTAGAGACCCCCGACAAGCTGATCCAACTGTCAAAGCCTGAAGAAGAGCAGAAGAAGGGTACGCGAGCTGAGGAGCACGAAAAATACGCCAAGTTTTTCAAGCTGAACAAAATGGGTATGCCGCTGCCCCATATTCAGTTGAAGATGTCGGCAGAGGGGCTCGACGGATCAATTTTGGAAACCCCTGACTTGCTTCTTGACGAAGACGGCAATGAATTGAAAGATGGTGATGCTGGCCCTGAGTTTACTGGAATTCCAGTTAAGGAGCACGAAAAGTTCGTCAAGTTTTTCAAGCTGTTGAAAATGGGGATGCCGCTCGAACATGTTCAGTTGAAGGCATCATCGGAGGGGTTGGATGGGTCTCTGTTGAGCACGCCTGACCAGCTCCTTGATGATGAAGGGAAACTTTTTGTGGCTGGACAATCAGGTCAAGCCCCGCAGGGTATTCCTGTAAAGGACCACGAGAAGTTCGCGAAGTTCTTCAAATTGATGAAGATGGGAATGCCGCTCGAACACATTAAGCTTAAGGCGTCTGCGGAGGGACTAGATGGCGAATTGTTGTCAACTCCAGATGTTCTTCTTAATGAAGATGGTAGCAAATTTGTTGCGGGAACAGGGGCGGCCGCTGTGAAGGGAGTCCCCGTGAAAGAACACGAGAAATTTGCGAAGTTCTTCAAGCTGATGAAGATGGGAATGCCGCTTGAACATATTAAACTGAAGGTATCTGCTGAAGGGTTAGACGGGGAGTTGCTGTCCACTCCGGATGTGCTAGTGGATGAGGACGGAAAGAAGGTGGAGGCGGCCCCAGCTGAGAAACCTAAGGGCACACCAGTGAAGGACCACGAGAAGTTCGCCAAATTCTTCAAGCTCTTGAAGATGGGGATGCCTATGGAGCATGTAAAACTGAAAGCTTCGGCGGAAGGCCTTGACGCTGGTCTGTTGGAGACGCCGGACAAGCTGATCGACGAGGAGGGGAAGGAAGTGGTGGATGGGGCACCCGCTCCGAAGGGCGTCCCTGTAAAAGAGCACGAGAAGTTTGCGAAGTTTTTCAAGCTGATGAAAATGGGAATGCCGCTTCCCCACATCAAGCTGAAAGCAGCATCGGAGGGGCTAGATGGGGACCTTCTCGATACCCCTGACAAATTGGTAGACGAGGACGGAAAAGAAATTAAGGCGGACGTTGGGAAGACGGTGAAGGCATCGGAACATCCAAGCTACGCCAAGTATTTTAAGTTATTGAAGATGGGAATGCCGCGGCCGCAGTTGGAGCTGAAGATGAGCGCGGAGTCTTTGGAGCCGAAAGTACTAGACACACCCGATGAGATGATCCCTGAGAACTTGTCCGCTGCGGCACCGAAGGCGACAGCAAAACCTGTTGTAACTGGACCCCCGAAGCCTAAACTTCGAAATCTTTACTGGGAGGCAGTAAAAAGCGAGGAGACTAGTGGCACAATCTGGGAAAGCTTTGCAAAGGAAGAGGAGGAACGGAAAGCAAAGCAGTCTGCAGCGCCTGCAGGTCCTCCGAGTGTCGCGGATTTGTTCGCTGCTAGATCGAAGGCACAAAATCCGAAGCCCGAGGCACCGAAGAAGGACGTGGTGCTGGACAAGTTCGTCGACCAGCTATCGGATATCTTTGTGAACAAGCCTGCTAAAGCGAAGGAGTCTGAGACAAAGAAGCCAACCAAGCGACGAGCTCCGACACGAGTTGCGTTGATTGACGCGAAACGTGCGAACAACATCGGTATCATGTTGGCGCGTTTTCGGTTGCCGTACTATAAGCTTCGCAACGCTGTGCTGCTAGTCGACAAGGAACTGCTCTCTGTGGAACGGGTGTCAGCTCTTCTTCAGTTCGCTCCAGAGGATGAAGAGTTGGATGCTGTACGAGGCTACACTGGCGATCCAAAGCTCCTGGGGGATGCTGAACAGTACTTCCGTGAGATGCTTTGCGTACCGCGGTTAACCACACGGTTGCAAGCCATCCATGCAACATGGCAGTTTGATGCGTACGTTGAGGAGCAGCGGAAGCTGATGGAGTCTGTGTCAAATGCTTGCCGAGAACTGCAAGCGTGTGAACCTCTAAAGGATATCTTCCGCGTCGTGCTTTCACTCGGAAACGCTTTAAATGATGGCACGTCGCGCGGAGGAGCGAAGGGCTTCCGGTTAAACATCTTGCTCAAGTTGAACCAAGTGAAGGCAGCCGACAACTCCATCAACCTGCTGAACTATGTTGCCAAGGTGCTACGCGCGAAGGACCCAGCCATCCTTGAGTTTGACAAGAGCCTGCCTTCCATCGAGAGTGCAAGCCGTGTCACCACGCAAGTGCTTAAGGCTGGTGAAAGTGCCGTGCGCAAAGCTGCGAATCTGATCTGCAATGAGCTGGAGACCCACGCGAAGTTGCCAGAGAAGGAATACCCGCAGCCTGACCCAGTGCCTGGCTCCGAGGAGGAACCCGAGAAGATCTCGGACCGCTTCCAGGAGGTCGTGAAGCCTTTCGCTGACCGCGCCAAGAAGACTTCCGAGCAGATCGCGGAGGACCTCGAGAAGATGACCAAGTGCTTTGAGGAGACGGCGTCGTTCTACGGCGAGGACCCCTCGAGCCCGGACTGCGGTCCGGACGCGTTCTTCTCGATCTTCTACTCGTTCGCCAAGGTTCTTCAGTCGGCCGACCGCGACAATGAGCGCAAGCGCATCGCCGAGGAGCGGAGGATTCGTCGCGAGGAGGAGACCAAGAAGCGTCTGGAGCAGCTGAAGCTCAAGAAGAAGAAGAGCGGCTTCGCAGCGCTCAAGACCGGCGACGTGGACGACATCGTTTCCAAGATCCGCGCCAAGCGTGTCGAGGAGAAGCGCCGGGAGATGCTGGCGAATGGCTCGGCGCCTCCGTCGTCCACAGGGTCGAACCGGGGATCTAGCAGCCAGCCGCGAAGTAGTGCCAGCAACAGCTCTATCGCCGCTGCTGCAGCGGCCGCCGCCACCGAAGTGCCCACCCCAGCCATGGAGGCTGTATAAAACCTGGCGTGCGCGCCATATTCGTTCGTATTACTGACCTCAAGATGATATAGTGGGGAGTGTCAAACCTTGTGCAAATGCACCATCATATCAACAACAAAGCGTTCGTGTGGAGAACCTCATTTTCGTGCACCAAATTGTTGGTCCAAATCACATAATTTGAGTCGGATCAAAAGCACCGATGTTCTATTCCCAAATCACATAATTTGCATCGGATTAAAAATACAGGGGACCATTTTTTGGCGGGAATTGGCTCGCTTTCAACAGTCAACGGATCGTCGCAGCCATGGACAACGGGAACGGCACGCCGCCCGCGACTCCGCCGTCGCCTACGAGCCCCGCGCGGCCGGCGCCCCGCTATCTGACACGCGAGGCGCCCTCCTCTCCGCCTTCTGAGCCCGTCGGCCTCTCCATCACAGCCCCCACCGCCTCCGCGCAGCCTGGACACGATGACGGGCAGCCGATGTCCCCCTTGTCGCCTATGTCGGCGTCCGTGTCGGCTTCGGCCATGTCTGCGTCCGCCGTGTCGGCCACAGACATGCCAGGCCGCTACGGCTTCGCGGAGATGAGCGCGTCGGTGGAGGCGACGCCCGCGCCGCGGTATTTGGGTCGCTACGGAGCCGCAGGGGGCGAAGCGGCCGCCGGAGAGGCCGGCGACGACGTGGAGGCGGAACTGCGACGCATGGCCCAGCGTCAACTGCCCCGAGGAGACTTGGGCCGACGTGAGTGGAGACTCGACAGCTTCCAGCCGCAGCAGGGGCCGCACGCCATGGGCCCCGACGGCATGAGCTCCGGAGCCCCGTCATCGCCCAGCAGCAGCTCCGTCGCCAGCATCCGCAGCAATAGGTCGGGCATGCCGGCGCCTACTCAAGCAGCACTGCCGCAGCCGCCAGCGTCCCCGCCAAGCTCCCCCCGCTCCAGTGCGTCGGCCTCCGTGTCGGCCTCGACCTCAGCGTCGGCGTACTCGCAGTTCCAGAGGCAGCAGGAGGAAGAGCAGCAGGCGTTCTCAGGCGCGGTCGTCTGGGGCACCAACATCAGCGTGTCCGAGAGCATGGAGCTGTTCAGAGGCTTCCTGCACCAGTTTAGGACGGAGGGCAACGACGCTCAGGACGAGCCGTACTACGTCAAGGCTCTACGCAGACTGGCGCTGACGCAGTCGCTGGTGCTGGATTTGGACACGCAGCACTTGCGCCAATTCCGCGGCGCGAGGAAACTGTACAACCAGTTGATTCTGTTCCCGCAGGTGCTGATCCGTATCCTGGATATGGTCGTGACGGAGGAGTACCAGGCCTTGCTGGCTGGCCCTGGGGCTGGTGCCGGTGCCATCGACAACCTGGCCAATGTAGCGTTGCAAGTGCGTCCGTTCAACTTGCGCGAGCTGTCACCCATGCGTCACTTGAACCCGTCGGACATCGATCAGCTGGTGTGCCTGAAGGGCATGGTCACTCGCTGCAGTGGCGTGCTGCCGGATCTGAAGGAGGCGTTCTTCCGTTGCGCAATGTGCCACGCCACAACCCAGGTCGCCCTGGACCGCGGCAGGATTGAGGAGCCTACCAGTTGCGCTCGCTGTTCTTCTCGCATGAGCATGGAGATGATTCACAACCGCTGCGCTTTCACGGACAAGCAGATGATCAAGATGCAGGAGACACCCGACGCCATCCCCGAGGGCGAGACGCCGTACACGGTTCTCCTTTTTGCGTTCGACGACCTCGTTGATGGTGTGCGGCCAGGTGACAAGGTGGAGGTGACGGGCATTTACCGCGCGGTGCCGATGCGCTCGAACACGCGCCAGCGCGTGGTCAAGTCTGTCTTCAAAACTTACGTGGACGTGGTGCACTTCCGCCGTGTGGATGAACTCACCCGGCGCGAAGAGGGTGAAAATGGCGAGAATCTCAGTTCCACCGCCCGGGAACAGGACGAGGTTGAGGCCAGCGTGATTGGACCAGCGGACATCGACGTTGAAATGCCTGATCCGTCAGAAGAGCACGAAGACGCTGCTGCCGCAGCAGACGCCCAACAAGCACGAAAACTGGCAGCTTTTCGCCGTATCGCGGCTCATCCTCGGGTTTATGAGAATCTGGCCCACTCCTTAGCGCCATCTATCTGGGAGCTGGATGATGTCAAGAAGGGTATCCTGTGTATGCTTTTTGGCGGTACCCGCAAGGATGGAAGCAGCGGTAGCGTGAATGAGGACGAGGACGAGCTCGAGCACGGTGGTGTGGCGCCCAAGCGCAAAACGATGCGCTCTGATATGAACGTGCTGCTGTGTGGAGACCCCGGTACCTCGAAGTCTCAATTGCTATCGTATGTACACAAACTGTCACCAAGAAGTATCTACACGTCAGGCAAAGGCAGTTCAGCTGTCGGTCTTACGGCTTCGCTGATCCGAGATATGGAGACCAACGACCTGGTGCTCGAGTCGGGTGCTTTGGTTCTGTCCGATGAGGGTATCTGTTGCATCGATGAGTTTGACAAAATGAGTGATTCGGCTCGCTCTGTTCTGCACGAAGTGATGGAGCAGCAGACTGTCAGTATCGCCAAGGCAGGTATTATCTGTTCTCTGAACGCGCGGGCGTCTATTTTGGCGTCCGCCAACCCCATTGAATCACGCTACAACCCCAACAAGTCCGTGGTGGAAAACGTGAACATTCTGCCTACGCTTCTTTCGCGTTTCGACCTGATCTACCTCATCCTGGACAAGCCCCAGCCCGAATCAGATCGCAAATTGGCGAAGCATATCGTGGCTCTGTACTATGACGAAGAGACTCGTGCGCGCGTGCGTGCCCAAACTCGTGGTGGTGACGGTGCCCCTCAACTTATCAGTATGAAGCTTCTGACCGAGTATATCTCGTACGCCAAACGCAATGTCCACCCTCGGCTATCCGCTGAAGCACGGGACGGACTCATCCGCGCGTACTTGGATCTTCGACGGATGGGCGGGGCCAGCGCGGCATCTGCCAAGAAGAACATTACGGCGACACCGCGGCAGCTCGAGTCACTGATCCGTATTTCTGAAGCGCTGGCAAGGCTGAAGCTGTGCGAGACCGTGACGCGAAGTGACGTGGATGAAGCGCTACGCCTTATGAACGTGGCGACACAGCGTGCAGCCATGGACCCGCGGACGGGTACGATCGATATGGATATGATCAACACAGGTCACAGTGTGCTGGAACGTGAGTCGTTGGCCGACCTCATCGCCGGACTGAAGGAGATCCTGGGTGGGGCGCAGAACCAGTCGATGACCGTTGGCGAAACGCGCCGGCACCTGGAAGAGAAGCGCCAAAGCGAAGTCAAGGGCGCCGAGTTTCAGATGGCGCTGCGCTCGCTCGAGGACGACAGCCTCATTCAAGTCTCACACGGCATGATCCGCTACTTCGGTGACCCGACCGACTAGATTCAACAGCGTATTTTCCGGTGATCGAGGTATCGTCAATCAACAAGATCGAACGGTGTTCTAACTTCTTTCAGATTCAGATCATCTTCTGTCACTTCAGTACATTCACGTCTGGAGCTCGATAACGTCGCTGCGGTTCTCCAACTCGACGTTGCGTAGGTACAGGTGCTTGGAGAAAAAGCGCATCACGTGCTGCATGTCCTCGCGCGAGTCAATCATAGCGTGCCCTTTGTGAGGCCGCATGACGCTCGTGAATAGCTCCGCCGCTGCTTTCTGCGGGTGCCGCCTTTTGAATTCCCTACGCGAACGCTCAGCGAGTGCAACGGGGTAGACCGCATCTGCTGCTCCAGTGACTTGAAGCATCGGCGTAGCGGCGCCACCTCCGTTCTCAGCAGCTAAGTAATCTTCATGTGGTCCGACAGTGGCGCCGCCGGACACTACCACGACGCCTCCCAACCGCACGTCGCGCGGCAAACTCATCGCCACGTGGAAGGCGACACACGCTCCTTGTGAGAAGGCGAACACGAACAGTCGAGAGTAGCTCCAGCCGTACTTGTCGTGCAGCACACTCAGGAAGCTCCACACGTAGTCCCGAGCCGCCTGAAGGCTGCGAGTGCACACACAAGCAGGTCATCTATCAGCCCCCAGTCTACCGGACAGAAGCGGTATTGGAGCCTGCGTACCTTTCGCTGCGCTGCTTGTGCGGAATGTCAGGTGGGATCACGTCGCCGTCAGCGTTCAGGTCGTCCATCCACGTGAATCCCAGACCAAAGGGCAGCTCTCGAGGGGCTCGAAGCGAGAGGACCGCTGACATAGCACACTCAGCGTTGATAACGACTATCAAAAGCTGACAAGTCTGGGATTCGGCCACGGACCTGTTTGGGGCAGCGCCATTTGCTCTCCGAGCCGAGCGAACGGCTCGTGGGAGTCGCCGCGGCCGTGCAGAAACAGCAGCAAGTTTTGCGCTGGCGGGGCCCTTTTGTCGGCCGGCACGAGGCGGAAGTGCGGTCTGCCTGGGAAGCAGGACGCGTCCAAGTCCAGGCGCCCGCCGCCACTCACAGGAGCCGCCTTGGGCTGCAGCGTTATCGGCGACGACCGCGAGCTGGACGGAGCTGCTTCACCATCGTCAGGCGACGAGTACGGAACCCAGCGCGTTCTGCCATTCGAGCCGCGCACCAGAGCAAGCCGCGCCGCCTCATGCACTCGCACCACCAGCTCCTCCATGCGACTGGTACTATAGACCGTTTCTGCGATGGACCAATCAATGATTGAGCGCTGCGCCAAGCTGCGACTTGTGCACACGATTGTGTCACTGCTGTAGCGCTGCATTCTCGTCGAGCAGCGGTCGAGCCCTTGGCGTGCTTGCCGCAATCGGATCGAGCTGACCGCTAGACGAACGCAACAAGAGCTCGGTTCAACGTGGAAGTCGCTGCGATATGCCGTCTCCACCCTGACGTCGCCCCAGCCGCACGTTAAACAGCGTGCCTGTCTTGGCCGTAGGTAATTCGGAGACAATAAAGATGTTCATTATTACCTCCAGGAACTCCTGGATTTTGGGGCTCATTCGTCAGCGAAGACAGCCGTTCGGCTCCATGGCGGATGTCCCCGCCGCGTATGGCATCTCGGATCGATTGAGATCCGCCGTAAACCCCAACTGGCCAAATAGCAGAGACCTAGAGGCCTGGCGGCGCCGGCCCTAGGAAATCCTGCGCTGCAGCGCTGGCGTCACCATTGCGGTTGATTCCAGTCGCGACGGACCATCTCGAGGCGAGCGTAAACGATCTGGTCTCGAACCGGTTCAACAGAAGCAACGTTGTTCGGTTGAAGCGCTCGCCGAATCCAGCGGTGGGGCCGTACTGTAACAACGTTAGTATCGTGATCTGACTCTTTGCCCCTTCGGCACCCTCACCGAGCCAATCAGCGCGTGACTTGAAGCTGCTTGGTGTTCTGTATACGGACCGCAACACTTTCGGTCTCCGTTACCATTGCGACGCCTCTCTTGCGATATCCTTCTCCGCCGCTGCCTCTGCCAAGGAAGAGCGCGCCCCTCGCTTCCTCGCTGCTCGCTCGCAGCCCGACCGGTCCGCCCTCGTTGCTTGTTGCCGTTTCTAAAAAAGCAGCAGAAAGGCTGTTACGTCGACCCCCAGTTCGGATCCCGCGAACAATTGATATAGTACTTTTTAGCAGACTAAGAATTACAACTTCTTCCAACATATTTGCTGCTCCAAGCTAATATTTAGTCCCCGAAATAATGCTAAAAGATCCTGTAAAACCACATAGTTGGAGAGATGGGCGCGTCGATCGGGCAAAGAAACGGCGCACCATCACAATCGAGCGATAGGGCAATTCGCTCGGTCGTCAGTGGGGGAATCGCTCGGCAGCAAGCACTCGGGAAGCGTCGACTACTGCAGCGGCGGCCTCCTCACTAGACAGCGGCGTCCAACAAGCCTCTCCTTGGGGTCTCGTGGGCTGCTCGCTGCTAGTATCAACTACAACAACTTACAAGCTCAACCTCCGCTGACAGACAGTGAGAGACTCGACGGCCAACGAGACATTTCTGCTTTTGCACCCTCGGCGACATTGAGCATGCGGCAGCGCGCGAGCACCAAGACGCAGCGCCGCCTGAAGCAGCAGCAGCTGATGCGCGACCCGTACGCGCTCACGGACGACGTGTACTGCGAGCCGCCGACCTTCCGCGTGGGCGGCCTCGTCACGGCGTTTGGCCTGCTGCAGCTCGTGGCGGCCATGGCGCTGGGCGGCTTCGTGTTCGGTGGCGCGCTGCTCTTCTGCGCCGTGCTGCTGGCGGCGCTGGGGCTCGCGCTGCTGCACCACAGCGACCCCAAGGCCGGCAGCGCGCAGGGGCTGGGGATGAAGCAGGCGATCGCGCGCTTGCTGGCGCTCCGCCGCAGCGCGCTGGACTACTCGCTGACGCTGTCCATCGCGCAGAGCCAAGAGTACGCGCAGAAGAAGGAGCTGCAGATCGCCGTGGTGCCGGCCAGCCCCACGCCGCAGAAGGTGGTAGCGACCATGGCGCTGAAGCAGGAGACCGCCAAACTGAACCGACTCGCGGACAGCTCCCCGCTGGCGACGCTCCACCGCGTGGACATGAAGGCTCTGCAGACAGACAAGTCGTTCTCCGTGGAGGAGGAGGAGACGGGTGACCTGTTCATGGAGAAGCCGCGCGCCAACTCGGAGCCCAAGCAGGTGCTGCGGACTCGGCCGCTCTTGCCACTGAGGCCGAAGGTGCAGCAACCGGTGCCGGCGAACTCGACGCAGGATAAGAAGAAAAAGAAGACCCAGTCGACGCAGCAGACAAAGGCGACGCCGGTTGTGCCCAAGCTGTTGGGGAAGGAGGAAACGAAGACGCCGCAAGTGCAGTTGAAAGCGCAGCCCAAGACGAAGAAGCAACGCAAAGCCTCCGACGCGAAGCCGCAGCAGGTTGCAGGCAAGAAGCAAGTGTCGTCGTCAGCGGTGCTGCCTAAGGCAGAGCCGAAGGCTGTTCTCCCGGCGGTGCTACCGAAGAAGGCCAAGTCGTCTCGACCGCTGTCAGTTGAACCGAAGCCCAAGCCGCTGGAAGTCACTTCCCCCGCTACTATCGTCGTGGAGCCCTTCGTACCGGAAGCTGCTGTGCCTTCTGTGACGCCGATGCCTGCTTTCCCCGAGCGAAAGTCTCTGGTGGAACTGGCCCGTGGTGAGCCGGCAGAGGAACGGGACCTGGTTGCCACCCGCAAGGTGCTGCTTTACCTGAGCCCGGAAGGCGAATCGACGATGGACTTGGAGGACGAGGAGATGGAGCACGAAGTTGAAATCGAACATGACCTGGAGCTCGACCACGAGCTGGAAGACTGCCCTCTCTCGCTGGAAGCGTTCCCACCGCTGTCACCGCCAATGGAACCCCAGGCACCGGCACCGCTGCTTGCAGATGAAGCGGAGCCAAACTTCCTCATGGACATCGCGCTGGAGCCAATCTCCAGGCCGGAAAAGAAGCTCATCTCGTTGAGCTCCCTGCGTCTCAAGCCTGTTGGCAACGCTGACCTGCGCACGATGCTGGACGAGCTGGACGCGATGCGTCTGGAGCTTGATGCCGCTATGGCTCGCTGCACCTCGCTACTGGATGGAGAGGATGAGAGGGCTTCGGCCCCCAGCTCTCCAGAGCTGGAACCTGAAGAGGAACCTATCTTTTGCTGCTAATATTTGATTGCTGGATCGATGTGATGACGCACGCACCACGCTGCTGAGCAGCGCCGGGTGCGAGCATCATATTTTTTTGTTTTTTTTATCGGAGAAAACACGAAAACAAAAGAAAAATGGAGAAGCAACTAAACGCCACAATAAAAATTCCAAGGTCTCCGGGCCATTCCACCCTCTGCTGCTGTCTATGGTATCGATATGCCGGCTACTTGTTGAGGAACGCCATGAAGGACGAGTAAGCCCGCTCGAGGTCAAAGCTCAGCTGGCGCGCCTGCTCTTCGTCAAGCTCTTCAGACGCGCGCATGGCGTTCATAGTACGCAGCCAGCCCTCGATCTTGTCGCGATCAGCGAAGTCTGGCGGGAGGCCACTAACCATAGTCAGCGAGCTCATCATCTCGCTCAGCAGCGGCTGGATCTCGTCCACGGCGCGAATGTTGAGCTTGAGCACGTCCATGAGGGTGATGAAGTTCTGCACGGTCTGGGCCACATTGACCGAGTCCGTCTTGCGGTTTGTCGTGTTGTGCACCACCGTGGCGGGCACGCCGATGCGCACGAGCCGCTCCAGCGCTCGGGGGCAGTCCAGTCTGTACTCGGTGATGAAGTTCTCGACGCTGTCGATGAATCCGCCGAGTCGCAGCGCCGTCTCCGCCGTCTTGTACTGCGAAATGAGCTTGGTGCACGCCTCCGTGTACTGCGCATTGAATACACACTCCGTCATTAGTGCTGCAGCCCCCTGCTCTATAGCTACTGCTCAACTTGCAACGCGTCACCAACCTCCTCCGGTGTGATGGCGTCGCGGACGTAGGCGGCTTCCAGGTGTTCCGTGGTCTTGAAGATGGCGAAGAGGTCAGCCAGGTCCTCGTACTTGCGGCGGTCTTTGGTGTCGGCCCAGAGCTTGATCTCCTGTCATTGCAGAACGGTAGTGAAAGAGGGAGGGTGAGCGTCTACGAGATGTAGGGTAGATACAGTACAGGCTATTGCCACGAGGAAGAGGAGGAGGGGTCCTACTCGGTTGAGCTGCTGCGGCGGGGGAGCTAGGTACGAATTCTGAACAACCAACAGAGCGGGGGTCAGACTAGCGCAGCACTCAGCTCAAGGAGACGCATGGGGAGACGCACTGCCGACGAGGACGGAGGCTGCGCCAGGTCGCCAAAGTTGTAGGAAGACGCCATAGATGAGAAGTGTGAAGTGCGCTGCAAGTTGTATCGGTGACCAATCAGAACGCGTGTCCTACGGTATTTGGACCAGTCGTGTTGCAGGGCATGAAGCGATTGAAGTGAACGTTGTTTGCTTTTGTTTTGCCTTACCACGCCACCTAGCCATAGGTGGCAAGCACTATTGTAGAGGGTCATCAGATGATCTCGTCGGGCGTGGCGTCGATCAGCTTCTGGATCTGGAACTGCTTCTCCACGATGGGCCGCACATCGTCGACGTCTACGAGGCTCTCTAGGAATGGCAGCAGGTTCAGCAGCTCGGCGTCCGCTTCGTCGTCGTACCACGTCTCGATGGGGATGCCGTTGTTCACCTGGTAGCCAAAGGCGTGCGGGGAGTTGTCCACCAGCACCACCTTCGACAGATCGCGTCCGAGCACATTCAGGTCCTTCAGGTAGTTGCCGAAGACATCCAAGCAGTCTTCTCGATACAGTCGGTACCTGCGGCAATGGAGGGCATGTGAGTCGAACGTACGTAACCAACGATACGTCGCACACGAATAAAGGAAGCACGTACTTGATGAAGTTGCGGTTGGGGTCCAGCATGTTCATGAGCTTCTCCGCGTACACCTTGTGGGAGGCTGTAAAGACCACGATCTCGAAGAGCTTAGACACCCGCTTGAGGAAGTACTCCAAGTGCGGGCGCTTCTTCACATTGACTGTGTACTCAACGCCGTTAAATGTGACCTAAAAACAGCAAAGCGAGTCAGCAATGAGGTGGCAACCAGTACACAACACCAGGCCAGAGCATACCGGGAACTGCATGTGCGGGTTCTTCACTTCGTCCACGCTGCAGTGCACGAGGGTCTCGTCCAAGTCCAGCACCAAGCAGATCTTGGGCGCGTTGCGTGACTTCTCTGGCAGTGAAATGGGCCGCTTGCCCTCGACAATGTCCTCGTACTTTGGCAGAGTCTTCATGAAGTAGAATCTGTCGTCAACGTCCAACCCGTTAGCGGTCAGTTCAAGCACAACAAATCCAATCCAATCGCACTTACGGGTTGAACTCTTGCTCAAGGGGAGTGGCGTCCTCCTCCTCCTGCTCATCTGCATCAGGCGAGTCAGCGACATGCATGTCGTCATCCGCCGTGGCGACTTCCTCCGTGCTATCCTCGGCCTGCGCACTCATGTTGGCATACTTCGACTCGAGATGCACCCGAGGATTCGGAGGGGAGACACTAGTGGACCTGGACGCCTTGGGCGGCTTCAGCGCGGGCGAGAACAACTCGTCGTTCGCGTCTTCACTAGCACTGCCGTCCGGACTGGCAGAAGTAGACTCGTCCTCCTCGTCGTCATCGTCTCCCTCCCGCTTCTGCTCCTCCTCATCATCACCACCACCCTCCTGCTGCTTGGCACTTGGCGACGATGCCGAGTCGTAGCTGAGCTTCGTGCGCGCCTTCTTGGCTCTGGGTTTGCGCTCCTTGTCCTCCTGCTCGTACTCCTTCAGCAGCTTCCGGGGCGAGAAGAACTTCTCCTCCTCCTCGGACTCGGGCGCGTTCGTGTTGCGTGCGTCGGACGGCGGCGCGTGCTTGGCCTTGGCGGACTTGCTGTGCTCTGTGCAACCAAGGCAAGTGGTTAGACTTTCGGGAGCAGCGCCGATGCATCATTGGTTGGGTATTGTGGGTGTACCTGCCGACTTGGTGTGCTGGCGCTTCATGGGCGTGGACGCGATGGGCGAGAGCGGGTCCGCGTAGTGGCCGTGCTGCGGCGAGGGGGACTGCTGCTTGCCCTTGCGGTTCCTGCGGCGCTGGCGCTTGCGCTTGCGGCTGGCGTCGCCGTGAACGTCTGCCATCCTCCAAAGTGCGCACTTCTTGGCTTGATTGATGCAATCACCGCAACAAGACAACAATGGCCTTTTCTCCTAAGGCTTTATCTGGACAACCCAAATCACCATAGAAACCTCAAGTACAAAAGAAGTGAGGCTTAGGATATCGACTTTAGTTCAAATTTTGCGCGCGTTTTCAAAAATATGCCAAAGATCAAGTTGAAGCCATCTTTGGCTCCGGTCTTATGACGGCCGAGGACGCCTGTCTGGTGGTGCGCTATATTGGCGTCACTCGCAGCGCTGCAGCGGGCGGAGAAGAAGGCGAGCGGGCGGGTGTAGCAGAGAGAGAACAACATGAGGCCGGACAAGCCGCTCGGGGTGGGCGCCTTGCTGCAGAGCCGGCGGCTGCTGTGGCAGCAGCACAAGCGCAAGCTGCAGTACCAGATCATGTGTCGCGTGCACAAGGTACTGGCTGCTTTCTTTTAGTGCGGTGACAGTCCACTGCAATTGCTGTGCTGACGTCGATTCATTGCTCCTTGTGTGTGGCTATCTCGTTATCTGTGTGGCTCGACAGCAGCTGGGGTCCCCTGACGACGTGTATGAGCAGCACGAGCAGCGGTTCCTGGGTCTGCTACAGAAGCTGCTGGACATCCGCAAGAGTCTGGAGCACTACCGCGCGACGGCGCTGCCCCTGTACTGCTCGGCGTGCGCGAGTCTTGGTGCGGACGTATGGTGCGTTGTGAGCGTAGACGCCGTGGGCAAAGGAGCCGACGCCGAGAAGTTCCGGCACGCCATGTGCGCTATCAACGAAACCAAGGACAAGAGCCACTTCTTCAATGCGGTGCGTCTGCACTTGAGGGCTAGAGCCTGATGAAACTAAGTGGGTCTCTGAGACTAATGGTGCTCTGCGGTGTTGTTGCGTAGGACGCCGTGCTCCTGGGCGCCTTGCGGTTCTTGGACATCCACATCAACGCTATGAAGTCGGTGCAGTCGCAGATCTCTCATCGCAAGGACGTCAAGCTAGAATTCGACCGCTACGAGCAGAAGCTCAGCAAGATGCGGAAGCGCAAAGACGGCAGGCCTTCGCAGCAGCGGCTGGAGCGCAACGAGCAGAAGCTGCAGAAGGCTCGGGTTGCGCTGCAGACCGTGACGTTCGACCTCTATCGCGTCTTCGCCAAGTACGAGAGCGAGCGAGATACGATGCTGAACGGCGAGCTGGAAATGGTGCGGCAGGTCATGCACAACTTCTACGCCAAGAACGCCGACGCCACCAACTTCTCCATCCCTGGCGAGGTCGACCACAGCGTCGTGGACAGCCGCGCCGAGCAGCTCTTCAAGGGCATGGTGGAGAAGGAGGTGGAGCAGGATGCCCTCAAGCTGCTCCCTCCCAGCAGCACGAGCAAACCCCCTCCGTTCGCAGTCGATTGCGTCCAGGCCGCTGCAGGCTTCAGTCCTTCGGTTCCGAGCGCGCTCGTGCCGACCAAACCCATTGTGACGATGCTGGCCTCGTCGGTCCCCGGCCCCAGCGCTGACAAGCAGACGGCTACGCCCTCGACGGACACGAGCTCGGGGCCCGAGCACGACAGCAACGAGGAGGACGAGCTGAGCGAGAAGCTGCGGACCATCCAGCTCACGCGCCCGTCGATCCAGCCCGTGAAGGTCTACCGGCTAGGCAGGCCCGTGGCAACCGCGGAGTAGCTAGGTAGTAAGTAGCCTGATGCAGTAATGGGAATGCAATCACTTGTGTCGAGCATTCGTAAGACAGTTTGACGACAAATCAAATCTAGTGATTTGATTGGCGAATAGTACGACTTGCCAATTCTGTTGGCACTGCCAGGCGCAGAGTGCTCGCAGGCTCTGCTAGGAAGGCCCGCGTTCCTCTTCGCTACTCTTTTTGATGCATTTCGTTGCACTTCGTATCCTGACTAATATCGGGCGCAGCATAGTAGTGGTAGTAATGATTGGCGGTTCGATAGAACTGTGCGGAGGAGCGCTGCGACACCAACAAACTCCCTCTACATATTTAAAACACCACGGCGAGCTTAGATCGTTTAGATTTCCTATTACTACAGTAGCAGGCCGAGGAAACTGGTAAGCGCCTTCAGCCGGGTTGATCAATTACTTTAGCTTTGGCATTTTTCATGTATTCCCGAGAAGTTTCGCCGCTCATTTGACTCTTAGAGGCCCTCACGTCGTTTTGTAGTTATTTGTTTGCGACACCACCAACAGCTTACCTACACGTGGCCGCGGGTGAGGTCGGTGGTGTCCACTACCGACGTAGGTGGAGCTGCAGCAGTGTGCGCCTCCGGGAGTAAGGTAGCCAAGCAAACCGCAACAAATACAAATACAAATACAAATACAAATACAAATACAAATACAAATACAAATACAAATACAAATACAAATACAAATACAAATACAAATACCAAGGGCTGACGCTGCCTTGTTGCTACTACAAAACAGTTCATTTCATGACTTTGGTAAGATCCCATAATGTATTGATTGTCTACTCCCTCGCGTCCTCCGACAACGCCTCGGTGCGGAGCATGTGTGCGCGCTCGTCGTGCACTGCTTCGCTCGGAGGCGTCCTCAGAGGACACGACAGGGTTCGTGGGCCGCACTACCGGAGGAAGAGGGGCTCTATTTGGTTATGCATTAACTAGAATTCACTATAAAGCCCTGAACGTTTTGTTTGTCAAGCTGGGCTAATGGTTCGGGTGCATTTATTTCTTAACCATTCTCAAACAAGCGTGTACATTGTAGTTGGCAGTAGGGCCGCACTACCGACTACATGTTCGTGCTTGTGAGCGCCTTATTTCGTCGGCTCGACTGTAGGTGGCACGAGCAATTCAAAAACGGCAAAGCGGTTGTCCTCGGGTTCCAACATGCTCAACGGAGGAACGCACGCAACGACACCACCCTCTGAAAGTTTTGGCCAATCGCATGGTGCAAATTGTTGTCCGACAAACTGTCTTACGTTTTGACGGACAAAATACAATGTAGCCACTGGTATACTAAAACCAAGATGTAGCCAAAATGCGTTGATTGCAAAACGTAAGACGCTTTGTCTTACGGTAGGCTCTCTGGGGCTAAGTATCGTCTTACGAAAGAGCATGAATCTCCTATGCCCTCAAAACCCAGGTGGACACGTGCTGTCAACAGTTGTCCTTGTTGAAGTTGACGCAGCGTCTGTCAGCGGGGGGATGGGCGTTAAATCGCACGCATTCAACGTCAGCAGCGAGTCGGCGCTCACTCCAGCTTCTGCGCAGTTCCCGGCACGACGTGATGGCGCCCAGCAACGCCGCAGAGCAGCCTACCGGGGAGAGCAACAGCACGGCCGCTATGCGCACGACCAAGGCGGAGTTCGTGGCCGCGAGTGGCGGCGCATACGGATACGGACGGGGCCAAAATGCGCTCCGCATCGACAAGATGCGCGCGAGCGAGTTCCCCCACCTGCAAGGCGACGTGTACCTGGACCACGCGGGCGCGACGATGTACTCGAAGACACAGCTGGACGCCACATTCCAAGAGCTGCAAGGAGGTCTCTTCACGAACCCGCACAGCGCCCATGGCAACGCGCAAGCCGAGTCGACCACCGCCAAGATCGACCGTGTCCGGCGTCAGGTGCTTGCCTTCTTCTCGGCGAGCGAGGAGAAGTACACGCTGATATTCACGTCGGGGGCGACGGCAGCGCTGAAGCTGGTCGGCGAGAGCTTCCCATGGACTAAGGACAGCACGTTCGCTCACGCGATGGACTCGCACACCAGCGTGCTCGGAATTCGGGGCTACGCGGCTGCTAGCGGTGCCGCGACCAAGTGCGTCAGTCTGGAAGAGCTTGAGCAGCTGGAGCACGGCGAAGCTCCCTGTGAACAATTGACCGCTGAAGCTGGATCTAGTGAGGAGACAGCGCCCGTGAGCTTGTTCGCTTTCCCGGCAGAGTGCAACTTCAGTGGAGTACGGCATTCTCTCGCTCTTGTTAATAAAGTTCGGGCTGGTTGCTGGAAGGACGCTTCGAATGCAAGTCACAACTCCGCTTCATCCCGGTGGTTGGTGCTCGTTGATGCTGCGAAGTATGTGGCGACGCACCAACTCGATCTCTCTGAGCACCACCCCGACTTCGTGGTGCTGTCGTTTTACAAGATTTTCGGATACCCGACGGGCCTTGGGGCACTGATCGTGCGGAAGTCGGCGCTATCGTATTTGAAGAAGGACTACTATGGCGGCGGAACTGTGAAAAGTATCTTGGCTACTCGTAACTTTACAGTTCCGCGTGGGTTGGACGACAAGGGCGATGAGAACTCTCGCTTTGCTGATGGCACGCAGTCGTTCCTATCGATTCTCGCCTTATGTCATGGGATTGAGCAGGTGGGGAAGCTGGGAATGGACAATATTGCGGCTCACACAGCATCACTGCGCGCGCTACTCGTCGAGAAACTCGCTTCTCTGAAGCACTGGAACAATCGCTCTATCTGCGAGATCTATGGCAATGACGGAACTGACACCAAGGGGCCCATTGTTGCGTGCAATTTCCTTCGTGCTGACGGTAGCTACGTCGGGTACAGCGAAGTCCACAAGCTCGCAGAAATCAACAACATCCACCTGAGGACAGGCTGTTTTTGCAATCCTGGCGCCTGCCAACACTACCTCGGCTTGAAGGAGTCCGACTTGATGTCGAACATCGCGGCTGGACACGTCTGTGGTGATGATATCGACGTGGTAAACGGTCTGCCAACCGGAGCAGTGCGCTTGTCGTTGGGATACATGTCGACGTTTGAGGACGTTGAAGCGTTCGTTGAGTTCGCCTCCAAGTACTTCGTGTGCAGAACAGCCCCAGCAACGCTGAGTAGGCCACTACCCAGCTCGAATCTTTCGCGAGCCCCCTCCAAAGGACCATATCTCTGCAAACTCACACTATTCCCAGTCAAATCATGCGCCGGTATGGATGTAGACGCCTGGCCCGTCGGGTCGAGAGGGCTCCTTTTCGACCGGGAGTTCGCGATCGTGGACTTGCCGACGGGCAGCGCGCTAACGCTCAAGACCGTGCCGGAGCTGTGCTTCTTCCACCCCGTCATCGATCTTGGACGCGAGACATTGACGATTTCGTACCATAACCCCGGAAGTTTGGAGTCTCAGCCTTCGGCAGCCATGCAGTCGACTTCCGAATCTCGATCCACACCGGCGTCGTTTACTATTCCCCTGCGTGCAGATATCTCCATAGTAAAGCACCAAGACGAAGACAATCCTCGGAGTATGCGCGTGTGCACGGACAACTGCAAGGGTCGGGACGTTGGTGCGGACGTCTCTCGATGGCTGAGCGCGTGTCTTGGGCGACAGTGCGCGCTCGTGCGGGTGTCCAGCAGCCACCTCCGCGCTTCACAAGCGACTCGACGAAAGGGGAGTGCAGGATCAACACAACCACAAGAGAAACAGGCAACAACAGACAGCGCGTCCATCGGGTTCGCGAACCAGGCGCAGTACCTGCTCATCTCGCGCCAGAGCATCGCGCACTTCAACTCGGTGCTCCGCTCGGTCGATAGCGCCCTGGCCATCAGCGAGGACGCCTTCCGCGCCAACCTCATCGTGGACGGGTGCGCCGACTCCTTCGAGGAGGACCAGTGGCAGCGCCTGCGCATCGGAGGCGGCGCTGCATTCGACGTCTCCGGGCCGTGCAGTCGCTGCAGCGTGATCAACCTGGACCATCGCACGGGCCAGTTCAATCGTCGGCCGCTGCAGGTGCTCTCCAGCTACCGGCGCGAGCGCAGCAGCATCTTCTTCGGCCAGTTACTCACGGCGCGCGCCGGCAGCAGCAACGTGTGGCTGCGTATTGGCGACCAAGTTGAAGTGGGCGGTATCCGCTCTGTCCCTGGCTAAACGAATATCGTGTTCGAGAATATCAAATCGTATCTTTCAGCGAGGTTTTTCGCACGACGCTTAAAGAGGTTTAATGGGTGCGATGAAATGACTGCAGCATATCATACTGGGCGCCAGTGCAGGCGGCAGTCTTTCCAGCACGGTATCCAAAAGGGGGGGAGCGCCGGTGGACACCAACCGAGCCACTCGCGTATTCCCCAAGTCGCAAGCAAGCCAGAGATCCCAAGCCTCAAGATGCCGAACCCGCAGGTGTTCTTCGACATGACCGTTGGCGGCGCCCCCGCCGGCCGCATCACCTTTGAGCTGTTCGCCGACAAGGTACCCAAGACGGCCGAGAACTTCCGCGCGCTGTGCACGGGCGAGAAGGGCGTGGGCCGCTCGGGCAAGCCGCTGCACTACAAGGGCAGCGCCTTCCACCGCGTGATCCCCAACTTCATGTGCCAGGGTGGCGACTTCACGCGCGGCAACGGCACGGGCGGCGAGTCGATCTACGGCGAGAAGTTCCCGGACGAGAACTTCCTGCTCAAGCACAAGGGCGAGGGCATCCTGTCCATGGCCAACGCCGGCCCCAACACGAACGGCTCGCAGTTCTTCATCTGCACGGTGGAGACCTCGTGGCTGGACGGCAAACACGTCGTCTTCGGCCGCGTCGTGGACGGCATGGACGTCGTCAAGAACATCGAGGCTGTGGGCTCGCAGTCCGGCCAGACCAAGAAGGCCGTGGTCATCGCCAACTGTGGCGAGCTGTAAGCAAGCCATTGCCCCCACCCGCCACTGATTGCTGAGTGACCAGCGACGGCTGCGCCCGCGGACCTGCAGCGCCCGAGTTCTCGCGATTCGCGCTGGCTGAGGACGCGGACGCGCCTGCTTCACATGGATAATTAAACGGATGCTTCTTTCCCCGCTTTTTTCTTGTCTTCCTCCAATCTATTGTCGTACCGGTCGGTCGCTCCTTGCTGCTGCTGCTGCTGCTTCTTGTCTACTAGTACAGGAAGCCCCCCGCCTTTGGCGGATCTTTTTGCCGAGCACGATGCGATCTGCGACCATGGGGGAAATGTAGCCACGTGTGCCGGATTCGATGACGTAAGTGTGCTTCAGAGCCTTGCGGATCTGCGTGCCGTGTCTTGTCGGCATGGCATCGAAGGTGAGGACATGCAATGAGGACAAGACACGTCACGACAGACAAGTTCGTTCAACCTTGGCACGGTACTTGTGCACTCATGAGTTCTCTTACATGAACGTTATCGAACATGCAAACGTGTACTGTGCGGCACGCAGCCGATAAAGTATACAAGGTGTAGGCATCACCTCTGTGCGCGTTGTGGCTCGCTCTTCACCATGGCGTCTGCGTAAGCGACGGCGATCGGCGCTGGACTGGCAGTGTTGCCTCGCGTACGGCGCTTTTTGAGTTGAGGAGTAGTGGCATCGTGTTCTCGAGCAGCGGCCAGTTGCTCCTCCAGATTCATCGGTGCGTCCTCCGTGAGGTCGAAGATCTCTCCTTCTGCTGCAGCCTGCTCTATCCGGTGTGTGATGGCCTCCTCAATGGACATGGAGCCCTCGATCTGGATCTCCTCGTCTTGTGCTTCAGCTCCGTCGGCGGCCGGGGCAAACATGCGCACCACTCGCCGAACTGGCGCCGCGAAGTCGGTGCACACGTACGCATCTTCGCGCTCGCCATCGAAGAACGAGTCCTCCGCCTCCACCGCCTTCGTAGTAGCTTCGTGGATGTCGTCGTAGAGTGTCGCCTCCATCGTGTCCTCAGCAATGAACCGGACCACAGTCACGAGCTCGTTCGTCTGGCCCATACGCAGCACACGGCCGATGGCTTGCTGCTCCAGTGTGCTGGCCTGCATCGGACTGAATCCGACCGGGTCTAAGAAGATTACGTGCGATGCCACCTGCAAGTTGATCCCAGAGGCGCTCGTCAGCGAGTTCAGGATAAGGACCTGGATGTCGCCGCTGTGGAAAGATGCAACGTGGGCGGACTTGGTCTCACTTGACTGGTGCTGAAGAAACACGGCGCTTGTGATGTTGGCCAGGCGAAGGGCCTTGTCCACAACTCGCACAGCTCGATCCCACATCGTGAAAATTACCACTTTGATTGTCGACAGGCGGCTCAGATACTGGACCAACGCAGCGATTTTGCTACCGTAGGCAGGCATCTTCTCGATAGCCTCATCTTGCCGAGCCTCTTTCGACTTGACAAGCGCTACGCACTCAGTGACCTGCTTGAGCTGCTCTTCGACGACGGCACGGGCCCGCGGACACCGTTCGTTCAGTGTCGACTCCATAACCTTGGCGAGCTTTTCGACCTTGTCCATTGTGTTGAAGTACTTCAATATATAGTCTTCAATCTCGCCCTGGTGGTAGAACAGAAGCTCTGTTGGCTCTGGTATGTCATCGCCAAACTGGTAGTGCTTGTACAGCATTCGGAAGCCGGCTTTAGTCTCTCCACTGTCGTCAAAGAACTTGCTGAGCCCAGAATTCTCCAGGTCGTCGAAGCAGTCCCGCACGTCGGCGTAGGTGTTCAGGCGAATTGCGCGACATATCTCGACCGTGTTGCGAGTAGCAGCCTCCATGATCTCCACTTCATTCTTGCGCTTCGTCGCTACTGCCAGCTGCCGGTTTAGGTGGTAGTCTTCGTCGCGATACACCTCGCTGGGACTCTTGATCTTGGTAAGCGGAGGTGTTGCGGTGTCCTTCGACCCATTCTGCTTGCCACCGCGTTCGCGCTCAACAACACGGTCCGAGATGCCGGCGTGCACGCAGCTTTGACGAGCAGACTTGTACTGCTCACCCCACAGCATCTCTGAGACCGCATCCTTACCGCTGACCGGCGCTTCCTCTGGGACCACAGTGTCAGCAGAGCCCTCTTTTCCACCGGCAGCCAGAACGTCAACGTCTCCAAGCGCAAACACATCAAACTCGGACTGCTTCGTCGCTAGGACACGCTCGATCCTGTACAGTAGCAGCTCCTTCGGGTGCAGCTTGACGGGGATGTAGGTCTCGTCCACTTTGATCTTGTCCGTGATAGCCTGCTGCTTCACCTGCGCGCAGTTGCGCAGGTAGAGCTTCCGCTTGATCTCATCGAAGGCGGGATCATGCGGCAGCAGCCGGAGTCGCTTGAAGCCCAGCAGCTGGTTGTTCGCGTACATTGACTCGGCTTTCCCAGGGAACGGCGTGGCCGTGATCAGCCACACGTTCAAGCAGCGGTGCGTGAGCTGAATAAAGCAGTCCCTCGCGCTCTTCCCGGGCAGCACCAGGTCCTGTACCTCCTCGAAGATCACGCGTCTCCACGGCTTCTGCGGCAGATGCAGCGGCGTGACCCACAGCGGGCCGCTGTACGCCTTGTGCACGAACTTGGCCGCCTCCTCGTACTCCTGCAGCGCGATGGGGTCCACGACCATTGGCTTGGGCCTTCCTCTCACCTGCAGCTCCGTCGAGAACAGCTGGCCGCGCCTGTAGTGGTGGTTCCTCGACTTGACGGCCTCCTCCACGCCCACGAGCACGAGCATCCGGTTGGAGATGTCCGCTCTGGCCGCCGGGTTCTCCACCAGCTCCATGTACTGCCTGAGCCCGAGCACGACGTCGATCTCGCCTGGCTTGACGAACTTGTCCACCTCGAGCTTCCACTGCGCCAGCAGGTGCGACGGCGCCACGAGCAGGTTGGCGCCCGCCGCGTAGTCGCGCGGCTCGCCGGCGATGAGCGCCAACATCGTGGCCGTCTTGCCCGTGCCGATGGCGTCGGCCAGGCAGCCGCCCTTGGAGAAGTAGTCGAGCATGCCGAAGTTGAACTTGGCCACGGCCTCGTCGCGCGCCTCGATCTGCAGCATGCGGTGCAGCGAGCGGCGCTGGTGCTCGTACAGCGGCGTGTCCGCGCGGAAGGCCGCGGGCGTGGGCTCCTCGGGCGCCGTGAGCGGCAGGAACGGCACCTTGAACTGCACGTCCTCCGCCACGCGCGTGGCCGCGCTCGAGCCCACGAACGCCTCGATGGACGCCTGCGTGATGGACTTGCGCTTGGCCCGGCCCATGGTTGCTGTTGCCCTTGGGACTGCCGCCGACTGCACTCCCGAGTTGAGTGACTTTGGTTCAAATTTGGCGGGAATAAGCTCCCGCGCTATTGAGGTACCGATTGCCTGGTACAGTTGCGTATCGTACATCACATGTACCGATATTTCGGTACCGGGTCTAGCGGTAGGGAGGTCTCCCTGCACACTTGCACGTGTCCGCAAGCCCGGCAGTAGCGGAAGAAGAATCCAGAGCGCAGATGGAGAGGAAGGTGCCGCCACCGCCTCCGCCGCGCGGGTTCGGCGCGCCCCCCGCGGGCGTCCAGGCGCCGTTCGCGCGGCGCAGCGGGCCGCCGAGCGCCTTTCCTCCCGCCACGAGCACCAGCGAGCAGAGCGCGCCGCCGCCGCCGCCCCAGCAGCCGCACGCGCCGCAGTCCTTCGGCTTCCAGGGCGCTCGAGCGCCCGTAAACACGAGCGCGGGCGCCACCAGACGCGGATGGCGGCCGGGACGAGTCGGAGGTCGCCACGACGTGCGTAGACGCTGGGTACTTCACGCAGAGTTACCGGGAGAAAGATACTAATTCGTGCTGCTTTGTGTGGTTACCTTTTCTTCGTCATAGTCGCCGCTGTACGGCAAGCACCGCAAGCGCCCGTCGTCCTCGTCCATCGACAGCAACGTCAGCTGGAGCGGCAGCGAGATCGAGGGCTTCGGCGCCGCGCAGGCGGAGCAGGAGCAGGTGTCGCGGCTGAGCTGGGCCTCGTCCGTCGCCGCCAAAGAGGAGGCGCAACCCCCGGCTGCTGCTGCGCCGCAAGACATCGCGCCTGCTTCATCGCTCTTCGGAGCTCCCGCTGTGGAGCAGGTGGCAGTTCCTGCTCCGGCTGCTGTCGAGAGCGAATTGGAGACGAAGCAGGAAACTGGCATTGATGCCGGACAAGGCGTGCAGCCGCCCAAGACGCCGCTTGGTAAGCCCACGCAGGACGACGACGGAGCAATCAGCGCGGCGCAGCGCGTGCGCATGGAGCTGTCCGCCCATGCGGGCAGCCGTGCAGGCTCCCGGTCCAATAGCTCGGAGAATATGTTTGCGAACATTACTCCGCCGGTCTACGATGAAGAAAAGAACGGCCCGCAGTCGTGCCCGTCGACGTTCAACAGCACCAAACAGCCCCAGTTCTCTATCGACAAGTTGCGGCAGCTGCGCAGTAACGAGCTAGTCGCGTCCAAGCTGCTGCCCACGCGCACGAGTGTGAATAGTCTTATGGGGTACGTGCGGGAATTGCAGCTCTCGGAGGCAACTCTGCGCAAGCAACTGGTGAAAACGAAGCAGCACACAGAAGAGGAGTTGTCGCACTCGCTGTCGAAGGTGAGCGAGCTGGAGAAAACGATGCAGGAGGTGGAAAGGGACCGGGAGGAAGCACGGCGGAAGCTGGAGGAGCAGGAGAAACTCATCCGGGATCTTGCAGCCAAGTTGAAGCAGGCGGAGGCTGCAAAGGCGAGGAGTAGTGCTTCAGCTAGCGTTGATGAGCTGCCGCCAATCGCTGAGGAAGTGACCCCGCAAGTGGAGACACCCGTGACGGGCGCGGAGCAGCCACCGATCCAGGAGGCCCAATCGACTGAAGAATCCACTCAAACCCCAGTTCCCCCCACGCAACCTTCTGCCACTTCGCAGAACGAGGGACCAATGCCTCCTCTGCACCCTGACCAGCCTAAGGACATTTCCCGTTCTGCTCAGTTCGGCCTCGCATCACCTCGATCACCGAACCGGCCGCTCTGGGACCCATGGGCTTCTGGAGGTGCAACCCCGATGAAGAACCTGCCCCCTGTGTTCAACATCGGATCGACGGGGTTAGATCCCGTTGCATCTTCATCGATGGTGGCTGCAACGACGGCAGACTCAAGCGCTGCTGGAGACTATGAGCTGAAGTCAGTGTTAATGTCCCCACGCCGAGCACAGGGTCAGGGTGAAGCCCCCAGAACTGGCGACTCCGCTCAGATGGAGCAGACCGAGTCCACTTTGGCGCATCCTGAGCAGGATCCTTCTCCTCAGTTTCCGGCGCCAGTATTTAATGTGGGGGCGATGCCGTACCCGCAAGAACAAGACGTTGTTTCGGCGGAAATGAAGACCGATAGTCAGAGTGTGCTGACGCTACAAGAAGCTCCTCCTTCACGAGAGGAACCTATGCTCTCGACACCTCCACTCGACAGAAACTCACTCGAGGCGCGTGAAGAAACTGTTGCTGCTGCACAGGGTGATGTGGCAGGGTGGAGTGATTTCCCGGCTCAACAAGACGGACATCCTGGTATGTCCTCCGCCCCACTGCCATCTGCAGCAAACACTGTTGAAAGCAATGAAGGTATGACACCCCATCCTCCGACTGCAGCTTCAGCCATTACGCCACCCCCTGAAAATGCCCCTCCGCCAGCAAACGCGCCTAATGTCGTCACGGCCTCAAGTGAACATGTTTCAAACACTCATTTTGAGCCCGTTCCAGCGGACAGTGTTTCTTCTGGAGCTATGGACGCTCCACCGTTAGGTGCTTCTCTCCCCCCGTCTTCCTCGGCACCCAAGGCTGAAACTCCGACTCCCCCGTCTCCTAAGAAAAAAGAGACCAAGACTGTGGCCACAGAGCCTGTGTCATTAGAGACGCTTCTCGTAGACTTTTTCACGGAAGTGGACAAGAAACGGCTGAAGATGGCGAAGGTGTACGGGAAAAGATACGCTGGTCGGGAGAAGTTCCTATTCACTGAGCTTACGAAGCGTTATGGTGCAGCGAAGGTTGCTGCGTTGAAGGCTTGCTTTGAGAATGGCAGCAGTTCCGGTGAGTCCGGCAGCAATAACAGCACCAGCAGCCAAACTATCAAAGGCGCTACCAATGGCGAGACCAGCACCAAGTCTTCTGAAGCCCCGGCTCCTCAGAAGCCTGGGCGTCTGGGTCATCCGCGGCATCCTCAGTTTTTCCACCCTCCTACCCCTGCAAGCAACGTCGATCTTAGCGGGAATATGCCTCCCGTTCCGCCGCCGGTGGTTCCTGTCCAGGAGAACGAAGCGCTAGGTTCGCAGGTGCCAGAGACGGCAAATGGAGTTGTGATGCCGCCAAGCCCGAGTGGAAAGACGTCTCCAGGCCGAGGGGCACGCGTGTCGCCTCGCCAACGTCGGTCGGGCGGCAGCATTCCTCCTTTCCCCGGCCCTCCTCCTCCTTCGTTCCCGACGGCTCAAGAGTCTAATGAAGGTTCAGAATCGGCTGGTGCAGCCGTCGATGGCCCGCCGATGAACGGCCCTCCTATGATGAACGGGCCTCCCCCACCTGCCCAACGTGAAGCGCCAGCAGGTCAATTTAATCATCCTCCTCCGCCCCCATTCGCTGGAATGGACAGTAACGCGGCTCCTACGGGTCTCCGTCAGCGTCATAACGCGTCTGCACCTGCAGCCCAAAGCCAGAGCAACAATGCTACAGAGGTGCCTGCTGTGACGCTGGAGGGTTTGCTGAAGGATCTGTACAAGAAGCACCAGCCTGACAAGCTGAAGAACGTGGCGATTGTCGCGAAACAGTACGCAGGCAAGGAGCGCGAGCTTGTTGGTTTGTTGAAGGGTAAGTATGGAGCCCTGAGCGTGAAGCATCTGGAGGAGAACCTGGAGGTGCTGGAGCGTGCTCACCGCGCCCGCATGGGCAGTAAGGGTGCGGGGAAGAAGCGGGGCTGCTTCGTGCGCACGATCTCGCTGGTGTTTTGGCTTTCGGTGTTGCTGTACTTCTCGTTCGGCGCTGTGTTCATCAGTTTTGTGGTGGTGGACGTGTGGGAGTGTCATGCCCTTGATAACGACGAGCAGGAGCCGGAGTCTGCTGACGATTGCACGCCGCTGCAGAAGGAGCTGGAGACGTTCACGTACGAGCGCGTTGGTGACTACGTGGGCCAATCGCACCCGGAAGCGTGCTTTTGCTTGGAGTGGAAGGCTCGTGAGAGCGCGCTGTTGTCAAATCTGTCGGGTGTGGATCTCGTCAATTTGGCGAGGATGGTGCCGTTTTCGCCGGACTCGTTCGGTGCTCCGTGGGTTGCGAGTGTGAAGGAGCAGGTTCCGTCGCAGGAGTTCTACGACAGCTACGCGAAGCCTGTGGTGGACGTGTCGCTGGATGTGGGTTCGTTCGTGTGGTCATCTTTGTTGGAGCTTGCAGGGTTTGACGAGGTCGCGGAGAAGTCGTCGGTGGTATCGGATGTCGTCGAGACGATGAATGATACCGACGAGGTTGCTCTGCTGGACGAGGAAAACGAACTTGATACGCTGATGGATTCATATGAAGCAGGCTACGAAGAGGTGAAGGACGAGGGTTTTGTTGCTGAAAAGGAATCTCTTGGTGAGCCGAGTGATGAAGCCGAGGTTGAAGCAGCAGTGGTTGCTGACGTGTCGGGGCAAATGCCAATGGAGGAGGGAAATGACCAAATCCAGGATGAGCTTCAGACGCAAGAGCTTCAGACGCAAGAGCCGGAAAGTATTGTGACTGAAATTTTGCCCGTCTTGGTTGACGAAGATGATGCTGTCCCGGTTGACGAGGAAGCGGTCCTTGCTAGTGAAGAGAACACCTCTATCGAACCTAAAGAAGTGATGGTCGAGGAGCGCGCTGCTGTTGATTCGTCGCCGGTTGGTGAGCTGGAGTCAGAAGTTGACGTGCTGATGGAGGAGACCGAGACATCATCCGACGCGGGTGGTAATGATTCCGCCGATCTGGTTGATGATGTAGTGACGGAGGTTGTGTCCGAGGAAGACGGTCGTGTAAGCAACTCGGTCGAAGAAGTGAAGTCTGAGGCTGCTGACAATGACGTATCCTCTGCCTCCAACGATGATGTAGAAGTGGATGCCTCTGTCGAGACCGACGAGGTTGGTGTTGCTGAAGAATCTTTCGAACCCGCTACGGTTGACAACGACGACGGAGATTCTGGCATTGTTTGTGAAGAAAGCAGCGCCGAATCGGAGGACGTGGTGGAGGTGGAAGTGCTTCAAGAGGGATTGGATTTGTCCTACCCGGAGACAAGTGTGGAGCAGCCGGACGAAGCTAATGTCGAGTTCAATGAGTTGCCGTCCACTAACTTGAATGAGGAGAACGAGGAGATTCAAGCTGCGTTGGGTGACAATGAAGAAGTGTCTGCTGCATCTGATGAAGGAGAGACCAAGGTGACGGGGTCTGATATTGAGTATGGCTCTGTTTCGGTTGATGAACTTGAGGTAGAAGCAGATATGGTGACCGATGTAACCGACGACGATGAACCCGAGGTAGAAGCAGATGTTGGGATGACTGAGTCGGAGGCAGAAGTTCCCAGCGAGGCGTCTGAAGTGGAGGTGGGCATCGTTGATGAAGAGTCCGCCAATCCTGACGATCTGGAGACGGGGGAGGACGCATCTTATGGTCTTACGCCCAGCGAGGACGTTGAGCCTGATACTGCAGTTTTGGATGGCGAGCCTTCGTCTACCATGGACGTGGAAGCGTCGATGCTAGAGCTTGACTCGGAACTAGAGTTAGAAGTTGTCCCTGGCGCTGAAGTAAACGAAGATCCTGTGGTGGAGAAATATGAAAACAGCGTGGGCGTTGACTCGTTCGTCGGCGCGCCAGAGGAGGATGAAATCTTAACCGATGATAGTGTCGATGTCGATGTACGGGATGAAGAGCCAATCGTGACCGAGATCGAAGCTGAATTGTCTGTTGCTACAAGCGACATTGCCGAAGAGTTGGATGTTCTTGAGGCGAGCACTACCAGCTTGTCGAGCGAAGAAGCTGAGGTTAGCGATGAAGCCATTGTTGACGAGGAAGCTGTTATTACCGGAGAAATGGACGTAGGCGAGGAAGCTAAGGTGGATGCTGAAAGCGACTATCACGTCGAGGCAGATCTGACAATCCCTGTTGAAGAGGAGAAGGAGGTCCCGGCGGAGGATGATGATGCGGTGCTAGAGGGCCAGAGCGTTGAGGTTGCCGCCAAGAGCGGTGACGTTGAACTGGCTGAGATGGAGACTGAGACTGCTGGGTTCGAGTTGGAGGAAGTACAACAGAGCAAGGTGGAGGGGGAGTCGGTGGAATCAGCCGGAAGTGAGACTCACGAGCTGCAGGAGGACGACAGCGAGGAAACGGTGGCTGCTCCTGTCGAGGTCGAGGTAGATGCTGAAGAGGAAGGTGACGCGCACGCAGAAAATGACGGTTCTCCTTCTGAGAATGAAGCTGAGACCTCAGAAGACTCCCCGATCGATACTGAAGTGGTCGAGGACGCCGAACCAACCAATCCGATCGATGTCGAAGCGGAGCAGTCTGCGTCTGAGGTTGAGCTGGTCGGTGATATGGTCGACGAATCTGTGACGATCGAAGCCACGGAAACGTCGGACGACGAGGTGGTCGCTGCAGATGAGTCGAGTGAGCAGGCTGAGAGCCAAGACATTGCTGAGGCGTCTGAAGAAGAATCTGCGCCTCCTGTCGACCAAGACGTTGTCGACGAGGAGGAGTCAGTGGTGGACGCAGCCAGCGACGATGATGTCGAGCTCACCGAGGAAGTCTCTTCCGCCAGTGTCGACGACGAAGTGACGGAATCGCAGCAAGAGCTGACCGCCCCCGCGACGGGCGAAGTGGAGAGCGGCGGCCTTGCTTCTGCCGTGAATGAAGTTCTCGCCCGGCTGGTGGAGCCTTTCGAGGCGGCCAAGACTGCTGCTCCCGCGGTGGCATCCGAAAGCGAACACGTTGTAGACGAACTGTAGGATTCCCAAGCCTGCTATGGTGAAAAACAAGTTAGAAATTTATCCTCAGAGGTGTGTAAAACGATTTGATTGGCTACTCCGTACTTGCGATAATTGCCGATTCGGCAATGCCGAACACTTCATCAAATTTCGCCAATCAATTCAGCAGGTCAAGCGATGCTGCGGCTGGCGTCGGCGGCGCGGACTCGCCTGCTGCGCGCGGGGGCTGTCCGCGCTGCGGGTGCCCTGGCCCCTGGATGGTCTCGCCTGTCCGTGCAGGAACCAGCTTTCCCTTTCCTGCGCTGTTATGAGGCGCCCCGCTTCTTGTCCTCGGACACGGAGGACCGTGACGGACGGTGGAAGACTCTGGCTGTGAACAATCCGGTGGCGTGGCAGGAGGCCGTGAAGCCGTCGCTGCTGACATTCCTCAAGATCAAGAAGCATCTCATGGTACCGGTCGCGTTCGTAGTCCCACGCGGGGACGACGCGTGGCCCAGGGCGGCGTGGGGGTATCCGCTGGGCAAGCACGCCGCGTGGCTGCGGAAGCAGTGGAGAGAGGGGGGACGCGGGATCGACCCGACGCAGAGCAAGGAGCTGGACGAGATGCCGTTCGCCTGGGACTGGAGCCAACACAAGTGGGACCTCTTCTTGTTGCCGGCACTGCGGAGATACTTTGAGCTGAATGGACACACGGATGTATCGACAGATTTTCGCATTCCGAAGGAGAGTCCCGAATGGCCTGACCACTTGAGGGGGTACTATTTGGGCTGCAAAGTGCTGAATATACGCAACCGAGATGATTACGCAAAGCAGGTGGAAGCGGACCAAGACGAGCTTGAACGACTTCACTTCTGTCACGACTCGACGTTATACGATCGCGATTGGCGCGAGAAAGTGGAGCCGGCACTGACGGTGTTTCGGCAGGAGTTTGGTCACTGCAACGTAAAGAGTGCATTCGTGGTTCCATCGCAATCCCCATGGCCAGAATCAACATGGGGAATGCACTTGGGAATTACTGTCCAAAACATCCGTCGTGGGGATTTCGGTCGATACAAGCAGGAGTTGGACGAGTTGGGCTTCGTGTGGGACAACTCCGAGTGGGAGTGGGGGGAGCGGATCATGCCAGCTTTCGAGGCGTTCCAACGTCTACAGGGTCATTGCCGAGTACCGGCACATTTTGTGGTACCGTCGGAGGATAAATGGCCGACACAATCGTGGGGTTTGAAGCTGGGAAGAGTTGTCAGCCAGATCCGTAGCCGAGGCTATTACTCCGCTCAAGTTTCGCGTGACAAGGCTCGACTGAAAGAGTTGGGTTTTATATGGAGCTGCTGTGAATTTGAGTGGAGTGAGCGCGTCATGCCTGCACTGGAAACTTTTCATCTACTGCATGGCCATTGCCGAGTGTCGGCGTCTTACGTGGTACCATCGGAGGCGTCGTGGCCGAAGGAAGTGCATGGCCTGAAGCTAGGGTTTGTTTTGAAAAACTTCCGCCAGCGCGCCTCCTATTTTGACCAAGTGGCCCGAGCGATGGACTCGTTGGAGGCGATCGACTTCGACTCGAGGATCGCTGATTCCAGGTGGGGAGAACGCGTGGAGCCGCTGCTGGCCACGTTCGAGCAGCTGCATGGACATCGCAACGTGCCGCGCGACTTCGTGGTCCCATCAAGCTCTCCTTGGGAGGAGAAGGATTGGGGCGTTCAGCTGGGCAAGCTAGAGCAGAGAGAGCCACAGGGTTACATGTAGCCAAACCAAACTTCATGTACCCATGTTCGTCTACAGTAAAGTTTACGAGTACCCCGATTTTCTCCATACTCATTAACTTATCGCGCCCATTCCCCTGTCTGAGAATGGAAAGCAGACTGGGTAGGCCGGGGGGCTTCGCGCGGCGGGACTCGCCGCCCAGCAGGAGCGGCAACAACAACGCCGAGAGCAGCAGGACCCCGTCGCCAAAGCAGCAGCACTTCTCCACCTCCGACGCCTTCGAGCGCCCGGGAACGCGCGTCGCTCCTAGCGCCAATCACAGCTGGAGACCGGAACACCTCCGCGGCCGACACGACGTACGCCTCACGTAGCTAGCTACACGTAGACACAGCAACCACCCGGAGAGAGAGAGTACAGGTATTGACAGTCCTGTGTGCTGTTCGTTCCGCGTGTTGCCCCGCAGTCCCCGCCCTTCGACACGCAGCGCAAGCCTCCGACCAGCGAGACAGTCGCACACCAGCGAGTGTCTCCCTCTACCAAGCAGCTCAAGGCCGCCGCAGTCCCCCCACTGTCTCTGTCCCCAGTCTACGCTGCTGCCAATGATGCTGTTCAACCGCCGCGCACCCCTCAGGGCAGGGCGAGCTATGCCACGTTCAGCAAGGAGAGGGGGCTCACCGCGGCCCAGAGAGTGAGGATGGAGCTGTCGGCGCACGGCGGCAGTCGCGCGGCCTCCGGGTCCCGATCCAACAGCTCGGAGGACGTCTTCGCTGCCCGCTCTCCGGTGTACGACGAGAAGAAGAACGGGCCGCGCTCGTGTCCGTCGGCGTTCAACGGCGAGGAGGCGAACCCGACGAGGTTTTCGCCGCATAGACGACGACAGCCGCGTAACGGGGAGCTGATCGTGTCCAAGCTGCTGCCCACGCGCGACAGTGTGAACAGTCTCCTGACGTATCTGCACGAGCTGCAGATATCGGAGGCGAGCCTACGCAAGCAGTTGCTCAAGACCAAGCAGCACACAGAAGAGGAGCTGTACCAGTCGCTGTCGAAGCTGACTGAGCTGCAAAGAACCATGCACGAGGTGGAGCGAGATCGACGAATAGCGCAGCAGAGGCTGGAGGAGAAGGAGCAGCGCATTCGAGAACTTGCAGCCAAGCTGGAGAAGGCGGAGGCTACGAAGGCGAGGGGCAGTCCGATCCGCAGTGATTCCTCCGCGCTTGAAGGCCCGTCACATATCGCAGAAGAAGTTACATCGTACAGAGAGACCCAGCCACGAACGATGACGCCCCATCCAAGAAGTCCCCAGCTAGAGTTGAAAACACCAGCTCCCTTGGCAGGAAAGGTCCCAGCTCCTATGGAGCAGCCCCCGGCATCCCCTCTGCATCCTCAGAGTCAACTGGCTGTCGATGATGAGTCTTCCCAGTTTGGGATTCTATCACCGCCATCGCCGCATCGGCCTCTTTGGGATCCGTGGGCTTCAGGGGGCGCAACCCCAATGAAAAACCTGCCTCCCGTCTTCACTATCGGGTCAACAGGACTAGACCCTATGATGAATTTTCCATCACCGCCGGAGGTGTTAGCCACGTCTAACTCGAAGATTGCAAGCGATTATGAACTGAGATCAGTGCTTCTGTCTCCTCGCCGGGTGCAAGACCAAGATCAAGCACCCAATAGCGTTATCCCAGCACACCAAACGAAGCAAAGTCCGTCTACGACTAATGGTTTTGGCCAGCAGGAGGCTGATCCAGTCGAGCCCCTGGAGCAAGCTCCACCATTTGATGTCGATGCGACGCTGCTGTCACCCCCATACTCACAACAACAAGATCGCACTCCACCCAATACTCCTGATGCAGCCTCTGATGCACCGCCACACGAGCAGATGCCACTGTTGGAGCTTCCTGCGCCAGCCGACCCGCTGCTTCAGATTGGGGCAATGCCGCCGATTCATGAAAGTCCGTATGAACACCAGTCGCCGAGTGGCACCCCAACCGGAAGGTATGCAGGGTGTGTTGGCAAAGTTGAGTGGAGCTCGCATGGCCGAAAAGAAATGAAGGTGTCTGCTGTCTCGACGCCGCGGTTGCAAATGCCGATAAAGGCACCAACTCCTAGTATCCAAGATAATTCAGAAACTGCTGAACGTGGGCCCAACCAAGGAGTAGTCGACCACACTGCTGCAGGTGAGCACGATGCTGTCAGTGAGCCACTGTTCAATGCTTCTCCTCCTGCTCCCACGACCCAATCGCCCAGACCCGTTCTTCCTGTCAATGACACCAAGCTGGTATCCTCGGAGCCTGTCTCGTTAGAGACACTTTTCGTTGACTTTTTCACGGAAGTGGACAAGAAACGGCTGAAGATGGCGAAGGTGTACGGGAAAAGATACGCTGGTCGCGAGAAGTTCCTGTTCACTGAGCTTACGAAGCGGTATGGTGCAGCGAAGGTTGCTGAGTTAAAGGCTCGCTTTGAGAATGGCAGCAGTTCCGGTGAGTCCGGCAGCAATAACAGCACCAGCAGCCAAACTATCAAAGGCGCTACCAATGGCGAGACCAGCACCAAGTCTTCTGAAGCCCCGGCTCCTCAGAAGCCTGGGCGTCTGGGTCATCCGCGGCATCCTCAGTTTTTCCACCCTCCTACCCCTGCAAGCAACGTCGATCTTAGCGGGAATATGCCTCCCGTTCCGCCGCCGGTGGTTCCTGTCCAGGAGAACGAAGCGCTAGGTTCGCAGGTGCCAGAGACGGCAAATGGAGTTGTGATGCCGCCAAGCCCGAGTGGAAAGACGTCTCCAGGCCGAGGGGCACGCGTGTCGCCTCGCCAACGTCGGTCGGGCGGCAGCATTCCCCCTTTCCCCGGCCCTCCTCCTCCTTCGTTCCCGACGGCTCAAGAGTCTAATGAAGGTTCAGAATCGGCTGGTGCAGCCGTCGATGGCCCGCCGATGAACGGCCCTCCTATGATGAACGGGCCTCCCCCACCTGCCCAACGTGAAGCGCCAGCAGGTCAATTTAATCATCCTCCTCCGCCCCCATTCGCTGGAATGGACAGTAACGCGGCTCCTACGGGTCTCCGTCAGCGTCATAACGCGTCTGCACCTGCAGCCCAAAGCCAGAGCAACAATGCTACAGAGGTGCCTGCTGTGACGCTGGAGGGTTTGCTGAAGGATCTGTACAAGAAGCACCAGCCTGACAAGCTGAAGAACGTGGCGATTGTCGCGAAACAGTACGCAGGCAAGGAGCGTGAGCTTGTTGGTTTGTTGAAGGGTAAGTATGGAGCCCTGAGCGTGAAGCATCTGGAGGAGAACCTGGAGGTGCTGGAGCGTGCTCACCGCGCCCGCATGGGCAGTAAGGGTGCGGGGAAGAAGCGGGGCTGCTTCGTGCGCACGATCTCGCTGGTGTTTTGGCTTTCGGTGTTGCTGTACTTCTCGTTCGGCGCTGTGTTCATCAGTTTTGTGGTGGTGGACGTGTGGGAGTGTCATGCCCTTGATAACGACGAGCAGGAGCCGGAGTCTGCTGACGATTGCACGCCGCTGCAGAAGGAGCTGGAGACGTTCACGTACGAGCGCGTTGGTGACTACGTGGGCCAATCGCACCCGGAAGCGTGCTTTTGCTTGGAGTGGAAGGCTCGTGAGAGCGCGCTGTTGTCAAATCTGTCGGGTGTGGATCTCGTCAATTTGGCGAGGATGGTGCCGTTTTCGCCGGACTCGTTCGGTGCTCCGTGGGTTGCGAGTGTGAAGGAGCAGGTTCCGTCGCAGGAGTTCTACGACAGCTACGCGAAGCCTGTGGTGGACGTGTCGCTGGATGTGGGTTCGTTCGTGTGGTCATCTTTGTTGGAGCTTGCAGGGTTTGACGAGGTCGCGGAGAAGTCGTCGGTGGTATCGGATGTCGTCGAGACGATGAATGATACCGACGAGGTTGCTCTGCTGGACGAGGAAAACGAACTTGATACGCTGATGGATTCATATGAAGCAGGCTACGAAGAGGTGAAGGACGAGGGTTTTGTTGCTGAAAAGGAATCTCTTGGTGAGCCGAGTGATGAAGCCGAGGTTGAAGCAGCAGTGGTTGCTGACGTGTCGGGGCAAATGCCAATGGAGGAGGGAAATGACCAAATCCAGGATGAGCTTCAGACGCAAGAGCTTCAGACGCAAGAGCCGGAAAGTATTGTGACTGAAATTTTGCCCGTCTTGGTTGACGAAGATGATGCTGTCCCGGTTGACGAGGAAGCGGTCCTTGCTAGTGAAGAGAACACCTCTATCGAACCTAAAGAAGTGATGGTCGAGGAGCGCGCTGCTGTTGATTCGTCGCCGGTTGGTGAGCTGGAGTCAGAAGTTGACGTGCTGATGGAGGAGACCGAGACATCATCCGACGCGGGTGGTAATGATTCCGCCGATCTGGTTGATGATGTAGTGACGGAGGTTGTGTCCGAGGAAGACGGTCGTGTAAGCAACTCGGTCGAAGAAGTGAAGTCTGAGGCTGCTGACAATGACGTATCCTCTGCCTCCAACGATGATGTAGAAGTGGATGCCTCTGTCGAGACCGACGAGGTTGGTGTTGCTGAAGAATCTTTCGAACCCGCTACGGTTGACAACGACGACGGAGATTCTGGCATTGTTTGTGAAGAAAGCAGCGCCGAATCGGAGGACGTGGTGGAGGTGGAAGTGCTTCAAGAGGGATTGGATTTGTCCTACCCGGAGACAAGTGTGGAGCAACCGGACGAAGCTAATGTCGAGTTCAATGAGTTGCCGTCCACTAACTTGAATGAGGAGAACGAGGAGATTCAAGCTGCGTTGGGTGACAATGAAGAAGTGTCTGCTGCATCTGATGAAGGAGAGACCAAGGTGACGGGGTCTGATATTGAGTATGGCTCTGTTTCGGTTGATGAACTTGAGGTAGAAGCAGATATGGTGACCGATGTAACCGACGACGATGAACCCGAGGTAGAAGCAGATGTTGGGATGACTGAGTCGGAGGCAGAAGTTCCCAGCGAGGCGTCTGAAGTGGAGGTGGGCATCGTTGATGAAGAGTCCGCCAATCCTGACGATCTGGAGACGGGGGAGGACGCATCTTATGGTCTTACGCCCAGCGAGGACGTTGAGCCTGATACTGCAGTTTTGGATGGCGAGTCCTCGTCTACCATTGACCTCGAAACCCTAGTAGCATTAAAGTCAGAGTCGAAAGCTGAGGTGGACAAGGACGCTATTGTCGCCGGCGAAATTAGTGTTGGTGAAGACGATGATAATCACGTCGACGTCGATACGACGGCACCTGCTAAAGAGGAAGAGACCATGCCAGTGGAAGATGATGTGGACTCGGATACCCACGACGTCGAGGCTGTTGCTAACACTGGCGACGACGAACTGGCTGCGCTTGCTGGTTCGGAAACGAAGACTGTTGGGTTACCATGGGAGGAAGAAGTTGGTAGTCCACTGGGCAAGGATGTGGGGGAAGAATTGGTGGATACTCCTGAGCTGTACGAGGACGATCGCGAGGAAACGGTGGCTGCTTCTGTCAAGCTGGTGACAACTGAACAGGAGGCAGCAGAGAATGGCTGGTCTTCTGAAGCCGAAAACGAAAACTCTGAAGATGTTGCGAACGTCGCTGAAGTTGTCGAGGTCGACGCTGAACCGACTCATCCGATCGATGTCGAAGCGGAGCAGTCTGTGTCTGAGCATGGGTTGGTCGAGGAATCTGTGACGATCGAAGCCACAGGAGCGTCGGACGAAGTTGCTGCGTCCACTGAATCTGTAGGCGAGGCGGATAGCCACGAGATTGTTGATACTTTCGACAAGTCTGCGGTTTCTATAGATGCGACTGATACCGCTGAAGTGGCAGATGATCGGGGCAGTTTTGAAGCGGAGATAATGGTACAGGCTGTGAAGCGCACCGAGTCCAATGATGATAATGTGGAGGAGGACAACGAGGACGAAGAGATAGCGTTCATGGAAGAGTTAGCGGACCCAGACGAGGTCCTGCGCTTGGCTGAGCAAGCTGCTGCCGCCGAGTTGTCATTCGAGACGAGATAGTCCACCTGTTATGATATTTTGTAAACCTTCATGGCTGTGATTGTGAAAACTTATCTGTCACTGTAAGGGTAAACGATTTGTAACAATAACCAAGTTCATCTTTTCACTCTAGGACTTGGTTAGTCCACTCCTTCCTCCTTTGTGTTTGTGCAAGCTTGTCTTCTTCTTGTTCGACCTACGCGGCGGCTTCCTCCGCGCGCTATCACACGTTTACATGTCCAGCAGCAGACGACGCGGGTCACAGATCGCCTCGGCGATGCTCTTCAGCACCGTCACGCCTTCTCGTCCGTCGATGATGCGGTGGTCGTACGTCAGCGAGAGGAACATCATCGGGCGCGGCACCACCTTGCCTGCGTGCACCGTCGGGCGCATCTTCACACCGTGCACGCCCAGAACAGCCGACTGCGGGGCCGTCAGCATCGAAGTGCTCAGCAGCGCGCCGTTCACGCCGCTGTTCGACACTGTGAAGGTACCGCCGGCCAGGTCTTCCAGCGCCAGAGTGCCATCGCGCGCCTGCTGGCCGAGAGTCGTCAGCGTCTTCTCGATGTCCACCACGCTCAGCTTCTCAACGTTACGGATCACAGGCATCACCACACTAGAGACGAAGGATTACAGCAAAGCGTTAGTCTATCGGTCACAGACAGCTTGATCACTCAGGTCTTACCCGCGCTCCGAGGCCACCGCCACATTGATGTCCACGAAGTCGTTGTAGACGATCTCCTTGGCATCCATATCAATGACTGTGAGTCAATCAAAACACAGGGGCTAGTCAGCAAGATTGCATCTCTTTTGAAGCAGCATACAACGCATTGCATGCACGTACAGGAGTTCGCCGCGGGGATGCGCTGGAGGGCCTGAGCGCTGGCCTTGAGGAACGAGGACATGATGCCGAGCTTCACGCCGTGGGTCTTCTCAAAGCTATCGCCAAGCTCATCACGAAGAGCGATCAGGTTGCCCAAATCGCACTCCTGGAAGGTAGACAGCATGGCAGCGCTGTTCTGCGTGTCCTTGAGGCGGTGCGACGCACGGATCTTCAGAGCACTCATCTGAACGCGAGTCTCGTTGCGGTTGTATCGGCCCGTAGCAGGTGCCGACGGCGTAGCAGCAGCAGCCGCCGGGGCGGGGGTAGAAGGCTTCGGGGGCGAAGCCGGGGCCTTCTCGGTAGTCGCGGCAGGGGCAGCAGCAGTAGTAGGCGCCGGGGCGGCCGACTCGGCGGGGGCAGGAGCCGCCTTGTCAATCACAAACAGAGGCGATCCGACTTCCACGACGTCCTCAAGCTTTGCCAGCACGCTGGTCAGCTTTCCGGACACCGGAGCGTTGACGTCGACGCTCACCTATTAACATTTCAAGTGAGTACGTATTCAATACAGACACGAGCCAACTAGAGCCAGTTCGTAGCTCAAGCTCACCTTGTCAGTCTCCACGATGAGGACGGCTTCGTCGGCCCGAACGTAGTCGCCAATGTCTACCCCACAAGAAACAGACAGCCAAAGTCAGCACCATACGAACCCTTTCCCCGTATTCCGAGACAGAAGCAGCCACTCACTCTTGCGGATGGTCACGATCGTGCCCTCCGAGATGGAGTCGCCCATGGACGGCACGTTGATCGTCTCCAGGTCCTCGCCAGCAGGCGCCGCCGCCTCCTTGGCCGGGGCAGCAGCGGCAGCAGAGGCCGCAGCAGCCGGGGTGCTGCCAGCCGCCTGCTTCACCACACTGAAGAGTGGCGCGCCCACGAGCACGTTCTCGTCAATCTGGGCCAGCTGGGCCTCCAGCACGCCCGAGAACGGCGCGCGCACGTCCACGCTCACTTTGTCGGTCTCCAGGACGACGACCACCTCGTCCGCGTCCACAAAGTCGCCGGGGGCTGCAATCACCACATCCAGCAGCTCAACGTCAGCCTCACGTCACCGCATCTCCAGGCATTTGAAAAAGTGGGGGTCTGTGTCGTCCTACCTTTGAGCCACTCGACCACCGTGCCCTCCGAGATGGAGTCGCCCATCGAAGGCACCGGCACCGCCTCCGCGGCGGCTGAACAGGAGAAAGGGGCAACAATACCAGCAGCAGTTAAGTAATCTCTTGGGGTTTATAGCAATTGGGAGGGGTCAGCAGGGTGGAGCACACACCGGAGGAGAACGCGCGAGCCACCAACGGCGTCTGCGAGCGCAGGAAGCTGCACGCAGAGAGGCAAAGAGGTCATTAGCGTCTCCATGGGCCACACGCGGTGATGGGTGTAGTGGGCGGGTGGTACCTGCGCTGCTGCTGGGCGGCGCTCTGGAGCGCGGAGAAGGCGCGCGTCGGGCGCGCAGCGGCGAGCGCCACCTGGGAGCGCGCGGCTCTGGCGGCGACGTGGCGGGCGGCGAGGCGGCTGCTGCGCACGCTGCGTCCGAGGGCCTGGAAGCTGCTCATGGTCTCTCTGGCTCCTCCTGGGCGATATCGACTTTGTCAAACCAGCGCCGACCGCCGCAAAATGCTCCCGCACACCACTTGTACACAACTTGAACTTGGCCAACACGTCCAAACGCGCGATTGGTCGGTGACACGCTACACTAAGTACGAGGCAACAGGAAGACACTTCTTGGTGGACTTGCCTCGTCACATTCGCATTTTTGTCCGAGTCCTGTCCTGAGTCGATTCAGGTGCACACTTCAACTATCTACTTCAGCGCGAGGCGGTTCTCTCTGCTCTAGCTTGCCCAGCTGGACGCCCCAATCCTTTTCCTCCCAAGGAGAAACCGACGGGACCACGAAGTTGCGCGGCACGTTGCGATGTCCATGCAGCTGCTCGAACGTGGCCAGCAGCGGCTCCACGCGTTCTCCCCACCTGGAATCAGCGATCCTCGAGTCGAAGTCGATCGCCTCCAACGAGTCCATCGCTCGGGCCACTTGGTCAAAATAGGAGGCGCGCTGGCGGAAGTTTTTCAAAACAAACCCTAGCTTCAGGCCATGCACTTCCTTCGGCCACGACGCCTCCGATGGTACCACGTAAGACGCCGACACTCGGCAATGGCCATGCAGTAGATGAAAAGTTTCCAGTGCAGGCATGACGCGCTCACTCCACTCAAATTCACAGCAGCTCCATATAAAACCCAACTCTTTCAGTCGAGCCTTGTCACGCGAAACTTGAGCGGAGTAATAGCCTCGGCTACGGATCTGGCTGACAACTCTTCCCAGCTTCAAACCCCACGATTGTGTCGGCCATTTATCCTCCGACGGTACCACAAAATGTGCCGGTACTCGGCAATGACCCTGTAGACGTTGGAACGCCTCGAAAGCTGGCATGATCCGCTCCCCCCACTCCCACTCGGAGTTGTCCCACACGAAGCCCAACTCGTCCAACTCCTGCTTGTATCGACCGAAATCCCCACGACGGATGTTTTGGACAGTAATTCCCAAGTGCATTCCCCATGTTGATTCTGGCCATGGGGATTGCGATGGAACCACGAATGCACTCTTTACGTTGCAGTGACCAAACTCCTGCCGAAACACCGTCAGTGCCGGCTCCACTTTCTCGCGCCAATCGCGATCGTATAACGTCGAGTCGTGACAGAAGTGAAGTCGTTCAAGCTCGTCTTGGTCCGCTTCCACCTGCTTTGCGTAATCATCTCGGTTGCGTATATTCAGCACTTTGCAGCCCAAATAGTACCCCCTCAAGTGGTCAGGCCATTCGGGACTCTCCTTCGGAATGCGAAAATCTGTCGATACATCCGTGTGTCCATTCAGCTCAAAGTATCTCCGCAGTGCCGGCAACAAGAAGAGGTCCCACTTGTGTTGGCTCCAGTCCCAGGCGAACGGCATCTCGTCCAGCTCCTTGCTCTGCGTCGGGTCGATCCCGCGTCCCCCCTCTCTCCACTGCTTCCGCAGCCACGCGGCGTGCTTGCCCAGCGGATACCCCCACGCCGCCCTGGGCCACGCGTCGTCCCCGCGTGGGACTACGAACGCGACCGGTACCATGAGATGCTTCTTGATCTTGAGGAATGTCAGCAGCGACGGCTTCACGGCCTCCTGCCACGCCACCGGATTGTTCACAGCCAGAGTCTTCCACCGTCCGTCACGGTCCTCCGGATACTGTGGCTGTAGATGCTGCGGCTGGCGTCGGCGGCGCGGACTCGCCTGCTGCGCGCGGGGGCCGTCCGCGCTGCGGGTGCCCTGGCCCCTGGATGGTCTCACCTGGTTGCGAGGGACTCACCTCTCCTTTCCTGCGCTGTTACGATGCACCCCGCTTCTTGTCCTCGGACATGGAGTGATTGGCGAAAGTGCAACTTTCGTCCAATCACAGCGCATCACTAGGGTTCGGAGTACTACTAGTATAGGGCGGCCACAGGCTGGGTCAGTTTCGCTCATTTCTCGACTTTTGCCCGCCGCAAAGATTGATTCTTAGACGGAATTGGTTAGACAATCGTCAGACGTGAAAACGCGTATGATGTTCGATAGGATATTGATGACGTTGGATAGGATAGAGGTAGCACTTGACCGCTTTAGTTGCCGCAGTTGCCCTACAGTGCTACGAAGTGCAACTAGCAGTGCGTAGTTGGCACTGAAGCGGTCGAGTTCTTGCCTCAGTACGCACACAGTCTCGCCGTTGCGTGGCCATTAATTGCAGCCACACAAGTCGTTTCCACTACTATGCATTAAGACTTGGCTGTGAGCTTAGCCCTTCATGGTGAGTGCTCTACTGTAGCCCAGCTCAACTGTCCGCCCAATTGCTCCTACATGTATCGCTAAGTAGACTCAGCAAATGCGGCATTAACCGCGTAACTGTGGTATCGGAAAATGGAGATTACTGGAGCGATTACCCGTCGCCCAAGAATCAAGGTACAATGATCAAGGAGCAGTCAAGCGCGAGATGGAAGTGGCTGCTTTGGTTAAGCTGGCGACATTATCCTCGTTGGAGTGACAGGCAGTGGCCGAAGCCTCGTCGGGTCCTAATAGAACCCCGAACGAGGCTTCATGGTACCCACTTTTAGGTACAGATGCATTTAGTTACGTACTTCGGCCGCACTTATTAGTGTAGCTGCGGTCGTCATTTGATGTGTCCGGAATCGCCTTATTGCGATCGTTCACACTAGATATTTGTATAGGGACATAGGACTCATCATAGGGTGGCCAGAACGAGCCCCCCAGGGCCTCAGAAAACTCAGTAATAAAAAGACAGTCTTCCCCCAAAGCCAACAAGGGTCAAGTCCGACTTCGGTAAGTGTAGCTAGCTTATTGTAGTGCCTGGATACGCTCGGCTGCGTGTGGATGCCTGTCGGGGAGCTTATCGTGCATTGACCGAGAGTTTCCTTGGCAGCGCCAAGAGTTGGCGTGGCCGGAGAGGCAGGAACGGTATTAGAGTATCGTTCAGGATATATTTGTGGGATTAGAGTGTCCCTGAGTGTATTAGTCTACCTACCGAGGTTTTACCTTGGTCCCCCTGTATAAGGCCTAACACGCCGGTACCCTTCCTTTCTGAGGGACTGCAGTGGGGTTGCGCGAAAGCGCTACATAGTATCCTAGCCTTAGCTCGTGGCTAGTGGTACAGGTTTTGGGTTGACCGAAGATAACCTAAGGTGCACAGAGGCGCTTGCAACCGACCCGGTGTAAGGGATCGTTCCTGGTCTTCAGGTTTTGATCCAATAAGCGCTTACCTTTGCGGGTTAGCGTGTTGTTGGTGTCTCTAATACCTTTTGGTAGAAGAGAATTTAAGTGGAATTACCACACCACAACTGGTGCCGCGACCCGGGATTGGTGTGACCTTCTGTGTGTCTTGGTTGTTGTAGGTCTTTACCCCCAACGAGCGAAGAGGAGAAGAAGAAGAAGAAGAAGAGAAGCGAAGAAGAAGAAGAAGAGAAGCGAAGAAGAAGAAGAAGAAGAAGAAGAGAGAAGATGGCGAAGGGAGTCAAGTCAGCGGTACCAGCAACGCCGGCCAAGTCGAGTGGAACGCGCAACGAGACTTCGGTGCGCTCCGGAAGCTTGTTCTCGACCCCAGCGACGGATCGGATGGAGTCAACCGACGAGCGTTCGGCGAGCTACGACACGTCGGTTGATTCCTCGGACGCCAAAGAAGATGATGAAGATGATGACTGGGATGTCAGGACTGTGGTGTCCGAGACTTCAGAAGCTGCGGTTGTGCCGGCAGGCCGCAGTGGTGGATCGAGGTCGATCACCCGCGACCTCTCCGAAACGTTCAATGACATGCCGGGCCCCGAGCCCGCCTATGACAAGGATGACGGCGCGATCGACGGTTCCAAAGCCTCGGTGATGGTAGGAGGGGCAACCTCCAAGCCGGTTGGTACTCTACCTCCCCTCAACGGCGATACTCCGGCGGCCAACAAGGTTCTTGGCTGATGCCTAGAGATGATGAAGGTCAAGCGTGAGTGGATGCAGTTGTTCTCCCCTAAGAAGGTCCGCCAGGCCGTTTGGATGGACCTCGGAGGGGCGTTGGCTACGCCGATCAACTTAACGAGCACTCGGCCGGTCGCTCAGAACACGGCGGACATCCTGCGGGCGATGGGTGCGAACCTCAGATCCTCCCGACGGAGGCCGCCCTCGCAAGCTGGACGCCAACAAGCGCCGCCACGGCGCTCACCAAGTGGAGGAAGAAGCTGCGCAACGCCTTTGCAGTGACGGATAGAGGCTCAACGAGGCTTCGTTCGGCCTCGGAAGTGGTTGACCCCTCCAAGGCCCCGCTACCAGCGACCCCTCGGAAGGCAGCCACGGATGACGGAGTCTTCGCAGTCAAGGGCGAGGCTTCGCCTTACATGCAAGACTCGCACATGGTAACCCCACGATCTACGGACTGTACTGAACGTCTGGCTAGAGAGACCAAGGTTTCGTACGCTACGCCTGGCACGCGCGGAGTAACCGGTCGCCGGTCAGGCCGCCGTTACGGCCTCCGAGATGACTCATCGGACAGCGACGATGATCTCGGGTCCGACTGTTACGAGGGCGACCCGCCAAGCGAATGGGCTCGTCAGGTGCGCGAAATGAGCGCGACTGACAATCAGAGCTCAACCCCGAAGCTCGAGATTACCACGCATCTACCTCTCTGCAGCATCAAGTCATTTTATGGTGTTCGCGACAAGAGCGAACACTCCATGCAGTGGCTTCGTACGTTCATCTACGAGATGGGGGGACACACGCACCGCCCAACGAGTGGTGCATGCCGTTCGAACTCAAGCTCAGAGATGGGGCTTTGTATTGGTGCCGCCAGCTTCCACGCAAGACGAGACGCACGTGGAAACTGCTGTGCGAGGCATTCATTAAGTACTACTGCTCGAAGTTCTCCCAGTCTGCAAAGGCTCGGTACTACTCGGCCAAACAAGAGAGCAAAGAGCATGTATGTGACTACCTCAACCGGTTCAACGGCTATGCTCGCAACGCCGGGGTGCAGTTTGAGCACGGTGATCGTGACGTGTGACGAGGTCGGTGAAACCTTTTACGCCCAGGTGTATAGCGGTAGCCCGCAGGCAACTCACCAAGGGATCGATCCAGGCTCCCCGAAGATAAACGACACCGATAGGGATTCACAAGCTGCCACGCCACCCTGACCGCATTTTCCCCAGAACCTGCGCTCAAGGAAATCTGCGTTCAGGGTTTACCTTCCCGAAACGTATCTCGTATACCTTTTCTGGGGTTGAAAGTCTTGAGTTCGTTGAGCGTAACATTCACTTGTCTGAACGCACTTCTCCGAAATGGCTGAAGCTCGAAGCGTGGGTGAAGGATCAGGGTTACTACCACAAGTTAGAACCCCAGAAATACACACCACTTTCAGATAACCAATACAAATGCAGAGTTATACACAAACACACAGCCGCCACTTATTCTTAGACCATTGGGCGGTGGGTCGTACACCACTCAACTAATCTGCGATCAAGGTACTGGTCAACCTTGAACGCACTTTCACACGCACATCACCCTCAGATGAGGGAAATATACAGACCAAATACAATCCGATCCTAAGCGCAGTCAATCAAACTATTCCCGGGGGCGACTGCTACCAAACCACCCGAGATATCGGTCGTTAACATGAAATGGGACACCACCCTTACCTCAACCCAATGGATCCAACTGGGAAATGGAATACGTCGATCACTTCAGTAGTCGGAGCAGACTGATCCCCACGTAACCGGACTTGAATGTGTGGGGGGGGGGGCTCCGCACTGCCCTTGTCCTTAAAGACAGCGGACCCGATTCCTCGACGACTTGCGCAGTAGGGGGTAAAACGAACGCTCTGATTGTTATCTGCTAGACTATCGCTAGATTTTTGTGTAAAGGTATCTCTCGTAGCGTTCTTCTGTGTTCTTCTGTGTTCTTCTGTGTTCTTCTGTGTTCTTCGCCACGCGTCTGGCGAATATCTTGACTTGAGTATACTGGAACTGTTGGCGTAGACAATCTCCACTGGATTCGTGCCCAGCTTCAATGTGCCCATGTCTTTGTACATGACTGGCTCTTGGGAAACCTTGGACGCATGCGGCCAAGGTTCCCTTGAATCCGCATCCTTGAAACCGGGTTTCAGAGTCGGCAAGCCTGAACGCAGTGCGTTCAAGGTCTGCGGCCAAAGGCGACTTGCGCCCAAGGCTGAAACCATACTCAAGGCCTTGCGGCCAAGGGTAGGTCGAACCTTCACTTGGTCGTGGGGCACTTGGCGGGACTTCTTCCGGGTGGCCAGCGGTCTGGACACCATGTACGCGACTTCACATGAGGGCTGAGCTCCGGGTACCCGAATTCGATGTGCGTTCAGGGCCTAGGCGAGGCGGGACACCATACACGATACGTTCGTGCAGGCGTTTTCGACGGCCTCAATGTGTCAACCCGCTTAAGGACGGGAGTGGCCTGGACAGATCAACGGCGTTCAGGGTTTCTCATCTGACCGCAGTCTTCCAACCTGAAGGGCCCATCCTAGGCTTGAGCGCATTTCGCTCCGCGGAACACAGCCGAATTCCAGCTCAGATCTTGTCGCACGGTGTACAGCCGGGTCCGGTTTAGTCTCGGCCAATCAGAATGGCGGATTCAGGCGGTTCAGTGGACAGGTGATGACCGGTTGAGGTAAAACCTCGCTCGGTCTCGTCACAGACGCGAAGGACCACGTTGAACACTTCTTGGTTACGTGTGACGACCGAGACTTAGAAGAGCGTCTGTGTCACGTTCGGGTCCAGAGCATCCATGACCTCGAAGACATGATTAATGACATTTTGCATTACCGTGATCGCAAATCAACCCGCGAATCGTCGTTCCGCCGCTCCTGGAGTCAAGATGACGGTCGCCGTCTCGACGCGCGGTCGAACGAGGATTCTTGAAGTGGTTACCGCCGCGAACGACGTTACCGTGACGGCGACCGCCGCCGTGACGGGTCACCGCACCGGTCGAGAGTGACTTTGGTCGACGCCCTTACCGATGTAATGGCGGAATGGAACGTCGGAGGCTCGGTCGGTGCACGCATGGAAGCCTCATACGCCCCCCGACGTGATGATGAGGCAAACGAGGATTACTTCGAGGACGAAGGCCAGTACTCGGACGACCAACGCTCGGACGAGGATTCAGACGCTGATTATGACTCGGACGAGTCTACCGGACATGTCGGTGCCGCTAACGACGCTGAGCGCAGGGCCGCAGCCGATGGAACGTTCGATCGGTCCGACAACCGACGCTTCAGGAACGGAGGAGGCCCGTCCAACCGCGAACGAGATGACCGCCGCCAGTATGGACCATGCGCCACGTGCGGAAGCCCGTCCCACTCGGTGCGTTTCTGCTACCGGCGGTGCAAACTGTGCAAACAGGTGCACGACGCTGGGAAGTGCGAGGCACTCCACGAGCTCACCAAGCTCCTGAAGTCCAAGGTCGACAAGAAGGATCTGTCGCCAGAGCTGCAAAGCCTGGTGTATGGAAGCCATTTAAACTAGGCAGCCCGCCAACTGAAACTGGGTTTGTCCCAATCGGGCTGCCACAGTTAGCTGAGCCTGCTGTTGCTGCGGTCTATCTGTTCGCGTTCACAGGCGAAAGCAAACGGCCTGACGACCTGAAGAACAATGAACGTGTGAAACCGACGGAAAATGGAGAGAACCGAGACGCAAGTCTCGTTGAGATTGTTATTGATGAAGGTGATGATGATGAACGTGATGGACACCCGACAGAGGCTTTGATTACAAGTCTAGACCAGATCAGGGGCCACCTCGGAGTCTCGTTTGGGCGGTGCAATTACTGCCCGGTGAGAGACTGGGGTGGTGGTAGTCCCAGCGATACGACAAGAGGAAGCGAATGAGAGCTTTGGTCAATGGCGCCGTGGACGACGCGTGAACGAGGCTACTCCTTGATACTGGAGCGAATGTTAGCGTGATTTCTGCCAGCTTCGCCAAGCGGCTACGTGTACGGGAAGTCCGGGACAACGGACGAAGTCTCGAAGTCCGCACCAAAACGAAAAATGTTCGGCTGCGCACAGGTGCATCATCTCAAGTCCGTTCCACTTCGAAACCTCGACCAGCCCGCTACCGAAAATCAGCACTCGTGTCTCGGTTTACCTCGTTCCAGGTAGGGCCAAATCCGAGTGATAAGCTTCAGTCGAGGTGTCGGTAGAGACTCCTGCGCGTAGTCGCTGAGCTTAACATCGTTCGCGGTGTCATCGTCCTCCGTGAGCCCTTCCGCAACCACCGCATGCACGACTGAGGTATAATTCGCCTCCAGAAGCCGTCCAGGGTCCTTCCTGTCCGGGCCATCGACACAATTTTTTCCATCGGTACTAACCTTGGTCGTGGCGGTTCCTGCTTCAGTAAAAATGTCAGTCGGGCCAGGATCATGTTCACCCCAGTCGACAGCACCGTTGCCCCACGCAACCGACGTTTGATCTGGTTCAGGGCGTGCTTGCGTATCAGTCGCTGTTCCGGCCATCCGCGGGGCGGATTCCACCGCTGCCGTTACCTCTGGCGCGTCATGATCTTCTCCCGAATCGTCGTTCAGCTCTCCAACACCATCATCACGCTTGTCTCCGGCTCCTGACACCTCGGCCGGGGCTTCCTGTGCCCCATGTTCGATGCTATAGGCGTTATGATCGGTGCGCTTGGATGCATAGGCCGCTCGGTGAAGCGACGACCCTTCCAGTGTGTCGGAGTCGACCAGTGCGCTCGTCTCGTCATCCGAACCGTCGTTCGATACACCGTCACGTTCCGTGTCTTCTGCACCAGCGTCAGTAACCTTGACCGAGCCTTGGGAGACCCTGGGGTAGTCGTCATGATCCGGTGTACCGAGCCAAGAATAATCGTCGTTAGGACGACCTTGAAGATGACCTCTCGGCCACATTGGAGCGTTGAGCGGTCTCCGTAAGATCTTCCGCGGCGTTGAGTAAGACCTGCGCTCAACCGCGGGTGGCTGGTTAGCCAGCCAATGGTCATAGAGACATCGCTCCCTTCCATAGAGAGTCTCGTCACGGCTCATTGAGTACGCCAGCACCTGCCACTCCTTGTACTTGTTAGAGTCCAACCTCGCGTAGCCGGTCTCTCGCGGTAGTTCACCATGCGGTTCCCAGAGCACCACGGAGTCGTGCTTGGCAATTGTGCCGTTGCGGTCGTAATATTGGTGAGTCGTACCCATATCGGCTGCCCCCGTCGAAGCCTCGTTACAGTCGGCACAAGCTTATCCGTGCGCCGTACCCACAAATCGTTCGGAGGTAGCCGCTGGCTCGGCAGTCGAAACTCTCGCCACTCGCGACCGGGGACGTATAAATCATCGGTCGGCCCACACGAAGGCTGCGTGCGGTAAGGCTGGTCATCCTCATCGCTCTGCGACTTCAGTAGTGGTACCATGACCTCGTCTGGAAGGCGTGCCGTACCATGGAACAGATCGAGCCGGATTCCAGCCGGGATCATAAAGTCCATCCCGAGGACCACATCCACTCCGGCACTGTGGTCTATTATCCACATTTCGAACTCGTAAGCCTGCTCCCACCCGAGAGTGATCTTGACGAGCGCCCGTCGCCGGGTCTCCATCACCCCTGGGTTTATACCGGGTGACATGTACTATTTGCGGGCCCAGCACGATATGTTTGTACGTGGTCCAAGTCACGGACGAGGACTAGTTGCATATGTTAACGACGACTGACCTGCTTGCGAGGGTAACCCAGCTCGGGACGACAGACGAAAGAATGTACTGGAGATGATGATTGAACTGCCTGCGAGGGTTTTCCAGCTCGCAGTGACAGACGAAGGAAGTTACTAGAATTTGCATATTACCTGTTATGTGAACGAGTCACGATGGAATGGAGGTATCGAAACGGGGCCAGGAGCAACAGAAGACGCAAGCGAGTCTCAGTCAACACCTCGACAGGTGGAGTAAGTGATGATGAAACTAATTGGAGGACGACCGAGGCTTCGGGTGCTGCCGTCAAAGTGGAACGACCAGGTATCAAGGTGGAGACGTCAGCCATCCCAGCAATGGTGTCCTCGAGTACCTCAGAGAGTGTGTCAGAAGCCTCACTAAGACTGGTCGTATCAGTCACTAAGACGGGTCTTATGGATCTGTAAGACCGGTCTTACGGATTTGTAAGACCAGTCTTAATTTTCACAAGTCCGGTCTTAGTTGATGGACCAAATCAATCACCCTGGTCTTGGAGTGGGCATGCTGCTGAGTGGAAACGCAGCACGAGACAGGCGGCGACCAGCGAGAAGAGGTAAAGTGAAGCTAATTGGAGGTCGGCCGAAGCTTCGGACGCAGCTTGTAATGGGCCTGTTTTAGCCCACTACTTTAGCTTACACGTGTGCGCGTGTATGTGAGGAGCGTAGCTTAGTTTAAATTAGAGTTCATTATACTCAGGCCCCCGAGTATAGATTAATCTAAATAAACGATCCAAATAATGTTTTTGGGTTAAAATGAGAACTGCTATTTTTGTTTTATGTTTCTGACTTCCTCTAAATGTAATATTCTAAACTGGGAATCTGCCAACGGCTGGTTGGCAGAATTCCAATGCTATGCATGTCGCTCATTGGCTAAAAGATGCTGCTTTCAGCCAATAGGAATCCTAAGTCTCTATGGACCACCCGTCGTGGTGATCCTAAATGTATGTAGCCTTTGGTGTGTCTACACCAAGGTCCAGAAAGTCTTTCAAACCTCTAACAGACGTCCTGTCTGTTAGAGTTACAAGTGACTGTAGCCACTTGTGCGTGTAACCCTGTTACACCATCCCCCCCTCAAGGTTAGACGCGCCGAGTCACGGCACGTCAATCAGGAAATTGACCATTCGTCAATTCTTCACGTTGGGAGAAAGAAAACTCGAGCTCATTCCGCAATGAGCTCGCCTCAGAAAAAGACCGACGCTGCAGCAGAGGGGAAGTCCTCCGCCTGGATAGAGACTCTCTCTATCCCCGAGTACCGCGAGCATCTCAAAGCAAAGCGTGACGCTCTTGCTACAAAGGCTGCGGCGGGGACAACTCAACCAGAGATTGTCCTCGAAGGTTCTTCTGTAGTCAACGACGCCGTTGACTTCGAGGACGACGACGTGGAGATGGAAGAGGGCGATGCTTCTTCTAGCAAGCGCAAGGAGTCTATCGACAGCGATAGTCTCGACCCGCATGCCGGGTCGAGACGCCCTCGTGAAGGAGACGACTCGGACGCTTCGAGCTCGAAGCGTTCGCGCGGCGAGAGCGACACTCCGCTCTCTGCTGCTGGGGCTTTAAGCTCCCCGCGTGAGGTGGCGCCTTCAAGCTCTCCGCGCGCTGCTCAGGCAGCGCGCGATCCGTGGATGCCGTCTGCGTCAGAGATCGCAGACCGTGTGGGCAACACTGTGCCTCCAAACGAAATCCCGCTGTACGTATGCAGCGGTATCCACGACGATGATGTTGCGGAGGAGCAGCACTTTGATCCGTTAACGAATCAAAGGCGCGATTATTACATCGGGCTCTTCCACGAACTTCGGTACTTCTCCAGCAAGAAGACTTCTTCTCGCAGCAAAGTGCCGAGTGGCAGGCACTTTGTCAAAGTTGGAACGCTTTTGTTGAGAACTTCAACAAGAAACCGGCTGCTTGCCGCGAGCGGGTTAAGCATGCCCGTGAACGCTTCGAGACATTCTTGACGCGCGGGCGGCTGGTACAGCTCCACAGATCCTCTATGGACGCTGGTATTCCGTGCGCTGTGCCCGAAGGCCATCAGTGCACGTTGTGGCTTCCGGGTGCGGCGCGCTTGAGCGACCGCGACCTAAACGGGTACACGACGGATCGTGTACCTGCGAGTCTCAAGGATCTCCGTGCCAAGTTCTTGGCACGCGAGGAACGCGACGATCGTGGGACTTCGGGCGCTGTAGCTGACCACAGCGCTCGCACTACCTTCGGGTCGGCAGTGCGTGGTGAGCTTCGTACGCCCTCACCATTTCCGGAACTTCCTGCAGCAGGACGTCCCGCGGCTCCCATGTATCTTGGTGGGGCGGAAACCCTCTCCAACGAATACGATAACGAACCGGCTGCCGGTTCGTTTTCGGGATACTATGGTTCACAATACGCTCAACAATCCAGCGTGTTGGGCCGCGGGCGTCGCGGATCCGAGGCGGCGGTGGTGGGAACACGCCCCGGGTATGGTCAACCTGGAGTTGACCTTGGCCCGGCACTCGAGGAGCGGGTCGCTGTTGTGGAACAGCATCAGAGCCGGGAGTTCGCCGCTCTGAAGCAGGAGGTGGCGATCCTGAGGGCTCAGGTCGCTCAGGCCTCGCAGACCGCGTCGGACATCTCTGTCGACGTGGGAGGTCGCGTCGCACGCTTGGCCCAGCGCGTTCACGCGCTGGAGCAGAGGTTCGCTCCCGCTGGGGCTTCCGCTTCGGGCCAGCCGAGCTAGGTGGCTCGTGCTGCCGGTATGGCTTCAGCCGCCCGACGTAAAAAGTCGGATGGAGGCGCATGCTAGATGGAATATCTAGCGTGTAGGCGTTGCCATGCCGTGCCAACACCGTGAACGGTCCGATGAAGCGCGGAGCGAGCTTGCTCGCCCCGAAGTCGGAAACTGTATGTTTAGGCAGGTTTTGAGTTGCTAACACAACCAATGAACCCTTCTTGAATTCCTTAGTGTTGCCCCTACCAACATTGTCTGCGTTCAGCTTCTGTCGATCAACAGAAGCTGCGATAGCTTCTTGGACAAACCGAATGACGGCTTGTCTGCGCTGCACGAAGTTGATTGCGTCCGAGCTGAACTCGTTCAGCTCGTTTCTAGCAGTAGGCCCGGCCTCTGCGTTCGTCTTCGCGGTGTCTGTGCCCTGCACAGACCCGTTCTCTTCTTCTTCTTGCTCTTGCTCTTGTCGGCGTCTGTGCCCTGCACAGACGTGTGCTTCTTCTTCTTGCACGTAGTCGCGGCTGACACTGTGCAAGTGTCAGCAGCATTCTGCGGCTGCTGCGTTGCAGTCGTAGATCCTCCCCCACTTAAGGAAGGAGCCACCATCCCGAGTAGACTCGGGAGGCGTGGGTGCCTGATGGCCTTCACGTAGAACGGTGTATGCGCGGTCGAGGCATGCACCGAGTTGTTGATGGCGAACTCCGCCATCGGCAGACACTCGCTCCAGTGTTGGAACGAGTGAGCGTAGCTCTTAAGCACGTCTACGAGCACGCAGTTCACGCGCTCGGTCTGCCCGTCCGTCTGCGGATGGTCCGCAGTCGACATCGAAAGTTGACTCCCAAGAAGTGTAAACACTTTTTGCCAAAGGTGTGCAGTGAAGCGCGGGTCTCGATCCGACACAATGTCGATCAGCATGCCATGGTGTTTGAACACCATGTCAACGAACAGATGTGCCGTCTGTTTCGCAGTCACTTCAGCGGGTACCGCAGCAAGATGTACCATCTTGCTGAAGCGGTCAACAAAGACCACAACGCCCGTGTTCCCCTGGTTGTCCGGGGGAAGACCGAACACGAAGTCCAAAGACATGGACTGCCAACACTCCCGTGGAGTTGGTAATGACTGCAAGGGAGCCTGCGCGAAAGGCGCAGGCTTCACACGTTGACAAACCTCGCAAGCACGGACGTACTTGCGCACCCATTTATACTGGTGGGCCCAGTAGAAGTCTCGCGTGAGAAGTAGGTATGTCTTCTCACGGCCCGGATGCCCCGCAGTCGGTGCATCGTGATACTCATACATGATCCTGAGTCGCAGGTCATGGTCATTGGGCACGACAACGCGGTCCGCGTTGTCGTCGACTGCACTGTAGAGTAATAACCCGTCGTGCACCCGATAACGGTGTGCACGAGCACGAAGATGCTTCGGCAGCTTCTGACGAGCTTGGTCAGAAGGCGCTGAGCCGTAGGCCAGCAAGATCTTCGCGTCCGCGTTGTGCGCGTACGCGACCTTTACGTCGTCCAACAGTGACGACGTCGGGGTGCTCGATCGCATGGCGTCAATGGCATTGACGTCGGCATCAGTCGTGGCGTAGTCAGGTCGACGCGAGAGCGCGTCGGCCACCACATTGAGTCTTCCGGGTTTGTACTCAACCCGGAAGTTATACTCTGCGAAGAATGACAGCCATCTCGCCATCCGTTGCGAGATGTGCGGCGACTTCACAGCCGTCCGCAGCGACGCGTGGTCCGTATAGACCACGAACGGTTTGCTTCCGAGTAAATACACTCGGAACTTCGCGAGTGCGTACTTCATGGCAAGGAGCTCCTTGTCATGTACCGCGTAGTTGCGCTCAGCTGGCTTCAGCTGACGCGATTGTTAGTAGACGACACGATCACGACCCTCGTGATCGTGCTGCATCAACGCACATCCGATTGCGAAGTCGGATGCGTCACACACAACGTGGAATGGGCGATCTTGGTCGGCCACCGCCAAGATCGGCGCCTCATTCAAGCCCTGCTTGACTGCATCGAAGGCCTGCTGACACTCAGCAGTCCAAACCCACTCGGCGTCCTTCTTCAGGAGCTGGGACAGCGGGCGTATCATGCCCGCGTAGTCCTTCACGTACTTACACAAGTACGTGGCCAAGCCAAGGAACTGCCGCAGTTCCTTGACGTTCGACGGCATCGGT